CACTGTATGGAGACGCAAATCAATCCCACGTCCGGAACCAAAGGCTGGAAGAATTTTGACCTTCTGTTTCCGACGATGACATTCCCCACACGAAAAGCTAAAGCTAGAGAGGTAATCGACTGTTCCGTAAAGCAAAACAGCCATCATACCTGACCCGAGATCTCTTTTTGGACGCAGGATTTGAGTCGTCATCGTCGACCTTTTTCCGTTTCACCGAATTGGATGGTGTTGAAACGCCAGCTTTGTCGAGAGTCTTGACCATGGCTTGTATTTACGGGGCTTCGTGACTGAAAAGAGTTTTCTTAGCGTTCGCTTAGGGAGCTGACGGGATGGTGGATAAGGGATGAAAAGGCACGAATGTGGATGCGGTCAATGTGACTCGGTGAAATTCAAATCTCATCTGTCAACACCGGCACGCGGTCCGACTCTGTCTCTTCCCATGGAGCCTCCTTCCTGGAAATCACTCAAACTTTCTCTCGAACGACCGTACAAGGACGAGAATGGCGCACCCATTCCAGTTCTTCAGGACATAACACCTCAGGGAGAGCAAATATATGAACCGTACGCATTGTTCTCTTGCCTGATGAAAAACTGAACCATATTTATGCAGAAAACAGACCCCCTCGCAAATATTGGGCGAAAACTTACGTCGCATCTTTCTTGAGCGAGGAGTCGATTTCTTCGAGAAGACAAAGGATGGAAACCTGGCTGATAGGATTGCGGAGGCCCATGTCGATGTGAAAGACACGACGCTAGACACGGCCGAGAGCGACGACGATAACGACGGGCCCAGCATCATGACCAGCGAAGAACTCTACAAAATGAGGATGGAAATATCTTCCCAGTTGTTGTGCGTTTTTCTACGCGCATATATCCTATCTGGCGACTCACAAATTTCAAAGCATAGCGCTGGGAGAGATGACCCATGCACGCGACTTGCTCTCTGCCATCTTATCGACGCCTGGGCAAGCCCCTCACTCCATTCCAGGGATACCGCGCCCAGAAATACAGCAGGACGCTCCACTCTCTGCTACTATCATTAAAAAACCGCCACCTATTGTCTCTGTTCAAGCTTTCAATACCCAACTGGCAATCGGTAGCAAGGATGAGGCGTTACGAAAGGCTTCCGACGTGTTCAAAGCGGCCGCCGACAGATTAGAGGGTGGCAGATTGCGCGGAGAAAAATACTGGGCAGATGCCCTCAAAATACGACGAGGGAACTGGGCACTGACTCCAGCGCCGTTACCACTGGGGTCAGCGACCGGAAAGGGCGCTGACAAGTCATCCAAAGACTTTTTGATATCTTATGGCCTGGAAGAATGTTGGTTCTCTGGTTCCTGATACATGCTCACTTACTGATTCTATTCCAAGCTTCTTCTAGCTTCAGGCGCCGTGCTATCGGACATATGGCATCTGTTGAAAATGCTTCTGAGGAACTGATATTTCCTTTTCGTCAACGTACTTCACTACGTGTTTCTTTGACAAGCGGCGAAGGCCACACCTCAACATTCTCAAAAAATGATTTCCGGTCGGAGGACACATCGTTAGATAACTTACTCAGGGATGCCCAGCGAGAAATTGTCGAGCAGGAAATCTTTTCTCTCCTGGTCCATGAAGCCAGCAGACTACCGACTGCATCTGCCAAGGTTTCCGAACGTCTAATCGTCATTGACTCTGCTCTGGGTACTGAACTCAAGTTTGAACTGGTATGTCTGTGCTATCTTTGATTCCGACTTTGTTTAGACCGTTCTTAGGTTGAAAGCGATTCTGTCACACCTCTAGCCTCCCGAAATACGTTGCAGGAAGCCACCTGCGACTTGATCTATCATTCGTTACACGCCCTGCTTCTCCGAAGACATCAGTATCTTAAATCACAAAGACTGAGTGGGAGCGATGCTCCCAAGACGGATCCACCGCCTGTTCTACAGCCGATCATTGATCTGCTGCAGTACCAAGTGTTCTGCCACAGAGTCAAGACAGTCATAGAGGGCATTGTCACAGCCCTTACACTAGCTGACATAACATCTACGCTCCGGTTCCAACCTGTAGGAGAAGTGGGACATGAACTCGTCAACCTCCTGGACAATCGCAATGCAAAAGCTGTAGGTGGTCAATGTATACTGAGAATTGACAGACGGTGGGTTACCGAATTGTCCAGGAGTGCAAAATCACTGACTTGTTAAAAATAGGCATACTGTCCGATTCTCTTTCTTGGCACCGTCAACATTAAATGCTCACCTAGCACAGGCCACCCTGACAATATCGTCTATTCCCCAGCTAAATCAGCTACTTACTGATGATGTCGGACGCTTTCTCCTTCAGCGAATATGTGAACTCGGCCGTGAAATAAGTAGTAACGTTAGTGGAATTTGGTTCCTGGATCTGAACCGATGTGTAGGAAGATGGGAGGGGTGCACGCTGTACGTTCTTCCACCACCTAGCCGACATGAAACTAATCTTGCTTATCAGCAACTTTCGGATTGACTTCCACGCAAATTCGACTCTGAGGTGCACTCTCTTTCGATTAGATCGACATACACCAAAGCAGGGTGAATCAGAAGTATACCACTCAGGTCGTAATGTCTCCCTTATACCATGGGCCGAAGGACATATACGAAAGGCACTCGGAGTTCCATAGCATAAGCATAGAATGCGGTGTATGTATGATATCGATAACAGAGCATGTTGTACCATATACGTAGAGGTAAATCTACTCCTCGTCGTCGTCGCCACCAGCCTGGAACTTCTCGATCTTGGCAGCAATCCTGGCCTTCCTCTGCTCGAGGTTGAGCTTGGGAGTCCTGTACTTCTTGCTCTCTGCCTTCCAGTCTTTTGTCTTGTCCGTAGGCTTGAACGTGGGGTCTTCACGAATGGCAGCATATGCATTCGTGAAGATCTCCTCAATATCCTCAGAGCCAATACCATCAGCGAGGTACGTCGAGAATTGCTTTTTGAATCTGAACAGAAAAATAGTGAGACGAAGTAGAACAAATGAACTGAGTATCACGCACCGTTCATCATCTTCCTCCTCCAAACTCTCCATGTACTCAGCGACGTGGCCACCGTAGATGTACTTCTTCAACACCTCTGCGTCCAGCTCCTTGCTCTCTGGGTCGTAACCAGGGAAGCGCTTGTCGGAGTGAGGGATGAAGATACCACCATCGCTCGCTCCCTTCATAGCACCAAAGAGACGCGAACCCGTGGATGTGCGCTTGAGACCGACATCAAGGTAGCACTTGAAGGGTCGAGGGGCATCTTCCTCATCCAAGGCTTCGGTCAATGTGGATGTACCATCAGGCTCGGTAACACCCTCATATTTGTCTGCGAGTCCGAGTTTTGTGAGGGCACGGCGGGCACAGAGGAGACCAGTAGCATAAGCTAAATGACGGGTAAATGAGTATTCATTATGATCATCAAGACCTGATACGGACCTGCTGTCCAGTTCGTCAAGCCGTGGTTGATGCCGTAGCGTGGCAGCTCTTTTGAACGCGCAGACGTCAAGACAAAGTCACCCTGGAGGCGGGCGTAGACAATCTGGACAATGACCTCCTTGTTCGTGAACCGGACGACGAGGCGGTATTTTGGCGCATTGCTGGGGAGAAATGAGAAGGCTAAGATTGGAGCAGTATAAAACCTACTATTTATTCTTGGCCTGAGTAACCAATCGTTTACGCGCGTAGTCTATACCAGAGGTCAACGATATTCAACAAGACTTTGTGGACTTGACTAACAGTCGGTTTTGCCTTCTCTCCGGCGACGGTATTTGACTTGGAAACGAGAGAAGTATGCGTCGGACTTGACCTTTTTGACGAACGGCATCTAACAGAAATGCGAAGTCAGCCCGTCATCCAAAATTTGCAGAATCCATCCAGCCCAACGACGCAATGTAATGATTTCAGACGTTCAATATGGGCAATAGATGACGCTGGACCTTCAAGCAGCATGAAATTGAGGGACATACCTTGAGGAACGGCCGGGGAAATGGGGGACGGGGAACGATAGACAAAACTCGAAGGGAATTCTTCCTGTCACGCAGTGTGACGCTCTGACCGAAAAGGAAAGCTTACATCATCGAGTGTGACTCACTGCATCTTGCCACTGAACTGTCATGGACCCGTACGCCAACTCGAGTTACTCGCAATACAGCCAGCAATCTACTTATGACAATCCTTATCACCGACCATACCAAGGCCCTTCGTATCCGCTTCCGGGATCTTCGTCATCGCACAGCGCACCGGTTCCTGCGAATGCCTACGAGTACGATGTCGGTATCCTTGCGCAGCAGAGTGTGTATGTTCCCGGCGCGATGATTGACAAGAGGGGTGGTGCTGGTGGCAAGCTCGCGAAAGGTGGAAAGAGAACTACTGTCCTCCGTAAGGGAGGAGGAAAGGTCTGGGAAGACCAGACGCTGCTTGAGTGGAATCCTTGTGCGTGCTCTTGTTCATTATATTATCATTTTTTGGTGACTGACTCAAATTTCTGCAGCCTGGTTCAGGTTGTTCGTTGGTGATCTCAGTAACGACGTATCTGACGATGTTCTTTCGAACGCTTTCAACAAGTACCCCTCGTTCACGAAGGCACGTGTAATCAGAGATCGGTTAAGCCAGAAGGTGAGAGTAATGCACAACTCTTGACTTGATAATTTCTGACCTTTAGCGTAGGCCAAGTACGGCTTCGTCGCATTCTCTGATCCCGAAGACTTTTTGAAGGCCTGGAAAGAGATGGATGGTAGGTTGGTCCTTTGTCTTTGTCGACCCTGACTGACCAGACTTGAACAGGCAAGTATGTTGGCAACCGACCTGTGAAACTGAAGAAGGCCGATGATACTGCTATACGGCCAGTTGAGATAGGTCATAGAAAGGCTAAGCAACTCGAGAGAGACCTGAAGAAGAACAGGCACAAACCTTATTAGATTCTGGACTCGAATGGATCTTATTAGAGAAGTATGTATATGCCATCGAATTATGTTTGCTGTTACTCATCTCAATGTCCACGAGTCTCATGTTTTAACTTGTTCGTTGGGTCAGTGTCTGAATTTTATTTGTGTTCCACGGACTACCCTTCTGTTACAGCACCCGGTCTTGGATATGTACGCACCTGTAAGATTTCATTTGTGCGAGACCCTTGTTAAAGGGAGAGGCTACTGGTCAGTGACAGGCGTGGGAATAATACTACCCACCCTTCTCTCATCCTTCTCTCCTTTCGTCTTTCACCGGTCTGGTACCACTGCATTGCTACAACCTACGTCACACATCTATCGTCGACCTAATGCTATCCTTCCTTTTCTCTATTTCTGTTGTCATTGCTCTCGTTCGTGCAGATGTCGTTCCAACCGCTCCAGGTCCCAACGATGTATTCAACGCTAGTTCGCCATGTCTCATCAAGTGGAATGCGGACGCTGATGGTGATTGGAAGAACATGACAATCAGTACTACAACTCGCCTTTGCCAATAGCCCCTCCTGACCCTTCTCTAGAACTTATGGCTGGTTCCAATGACAACATGCAGCTTGTTGAGACGGTCGCTGTTGGGCTGGATGGCACTGATTCAACCGTCACACCTTTTACATGGACATGTCCGTCTGTTACACCTTATTCCCACATATATTTCTATGAGGTAATTCTTTCCATTCCTCGAGATTTGTTGTCCTCATCGCCTTGCGCCCAGTTCACGAATGGAAACGACGCTGATGGTTCCAAGTGGACGACGCGTTTTACAGTAAGTTATATGCCTCTGAAATCTATTCTGAAACCAACGTTTGTTGTGGTAGATTGCATCCCCATCTGGCGAGACTACACCTCCAGAACATTCATCACAGCCCAACGGCGATAATATTCCATGGGGCATTGGTAGCACGAGCGACACAAGCGATTCTGACACCAAGACCGGCTCTCACACTGTAACGGGTACTACTACTCTAGGACATGTTTACCAATGGTAGTCGCTTGTGTGGCTACGGCCCTTCCGCTTTCATATATTACCGCTCAATTACATATTTTACTTAGTCTTTTTTACCATCATCTCTAGTACAACTTCAATCTATCGGTTGTCGTGTTCTATTGCGTGATATAAGACAACGGCTCTACGACGAGCCCTTACACTTTTTTGAACATCAAAAGAATATATTGGTGTTGTACCAGAACTGGACTTCTGGAACAGGACTACCTATAAACGTAATCGACGTCGAACATCAAGTTCGACCCTGCATCAAAACACATGGTTCGCAACGCTTCTGCCGAGCGACGCCCTGGAAGTCGGTCTTCTGCCCGACTTCGTGGGGAACCAGGGGAGGATACTCCTCTGGACGTCCCTCAACAAAATTTTTCGGAGACGCCTGTAGTGACCCCTATTGCTAGTGGCGCTCCCGACTTGTCCGCACTGACAGAGGTTACTGAGACCAACCATCCTTCTGGCATGGCGACATTAGGTAACCTCCCTAATGTGATACCGGCCGTGGCGGTTGTTCCGAGAGAAGATCAGAAGCCTCAAGATGAATTCTCCGACTACCGTGAGACTTTGCCCCTTGCCAGCAACCACTATGCTCGCGCGAGTTCATCGCCTGCTGACGGTAGCTCTCGCGGGGGTAGTGGGCTGGCTACATCGTACCAGTCTGCTCCAGGGAACGTGAAGGCTCCCGGATCCACTCGATCTGGGAGGACTGGGGTGTCAATCAAATCTCGAAGGAAAGAGATTATTGCCTCGATGACTAGCGAAGAACTACTACGCGCAGCCGCCAAGCAACAGGCTAGGGAGAGGGGTGAAACAGTTTCGGTGTCGTCAGATGAGGATGAGGAAGGTTCACAGCCCGCCTCTCACGACGAACATGAACACACCCAGACTCAGGCTCGAATGAAGGGAGAATTGACTGGCGAATTAAAGCCGGACGATATCCCCCTTCCCCCACTAGGTATACTCAAACCCGATCACATTAGGCCGGAGGATGTGTTCAGCGATGGTTACATCCCGTTCGCTTATACCTTGCATCCTGAGTTGAAAGCTCGGGACCCCCAAGTAAACGAGGATAGCGCGCCACCCCGAGGAAACAAACCCATGCCTATGGTGGATAAACCTTCACCACAGGCGCCGGTAGACCCTAAGGAGATCCTTATGGCCCCTGGAGGCCTCAAGGTGTATTCGGAAGCGCGCAACGAATTCGCGGGACGGCTGGCCAAAGGTCTTAAGGGCCATGCATTCCGTCGCTCTGAAAAGGGTAGTCGTATCGTTTACGAGTTCGAAAGCGATATGATTAACCTGTTCATCAACGAGAACTGCATAGGCCCCGGCATGATTGCTATGGAACCTATGCCGGTACTCGATAAGGTTGGACGATTCCACCATAGTAGTGGTGGGTTTTCTCAGCTAGGAGCGGCGGTGGAGGAATCATCCCGTAACTCGCAGGAGGGCAAAGTTCCCGGGGTTTCTGGTGACGCTCGTGAGGAACTACGCGAACGCCTCCATATTACTCGCTCCAACTACGAGGAGTACGTACGCAATTTGCATGTTTGTGGTTGTATTCAGTTACTCCGTCAACAAGACTTGTTCCTTCATAAAACCACCTCACTTCCAGATTATGGGCTGATTATAGACGTGAACCGCGTCGTATCCCACCCCGATAATCCCAAGATTGGCGTTCAATTGCCTCATGTAGACTCTGAGGAATGCCGTCGTCTCAGACCAACCTCTACCCCCCTTCGTGAACGAATGGAATTGGGACTGGAAGGTGCTCACCCGGATGAGCATCCCCTCGAGTCGACCCCTGTCAAAGGCAAGGGTCGGGAATACGTTCCCCCAGTAGCAATCCCATTTGTGCAAGCCTTACCCAAGTTTGATGCAGGGGCCCTGAATGCAAGTACGGCTCCGCACCCTCCGGGGAGGTCCCCAAGTCCAATGGTTAAACCAGAACCGACTCCGGACCAACCACCTTCAGAGTCGCGTCGTACTGATAGGCAAGGCTCCGGTCCTCCAATACCTGGGGGTGGCCCTCCTTCAATTCATGGGAGTCGTTCGGGACCGCCTCTTCCTGGTGGCCCTCCGAATGACCCTCCCGGTGGTAGCGGTGGTGGTGGTGGCGGTAACAACCCGCCATCTCCCCCTCCGTTCCATTCCGATGGTAGCCAACATCGCGGATTTGGGTCTCGGTTCACCCCGTCCCCTCACCCTTCTCAAGCAGGTGGCCCTCCTGACAGAGGTCCTCCTGGAGGAGGAGGAGGTGGTGGTGGCGGTGGTGGTGGTAATGGTCCACCCTCGCCGCCCCCATCCGACGATGGTGATGGCGGCTCTCGTGCTTCCGCTCATCGGCGGAACTTTGTTCGCGAAGCAACGGTGTTGCACGCCACTGATGAATTCGAGGAGGAAGATTACGACTACCAACCTGTCGTGGTTGATGGTCAGAACCAACTCAATCAAGTCTTCAATGAATACTCCCTCCTAGTCAGCCAGGAGCTCTACCCCCAACTGGACATCGACCCCGCTATGCTACGCTTGATGGCCAGCGGGGCGATTAAACCTGGAAAATACGACGGCAAGGCCGACCTCCCTGAGTTCGACCGTTGGTTTCGTAGCGTCATCGGGTGGATGCGACTGGTAGGGCACTGTGGAGGCCCTATATCTACTAATGAGGATGGACTCCCGGTCCCGTCCTCCAGTGATAGGCAGCGAAAATTGGCGCTCCGTGGTTTCTTGACGGGAGCCGCGGAACGCTGGTATTCGACTTTTGTGGATCGAGGTCATTGGGCACACAAATGGACATTTTTACGAGTGGCTAAAGCCATGTTTCATAACTTCGTGTATGAGACGGCACTTCGTTCTGCGTCCGAGTCATACCACGCAGTGAAATACTCATGGGATGGGGGACTACGGCAGTTGTATGCTGACATGGTCTACCATATCCAGTACATGCCATCGCAGCCAGATGTATACAATGTACGCCGTAACATCATGGACAAGATGCCCGAATCCATCAGTGACCTGCTGTATGATGAGGGATTATCTGCAGAACTATCCTCGTGTCCCGACATCATGCGTCGCGCACTGGTAATTGAACGAGGCCAACGGGCTAAGAGAATGCGCCCGAGGGTTTCAGCGGAGGATAGGTTTCGAGGCCGGACTCTCAAGCTACGGGTAGTCAGTGAGAAACGACACAAACCACCTAGCCCGACGCGTAGGAGGTTCAGCCCTCCTGCACGCCAGGATACCGTGGTTGTTAAGAAGAAACCAGATGCCAAGGGTGGAATGAATTGGGCTCGTAAAGAGCCTGAGTCGTCAATTCGAACCTGCTACCGTTGTGGGAAGCCTGGCCATATTTCCACGGACCCTGCATGCCCCATGTTCGACCAACGACGAGTAAATAACTCATCTAATCGTATGGCGGCTGCTAGGAGTGTGGACGGTGAGGAGGAAACAGATAGAGCTGAGGAACCCCACCCGCCGACCACTGAGCCTGAGGTCGTAGCTGAGGAACCCTATGGAGGATCTCAATATTCCTCAGATGAGTTTGAGGCTGAATTAGTGGATGACCCCTACGACCACGGCGAGGATGAGGAATGGAATCGAGCCATGAGGACCCACGACCCGCAAGTGTCGGAGTTCCTGCGAGCTGCTCATGAGGGTAGCGATTCACAGGATCCCGATGATGACGATTCCTCCATAATAAGCGACTCAGAATCTCATGACGAATGGTCCTTGGACTTTCCTGAGTTCCTTGGAGCGATCCAGGAAACTCAGGGTGAGTTCACCCCGACCATCGAACTGCGGATGAAGCGTGCACACCGAAGGGGAACGAGGCCAACCCGGCAAGTAGAGGACAATAGGTGCCTGTCTGCATGGGTTGAGATTAATGGTGTGAAGGCATTTACCCTGTTCGACAGTGGTAGTACGTCGGACGCCATTAGCCCCGATTTCGTCCCAGTGGCAAATGTTCGATGCTTCGAACTGACCAATCCTGTGGTTCTCCAACTAGGCACGAAAGGTAGTCGCTCGACCATTAATCATGGGTCCATGGTGAATTTCAAGTTCGGTTACCCTGGACATGAGCTCGCTGGACGTGACTACTTTGACATTGCTAATGTGGACCGCTACGACTTGATTGTCGGAACGGTCTTCATGCGCAAGCATGGCATATCCCTGCACTTTGCATCAGATTCGATCCAGTGGGAGGGAGCCTCTATGCCAACGCTCTCGGAGGGGGAGGAAGCACAGGAGCTCGCTCGACGGTACTCCAAGCGCGTAACTTACCCCAAAAACCGGGATTGACTACATGGAAGCGACAAAAACCTCGCTCGCTCAGACAGACCTGAGCCCCCATGGACGAGGAAGAAGACGCCCACGGTAGAGGAAGTTGTCGACCAAGACGATAATGAGTTAGGGAGTAAACCTACTCTGCCTCGTCTCTTCCCTAGCATCCTGATAGGTATGAATGAGGCGATTACCATCAAAGATATAGAGGATATGGCCAATGGGGCAGCAGAGTTGGACTTGGACAGTGAAGGCTACCAGTCTAATTTGCAAGAGGTACACGAATTCGTACAGGAATTCACTAAGGAATATTATCCCCAGAGCCACCCTACTGAGGAGAAACTGGGTAGGATGGCTGTGGATGAAGCGATGCATCTAGCATCTTCGCGTTTCAAGGAAAGGACGTCGGAGATGGGACGACTCAAGAAAAAGGACATACCACGCCTGCGCGCCCAGTGGCTGGAATCTTGCAAGGACATTCTGGGAGGAGTGCCCGACAAGCTTCCCCCACTAAGAGGTGTAAACCACTCGATTCCCCTCAAGGATGACCAGGCACGATATGCTTACTACCTACCAAGATGCCCCGAATCAATGAAGGGTCAGTTGCGTGACAAGATTCAACGGTACACCAAGAACGGATGGTGGGAGTCGACACGAACAAATCAGGCTGCTCCGATGCTCTGCGTACCCAAGAAGGATACGAAGCTGCGCACGACAGTTGACTGTTGCAAACGCAACGAAAACACCATAAAGGATGTCATGCCCCTGCCAGACCAAGACTATATACGTTTAAGTGTGGCAAGGGCGTTGGTCCGATCTAAGATTGACCTTTCGGATGCGTATGAACAGGTTCGTATCGTACCAGAGGACATCTGGAAAACGGCCTTTTCATCTATCTACGGTACCTTTGTTAGCCATGTCATGCAACAAGGAGATTGTAATGCTCCCTCTACTTTTCAACGGCTCATGAACTCCATCTTCCAAGATTACATCGGAGACTTCCTCCATGTATACCTGGATGATTTATTCATCTTCAGCGATACTATAGATGATCACGAGAAGCACTTGGAACTCGTATTTCAGCGACTTCGAGACAACGAACTTTATCTTAAGGCGACTAAGTGCGAGCTTTACGCTGAAGAGATTGATTGCCTGGGCCATAAGATTGACGATCGTGGTCTACACGCAGACACTGATAAGTTGGGGATTATCCGGAACTGGAGGGTACCCCGGAACTATCATGACGTACAGAAGTTCTTGGGTTTGGTTAACTACCTAGCCCATTTTCTCCCGGACATCTCTGCATGGACTACCCCCATATCCGACATGTCACGCAATGGCCAGCCCTTTTTCTGGCGGCCTGTTCACGATGTATGTATGCAGAACATTAAGAATATGTGCTGCAAGACACCTATTCTCAAGCCAGTGGATGCTCGATCACCAGATCCAATCTGGGTGGTTTGCGATGCTAGCACACGAGGAGTGGGTGCGATGTATGGGCAAGGATCCACCTGGCAGACCTGTCGGCCAGCCGGGTTCATGTCCAAGAAATTTAGTGATGCCCAACGTCACTATCGCGTGTTCGAGCAAGAGACCTTGGCTATCCTTGAGGCCTTATTGAAGTGGGAAGATAAGCTCGTAGGATACAGAGTACATGTGGTTACCGACCACCGTGCTCTTGAATTCTTCATGACACAACGGAACCTTTCTAGCCGTCAGATGCGCTGGATGGAATATCTTTCCCGATTCGATTTTGATATCACATACGTCAAGGGGGTGACCAATAAAGTCGCCGATGCGTTGTCTAGATATCATGAGTATGATACCCCGCTGGATAGGTTCGAGCCACACAAGTACGTCTCTGCCGACGTTCGCATTGACCCTGGTTGCGAGGATCTTCCCCCCCACCGCCGGGCCGAGGTTGAACGTGATATTGGTACTGAGCTTGCACGCAGAGCTGAGCAAGTTCGGGCCATGAGAACCCAGGATGCACGTGTTCAGGCTACCCTGGAACCTCGAGATGTCGAGGCCGCGGAAATGGAGGCGGCTAAGGATCCAACCACGATCCCAATACTGCCCCCACCCCCACGACTGAACCCTACAGTGTTCCAGTCTCGTGCGAGAGGGAATGCACCTATCCCCACCTACGAGGCCGACCCATCCTTCTTTCCTGACTTACGGTCTGGTGGTGCGAATGACCCCCTACTCAGTAAGATTCTTGAAAAGCCTGCTGATCATCCCCGATTCATAATCGAGGATGGCTTAGTCTGGACTCACAACCTGGGAAAGGAGCGCGTCCTTTGCATACCAAAGGATCCCACCTCGTCCCGATCACTACGCGGGGAAATTGTGGAACAAGCTCACTCTGTCGTAGGTCATTATGGCCCCCAACGCACAGCTGACTATGTACGTCGCTGGTTCTGGTGGCCAGGAATTTTCACGATGGTCGACAAGTTTTGCCACACCTGCGAGGTTTGTATGCGCTCGAAAGGCTCGTACACACCCCCATCTGGGAAACTACACTCATTACCCATCCCCTCGCGACCTTGGCAATCTATAGCCATGGATTTCCTGGGCCCATTCCCTGAAACCGACGGATTCAACTACTTGTGGGTAGTGGTGTGCCGTCTTACGGGTCATGCCCACCTCATACCTGTGAACACAAAGACTATGGCTACCGAGCTGTCCTTTGTGTACCTCAAAGAGATAGTCAGGCACCATGGACTCCCAGAATCCATTGTGTCCGACAGAGACTCAAAATTCACGTCGGTATGGTGGAAGGAGCTACATCGACTGATGGGGACGAAACTGTTGATGTCTACGTCGTTTCACCCGCAAACGGATGGAGCGACGGAGCGTCTAAACCGTTCCATTGGGCAGATATTTCGGGCGTCTATCCGGTCAGACCAGCGTGACTGGTTAATTAAGGTGCCGATGATAGAGTTCGCCCTGAACTCTAGTATGAGCTCGACTACAGGATTTGCTCCGTTCGAGCTCACCAGTGGCTACATGCCCTGCATGATGTGGAAGGCTCCTGATCCTCTGGGATACACCCCGGGAATCAGGGCTTTCGCAGCCATGGCTAGACAATCCCTCGCAGAGGCTCACGACGCTATAATAGCCAGCCGCGTATTCCAGGCTCATCACGCTAACAAGCGTAGGGGCAAGGAACCCTTGATAAAAGTTGGAGACCGTGTATTCTTATCTACCAAGAATCTCAATCTCCCAAAGGACCGTGCATCCAAGCTCCTCCCCAAGTTTGTAGGCCCGTTGATGAGCCTCAAGGCTCTGTACGCTCAGAATTCGCGGATTTTAAGCATTATAATAAATGCCTTGTCCACTTAGCGGACTTTCACTAAGTCAACGATTGCAATCACGGCAATACCCACTTTTACCGCCAACTATCCTTCCCAGCTCGTATTCCGCATCAATATGCGCCACTTCATTAATGCCGCCAGGCACCTGATTGCAGATCTCACGGAATTAGGACCATCATTGATCGCTCAGCACAGCCATCGCTGACATCAGCATCAAGCGTCACTTAATAGAATGCCGCAGCCAAACTACCGATTCCACGGCAAAAGACTTAATACCGTGACCTTTTCACCAGCTTTACTAAGGCTGTTACAATGCCAAGATAATGCCGCACGCATCTACTTCAGTGTACTACCTTCAGTGTACTTTGCCGCAGCAACACAGCAGCCCAAGAGTCCGTATGTCGGGGGAATTCTTTCTGATCACTAAGACTATACGCGGTAAAACCGTGTGGGTGCTGTTACTTTAGAACTCTGGGAGCACGCGTTTTGTATCATTTCTTACCAATCGATGTACTAAGGACTTACTAAGGACTCGTTTCAAGTATTCTAATTTTATTCCGGACTTGTAGTATAAAAGCTAGTGTAGTAGTAGTTGCTAGAAACAAGTTACTGGACACTAGCCATCATCCACGTTATCGACCACCGTTATCGCTTGTACTCGCTAGGAGATAGACAATAACAACATAGTCACTCCAAGTTATACTCTCTGTCACGGCTTTTCTTCTAACGGTATTGGTGTACGCTCATATTGCGCCAATACACGGAATTTGGTGTCCACAACTCGCTTTTATCTTTTAATCCGCCAGCATCGTTTCACTTTCACCAGCCAGGATCGTTTTCATCAGTTTTCACCTTCTACGTCGCCATCGTTTTACCCAGTTCAGTTCAGGATCGTTAAGTCCCCGTGTGGACTCAGATTAGGATCGTTATTGCCGCCAGCAGCATCTGTCACGGAATTTCGGTCAACAGCTTCAGTATAGGATCATCAGTCACGGTATTTGGTATCTTGCCGTCAGTTTCAGTATAGGATAGTCTCCGTGTAGACTCAGGATTAGTATCAGTTTCGTTTTGCCGTCGTTAACCTCAGTATAGTTTCAGTTTCAGTCCAGCCCAGTCCCAGCCATCGTTTTGCCGTCGCTAGTTCCCCCTCATATCATCGCCAGTTCGTCTTATCTTCGTTTTACCGCCAGTTTCTCGTTTTTCGACTACAGTCTTCGTCTCTTGCCGTCACGGTATTTGTTATCTTGCCAACGGTATTTCTCTTTGACGGCATTTTCTCTAATTCCGTCAACATCGCCCACGGCTTTTACTAGTTAAATTGCCGTCACTTCGTTCACGGTTTGCCGGTATTCCCAGTTATACCGGATTCCGTTCCTTCTCGTCTATCGAGACCCTCCCCGGCTTACAGCCAACGTTTTCTAGTACTCGATCGTTAAGGGTACTACTTCGCTGACTGAAAAGTCGCAGTGTATACTTGCGTTCTTGAGGAATTCATCGCACAGAGGTGCACCGAAACACTCGCACAACAACAAAGCCTTTATTGCCGCTACACGCCATTTGCCATGAACTCCTGTAGAGTTTTGGTTTTTGCCGTTGCCACGGAAGTTTAGGCTCATCACCGTACCCGGTGCTAGAGGCATGCCCTGAAACGTCCAACTATAAGTTGGATCTCCCTGAGGATTTGCGGAAGCGTCGCATACATGATGTCTTCCACGTCTCCTTGCTCCGTCCATATGTGGAGAGTGATGTATTGCTCTTCCCTGATAGGACACTACCTGAACCATATGATTTTGGTGCACCACCTGACGGAGAAGAGGTGGTACAGGGGATCGAAGGTCATTATTGGCAGAACGATAAGTTGTTCATCATCGTCAGATGGGCTCTGGGTGATACCACTGCAGAGCCCATTCGGACAGTACAGGATGTCAAGTTCCTTGATGACTACCTGGAACTTATGAATGTTCACCATTGGCGTGATCTTCCTAGGATCGCCCCTCCACCTGCTTTCGCGCTAGGAGACCCGATTGAGCCTGCCGCGGCTCCTAAACGCGGTCCGGGCCGTCCTCGCCGACTGGCATGACTCACCATGTGCCCTGTCGGCGCACGTGTGGATTATATAACCCCCGTGATTTCTGGTTCGAAAAAATTTTCTTCTTCCTATTTCCTTCCTGCCCCCATGTCGCGACAGCCAGACAGCTTCAAGTTTGGCTCGTTGGGCTCAATTGGTGGTATGGTGGGGTCAACCCACGGTACTATCAACCCGAGCTTTATCTTGGGTGGGGGAGGAAGCGCTGCTACTACCAACGTTTCCGACTCAACTGTCAATCAAAACTCAAATCCAATTACCCCGCATCAGCTGCAGGGTCCATTCTCTCAGGTACAGTTACCGGCCATGCACACCATGGGGCCACCCTTTTTCCAAAGCACGCCTCAAAACCCTACCTCCAATCAGTGCGTGATCCAGGTAGGGGACGTATCGCTAGGCGTTTGGTGGTATGACCCTATGACCATGTCATGGAGTCATACTGAGTGCGAACTCTGCCGAACGTATCGGCACCATATATCAGACGCAGAGTACGACCAAGTCCCGTCTTTCATCGAGGCGCGTGCCCAGGTTTCCCTTGCGAGCAAAGAAGGGAAACACAAGCAAGGACTTGAAGCTGAAATTGCCAGACTACGTGCAGAAAACACATGACTGCGAGACGAACGAGATGCTAGCATATCTAAAAATAAGCGCTGGGCTGAAACGGTACAGGACTGCGAGGCCGAAATTCGCCACCTCCGTGACGAGCTTCGGGCACATGGACCACCTCCCAACCGCGTCAAGCGACACCATGAACGGGGGGATTCTCCCCCTCCACAACGCATCCGTACTGAGAGAGGGTATCGCCCAAGCCCGGCTAGGTCCTCTAGGGCGGGCAGTCCTCGAGGTAGTAACCCACGACCTTCAGCACCGCCCCCTGTGAGGCTGCGACGAAACAACGACGCCATGGAAGTGGATGATGTTGGCCCACCACCAGCACCACCCACTCTTCGAACCACGGCTGGGTCCCATACGTTCGTCCCCTATGAGAGTCCCCTCCACCATTCGACGGGAGGGTTGTTTGGCTCATATCAAGTTACCCCCCCTTCCGACGAAGAATCGGACTACAACGACAGTTCCGACAATGAACATCGTGACGACGACATTCGCAAGGCGCTTAACAAGTTCCCTCACTCAAATCGGGCTGGTCCCCAATCACTTACCAGTGGTTGGGACTACTACCAAAAGTACCAGCCCACCTCCAAGTCTGCGTTCCGTGCCCTGGATCGTGACAGGAAGGATCTACCCCCTCCCTGTGGGAAACTCAGGCGTATTGAACCCCATTTGCCAACCTCTGCTGATGAGGCTGAACGAATCCTCGCACTGGTTAAAGCGTCTCCCGAGTCGTTCCTAGCGTACCGGTGGAAACACATCGTATCGGACATCCAAGAACGGTCCCGACTGTGTGCTAATGGCTGGACGCGAGGATCCGTGCTCACCCCGGGGACCTACTGGCTACTCACCAGATGGCCTTCAGGGTGTGGGTGTTGACAAGAAGGGGAATGATATACCCTTTGGCCCTGCAAGGATCCCGAATGCCAGTAAAGGCTGCCCCCGCTTCTGATTGGTTCGCGTGGTGTCTGTGGAACCATCGCGCAGTCGATTGCCCTGGTGTGTTCATCATGAGAGATGGCCCTCTCGTCTGCTCAACTGTTGAGGCTTGGAGACTGAGTAGGGATCTCTCTCCCGCTCAAGTAGCCAACCCTCGACTCCGTACGCGATTCACCGAAGTATTCGTTATGCTCGTACTGCGCCCAGGATGGTATGGTCAGTTCCTGGACCACCATTCCATCCCTGTCGCAGCAGAATATGACCCATACACTCGATTCCCTGGCAATTGGATCCAAAACCTGGATCTGGCTGCACTTTCACGCTTCCTCGCGGAGCGAGGAGTGACGCGCGAAGTCATGGATTCGTACCTGCTGTTTGGCAAAACATGGGCTACTTGTATGCTCTCTCAACGCCCCAACCAGTCCGAATATTGGCAGCAGCAACTCACTGCTAGCCATGACTGGATCAAGGCCATTCAATTTGAGGAACCATCATGGTACGATGCCCCGTCGTGGTCACCTCCCCTCGAAGAGGGATGGGACCTTACTTGGATCGCCCGATACCGCAAGGGCAGAATGGATAAGTGGGAGCAGGATCAGCGGGAGTGAGGTCGCTCTGCTGTTCCTGTCACCGATGTTATCCCTGACCTACCGCCCACTGCCGTCGTTCCCCCTACTTTCTCATCGCCTGGGCTTAGTGGTGTTGGAGGTGCATTATCCACTCCCTCCAACTCGGAAACTACCCCGTTAGCCAGGCCCTGCCCAATAGTGGGCCATCTACGGGATCGACAGTACCTCCTGAATCCTCTCTGTCGACAGTAGCTCCGCCCGATAGTGGTGTCCTGCCGTCCGAGTCGATCTCACACTCTCAACAAGCCCTCGACATCATCAGTAGCGACGGCACGGTACCCATCGCCGACGATCACAACACTCAAATCGACGATGGCGGCGATACTATCATGGTTGATCCCGTCGTGCAGCTCGCAGCTTCCATCCCCTTGCCTCTGGGCGACGACGGTCTTTAACAAAAAGGAGTCCTGGAAATTCAATTCTTGGAAGATCGATGAACGATCTGGTGGGGGAGGGTGTAACGGGTACTACTACTCTAGGACATGTTTACCAATGGTAGTCGCTTGTGTGGCTACGGCCCTTCCGCTTTCATATATTACCGCTCAATTACATATTTTACTTAGTCTTTTTTACCATCATCTCTAGTACAACTTCAATCTATCGGTTGTCGTGTTCTATTGCGTGATATAAGACAACGGCTCTACGATGAGCCCTTACAGTTGCTGAATGGCTCTTTGTTGCATTTTCGGTCGCCTGTACCGGTCTGTCTCGATTGACTCTTGAGCGGATACATGTTGAAGTCTTAAGTATGCTGAAATATCTCGCACCAATCCTGTAAAAGATGACAGAATGTTCAATTCAAGATGCCGATTATTGTAAGAAATACATACCAGATACGGGACAAAGTACAAGTTCGTTCAACTAATGCAGGTTCGATCCACGAATCCAGATATCGAATTGGCTGAGAGAATCCGAGCCAAGGAAACTTAGGAAAGTACAGCTAGGGGAAATATATCTCCTATCCATAAGCGCAGAGAGGACAGTAGCGGGCGTAAATTGAAATGATGGTTGTAGAACGAAAAGATTCCGGAGTGAACCGGGCTGTAGGCTTGTGCTTCGATCCCGACTTCCCGCGGCCGCTCTCCGCTAGTAAGTACTATGACTTGGCTAGCACTGCTGCTTCATTTCACCAAAGTTCCATGATGTTGTAACTTGTATTAGCTGCTACATATTTCTATAAGCCTATGATGACAATTGGTATTCAAGTTCATTTATATACTAATACACTGTACAGAATATCATTGATACCGAGCATTTAAGTTGACAAGTGCATATTCCCCACACCTTCTACCACTTTCCCCAACTTTGACTTTGACTTCCCTGACTCATCCTTGGGAGGTCGAACTCGCTTCGTCTGGGCCGATTTCCACCATCCCCAGTCCAAGTCCACCTCAACACTTCCCCCTGCAACACCAGCACTCTCTGCACCTTCCTGAGCCTTGCGAAGTGCTTCATCAGCTAGCTCTGCCATTTTCTTAGCTGCCTCGTTCGCCCCTTCAATCTGTGATGGATTATCCCTGAAATGCACAATGTAGTAATCCTTGAGGCGCAGGAGAAACGTCACAAAGTGGAGAACTTCTATAGGAGACGAAATGTTGAATTTTTGCACACAACGGTCTATCAGATAAACCCTCTGCGGAACACCCTGTTAGCATGAAAATTGCAATGAAAGTGAAACATTACCTCTGAATCCTTCGAACACCATGCCATGAGGACAACACCCTCATTACCATTTGTTGCCAAAGCAAAAACCGGAAGTTCTTTGATCCCATGCGCCTCCAGAAGCCTAACAGAAGCCTCCAGGTAAGTCCTGGCCTGGTTCAGCGGCTTTGCGGGGTCATCACCGGGCCTCTTGTGCTCAACCACAAGGATCGCAAATAGAATCCTGCCTCCTAGATTCAGAGGGACAACGGTGGGAAGTTCGTCTGAGAGCTGCGGGATACTTTTGTCGCTTGGCTTCTTGCAATGATCATTACATGCGGATGAAGCAGCTAGAAAGGAATTGCGCGAGTTTTTCAAATTCTCCTTGAAATTCTTGAGGTCGGTTCGTTGTTTCGATTTCGAAGAGGCACGAGTTTGAGTGGTCTCAGTCTTGCGCGCAGCAAGAGAGTCTTCATCGTTAAAAGGAGTCGTATTTGCAAGGGAAGGAGCGGGAAGCAAGAGGGCGCTGTCGTCGGTATCATGGTGTTCCTTGGGTAATGGTGGTGGCAAAACACCATCCTTATCATTCTCGGGAATGTTGATGAAGTTGGGTATCTTGCACTTCGACGATGGCAAGATGAGGTTGTCGGTCGTAAGTACAACGACAGCATCACAGGTTCCCGTATGCGGTTCACTGTTAGCACGATGGCGGATGGAAGAGATCACTCTGTTGAGGTTTTGCTCGGTGCCACCAAACAGATTTTCGGTCTCTTCAAGGAGATGGCGGGCGACCTCCGAAGCGGCCCCTTCCTGCGTCCTCACGACACCAGGCCCAGAGGACATTTGAGAGACCAAGCAGATGTTGTGATATTCAAGTGCTCGGCCTCTGGCGCCAGATATGACCTGGTTGCTTGTTCCGGTGGAATTCAGCCCATCAACGAGTCGATTGCGAGAAAGCAATAGAGACCGCTCAAATCTTCAAGCTATCAGTATGCATACAGTGGTCAAAGAGCGAAGAAAAAACGTACAAGGGTCTGATGTGGACACCATCGTCTTCGGAAGCCAGGCCATTCATTACATGGAATATGAGTATGTCCCACTGAAGACGGGACTCTGCCTCATTGACAGACTTTCGCTGTCCACGAAAAAATGCCCCAAGAGTCACCCAGAAGAATAGGGATAAACGTTCAGAAACGATTTCTTGATGCAATCCGTCCATAAGAGGATGCTCTGGGCCCAGTCTGCTGCGAACAGCTAGGAGTTGCTTCCAAAAGCATCTTCGGACAGCTTCTAAATAAGCACCATTGACGACCGGTAGTTCTTCCTAGAGCAGATCATTAGGCTTTAGGGTCAACATCGGCATATTCTTTTTGGACGTACTTCCAGTCGCCAAGCAGGGTTTCTAAAGCACGACATATTGTCGTATATGGTTATATACTTATTGATATTCTCGTATACTGCGTCGTTGGATGAAAGCTTCAAAGCACTAATCGATAAAACGTATCGATCGTAGATGTACGTCGTCATCGAAAGAGGATATCCGGGGCCGATTCCGTATTCAGCCCTTTTAGCGAATCTGGTGAAGACGTTGAGTAAACGAGTAGAGCAAGATTTTCGTAAGTGCTCACTCAGAACACGATTGAATAGCGCTGGAGATTGACGGGAGCCTGGAATTGAAGGTCAGAAAGCGACGTTAGACAAGCAATCCAAAATCGATGGGAAGAGATCCTGCGATATTTGCTGGAGACTGGGAAGGCCGATCCGACGACATCACAAGTGAGATCAGAAAGAGAAAATGTTCGCAATCGTGGTGTAAATATTATCCTGCGATAATACCGCATAAGAAAGGCGATACGATCCCTGCTCAATGAAGACAATAGCCAAGACAGTTTCAAAGGACGGATAGGCGATAATATTGACTGGCCAAGGGTAATGAAAATCTTACTTGGAATTCCTGAGTATAGGAGTCTATTAGACGCCGTCGGGGAGAGCAGCAGATGTGAACGTACGAAGCAGAAACCTCCGACGTTGACTTTCCTCTGATAGATCTGTCACCAATGAATATTTGTCGGTGAGCGATTGATGCGGCGACAACACAGATCCTACCTGGAAATCGAACTATGGCAATTTGTGAGTGCCACGAGCTAGCAAAAGGCTGCTGAACTCACCTCGACGTAGTCGCCTTTTCATATTCCGCCTGTTCCCCGCCTTTCTTCGTCCGTGAGGGATGAGAAATAACACTATAGAGGAAAGTGTGAAGACCAGAACAGTACAGTGATGGGGGGTGCTCACGGTACGTTGTCTCTGCCAGGTTTCTTCACTGGATCTGACATCGGTACGTGATTGAAATGTTGTGTTGGAGGGGGGGTAATGGGATACGGAGGTGGATCGTCGTCAGTACTATCAGATGATTAGATGAAGACATTCAAAGTCAGCCTATTGCATCCACATACTCAACGCTGCTCGGTGTTCTCAAACCCCGAATCCAGGAGGCGACAGATTCTTCTCTCTGTTGGCCCCATTCAGAAAGAAGTGGGGGATCGATAAGATCAGATCTCCACGCAAAAGAAGAATTGACAGGTGTGCAGGTACTGCGACACCCTAGTATAACTTTATCATAATGATCACGGAGCTCGATGATGAATTGCGAAAAAGCAAGGGCTGATATGGGATCAGTCAGATTGAAGACGCCATTAGCTGCACAAGGTGTGTCCGAGTAAGCGATGTGTACCATAGGCTACTACACAATTAGCCTGAGGATGAAGAGAGTGTCAAACGGTGACTCACCAAATCATCAATCGTATGATCATCCAGAGACTCTGAATCATTACCCGTATCAGATGGCGGATTTGTCCACCCCAAAACGATCTGTGCCGAAAACCCGTCCTTGGCAAGAATTACACCCACGAGCGGCTCTTCTATCCCCCAAACACGCCGTTGGTAAGCCACGCTAGCAATGAGTGGCACGATGTTCTCTCTATCTGCGATGCAGATGATGGGAAGAACCGCATTAGTACGGCGGCCTCTACCTGGAAGAACGTGCGCGTGAAATGGCATATCGAGGGAGCTAGTACTGGAAGCGCGTGATGGTGATGATGAAAAACAGTGAACTTTTGGCCACTGTTCCGACTCCGTGGGATCATAAGATGTATCAAACCTTTCGTCGAATATATCGCCCCCCAAAGCATGGTCTGACTCGGATGAAACTGTCCGAGTATCGAGTTCGACCTCGGAGACGTCGTCGCTATTGGCATGTATACCGTCTTTGTCTTTACAGTCTACGCCTTTTCCTTCAGTGCTTCCCCTAGAATTATCGTGTTTGGAGGAACAAGTGTTCTCGAGCGTCACAATTTTATCATAGCACCCAGGCAGGTGTTCCCCCTGCGTAGATCGCGAGTTCTCGTAAAGATAAGAAATAAGCATCAGTGCGCGACCGTCAAAGACAGATTTGCCGAAATTCTTTGGAAGAATGAACGGCGTATCGTTACTTGATTACATGGGTAAGTACTATGGATACCATGACACAAGCCTTACTCACAATATCTCGACGTTGCTAAAGCATATATAGCACAATGCCCGGATCAAGGTAGACCAGATAGGCATGGTAAAAGGGTGAGGGTCTTCTTTCATCTGTCGAAGCGAGGACACTGTCGCTAGTATGATATCCAAAAACCCGGACAGAAGGTGCGAGCTTAGCGCCGAAGATGAAAATTTGGTCCCGGTTGCGGATAGTTCTTCCAGAAGATCTGAGAACAAGGGCGAAGCATGAAGACATGCATCTCCAGGGACGTAGCAAAGCGGCTTTGAAAGGAGCGTAGATAGTGGCTGGACTTCTACCGGCCACTGTGTGTCGGTGGCAACATGATGCAGTTCTACAGGAAGCATAACTAGACTATTTGCCTAATGGTCACAAGACAGCACAGTAATACAGACAGCGGAGACTCACAGAAATAAGGAATATTCACGTCGCGACGCAGAAACACCCAGCTGAACTAGGTCATCGTGGGAGGAAGCGAAACCACGTGGTCTTGAGGGCAGGTCGCTAAGCAAGAACGAGGTCATCACGTGGCCTGTGACACTCATTTAGCGACGCGTTTCCACCTTACCGCCGATCCAGGTCCTGCAACAAAAAATCTATTAACTCGGCATACAGCTGGAATAAAAATAATCTGGCTCCGTGACACCCTCGAGGATACCAAAATCGACGTCTTCACGGAGAGTTTTTCAGGATAACTACTCAGTGTGGAGTTGCAATAGGATTTTAGTCTTTTTGTCACGCAGTGACTGTGACGTGATCACCCCGTTCCCACCCTAGCCCTACCTTAAGTATACTAGATTTTCGTCCTCAAGGAACGGCAACCTCTTATGTCAACCGTTCATTTTCTTCCTCTGGATTCCTTTATAGCTTATGGGTTTTTCAACCAAATGACCAATCGCTACGGGATAGACGTGTTGGAATTATTGCAGTGGGAGGCTTGCAGTAGGTATAATACTAAATTATTTGCTACTAGAGCTCCTAATGAGCTCCTTATATACTACGAAAAGTATCTAGAATATTCTACCAAAGTAACTAAATATATCTAAGTATCGTGACAAATGAGTAAGCCGAAGCTTCGGGAATCTTCTGGCATAAGCTTGAAGTTGCAAATCCCAACAAGACGTCCCCTCAATGTACTAGTAAGTACTTATTTGCCGCGGTGCTGTCCCTTTAAGCGAACCCTGCCGATCCTTACACTCATCCTTTGGACTGACCAAAGTGGCAGCAGGGGGCTGAAACTGATACAGTGACTCGGACTTCCAACAAAGTATGTTTCGAAACGGACTCCATTACGACAAGCTGAAGATGGCCGGCCGTGGGCCATGGTGCCTTGAATGTGTATTATACCAGATTATATCCAACATGTTCCACCTTCTACCCAGGGGGTGTGGTATCAAAACACTCCCAAGAGAAAGAATCTTCCTCGTCCGAGGTCTCAGAGTCGGTCAGCATGTAAGGTGCCATCGTCTCGTCACACTCCGGCAGCATGAGCGGGAACAAAGCAGTCTATCATAGACAGAAAGAGTCATCAGATCTGCAAATCCAGCAAGACCGGAATGGTACGCACAAAAAGAAACATCAAGTCAGCGGTGTCTCCTCGTTCTTCTAACACCTCATCAAAAACTGCAGCTTCGCTCAAGTAGATTCGCCAAGCTCTTGAGTTGGAGGTCATATCAGGTTGCTCCTCTTCAGCATACACAGGATTTTGTTCCATATAGTCAACGGGGGCGTCTACAAATAAATGAGTTTTACGAGTCCAGGGGCTTTTGAATCTAAGAAGCATACCGACTGCACGTTGCCGGCTTGGGATTAAGCCTAGACCGTGGTCCAGGAGAGAAGATTGACAGGCAAACGCCTGGTGCATCCTTCATAGCCTTGTAGGGGAGGCGAGCGGGGAAGTAAAGTTGTCCACGCAGCTGCAGCCTGCACTTAAGGGTTCATATAGGTCCAAGGAACAGGTCGGTTGACATGATGAATGTTTCATGTCCTTATCATGTTCATACAACGGCCTGAAGAGAAGGCAACATTAAGCGCTGAACAGACACAATCATCACACGGCGCCCAACAAAGATTGCTGCCTTACATCCGAAGTGGCCGACACGAGGCAAAAGCCGCGTCTAACAAGAGGTTCCGAGCGCTTACGAACGGTCTTATGTCGGCAAAGGGATCATGAGCCATGTGTGAAAGTAGTCGTACACAGGAGCTGACGATTTAATTTAGAAGTCAACGCCCAGTATATAGGCAAACTAAAACCACGTTAGTCTGATTGGCACACTAGTTAGAATACATCAGTACGGCGTAAACGAAAGGCAGTGCTACGCATATAAAGGTATCACAGTATACAGAATCGACCAAGAAAAAAAAACAGGCAAACTTGAATTCGAAGTGTGGGGAAGGAGGCAATATCATAGTGGATATGGAGAAGCAAGTATTAAGATAGAAACAATAACCAAAAACGCGATGAGAAAAATAAATAGTGTAGTGGATCGGATGTCGGACTACAAAGTCACACCGGCGGCCTCCCATCGCCTGCCATCATTGGAAAGGACCTTCAAGGCCTTTTCCTTCACCTTGATAGGACAATTATCACACCTATATGTACGTTGGAAGGCGTTGGCATTGATCTTCCATGCGTGTCTGTCGCTGGTAGGGTTGCTGCACATGGGGTAGTCCGAAGCAACAGGCTCTCTCGGCTTTTCGGGATGAGGAGTTATTCGTTGAGAAATAGGTCGAGGAGACGCGGGAGTGGGAGGCCTAGAAGGAACAGAACTATTCGTACCGACGTTTGGTCTTGATGCCCTACGTGTACTGTACCGAGGACCAGAAGATGAAGGTTCTGCGTCCGTGGCTCTTGACTTTTCGGCACGTCGATTGGTGGGAGGAGGCGTAGGTGGAGGAGATGAGAGGTGTGGACTCACAGGCCTCGGCGGAACTAGCTCTGCGTCGTCGAGGCTTAATCCGAATGACGGGCGTATACCGCGTCTAGGAGGACCAGGCCGGGATATTGGAGATGGTGGGTGCCAGTCCTTATCTGTAGGGGGAACATCGTCAAAGTCATTCACAAGGGTCTCCTCAGACCATTGCCTAGCGACAGGCGGTGCACGACCTCCACTCAGGCGGGATCTCGGTATTGATGGAAGTTCTTCCTCAACATCCGTATCCTCCGCTGTCTCATAGATGGATACGTTCGACCTTGTCTCGCAAGTTTCGAAGGATCCTGTAGTCGAGGTCCTCGATGCTTCAGTGCCCAAAGGAGAGGGCGATCGGCAAACTTGGGGAGTGAAATCGTCTTCGGTGTCTGAAACCGCATCTTCATCACCGTCTGACAGTGAGTAGAACGAGTCATCATCCTCGTCTCCTTCGTCATCAGATGCCGTGAGCATAGTAACATCTGAATCGCTGTTAGCACCTAGAAGAGGTTGTCAATATCGCGTTTTGATGACCTTCAAGATACCTACCTTCAACTACCGACGTGGCTGGCGTATAATATGTGGTGCCGTCCTCCGTTCCTTCACGATGAGCAGGAATCAAAGGTTTCTGGATAGTACCAACAGAGATCGGTACAATTCCAGATCGTACTACAGGTAACTGGATTCAGAAAAAGCACGACAAGGATATAGCAAACTCACAGGCTTTGATGTGATTCAGCCATCGGCGACCTAGCCAAGAGAACGCTTCTTTGTTGTTTTCGTATCCAACAGAATACCTTTGAAAGGATGTTAAAGTGTGACCTTGACAGAGAAAGGGGCCGTTCTTTACCAGGCAGACGCCCGAAGCATGAGCCTAGGTGGGTCGTCAAGGACATGTTTGACAGCTATAAGCGTAAGGTGAGTCTTCTCATGTAACTGACAAGCTTCAACACACAAAAGTAACGTTCGATATACCGTCGTCGAACCCTTTCGGCGGCAGTTTCATTATCTTCGGCACTACTAGATCTTGAAGATAGGTTATCTGTAGGAGGAGCAGCGGCACCATTAGATGGACGGAGTCACCCTATCACTAAGTCGGTCAAAAACTACCTTTGCTCCTTTTATCACGGGCAATAGCACGAGCCAGTGTTTGATTAAACGCCCTGATGGATCTCCGACCTTCGGCAACGTAACCATTCCATTCTTCACGTGGTGCGACCTCCTCTAGAATCAAGTCGGGATCACATTGAAAGTCGTCTTGTGAATCAGCAGGACGATTCGGGACAAGACTCTGAAGGTACTTGATAGGATCCTCCCAACGATCAGAACACGATGTTCTCTTAAGTGTTTTAAGCGCATAGAACTGTTTTTTGAGTGGTTCGATATTCTCGCCGGTCTTGGCAATATCCTATTAATCCACGTTCAAGTGCTCGAATCTATGATAGGACAATGTAACGCACCAGCACTTTCTCAATAAGCGGAACAAGACCGGTGCAATATGCTTGATCGGCAAGTTCCTCTGTCTTCACCACTTGACACATCCAGGCAAGAGACATTTGACCGAGAAGCCGATTATTTCGGAGATTCATGAAGATGTTGACTGCATCTTTGTTCATCTGTGAAAGGCTCGAGTATACACCAGAAGACTCGTCGTCTTCACTTAATGGCGTGGCGTATGCGCTTTGCGACTCGTCGTCGTCACTGGAGGATGTATCATCGTCGATTTGCCATGTCGTACTGGGACCAGGCGGTGCATGCTCCGATTTCATTTTAGGCGAACGTATTTGCTCAGGTTCTGGAATAAGATCTGCGTCCTTGAGGATAAGATAGAGGTCTCCATCCAAGTCACTGTAACAAAGTAAGCGCCCGTTTCTACTTTGCGGTGATGCGATACGAACCCTCCACTCATTTGGCTAGGCTCGCTGTATCTGCCTTTACCGGCAAATACTAAGCAGAAATGAGGACCGGAGAATCTGCAAGTCAGAACAGTGGTGCTTACCAATGCAATTGGTGAGGTGTGATAATTCAGGAATATTTACAGCTTCCAGACGTCGTAAATCTTAGAGAGCAAGTTAGTCCATGGAGATTAAAGAGCAATTTATGCTACCAACCTCCGGGGGAATAAGCAGGATTCCTACCGACAAGGAAAGTCCCGACTTGTGGTCCCCCCTGATAAGGCAAGTTGATGTATACCTGGCCTTCTTCCAATATGCCAAACTCGTCTACGACTCCATACAGATAAGCCGAGTCCTGGGAGAATCACGACCGTGCTCAAAAAAAAACCCATAGTAAAGAACATACTTTCACATGAATATGTAACTTCTTCCGGAGTGCGTCAAGCGAGCGTTTTTGGAATCGCTTTAATAAGCACGCCAAGCGCCCCTCACTCAAATCGAATCCAGCGAGGAGCATTTCGTATACTGTTACGGGGTCACATAAGGACTAGTCGAGATATAATGAGCGACAACACTTGCATTCTTGGTCGAAGTCATTTCCTTCTGAATCTAACTCTCCATCTACACAGTCAATAGCCTTTTGTCTATTAACCATGATCTGCTCGAGATCATCAAGCTGCTTTCGAAGAAGAGATTCAAAGACCTGCGATAGGTGTCTTGAGTATAGCATAATCTGATACTCAAAACTCAGAATATACCTCAGTCTTAATTCCCAGGGTCATAAGAAGGACGATGAACTGAATATTGAGCCTGGCGCTACGAGGTGGACGACCGACGTTTTGAACTTCGAGCATCAAAGGACCGTTTTCATATTTGAACATAGAACGGCGATAGGCCACTTTAACTCCAGAACCACCGCAAATCCGGTCGAAGTCCTCATCCCTGTACCTGACAAATAATCCCTTAATGCCCCCCAACCGAATTTGAAAGACTATGTCCGAAGAGTTGGTGTCCAAAATGTAAAATGGACAGGGCATTCAAAGACTCACCACAGGTGTCCTCGCTCACCCCAATAGTAAAGCAGACTTGTTTAGCAAATGAGTCACGTATCATGCCACAGCTAGAATTTTTCAGATCCTAAGAAGCGGGTAAAACTTCATGAGACGCACCCGTCGCTACAGTCAGAACCATCATCCGCTCTAAGGTCATACAAAAGATGGCGATCCCCTAGGCCAACCTATCAACGCAATTACTTAGGTGAGAAGAAGCTGAAAGTCTTTTAAGCAATACATACCTCAAGAGTTGGGACAGTCGAGGAAAATGACAGCCCCAAACGTGCAGCATACTTTCCGTATCCGTGTACTCGATAAACGGAGTTCAGGTCTCCGAGTACAGCCTTGAGACTGTGCACCGTCCAGTCTTCCCTTTCTTGAAAGAAGAGAACACGACTCTCTTTCAACTGACTTTCAGTATACCCAAAGAAGATATACCTCCGCGGAATCAAATGATAGCCGATTTAATTATAGTTTATGCTCACTTTTTGCCCTCGAAAGCAATGCCGTTCTTAATCTTATCCACAAGGAGCTGCCGTACAAAATTGTCTTTCAGCTTCGTCGGGAAGCTCACCTTTAGAAATCGCTCGGGGTCGCTGATAAGCCGGGTAGCTCTGGATGACGGAATAACATCCTGGATAATCTGAAAGTCGCCAGCATTGTCAAAACGCAGATGAGAGATGGGGAAATGCTGGTTAGATAGAGATGTTTTCGCAGACATTGGGCTGGGAGCCAACCTCGACGTTGAGTCGCCGCGGTTGAAATTTGAATTCGGATTCCCTTTTCAAAAGGTAAGCATCACATGATACTTCCTTATCTGTCGATCCGACTCGCTCGCATTACCGCGTGTTGTGGCGTCGCCTCCGGTCCTGTTCACGCCATATGACTTTCTCTAGGCCGGCCTTTATGATAAGTATCTGAAGAATTGAATTACTGAGAATGTTCTCCGCTTCCAAGTCTTACGTCTATAGTATCTATTTTATTCAGACAAAATTCAAATGCTAAATTGCATTCGCGTCGTGTCGATAGTCCACCGCGTGCTGTTTCCCCCCATTTTTCTTAACCACCTACTACTACATCATGGAAGCAGAAGCTACGCGTGTCAAGGCTGAAATCACGTTCATGGACCGTCAGGCTGTACGTATACGCGTAATGTCAGTCGCAAACTTATGAGAGGTATCAGCCACATATCACTCTCAACTATCAGAGCACTGATCTCAGTAAATACTCCTGTATCTAAAGCCAAAACAGAAGTACGAACAAGTTGCATCAAGTCCCTCTGATAGTTACGATACACTAGCTTGATAACATGCAGTGAAAAGAAACTGGCCTCAAAGGCTTAGCGCTGTTGGGTACAGGACATCTGGTTTCATCAGCCACTCCAACGCGGCGCCGCTGCCATTGCGCGTGGAAGAGACTCGCTCCTGATATTTCTGAAAAAGTGCTACGAGAAGTTTGTCGACCCTGCCAGCCCACATCGATTAGCGTCAAACAAGTTGGGGGCAGTTCAAGGTCCTTACCAGACGGTTCCCTTGACAGGCGCCATAAATCTATCCAGCTCTTTAAGTATGCCACATTTATCCAGAGCTTCTAGAAAGGAAGCTCCATCAGCTGCGCAGTAGCTAAAAACGGGAGCAAGTAGCATCTCGTGCTCCAGAATAGCTTCATTGTCTCGATTGTACTTCATGTTCCATGAGTTGATATGGACGGGGTACGGAAACGGAATGAAGGCGTCCAAGGAAGGAATAGGTGGAAGAGGCAAGGTTAGACACTTTCTATCACCAACCCATCTCAGGCCTGCTTGGAATTCAGATTTCGAGTCGGTCGCCTCGAACACGGAGGGGTACTCGAAAAGTTTCCATCCGCGATCACGATATTTGCCCCTCCCAGTTTCTTGCCCCGAGCCGCTCGTGGTAATGATCAAGGCGCGCTTTTGATCAAACGTAGCTTTGGGAAATAAAGAATATGCATAGGAATGACTGATGATATTCATCGGGGTAGCTGCAACAATATTGAGCAAGGTAATCAGTGGTAAGCGAGACGCTTACTTGAGTGAAAAGACAGAATGATTTCCATCGGAGACTTCTTGGAGGTGATCAGCTGAACTTGGGCACCATTGCGAGAAAAATCGTAGACGTCCGCAATACCGCGACAATGGTATCCAGTCAGAAATGCATCTTCATCACGCACTCTGACAGCCTCCGAAACGCGCCCAACAACCTCGTAAAAAACCCCTTGTTGCTTGTCACGCGGGTTGAACGTGTATCCAGCTGTCAGGAGGAACTGTCCAACGGCATGACAGTGCTTGTGCTCGACATAAATGTCGAGGTCGGAGCCCGGATACCTGATGCATTCAAAGAACTGCACACCACTCGATCCGGAGATCAGTATGCCATATTCGGCTTGGAGAAGGCGGAATTTGTTTGTTTCCTCCTCCGTAAAGTAGCGGGAGAACAGCCTCCTAAGCTGGGTGGCAGAATATAGCTCCACCGCCGCCTTTTTAGACTTGTCAGCCTTGCCAAGGCACACGAGGTCTAGAGGGGAAAGCAAGGGGAATATGTGACTTTCAAGGAGCTCAAAGGGTCTGCGAGACGTTTAGTACCTTCTCAAGATGAGCCAGAAATTTGCACGTACACATTGTTGAGGGATGGTCGCATACTCATTGGAATCACAGAATACGAGCGCCCTCGTCCAGATTGTCCCCAATTAATGTTCATCTCCACGTCAGAGTGATATCGAAAACCCTAGAACAGTCTGAATACGCTTTGAGTACGATATAACGGTAGAGCGCGTCGTAAACTTTTCTTACTTGTTGGAAGAGTGCAACAGAGAGTTATACGTCAAGCTAGCGAAAGGATATATAGGCGGTGGTCGCGTATCGACCTGCCCTTGAGAGCACGTGGCTTGTGACCACCGCAATGGCACGCAAAATTGTGAGTCTGACTGGGACTGGGGCTGGCAGTCGGAACAAACATTTCAAGATTATACATTCCATGGCTTACTACCGCGACTTGTTGTCGCTCTATCGTCGAAGACATATTCATCTAGATATCGGCGCGTACACAGAAATTCCACCTAATCCCCGCCGATTTATTAGTATCTGGATTGCAGTCGGTTTCGAGCTCGATATATTTTTGCTCAAGGTCGACTATCACTCCAATATTTTCCTTGCTATCACTGGCTTTGGTTGGACTCGATTCACTACCAAGACAGAAAACGGAATTGACCTGACAAAGCCATTCCCACTTACTTATACATAGATACTCACCTCTTCCCCGTAAGCACCGGACGACGACGGATTCAAGGAACAACAACGCATCAGGCATGTCCAGATCTATGAATATTTGACGCGTTTTGTGGGCCAGGCCCAGGAATGGCAAAGTACAGCGCACATTTTACACTGTCACCCTCGTAGAGGTACTGCCCGAAATCATGTTTCAACGTCCTGCTCAATTAGAAAACTACCAAAAGAATGTGATAGTCGAACAATATAAGTAAGTAGTCCAATCGGTTCGAGCACTAACAGTACACAAAAAGGTCACTCAATCCATTGATGATCCCATCCCGCACCTTGTCCACCGTCTCTAGACCAGCTAGAGAACACTCCAAACACACCAAAGGCGAGTCCGCTACAACCTTCCGCACCATAACCATCGTCGACTTCAACAAGCCCAAAACGTCAGCTGCGTTCTGCCTAGACGCATCCTGCTCCGCCCGCCGAGCTGATTCTGTCCAGTAATAGTCCCACATTTCCTTGCATCCAGCATGTGGGTTGGGGAAGACAGATTCGGACCCTCTGTAGGGAGTCAACGATGACCGTATCCCTGCCCACATGCGAGTAAGCGATTGATGCGCGGAAAGGAAACACATGCGCAGTTCGATATCCATCGAACGCGGAAAAATAACACCTCCAGTTGTCGAGGAGCATGGAAGAGCTACTAACATCCGATAGTAGACAACCCCCAAGAGCTTGTGTAGCTGGCGTTTGAAGCGGGACCGGCGGACTGAAAGATCCTGTATGGTTCGAACGAGGGTTTCTCCGGGATAGTAGTCATACCACAAGGTCTGAGTGATAATCTTTCGTGTCACGAGAAGAAATAGGGGATCGAACCGAGATGCAAAGGAAACATCGAGAAGACGCGCGCAGATTGAATCTACGTCCAGCGACGATGACAGGCTCTCGGTTAGGGTTATGGAGGAGGATGTTGAAGAATTGAATGTTGACATGAGAGAGAATGGAAGTGCTGTTTCCCGCAGCATTCTGTACAACTGATCGACAGCCCAAGCTTCAAATGAGGGGAACCGATATTTTCTGGATAACTCGGCGATGTTCAGGAGACAGAATATGGAAGTGTCATAAACGAGATGGGATTTTTGTGGATCTCTGAACGATACGTTCATGCTCAGTTCAAAAATATCAGTCGGAATGAAAAGTTAACTCACAAATGATGCAAAGCCCATAATAGGTCCCGAAACTTGCCGGCACTTTCGGGCATTCTAATGACACGCAGGTCGCCATATATCCAGCCACACCGAAATGACTCCAGGCTTCGGAAAGCCGAATCATCTCGCGCCAGAATACATCTTCGTACCTTCAATTAGACATTAGGTTGAAGGAAGCACTGGAATGGAGAACGATTACCTTGAAGAGTGTGTTCTGGGCTTTCAGAATGTAGTGTTCGTCCTCCCCGACACTATTATCCCAATTGGAATGATAAACGGCATCCCAAACACACGCAGTTCCTGTATCGACGGCAAACACAGCCGGCTCGTTAAGCGACCTAGCCTGGCGATCTTCTTTGAATTTTAGCTCAGCAGACGGCGGTTCAACCGAGTCTACGCGCTGAAATGATTTCCGCCGCCGACTCGAACGACGAAAAATCCAGAAGAGTTGCATAATTTTGTGAGCCGGGTCGAATACTGTGAAGCGGGTCATGGGCGGAGTCGAGAGATACGAATGAAGGGCATCTGGAAGGATATAGTTCGCAATTTACATGCTGTTGCGGAACCACAGTAGAACATGTTGTCTACACGTGTCGAAGCTTGGACCCACGTACAGCCATAGTCACAGTGGATACCTTGAGGGCACGTTCGAGACAAGACCGGAAGATGAGTCCTGTTTTCCCTCAAAACGTTTCTGTTGATCGCGATATTGCACCATCTGCGGCCGAGCTTGACAGAAGAATCGTATGAATATAGTCAACTAGGACGATGATCTTGGCCCAAGCGCAGATCCTCATAGGAAAATGTTCGGATCTATGATCCTGAGAACACTTCTGTGCTATGAACACGCTAGAACCCTAAGTTCTCCGTGTCTTCCTTTGTGACTGTGAGCGGCAAGTTTTCGCATCTGGCCAACTGTGGGAGTTTTGAGAATAAAAGAAGACAGTTTAAGCACTTAGCAAACGACGCCGACCTTTGCGATGAGGTGTATCCCGGCGGTGAAGGCATTCCTTTGATTCTGGATACTGATGCAATCCGAGGCAACCATATCGTGCAGTCGGCTATCGTCAAGTTGCTTGTGTCATCGAGTCAACTAAGAACATCCGTGAAATTTCTGTTTTTGCATTACACAGATATGAAACAAATGGAAATGCCGAAAAGAGGAAGGGCCGGTGGCCACCAGTGATGACGCATTAATGATGATGGCGAGATGTGAGTCCGAATATTTGCCAAATCCCACAACGCCAAATTCGGGCGGCATATTATAGGCTCAGCCCATGCCGTCCCGGCCCGCCCTTGGACGTCGTCAAGCGCCAGAGGGACAGCTGTTATTCCTGAGTCCTATGCCCCAATTCTGGGGGTTTTTATCGCCAGTCATGCATTTCAGGTGCGACCTTGATCATTGCTTATAATTAAGTGCTCCGGGAGTTTTCTGCTGCGCTTTCATGCAAGCTAAAGAGTCCAAGTGTTCGACGGAATCTTTGATCTATGTAAGTAGTCTTTGTTACCATGAATTATCTAGATGGTGTATGTCTATCTATGTGCATATGCAAATAATATAATTTCGTTCGAAAGATGCCTCTTCGGATATCAATGTCATCCTTTGTTGTCAGCTTTGATCACGTTGATCAAACACGGTCATGATACAGCCTTTCTTTCACAGCGACCGCCATGGTCACCGTTGAGGAACCGCCACTGTCCCCGCCGCAAGCAACACTTCTCGCTCTTTTCTTCGTCTCGTCCTATGTCGGGTCGCTCTACATATCCAAAAATGCGCGTCTGTCGTTCGTCTCCAAGACCGTGAAACTGCCAGACGGCCAGATCCGGCAAAAACAGGACAAAGAACGATGGAGAGACGATTCAGATGTTATTCGAGCGCGGTTGACAGCGGTGGTATCGTCGACGGTGCTGTCCTGCTTCGTCGTCTACTGGATGCGGCTGAGGGCGTTCTCGGTGCGTGATGACTTCTTCTGTATGGGATGCCTTATCGATTGTTGTACAGACAGCCAGCGAGGCAAGAGCCGACACTCTCAAGCGACTGGGATTTACAGCACCCCATCCCGTCGTCGCCCACTTGATAACCCCAATGCTCTTTCTCGGTCCGTTGTACGCGATGTCCTTGTACAGAACCCTACCGTTCCAGAAACTGTTCAACCACAACAACAGCACCTGGCTCACTTTCAATTCTATGCTGGGACTGAGGACATATGTTGTAGTGAGAAGTCCGTTTTGTTTTGTTGATGTGTATCGCTTGATAGCTATTGCAGGCACCTCTAACAGAAGAGACCGTATTCAGGGCATGCATGCTCTCCATCTACCATCTATCGGGCGCGTTGGTTTATCGAATGATCTTCCTTGCTCCGCTGTGGTTTGGTCTGGGTGGGTACCATTCACCTTTCTGGAGCAAATCAATACTGAAGATACTGCCAGCACATGTACATCATGCCTGGGATGCTTATAACCGCTACGGAAGGACTACCGCAGCACTGAAGCGTGCTATCTTAGGCATTGGTATGTCGCGTTACCCCCAGGGAATACATCATCCTAACTTCCTGTAGCATTTCAAATGACATATACCACCCTCTTTGGGTTCCATTGCTCCTACCTATTCCTTCGGACTGGGTCAATATGGCCTCCCATCACCGCACATGTGTTCTGTAATATCATGGGGGTCCCCGGGTTGCCACAAGAGTTGAAACATTTTCCTTCAAAGACATTTCGTGCGTTCGCTAGCTCTCCTTTCTCTTCTTGGCTGATGTTTCGCCTAGTAATCATTGTGACGTATATTTTGGGTGTCATTGGATATATTCTTACGCTGGGCGCATGGTCTTCGACGGAGGGCAGCATTTACTGGAGCCAACCACAGCCGGTGGTTTAAGCTCAATAGAATGGCTATATGTTTCGTCATTATGGTGTGGAATTTAAAATTTGCTTGTTTTGTTCAGTGTATTAGTGCCGTTCTTTGGGACATAGCTTATAGAATGTCAATAGGGAATCCAGTCCAGTCCACTTCATACCGACCGGAGTCAAGCCGCGATTTAACGTCTTAGCTTGAGTCGTCACAAGTCACATCTTCCGCGAACATTGTAACTATCCCCAAATGTCATCTCAAAATAACCGCTCCGAGGCGAGCCTTCGGACTGGGCTGTTTCCTTACGTCACTTCAGGCGGGAAACTGACGATGCTGCTGTATTTCTTTTCCTTGTCGCCTCTGGGTACTCAGCAAAGCATGCCTAGCGGCTAGAGCCACTCTCCAAGAAATCTCTACCGTAACACAAAGCGGACACTCGTTAGGAAACCGTTCCGGCTGACTTATAGGCCTGGGCTAGGTCTCCGCGTCGCGTACGTTAAATGAAAATGTTGGTGCTATTCGGACCGCTGTCATATTAACAACCCACCTCGACTTAGCTCCACCTCGGGTTCGCACTTCATTCTCCTGTTAAACCCGTCTCCTCACGTGCGCATACACTAATGGACACATTTTCCAGAGATAGTCAAAGTACAGCGAGCAAGGTTTCGCATTCTTATAATTGCACCACGCTCCGTAGGAGCTTCCATTTGGTACCAGGGGTACTAAGAAGAGAGAAGCGCCAGGATTTGCGCGAACGTCGCGTCCGCGGCGACTTCGCAGCTCGTCGTGATTCCCGCTATTCCAGCCGACGCCATCCAAAATTTTCCGATTTTTCTATTATTCCCCGAGCGTCGCGTTTCCCGCATGTCGATCCTCAAACCGAATTTCCTCAGGCAGGCCAAAGATTCCATTATGGACAGATTCAGCCAGCGTTTATCAAATTTCCAAAACGCGGTTGTTACGTGCCGGTGTCTTCTTCTCCCACTTGACTCTGAGGTCTGGAACTGGTTAAGTTACTGCGTGCGACGAGGCACCCGGTTTATTGGCAAGCAATTCAGCGGGGGAAATAACGTTACTTGTACCCTCGGTCCAAATAGGTAGCGTCAATGCGCACGATATAAAGGGACCCAGCTTCTAACCCATTCTTCAGCATCCCACGTTATGTCTGCCCAGCAAACTGCTACCCAATTCGCCTCTCCCGAGTTCTCCTCCGTTGGTGGAGGACAGGTTGCCAACCAGACGAAGGGTGCCGTTGCTCCCAAGGAGGCTCTGAAGCTTCGCTTGGACCTCAACCTCGAGGTCGAGATCGCCATTCAGGCAAAAGTCAACGGTGACATCACCTTGTCGCTCCTGTACGTGGAATTAAGCCGTATACTGGAGCGTTCTCAACCTGACTATTGGGCATACAGTGAGTAAATATCCTCCCGTCGGCGTGGAGAACGGATTGGTAATGCAGTTGTCGGGTTTCTTAGGTGAGATGCCGGGCCCTCCTTGTATAAGCTGCGGTGGTTACTGAGTCGTGGGTTATGATGCTAGGGCATTCATCGGGGGAAAATAATGTCTTCATGACTTGCGATGATCGTGATGACTCACTCAAAATTAATCAGGCGACGTGTGTTACATTCTCACATTCCATTGCTATAACATTATCAATGTATATACAAGGGTCCGCTGCGGTGCCAGCGCACAGGACCTTGCTGGCTGAATATTTGCCCGATCTCACGCCACTTGGATAGGTGTCGGTTGATAGTCAGCGCAAACGATGTTTCCTTGAAATATTACGGGTGTTCATGCAGTTGCTCAATATGTTTTGTAGAATACAAGAACAGAATATGTCTACTTTTGATAGACTGAAGTAAGTGGCATGCACGCGTTTGGTACTGCCACACAACACATGAAAACATGAGAAATAGACACAGCGAAGGAAAACCATGATATACCAAGTTTCGGTCTGTCAAACCCAACACAAAGTCCGTACTTTCCTCAATTCCCCCTTCCTCCAAATCATCTTCTGTTGTACTGGCCGGAGTCGTATCATGAGTATCAGCGATGGTTGCGATGAGTGCGTCGATGAATCGCGATGATGGCAAGCAGAAAAGCGATCTCCGCAACTTCGATCGGACTTCCAAAATGACGTACTCCCTCGCCTGAACGCCTGTGGTTGTAGGGCATTTATAGCCCAGGCTTGAGCTTGAGGCTTGGGCTTTCAAAAAATGAAGCCTGAGCCTGAGCCTTCAACAAGCCTGCCCATAGGGCCCCGGCTCAGCTTAGGGCGTGCCGCTTCAGGCCGGGCCTTGTAAACGCTCTGCGGCTCGTCGGCATCACCGGCTATTTGGTTATATTTACAGTTGGCAGGTTTCGGAGCAAACGGATAAGGAAAGAGTCATAGTGGGTAGACCTAGCTATCCAGCAAGGTAACGGGCGTCTTCTCATTTATATCAATATCAGCATTTCAGAATCATGTGTGTTCAGTTTGCTTTCGCTAGATGGTATGGTCCTCGGTTCATGTTATGAACTGAGAAATGCATGCCCATTTTAAACCTACAAGAATGTTATCTTACTGCGTGAATCTAGTAGGTACATACGCACATGCTTCGAGGCAAATCCGGAAAGAATAAAATAACATATTGGGTACTACTTTGACAAGCGAATCGGACAGCATCTGCTTCGCTGTCCAAATATTAGGGTTTAGAAGGGTTACGGTTTTGAACCCAATGTTCTTTGACAGGACACGGGTTCTCACCTGCGCTTAAAACATACGAAGACTTCTCTTCTTTTCTCGCATACTTACCCCCAAGAAGTTTGCATGCGGTGTGTTGAGGCTGTGGGTAGCCTCTCCTCGTCAAATTGCTCCCGACTTACAAATCAAAATGATGATTTAATTGCTTGGAGACGGTCGCCCGAAGCTTTGTAACACTTCCCAGCGCATTTATACGACACTCATGGAACATCGCAAGCGGCAACAGTTGGTCCCTCCCTAGTTGCAACACGACCCTCCTCAGACGTCCAAGAATATCCACCTCAGATCCCACTATACTATTGCTCATTGCAATCGCCCAGCCAGCTTTCCACACCTTTTCACAATCGACATGAGACGTGCACCCCTTCCCTCTCCGAAACGGGGGAGGACATTCCCGTATTTTCGCAATAAACGTTGACAGAGAATAATACCCACAAAAGACGTGGAGGTTCTGTATACCTGACAAGGGGGACTTGGCCTGGATGGACTGGCCTGCAGATAACAGAGGATCAAGCGCAACCATATGAACGTAATACGCATGGCTCAGGAGGTGCTCCAACCGACTAGGCTCTTTGCTCCCCATTTCTATCGCCGGCAGCGGAGACAGTTCCCCTCGGAAGAGCCTACAAAGCCACTGGGACTGCACCGAATGAGATAGCGCATCGTCTTCGCAGATGAACGCCACCTCGAGGAGCCGCACGAAGACGTCCGTCGACGCAGAACGCAAAGGTCTGTTTTGTGTGGCGTTCACAGCCGATCGGACACCCTCCATGGCCCAGAATGCGCCATTCATGTTTCCGTAGTGAAAGGACATCTCGGCAACTAGGAGGATATCAAGAAAAGACACAGCACGTGCGTCTAGATTGGGTCTGCGGGGTGGGCCTCAGTAAAAGTGTGGAGCAAAGAAAGTAGCGGCGCCTCACTGTTTGTACACTCCGAATAGGAAAGCTTGGAAATGTCTCGCTGATTCCGGAGGATCAGACAGTATGATTGGGTCATCGGGTCGGTTCCCCTTATTTGAGGAGCTGATTTCTTCTGCTAGCACCGGCGCCAGCGGAAGAATCGAGGGTGTGTAAACCTGTCAGCTTTAGTGTTGATTTGAGCCACACGAAAGAATTCGACAACTTACTTTGAACAGCGCTCCATGGACCTGGAGAACCCGGAAGTCATTCGACATCTCGTTTATGAACGCTTCCACGCTAGCAGGATTCTTCATCCAAACTTCTCGTAGATGGGCAGGTACCCATAAAGCAGGTCTTTCGGACGACGCATTTGTCTGTAGGCGAGGAATCATGGTGAAGACGTGACGAGTTTAACTGCAAGAGAAGTCAGAATAGTTCGAGTCATTCAGAGGCTGTTAATCATTCGAAAAAGGAAAAGAACCATCCGTGTCCTTAGGCGCCAAGTATCATGACGTTTACGATCTCTAGTTTGGGGTCTCCACGTTTCGAAGAGGGGAGGAAGGGAGGGGTTGAAAGACCTTCCTTTGTCCTGATATAATAAATGCGACCGCGTAGTAATCTTTGCTCGAAGGTGATGGGGTGATGGCGATGTACAGATGAATGAGAACAATCAATGTGTGATGGTACCGTGCTGAATCAAACAAACGCCCCTGCGTGACGAATGACGCCTCGGCTTTGAGAGTCTAAAATAAGAGTGATAGAGTCAAGAGAAGTGATACAATGATACTGCGAATAAAAGATTAGTAGTCATACACGATACACTAACACGCAACCACAAAGAGGGAGCAGAATATGCAAAAGAATCCTCTGATATCAAGTCTCATTGCTCGCTCCAAGGATTCCCCGGGACCAGGCGGCGTCGCCTGAGATTCTTTCGGCAAAAAAGTCGCCTAAAACCTCCCGCAACCTGCTTCTTAAAGCAAAGTCTTCTTCTTGTGTCATATCCAGCGTGTCCGCCATATCAGAGCGAGGTTGTAGAACCTCAAAGGCAGCCTAGAAGAGTGTTATATACGGACAAGTCCTTGATGAGGAAAAAGACCCACCATAACAGAATCTATCAGCGATGCGGAGTCTGGACCACCGCATTCGCTGCCTACCACTCTCGCGCCCCCACCATCTACAAGGCCTTTTCTGACAGCCTCCTTGCCTACGCCCATGAGGCCACGTATAGCGCCTTCACGGGTGCCTTTGCTCTTGTTCGGCGATATGAGAGCTAAGAGAAGTGTTTTCATTATCCTGGGTGAAAGTGAAGGGTATGTTGTCGAGTGTTGAGTAAGCAGTCGTGATAACGTCTGGGACGCTGATGTACGGAGATATGTCGCATGAGTAGGGGGCAAAGAAGAGTGAAGCAGGGTAGAAAGTATGGGCGGAAGTATTTGGTGGAGCTAGACAAATCTAATTAGCATCAACGTGGCTTTATAGGAATTGAGTTTTCAGGCGCTGATAGGTCATTTCATATACGCATTGGTCCTTATGACACGGAGAGAAACATTCTGGGGCGAACCCCAGAAGCGGTCTTCGGGGACAAGATGGCATCGGGGAAGTCGGCGTAGTTTTGGAATACCTCGCAGCGCCTAGACACAAGAACCGGGAAATACAAGACTCACATATGGTTCGACGAACAACGTTTTATTCTCCATAAGTGAACTGATGACGTCGAGGAGCACCTCGAGCACACGGCCATCTTGTTCGCTCTGCGACCCATCCTTGAGTGCACCCACCACTCCTTCGCCGACCCACTTGATGAGATAAGGAAGCAGCGCCTGCAGGCCTGCGTCGTTTTTTAGGCTGGCTAGTGCCGCTGTCCGTTTGGTGAAGTCCGGAGATGGGGGAAGCAGGGAAGAAGTGAGACGACTGTAGTACAGCTGCAGCTCGCGTGACAGAACCTGCTTGACAAGCTGTTGCTGTTGTTGTTGCTGCTGTTGCTGTTTTTTGGTCGTTGCGGGTACGGTTGGCGCTGTTGTCCCGTTCATTCGAGGTGGTGACTTCCCGCCTTCCTGGTCAATATCGCGCGGAATAGCGGGAGGATTCTCTGGTATAAGAGGTTGGACGCCTTCCACTGCCAACCAATGTGCCGCCCAATTCACGCCTGGCAACAGAGATATCTTCTCTTCCCTCAAAACACGGTCGAAATCGATCTCTTCATCCTCCACGAAATAAACGGGCCCAGCAGCAGGCATATGCGAAAATGCCGGCGCACGTCGGAAAGTCGGGGGATTATGTGGGGTATGACCGTACAGTGGCTCGAGGTTGAGGACGCGAAATGCTTGGTCGATGTCAACTGTGGTCATCATGGTTCGCCGTCCATGCCGCATGAATCGAGCTGCTTCCTGCATGAAACTCAGTGGACGCCTTGGTCACACACGGTTCCACAAACCTCAATAACCTGATGCAGCCGATATTCGACATCACTGGCCAACGACGAGGCGACAGAATCCGAGATTGTTATGTTCAAGAATTCGGCGACATCCTGCTCAGATGTAGGTAGTGTTCTCCATCAGATGGAAGAGACCTGCCTTGACTGATTCAGGCTTGTACGCTCCCGCATGCTGTCCTTGGACAGCCTTTGGCTTTGCTGGCTTGCTCATCGCTCCTGGTGAACGCGAGCTCTCGACGTTGTGGTGGTTGGTGAAGGGTTTAGGGCAAATAGTCGTCAACAACTGATCGGACCGGTGAGCCGCTCCTTTTCCTCCGACTTTCACTCAAAGACATCGCTGGTGGTGGGATGTTTATTCTGGTGAATCCCGGTACAGCTAAATCTTAACTTGATATCTTTCTGCTTTTTATTTGGTAATATTGGAAAGGGAAATTCAAGAAACAGAACGAAGACTTAGTATTCAGTTTTGAATCGAATTGACTCGTATCGAATTCCTGGATGGAGGGAACCATCGTCCCTCCAAGCATCACTTCAATCCTCACAACTTTCCAACAGGAACATGTGGCATGCCTGAAGATTTTAGCTCCTTTTTTCTTACCGCCGGTTCAGCAATCTCAGAAAAATCAAATCGAGATCAGCACCCCATTTAGAACCGATCAACTCTGAACCTTTTCTCCACGTGCCTATCCTGTGCTGACGGCCAAAAGGAAGCCGTGCTGAGAATAGTACGAACTACGCTTTCAGCGCTCATGTTCCACTCAGTCAAGCAGTCGCTTGCGCTTCTTTTCCTTTGCGTCTCTCCTTTTGCTCTTGCTGGAGATTTTCCTGCCAAGCGCGCGGCACCTGAGGCAGGATATTATGATCCTTCTAGCAATGGGGGGTCTATGTTGACGGTGAGCGCACTAATACACGTGTCTACCCAGCAACTCATTTCAAGTTTTAGACAGTACTGGGCGAAACATTTCCTGCAGGTCAGCAGGAGCCCATAAACATCATAATCTCAGGCAACTCGGACGCAACTGTTCTTGCCCTGCAGCAGACGGATGGAGGGCTCCTAAATTATTTCTTGTGAGATAAATATTCTGTCATACCATCTTGCTGAAGCTGAAGTACCGAATGTCTTCAAAGGTCCTTGTCTTTCTCTGGTGAATGCTTAGGCCTTCATGAAGGAGACTCTGAACAAGCCAATCTTGGAGACGGAAAAGGCCTTCGTACGTGGAGTCGTATTTTTTTTTCAACCTTTCTGACTGGTGACACCTCTCAAGTAAACCAAACGGCTGTTATGCGCTACAACTATGGAAACCCTGCCACAGGAACATGTACAGAGTCCGTGCAAGGAGGAAATCACTTCCGATATTGGGTGCAGAATGGCACTGCGGCCAATAGGTTGATACATCTCCAGTCTATCGTACGCTGCGCCTGACTAACATACCTTTCCCCTAGTGGGGCCATCTTCATGGCAGTGTCTTACGAAGAGTCATCAGCGGACGGTCACGACATTGTCACCAATGGTTACAATCTCGGCCGCGACTATATTGTCGGGAACATTACTGGCTCCGAGATCCCCACTCTTACTTTAAGCAACTCATCGACGTACTCAGGATCAACCTCCGCCGGAAACTACACGTACCAGACCAGCGTCACGTATGCTTCAGGCCTCTTGCAGAACACAAGCGTCGGGATCAACCACAACCTGACCGTAGGGGTAGAAGGCGTGACGAACGCTGTAGACGGTCTTGTCGCTATTCTCGATGTCTCGATTTCAGCGCGCCCAGCAAACTCCAGCACGGACTCGTCACAGTATGTCTTCTGGAACTTCAACTTGTCTTGAAACTGACTCTGCTCCAGAAACAGTCAAGGTAGCACCAGTTGGAAATCACACCCAGAGTTATGGGCTCTGGCAACCTTCGTTTGTCTTCTTTCATCTATGGCTCTATAGATTCCTTTCCTATCCAGATGGACCTTTCGAACAATGTATTATCCATATATCTTATACCGTACTATCCACTCTTATCCCGAAAGCCGACAATTTGCGTAATCTGTTTGTTGACACACCTGTATAGTATCACGTCAAAACGCCCACTAAGAATTGAAGTTGGCGGCGATCAACTGGCACGCTTACATCGGGCCGACGTGGCTATGATGCGCTTCCCGCTCCGCCGAAGAAGGTGGACATTCCATATCTTTCCCGTCTTTGACCATATGTGTCATCTCCCTGTCGTCCTGCGAACGCACCATCTTGGTCGTCGGGGCCATCATGTTCCAAGGCGACGTATCAAGCTGTGGGTAGATCCATATTGCGAGGAGGAACACAGAGATTTTCTTGCGACCCGTTAAATTGCCGGATTGCCTGCTCTATGCATTATCCCTTCTACCGCACTCTTCTATCCCCTCATAATCATCACTTCAATTGTCGTGCTCGGTTATTTCCCAAAGGCAACGAGCACTACATGCCCGCGAAGATTTGATTCAATGTTCCGGCCAAGCAATCAACTTTTGAATGGCCATGTTCTTGAGGCTTGAGTCGTTCACCAACCCAGTGCTGTCAATAAACCTATGTGGTCTTCTACCACGTAACGCTGAGAGCCGCAGATGGTCCGGTAAAAGGAGCAGAAAGAAGGATAAATCATGTTTATCATTGAATTGTTGGTCATTAAGAACCCACGGATGTGATAAATGGGCGATTTACAAAATGAGTGTCGTGTATGTGTGCACCGAATGATTGACAAACCTGAACATAAGTATTAGTAGATGATCGCCAAAAACAAAACGTACAAAACTCACCTTGAAATAATGCAATTCTCTCCTTCAGACGCTCAAAAATTTATGCAATTCCCATAATCCATGATCATCTGTCCCACAACCACAAACCCTCCAATAGCCGGAGCAGCCACCAAAGCCCTCATCAGCACCTCGCCCCATCTCGTCCTCCACGTCGCCGGCACATCATACATCCTAAACCCAAACCCAAGCCCATACACCCATCCAAACACCAACCACATCGTAATCCACACCCTCTGCGCCAACGTGCTTCCCCCCGGCCGGAACCCCGACAGCCCCCCGATAATCGCCAACGGCGCACCCACAGACACCACAAACGTCGCAACCAAGTTGATCAGCGTATTCTCCGCCAGCCCACCCTGGAGCGGACTCGGAATCTTCTCGAGGAACGGGAAGCGGCAAGGCAGGCGGGGAAACTCGGCGCACGCAGGAATGGAGATATGCGTGGTTGTACCTGGAGAGCAACACTCCGGAGCGAGTACAATCGGGCCTGTTCCCCCGTTGATTTCCACGAGGTGTTTGTCTCCGTCGGATGAGAACGTGAGCTTTCGGTGGTCGGTTACAGTCGCGAGTGTACCCACAGTTCCATCGAACCATCGCCCGTAGCGCGATTCCAGCTCGTCTGTCACCTCTGAGCGTACGATGTACACCGTCGTGTAGGTTGGTGTCAACAAGCTCCCGAGGAGGTTCACCACGGACATCACTATGTACGGTGCGACGGTCAGGGAGAAAGCAACGTAGCCATATCGTTCAATCTGATCGCCACGCGCACTGTAGAGCGCATACGAAGAGGACACAGTCTGGAATATAGAGAGGATGATCTTAGCATTGTTGAGAGAGTAGGCGAGCTGCACGTTCTGGTTGTTCCCGGGTGTGGAGACCACGGCAGTAGGTGGGACAAAGGCGAATGCGTAGCCTTCTGGTAACCGTTGCGACGCACCGTGCAGATGGAGCTTGCGCCATGCTGCGGAAGCGGTATCAGCAAGCATCGAGTGCGATGAGCGTACCCAGTCTGGGACATACACGTTCCATGTTGCCTTGGAGAAGAGATCACTGAAATTCGGGTTAGCAAGTACATTGTCTATTATTAAAGCCACGCATACCTATCACCGGATATTTTGACAGCATGCATAGTATGGCCGGGAACCGGTGTCCACTTGTCAGTGCGCACGACCATACAAAGCGCCCCCGCAGCTGCAGCTTTCTGGAGGTCCGATCCTCCGTGATTCGCTAAGACAAGGATCCCGCGCGCAACACTATTGAGGCCTCGGGCTACACCAGACGCTGGGAAGAGCAGCGACGTCCAGAAGCCGAGGGCTTGGTCGAAGACGGGTTCGCCAGGGTAAGTTTGAACTGTAGCGGCTTGGCTGACATAGTTTGAGAGGAAGAAAGTAACGATGGTAAACCATGTAGCAGGCCTACACAGCAGGCCGGGTACGCCGTGATCTGTGGTCCCAGGAGGCAATTCAAAGTTCTCTACAGGCAATGCCGATGCTGCGAGGGGAAGGAACGAGGACAATAGGAAGGCAGCCATAGGACAGGAAGGAGCGGGAGCAGTTCGATGACAGTTAAGAGCAAACTCATGGTGCGTGGTGAGATAGCAACAACGGTCGTGGTTCAGTATTAATCGGCATGATCCTATTCGAGGGTAATTGAATGTCAGAACCACGTCGGATCAGGGCCACAGTTCCAAGGCTTGTTACTTCCCGTGTGACTGTAAGGACTGGGCCAGCGTGTAAAACGCCGGATGTGATAGGTCTAGTGGGTTGAGTAGCAGAGGTAGACGAAGATGGTACCGATGAGATCAGCAGGCTGAATGGACACATGGGAAGGAAGTTTGTTAGGTAACGGGTATGACGCACACAGACACGGCTCTCTGACGGACTGTACAGAGTTCAGCATGAACTTTAACTGATGTACAGGACGACGTACTAGTTACCAGGCCAGAGTGTCAGTATATTATGCTCCGTCGTTGAACGTGCACGACTCGTGACTACCCATACGGATAGGTCTGCAGAGACACTGCGGCTCCTTCAGAGAGACTGCAATGCTCCGTTTCCATCAGTACAAAAGGACCAAGACCAGAGGTCCAGCACCGATGACCGACATGCAGCCGGAGCCAGGACCTATGTCACCGTGAAGTGCTACCAAGTCGTTTCCACGTGTTTTGAGCCTAATCATAGAGGTCGACCAATGTGGCTATGGATTTCACAGAAAAATGAATAACTTCCAGATGCCAAGTAAGAACTGCCACTCAAGCAAGAGCAACATTATGATGGGACGAACAGCGCATATAATATTTATCCCAGCTGCAAGGCTGCGGCGCTACATGTCGGGCGCCGAATAATCTCCTGAATTAACCTCGTCAATCTCTTTTCTTCAGATCACGGCACAGAGAAGTAAGAGAGCAAGGATCGCCAGGGATCGCTCAAAGGGACAATTAATAGTGTCGGCATTGGGACAAAATGCGGAGATGTTTGTGCCAGACAAGAGGTTAGGGTTAGTAGTGCCGCGGCGCAATATCGGCTTGGCGCCGATACCTCCTTGCTGCTACCTTCGCATTCAAATTTCTAACGCATTCCGAACACAACAAATTTTACTGTTCATCCTGTGAGTACCTGCAGCTTGGTGGGAGCAAACGGCGTGAATGCGACATCGCTAAGCCCCGCCACGGCAACTAAGCAGTAGTCTGACGCCTAGCGCGAAGTTCCAAAGATAATCCCTACTACCAGTAGCATGTGGACTCGGGGCAACCACTCTGCGCCATCCTCTCTTTAATGTTAGATTTAATCACCTCGCATTACTTGACGCAAGATCTTCTTTTATTCAAGATGCGGAGCATTTCATGTTAACGAAGCATTATAAACCGAATTTGACGCGGAGCTCATTAAAATATACATCGCAGTATGTTATATATCGATGCATGTTGTAGATGGCGTGGAGAAAGAAAGGATGAACGAACAAATCCCGTGTGGTTAATGTGCCAAGTGTGTGGAATAATAACTTCTAGTATTCTGTGTCCGTTTCTTTAGAGACTACCAAGCTTTCGCAAGATTATCATATAAAGGATGCTCAGCGCAACCCATGAAGTAGGCAATAATTCCGCCGATAATTTTAATAACCAAAGAATCGCAACTGGAAACGTAAGAAACGGAGATGCGAAGATCATTTCATTCCTTCTGTAGAGAATTGTTTCATGGAGTGGCAGGAAACTGATTTGGAACTGCTTAGTTGCTCCGGCAACTCTCTAAGTGTAAAGTTCTATGTCATGAAGCTGCAACATTGGTGTGAAAAGTTCACAAGTTCTGGGCCTGATAGTGCGGCCACGGACACCATGGCGAGTGCTTCGAAGGTAGTGGTAGAGACGGATCGCTCGCTCAAGCTCACATAGGCAAGAAAAGGTGTCAAGTCAGCTTCCCGAGGGTTCGGGTAGTATTGCATGACCCGCTAAGAACCAGGGAATCGAGGGTACCCCCACTGTGGATATTGTCTTGTCCCCCATTGTGATGGGACGAACAGCACATATAATATTTATCCCAGCTGCAAGGCTGCGGCGCTACATGTCGGGCACCGAACAATCTCCTGAATTAACCTCGTCAATCTCTTTCCTCAGATCACGGCACAAAGAAGTAAGGGAGCAAGGATCGCCAGGGATCACTCAAAGGGACAATTAATGGTGTCGGCATTGGCGGAGATGTTTGTCGGAAAAGAAGCCTGAGACCCATCTGTCCACCAATAGGGAGGGTCAGACTCAGTTGTGGATAAGCTAAATAGGCAATGTCAGACAGCTTAAAAGCTGGGCGGTTGCGGCCTAAATTAAGACACTGGCAGCGTCAGTGCAATATCAGTCACGTGATAATTTCAGTATAAAAAGAGAAATTTCCGTTTGTGTGCCGTCCCAACTTCGTCCCAACATTCACCACGTACAACGAATTCGACCCCTAACTGTGGTAGGCGCAACTGTAATTCGTTCTGATATATCCAGATTGGCTCATGGTGGATTTCAGACTTCGCTCCACAAGTTTTGTGAGCACATCGAAGATGGTATGCACTCCTTTCTGTTCATCCTTCTCTTACTCTAACAAAAAAATCCACCAGGATTTCTGCCCTAACTGCGAATTCAATGCTATACGGCGCTTCACCCCTTCTGTAGACGTCACTAAGATCGAGCGAACCACAATTGATAATGTCACCCGAACCTCCATTTTGAACGATATAGCCGATATCAAACGGGAGCTACGCGATATCGATGCCCTCATCCTAAAAATCAGAGGCCAGCACAACAAAGTGGTCAAGGCTCCTGGTGGCAGTAAGGCCCTTCTGTCGCCAATACGGCGTTTGCCTCGAGGGACGCTGCTCCAAATATTTGACCTGGCATCTTCTCATAACCCCTATCCTTTCAATGCCCCGTGGGTTCCTGGTCATGTCTGTTCCACCTGGCGGAGCATTACCCGCTCTTTTGCCTGGACTAAATTCCACCTTGCGGGATCCTGCAGCGACCATTTTACGTTCTTCGGAGAATACAACTTTCTCTCTCACCATCCTCCTGTCCCTTTGTCCTTAGAAGAACGCCCTGGGAAAGAAATGAGGGGGCTTTTCCACGACACAATCATACATTCGGGACGCTGCTCAAGCATGGAATTGAATATATGCGCAGGTCAGATATCCGAGTTGCTGTTCTACGCATTGTTCCCAGCCGTCAACTCAACGAAGCTTCATATCAACCTAGTTGTGGAAACGTTTGTGCCAGACACGGGGTTAGGGTTAGTATTGCTGCGGCGCAATATCGGCTTGTCGCCGCCGACGCCTCCTTGCTGCTACCTTCTCATTCAAATTTCTAACGCATTCCGCACTCAACAAATTGGACTGTTCATCTTGTGCGTGCCCGCAGCTTAGTGAAAGCAAACGGCGTGAATGCGGCATCGCTAAGACGCGCTGCGGCAACTAAGTAGTAGTCAGGCAGTAGTCTGAGGCCTCTCTGACGCCTACGAGTCTTCGAAGTTCCAAAGATAATTCCTACTAGCATGTGGAGGGGAAACCTCTCTTTAATGTTATATTTAATCCTCTCGCACTAAACGCAAGATCTTCTCTTATTAAAGATGCAGAGAATTTATACCAACGAAGGATTATAAACCGAATTTGACGCGGAGCTCATTCAAACATACATCGTAGTATGATATAGAGCGATGCATGATGCAGACAGCGTGGAGAAAGAAAGGATAAACAAACAAACAAATCTCGCGCGGTCAATGCGCCAAGTGTGTGGAATAATTAATAACTTCTAGTACTCTGTCCGTTTCTTTAGACTACCAAGCTTTCACAAGATTCATCATATACGGATGAAGTAGCCAATAATTCCGCCGATAATTTTAATGACCAAAGAATTGCAACATTACGGATGCTGTCGGATAGTCCAACCGTCCTCATCAATGACTGGAAACCCACAGCGAGCAGAAGGATGAGCAGTTCCGTAATAAGCCGGACTTTCTATAGCAATCCACACTAGAAATGGAAAAGAAACAAAGATGAGAAGATCATTTTATTCCTTCTGTAGAGAATTGTTTCATGAACTGGCAGGAAACTGCTTTTGAACTGCTTAGCTGCTCCGGCAACTATCTAGAATAATAGCTTTACCCACTGGAAGTGTAAAGTTCTATGTCACGAAGCTGTAACATTGGTGTGAAAAGTTCAGAAGTTCTGGGCCTGATAGCGCGGCCATGGACAGCTTCGAAGGCAGTGGTAGAGATGGATCGCCCGCTCGAGTTCGCATGGGCAAGATGAAAAGGCATCAAGCCAGCTTCTGATGGACAGAGCTTAAACATGACGAAGGTTCGGGGAATATTGCAGCAACACCGATGGGCTTGCATGAATCTTTTTGTGTAGTACCTGTAGCTTGCCTCAGGCTGTCAGTGATCCGGACGTGGCGGCGATATGAGAAGGGTGGAAGACGATTGAACAAGAGGTAAATGGAAGTGCAACAACGTCAATAACGACAACCTAGCAAGCTCAAAGCCGGTGCTAGGCGAGAGACAAGAGTTGAAGTCAAGGCTCGGCAGGGTAGTAGCAGGGCCGTTGGACGGTCTTGTATTTATATTCCCCCGTATTGCAGACGCGACATACGTCGAAAACTGGGACGTGCGTTGTCCTCAGCAGCTGCAATCAGTTATTGTTGCACGTAGCCGTGATAACTGAGGCATTTTCATGAGGCGTAAAATATCTATGAAATCAAATTTAGCATATGGGCAAAAGAGGAATGACCTGACAACGGTAAATCAAACTGGAAAGTCTTTTACTATGATATGACAAAAACGCCGTGAAATACGGATGCCCGTGGTCATGGTCTCTGCGACCATCGTGATGAAAGATATAGCGACCTATTGAGGCCGCGGTGATTTGTGAACTGAATGCTTGAACTTTAGCATCTATACTAAGAGTCATAAAACGTGGACGCAGCAATTGAGGGTGCCGTGGACGCGAGGTTCCCGCGGTTCTTGTTCAAGTTGCTGTATGTCTATGATGGAAACAAACCCGGAATACCCTGCCTTCGCACCATCACAACAGCAAGTCGTAGATCCGGGCGGTGCGGGTACAGTAAATGGGCGCTGTAGCGATGTCCATCACTGCTGAGTTCCAACAAAAGCCTATCCCACGCAATCGAGGTGCAAACTATGAAGGGGTATGAACATTAAATCTCTCTCCCTGAGACTAAGTAAGTGTTGGTAAATATAAGGTGCAATGGTGTGGTTTGGTGTGGTTATAACATGTACGCAGCGTCCATATTTTTCGCAGTGAGATCCCCAATTGTCTATATCTGTGGCATGGGTGTGAGGGGAGAGGCGGAGTGATTGGTCATAAAGATACGTAAAGGTCGAGAGCTTTCTCGGGCCAGCCAGCGAAAGACAAGAGAGTTGTCATAGACAGAAAGAGGAGATGAAGGAGACGGTCAGTAGGAGTAGCCATGTTTCTGGTCGTGCTCTCCATCCGGCGTTCCTAGAATAGATGAGATCCTCGCCTAGAGAGATTGAAATATGGACTCACTGTGCCTCAGGCTGTTCTAATATTGACACGTCCAGAACAGCCACAAGGCCATCCACGGCATTGGTCACGCCATTTATGTACACCGACCAGTTGTGGTTGATACCAATGCTGGTGTTCTCTAGCAGTCCCGAAACGTACGAGACGTCTGTCTTGTAGGTATAGCCACCATAAGACGTATTTCCAGAGTAGGTAGACGAATTTGTAAGGTTCAGGGTTGGTATCACGGACCCGGTTATGTTACCAACGATGTAGTCGCTGTTAATAGATGGCCCAAGTTTAGACGGTCGGCCGGAGAAACTTTGCGGGAACCACGCACCGAGCCAGGTTGTAGCCATTCAGTACAATGTCGTGGTCGTCAGCTATTGGCTTTTCGTATGATACCGCCATGAAGACAGCGCCGCTTTGAAAGGCATTAGAGAGAGATAATCGCGCAACAGGACATTCCTACGCACGTATTCGCATTTTTCCCATTCTGCACCCAGTACCGAAAGTGGTTTCCGCCCTTTAAATCCCATTGTCACTGTCATTATTCTCGATGTATCGGAATATTCGACGCACTTTAATCGTCTCTGTGCAAGCACCAAGCGAGGGGTCTCCATAATTGTACCGAATCACAGCCGTCTCGTTTACTGCGGGCAGCCACCAACTGAGTGCCATCAGAACACTTGAACAAGAAGTCTAACGCACGATAGCCATTCCCGTCTCCCAAATCCACCTGTTGGTCGCTTCCCGAATGCTGTCCTAGGCATTCGCTGGAAAAGGATAATGATCTACAGGTGATGCGATGCGGCTTTAGGGTCAGCTGCAGGACGCGACAACGTAAAACGCACAAGAAATAATTCCTGAGACCCCCTGAAGTCTCCTGGTCGACGAGCACTTCCGAGTTTGAATTTCCTGATATTATAGCATTGACAGGCTCTCCCTGGCCTTCTGGGTATGTCGTCGCTAGGACTTTCTATACATGTCCCCCGGTGAGCGCTAAAGGTGCAAAGCCACGTTGTGGCGTCCTCACCGTCAACATCGATCCTCCATTGTCATTGGGGTTCACATATCCCGCAGCCGGAACATTTCTTGATGATGAACGTCGCCAGAACGCGAGTCGGGTGAGTGTTTGGCGGATGTCCAATGCGAGGGTGAGGTGCGGCCAGCATAGGAAAAGAAAAAAGAGCAGAGAATTGGAGAGCCGGGCCATGGACAGAGGTGGAGAGACTGGAAAGGAGAAGAGGCCTGCGTGAGGGCACCTCAGATCGAAATTTACGTAATAAGAACAATACTTTCTTGTATGCGAGTGCGAAAGCTGTGCTCTTCATTTCTCGCTTTGTTTGCCTCTTGTTCTCGGTATGTCATTATTTGACGACTGGGAGGACAATACTTGTCCTTCTGGGGCGCATTGACGTTGTTGTGTCGCTGCATACCTAGCTATCACCAGCACAGATGCCGTACCCGCAGTGCACCCTGGGCCTGGTATATTTTTAGTAATAACTTGAATAAGGACTTGGATCGCAGTTCTGCTACGCGAGGGAAAAAATAGGAAACATTACAAAGATAGACCCAGTTCTATTCGTGATATTTCGCACAGCGAATTCCGTCGGTATTACGGCAAATTGAACAATTTTTGGTGTCAATATCTTTATTCCGGTTGTTTTCCTTGGCCATGACCTTTTGACCGTCGGAAACGTTCGCCTGCCTCAGTGGAGACCTGTGCTGGTAGCAGCGGCGCAGACGTATCTGCTTTGGTAACGGCTTCTAAAGATATAACTTCACGTCATGGCACTGCAGTTCTATACCACATTTATTCGTCTCTGCCATGGAAGCTCTATTAAAGCTGTGGCCCAGTGCTAACTTCGTGGTAATGAAAGAGCGGCGAGCGTGTTCTATGGCCTATCGTGAAACTGAGATAATGATCTTGTTCTTGCAGGCGGCTACGCGATGTAAGAGCCACAAGGACACGCAGCATACGCTCAGTCTCAAGGTTCCCAGCGGACAGGAAATGTCAGGATCGCAGCGCAGCGTGTAGATCATCTACATTACAACAACACAACGCCCAAGGCCGCCATCAATCCTCGATCTGCATCGGCCCATAGGGCTCCGCCTTGAAATACGACTCATCAAAGTGGTGCACCCGCACGAACCCGTCCTCTCCACCAGAAGCGTAGCCCGTTCCAGCGGGATGTATGGCGATGCTGTGCGGCTCAGGTCGGTAAATGCCAAGAAGAACAAGCAACAAAAGAAAACGTACGTATTGATGGGCCCGAAATGCCCTTTGACTCGGCCGACCTCTTCTTCGAATACTTTATGCCAGAACCGTGTTTCGAATTTACCCTGGCGCAAGGAGGTGGTAGTGACGCTCATGGCTTCTTGGCCACCACCGAGGAGGACCTGGAGATGATGGTAATGGGGTCGGCATGGATACAATATGAGAAAGAGGAAGTGGGTCAACGCACGTATGGTTTGTTAGGCGCGAGAGCGGCACTGTTCAGCGGTGTTTCCGTTGTGAACGTTTTGATAACCATGAGAGTTTTCATGTCATGTATCTGGCGAAGATAGTCGTTAATATTCAGGATTGGCAGAGTAAAGAAAACAAAGGAACCTACCCGTGCAGACTTGTCTTTGCTGCTAGTGATACAGTACGTTCGGTCCTTGCTCAGCTGTAGGTCCGTGACAACTTCACCATGCGCCCGTTCGTTATTCTCAATCTCTTCGCCCGTCTTTACATTGAACAACGCGACCTTGCCGGATTCGTGCCCGGTGATAATGATATCAGGTACCAGCGTGAACGCGCACACCGTCGCTTTTGATCCGATGGGGTTGAACATATACCGAGGTTCCTTCGATTCTGTCATGGAACGAGCTGGTCAGCGAAAAACAAAGAGAAAAGAAAAAGAGCGCACGTTTCGTCCCATCTCCCTCCCGGTTAATGTCAAATACCCGAATAGCACACTGATGCCCCATCCGCTGCTCAGTGATACACACAACCTGCGAGTCGTCCTCTCTGAACGCCACCCGCTTCACAGCCGTCGGGAACTCCCATGTGTAGAGGCACTTGCCCGTCGCGACCTCCCATAACCGCAGTGTGTTGTCCGCAGCACCGGATACCATGAATCGTGATTCTGCTGTTATCCAAAACGTCATTAGTTCGCAGCCAGACAGGAAGGGATGGGGTAGCCACGCACAATCAACATCAACCGTCCACACCGTCCCGTTATTCCCTTCATACGTCCCGAGTCGTTCACCATTGTGAGAAAACCAGACGTTGATGACGTTATCTTTTGAGCAGGTGAATAAGAGGTCGCCTTCGGCGTTGAACTTGATTTGAGTCAAGGACCGTTCGTGGCCTGTTAATACGGGTTAATTTGGGCCGGTCAAAGACAGCGGTGGAGTTGGAAGACCTTGTAGTAGAATAGGCCTCTATCAATGGTTCATTAGACGTGGAATATCAGTAAAACGAGCAGGACTCGCCATTTTGAAGTATTTTTCGGTCCCGCTGGATGTGGACGTTAAAGAGTTTTCGTCGATCACGTGACAATCGTCAAAGCTTAACGATTTGGATTATGTAAGGATCCAGTTTGTCCGATAACTATCATGTTCAATCCGAAGCTTTGTCGGCCTAGGTTGCTTGTGAAAGGCCTTTGCACGTCGGTGCGCAACAATTTATCTTAAATGAACTCCCGCTGACTTTTGGATTGGATATCGCAGGATTCCCAAGTGTGATTCGAGCCAGGATCCCCCAACGGGGTTGGTATTTACTCAGAAACCTTGTTCCCACCGAGACGAGGGAGCCTGCTCGAGGCTTCTCTATTGCTACCTCAAACACGGCTCCTGACGACACAGTTTAGAAGCTACTCGCATATACGAATCAAATGCGGTCTCAAACCTGGCTTTGGTGACGATGCCGTTACGCGGGTACGTTCATCGTTTACCGCGGCCCGTCGTGATTTGGGGAACGTCGGGGACAAGAACTTGCGATAAGGGTCATAAGAGACTACAGGATGGAGTACAGAAATAGGTGGTGCATTAGCCTGGTCCGTCAAGTGGAGACAGCGGGAGGACCTGCGTGTCAACGCGATGGACCCACCCACAACCCGATGCCCGCTTTGAGATACAACGATCCGCCGGTAGCGGGACGAGAGTGAGATGGGGGGCGGAGGGAAAGATACAATGAGAGGATAGAACGAAGGAGATGGCCTTTCATATTTGTCGGGAGGTCCGTGCGCGAGGGCGGGGGATCTGTGTGGCATGCGTCGTAGATACGTCCATGATGGTCGTCATAACGGCGGCCCGACGTAGCTCTAATAGGTGTCAGGCGCGCACTCTTATGTGAGACGACCTGTCACGCAAATTAGCAGCGTGCGGGTATTCAAATATTCATCGTGACTCGCTAGTCCATGACTTGACCGATAAGCACATTATATTTATCTCGTGGATGAAAACTAGTTAACCCCGTCAAACCATGTCAGACGACGCATACGAAACCTTTACACTCAACGTCCCACCGTCAGAGGATGAAATCGACAAGTTCATCGCCATCCGCTTACTCGCACTACAGATAGACCCATCCTCCTTTCGCACCACATACGAAAACGCCAAGAATCTCCCTCGAGAGAAGCACGTCCAGCGAATCGCCTCTCATGACCAGGTCATGGTCATCGTCTCCCACAAGGCCACGGGAGAATGGGTCGCCATGTCAGGCGTGGCCTCGCCCAAGGTCCTCGCGGAGTTGGATTACCCGCTACCGGAGGTGGTGTACGAAGGGAGGAAAGGAAGTGGATACCTTTTCGTATCATTGTGGGTTCATCCGGAGCACAGGCGACGGGGACTCGCGAAGAGGATGTTTGACAGATGCATTGAATGGGTCAGGTATCACGGACTCGGACTCGGAACCGTGACAGAGAAGTTCATCACCAATGAGGTTTACAGCGATAATGTGGGCCGGGGGCTGTACAGAAAGTTGGGATTGATCGAGAGATGCGAGGTCAAGGAACAAGATGGTAAACGAGATGTTGTTTGGTTGTCGAGATCCTTGGATGAGTTGTAGGATGGCATCCGTGGAAGCAACCGGAGGTGGCGTACAACCAGTGTCCCGGCGGAGTGAAAAACATGCTGAATCGAGGAATTCATGACATTGGCATTTTGGTGTGGTAAGCCTCTGGAGCGCGCGGGAGACTACGGGAGATAGTTGACCATTCGGCTAGATGGATGTGAGGTCATTTGAGTGAGTAGCATTGTGTTCACGTGCGGTGCTCTGCTTCTCCATCAAGAACAGTTTCCCCATGATTACCCCAGGCTCCCTCCATGGAAAATCGCGAACTGCGAGAACTACTGTTTCCATTCCGACTCGGTCGCCGTTTGGTCCAGGTTGACCTCATGACTTCAGTGTGGTTGTCGTCTTTGGTAATTCTTTCCGCAAGAACCGTATACGTTTAACGTTTATTGCACGTCCAAGGGACAGCGGGATGGCAGATCATACAGTTGTTCAGCCCAGAGTTCTGATTTACCAGGGTAACGTAAAGGACTTCGAAGAACAGGGCAAACGTGCATGCTTCCATCGATAATCAACTTCTGGACTTGCGTTATTGGACTCTGGCCAGTTGGTTACTGACCTGATGGGCTCGATGGAGGGTGCAAGGCAAGGATGGCAAGGGTGCGTGGTCGTGATCTAGGCCGAGCCGGACCGGCCCTCGGAAGAAGACGGGAAAAACCCGTTGTGAAAGCAAGGTACAAATATTGCGTGGCACGGAAGATAAAATTTCACCCTAGCTCAAAGTGCTTATTACCCTTCTCTTCTCTCCCCCCAACGTTTCTCCCATCAGTGCGACTTTCCCGAGCTTCCCCAAACTTCCCGCGCCTACACAGTCGCGAACTTGAACTACCCACAACTCGATCGGGTATCCGGACCGAAGATCTGTAGTGCGTGATTTGTGCATCAGTTGACCGTGTGGATTTCTGATTTTGTATTTGCCGACAAGATCATGCTGCTAGATGACCGGATCGGAATCAATTCCCTCCCCCAAGAGCTCATAGATGCTATTATCGATGAGAACCAGGACGACCAGGCTGCCCTACGCGCCTGTTCCCTCGTAGCCCGTCCATGGACCTATTCCTCTCAGCGGCACATATTCTCCCGGGTCCACTTCCGCAACCATTCGCAATGTTATTACCCCGGCAAGTCGTACAAGACCTCATGCGAGATCAACAAATTTCATAACCTCATTTCTACGCGGCCACATTTAGCGTCGTTTGTCCGGACACTGGAGGTTGAGCCTATCCTTGATGCAGTGCAGGAAGAACTCCTCGCGTGTACTCTCCAGAAGCTCGTCAACTTGGAATGTATATCCCTCGATCTGGGGGGCTACTACTGGGACGAGCTTTCGCAATGTATGAGGGACGCCCTCATTACCACTATCCGTTCCCCGCGGATAACCAACCTCGAGCTCCGAGAAGGCCTGTTCCTCCGGTGTGCTGATTTCCTGGCTCTCCTTGGTGCGTGCGAGCATCTTAAGAGGCTGTCGCTCTCCGCGATGTCGTGTGATGATCTCGAGGAGTTCGTCCAGGCTGATGCTCAGGCTGCGGTGGGCTGCTTGAATCTGCAGCTTGATTCGCTTGCGCTGAGTTTGTATGAGCAGTCGTATCTCCCGCTCATGCATCGGTTGTTGCAGCTCCAGCCTTCTGTGGATCTGAGCCATCTCCATCGGTTGTCCGTGCTCACTGCTGGCTCTGGACACTTAGAGGAGCGTGTTGAGGCGACGAAGGAGATACTCAAGTTGAATAGTAATTCGCTTCAGCATCTTGTTTTGAATGTGTGTTTAGGAGGTGAGTTTTTCAAACATTAGAGTCTGTTGTTGTTTGTTGAAGCCTTATTTGCAGAACCGTTGTCCAACTTTATTGATATCAAGCAGCTCCTCTCCATCCAGATAAAGCTATGGTGGATCCGCCTAGACCAGCATACAGAGCCCACACTATGGCTCCGCTGGCTGATAGAGTCGTTCCAAGAACTCTCCAAGCACCGCGTGGAGGAAGTCACGTTTGAGATATTCTACAACTCTGATTGGACGGTCTACACGGCGGAGTGGGCTGCGCTGGACGCGGTTCTGGGGCAGATGCGTTCGTTGACGAAGGTGAATGTGAGGTTGGACGCGTATGATGGTGTAAAGGGGAGGTGGAAGTACCCGAGGGAGTATTCGGGTGCTGCGGTGAAGGATGTAGAGAGGGTGCTTCCGAATGTGTGCGCAAGGAAGATTTTGGATTGTCAGGTTGCGGCTAGTTTTTCTTGTTGATTGGGTTTTTTTCTCTTCGTCATGATTGCTCTACTCTACTATGATCGCATTTTGATACCCCGGATACCACTCACGCGTGTTAATGGTCAATGTATTTCTCTTCGTGGTATTCATGTGTCTGTACAAGGACAAACATACTATAGATACATACATGGATTGACGCGTACCATTTTAATTGGGTTAGATTTCTTCGTCCCCCAGGCAGCGGATATTCGGACATGTTAAAGAATGTCCACATTGAGGATGTGGTGCGATGTATTACCTTTTGCTTGGGCAATGATTTTCAACTGGCGCCAGGGAGGTACGTGTACTTTCAATTGACTTTCAAATGATATACATGTATAACCTATCCAACACGTCTTTGAAGTTGAAGCTAAGAGCCGAGTCTTTGATAACCGGCGCTAAAGCAAGGTATCAAAGTCGTCAAACGACGACCGCTAGTACAAAAAAGCCAGACTCGCCAGGCCAGGATGTGGTAGATGTTATAATCTGACCACGTGCGCCATCTTGCTCCGTCCCATCAGATTCACTCCCACCATCGCCAACTTTGCCTGCCTCCAGTCTCAGTTCGACGTCATGGAGAAAACGATGCGTTCACCGTCCTGCGTCACCACCGTCATCGCTATATAACCCCGGACCACTACTGGGAGAGAGCAACTTTGACTTTTCCCCAGCAATGTATTATGACCAATCTATTGCTCATCGCAATGGCAGTTATACCTCAGGAAACAAGGATGTCCAATCGCAGAGTTATGGTGCGTAAACCTATCTGTTACTTCGCGATCGAGCCAATAATTTTGATGCAGGCGCGCGAGCGGACGATAACATCGCCTCTCATTCCGATAACTCTCACAGCGGCGGGGCAAGAACGATGAAATCTGAACCTTACAGCAAGTCTTCAGTTCTCAGTTTTATGCCCTCTCGCTTATTATAATATTAGGTCACACCGGCGAGGGTTCTTCAATGAATACTGGATCCGTTCGATACGATAATTACGTGCCCGGCGACGACAACGGTAATGATACTGTATTTATGCGCAGTGCATCCATGGCTTATCATCATTCTAGAAGATTCAAGCAGTCGAGATATCACATCGAGTCGCAACAGCGATTATGAATACGAACAAGAACAAGGTGCTGGTCGCGGAGCCGAGGCGCAAAGTAATGATGCTGAGGGAAATAGTGAGTGAATCTGGTCTTTTATTTATTAACCAAGCTAACAGTTTCCGAGTCCCAGATACGGGTAATGATGACTTTGGAGCTGGGGATATTGGTCAACCCATTAGCAATGGGTATGATTCTGGGTCCGCTGGATGGGCGCGCGAGAATTCAGTGTCCGATGATTCGTTAGGTGCTTCGAGGGGTCCTGGTAAGTTCACAGTTGACGGATATCATTATTCTGGATCTCATTTAGTATAGGTTATGCTGGTGATTCTGCTCCTGACACCTCTGCAGGTTGGTTTTAGGATTTCAAGTGATATTTTGTGGGCTCAGTTGTGTAATGTTTCCAGTTGGCGACCCTGCTGCTTCTCGTGGTGATACATATGATACGGGTGGAGCAGACCGCAATCTCGATTCAGAGAGCATAGGTAAGCGCCAAAGTTTTTAACCGTCGGTTGTTAATGCTAATCTATCTCGATGTATCAGCATATTCTGGCGTACAATCTACTAGCGGTGATACTGGTAACAGCAAGAATGCAGGAAGCTATGATGAGTCGAGGAGTGCACTTGCTAGTACATTTGAGGAAGCTAGTACTAGTGAGTTCTGTCGCTTTTTGTATTTCCAAATACTTACGTCTTGCAGGCGACACTGGCACGAAAGGCGAAGAAAGCACAGGTTCTACAGGAGACCACGATCCAAGCATCGGTGCTTCTACGACAAGTGGTATGTTTTCTGGTGTGTTTATCGCGGTCTTGTGGACTCACTCCCTTGAAGACGCTCCTGATGCAGACAATGGCGCCTATCAAGGCGGGAGTACTCGCGCTCGTCGTGACGACACCAAGGGGGGAACGGACACCGACAACTACGGCAGGTCACCCTACGACTCCACAAACGGAGGTCGTGATACGCAAACTACCTCCTCGGATGGTCAAACCTTACCCAGTCAGCGCGGTTCCTCTACTCTTGACGACGATCAACAGGTTCAAGACGCTACCATAAGAAGCTCCAAGGCAGACGCTGGTGCATCAACTTCTGATGATCGACCTTCGGTCAGTGAGGGCCAGACTTCAAGCAAAGATCTTCAACAGAATCGTGATATGACGTCCGACACATCTGGCTCTAGGAGCGATAATCCTTCCACTAACACCAAGTACGGCGGGTCACCCTACGATACCACAGGCTTAGGTCGTGATTCACGGACTACCTCCTCGGACAGTCAGCCCTTATCCACTGTTCAGCGTGGTTCCTCAGCGCCTTGTGACAATCAACAAGGTCGAGACGCCGCCGCCGCCAAGACACCGAGGAAAGATTCCAACATACAGTCTGTCAGCGCCGATACTGCAGATCACAGAAGTTATGACAGAGGTGCTGATACTTCCGAGACTACGACCGGTAACCTCTTCCCATTCGAACTTCCAAGTTCTCACTGTTTGCAGGCTACACTGGCAATAAAAGCACCGAAGATACTGGTCCTATCGGAGACAGTAATTTAGGTACCAATGTTTCTGCGACAAGCGGTATGTTTTCTATTGTTGTTATCTTGTGAACTTATTTGACTGAGGATGCTTCTAATGTAGGCAGTATCAATAAAGAGAGTGAGGGTTGGAAGGATGCAGGTGCGCGTACCGAGGAGCCGGACACCAGCAGCTCGACCTACGACGCAAGCGATGTGCGTGGTGACTCACAAACCGATACCTCGGACGGAAAGACTTCATCCAGTCAACAAACTTCCTATGCTCTTTACGACGATGAACGAGGTCGAGATGTCCCCACCAGTGAGCCCAAGGCAGACGTGGACAATAATGACTCCTCGCCTTTCGATGATCGACCCTCCTCCCGCAAGGATGAGCCTTCGGGTCATGATAATCAGCAGGGTCGTGAGACCTCCTCTGACACTAGTGGACGGGATTCAGGCTCTAGGAGCGACGATGCGCCGACCCAAGACGTGGACAATACCGGTATTCCAACCTCTGATAATCAAAGCAAAAATAACCAGGGCGGTCGTGACGCGTCTTCCAACACAACCGAGCAAGATTTAGGCTCTAAGAGGGATGATACTTCCACCACGTCTCGCATGCCTGCTTCAGGAGCTGTTCAGCCTCCTGACACTATAAGGTATGGCAGTGGACGAGAGGATAATGAACCTTCTGGGGACAATCGTACTGGCGCTGGCAGTGGTGATAGCGATTATAGTGGTTATGGTGGTTATGCAGCCAGTACTGGTTATCAGCCCGATGTAAAGCCGGGCCTGAAAGATAAATTACGAGGTGTGTGGGTTCTTGTTTCGGTTTAAATACGAATGGCCAGATTGATTTTGTAATCATCAGGGAATGCTGAAGTACTAGTGGGAAAGGCTGCGAAGAAGCCTGAGCTAGTCGAACGTGGATTGGAGAGAAAGGCTGGCAACGTGGTGTGATTATTGAGTGCTCACACATATCATTCAGTCAGGAGATGTGCTTTATATCTGAACGGTTGTCTTTTATCATGTGCTTCATTTCCCATCTGTAACAGTACGTATGCCGAATTTATGACCTTTTCCACCTCTATACAGCCATTAGCAGAGAACAACGCTGATTTAGCTGATCTGGATCCCGATGTGTGGCCTCTGCTTCAACACTTGGACAAGGCTTGACTTCGACGCAGCGCAGGACTTCGTTATCCGCAGTCCAGCATGTGGTGGAGCAATTCTTCTATTCCCAGGTACCTTGGGCGTAGATGGCCTAGGGGTCGTTCACATTCTCGCTGCCCGAATTTAGTCTTATTGACCACCCCTGTAGTATAAAGACACGGAAAGCGTGCTACTACTTTGTAGAACCCACGTCATCTAGAATGCTGCTGTGCTGTCTTCTGGTGCTCGCACTTTTCTTTTCATCTTCTGCCCTAGCCGATGCTGGAGACGCTCAGATCGTTTTGGACCTTGGTAGTACGAATTCAACTCAGGGTACCCCTCACTGGGTCGTGTATGCCGATCAGTATGTATCGGGAGTTACTGGTCCTCCAGCAGCATCCACTCTCGAGGTGTGTGCACCTGAAATGTAGAATACGCGTTCTCGGCCACTGATAGAATGTCATAGGGTTATAATGTCTTGTAAGTATGGTTCAAACACGCTTCGTTTTCTGCATAGTGATCTTTGTCTAAGTATCCTCTCTTTCCTCCTTACAGAGGGAGCATGGGACAAGGTACCTTTCAACATTTTTTGGCTATACAGATTTTGATTTTTTTCCTATAAGGCATACGAATGGACGACGTTGACAGCGGACGAGAGAACGGCCATCAAGTCCGAATATGCTGCAGCTGGAATCAAGCTTCTCGTGTCTGTGTTTGGTTCTACGGATGTTCCTACGACGTCGGGAGCAGATCCTAATGCTACAGCTGCGACAATGGCTGCATGGGTTATAGAGTACGGCTTGGATGGTATTGATGTCGATTACGAGGTGGGTATATGATTGTCTTCTGCGTTGTCCTTGTTTTAAAGCGATTACCCAGGACTTTGCTGCGATGAACAGCGGTACAGCCGAGGTGGGTTGATACTTCCTCTCCGGGAGTTGGTAGTTTATGGCTTGAGAACAGCAATGGCTGATCAGCTTTACTACTGCACTTCGTGCGTCCTTGCCTAAGGATAAGTATATTATCACTCATGCTCGTGAGTTGTGTATGCGCTAAGTTGCACCATGATTCTCATGTATTATCAAGCCGTCGCTCCTTGGTGGTTACCATTTAATTCTGGGTGTCTGCGATATGCTCAGCTATAGATCTTAGGTTCACACCGAATACTTATGTAGGCGGCGGTTATACCAAGATCAACCAGGAAGTAGGCGATTTGATTGATTGGTACAATATACAGGTTCGTTTTGCACTTCTCCTTCGTCTCGATATTCACTTGTTGGGTTTAGTTCTACAACCGTAAGAGGGTTATTACGCTGGCCCCACGGGGAATCTAAGTTATTCCTACAGAAGGATCTACCGAGTACGCCGACTGTGGTGGCTTACTCACTGCTTCGTCTAGTACATGGCCAGAGACCTCACTGTTCGAGATCGCTAACAACGGAGTCGATCTTTCGAAGCTAGTCATTGGAAAGCCTGCCACAGCAAGTGATGCGACCAATGGCTACATGAATACCTCGATGTTGGCCACTTGTTTGGAAACCGCTAAGAAAGCGGTTGGGGTGCGTGTAATCAATCTTGTGCCGAACCGAATGGGTCACTCATACTGCTATCTCACAGCTGGTGGCGCGATGGCGTGGCAGGTACGCACTTTACTTCGTCCATGTAGCACATTGCTTACTACACTAGTACCCAAATGCTGATGCCTCGTGGATCTCTACGGTTCGTTCACTTTCTTGGCCTGTTTGATTGCCATTTGTTCTTCTGTAAGCGTGTCTTTAACTTTGTGTTCGCCCGGGCTTGCATTAGACCGTACTATGCAGTAACTATATATTATATATATCTACGCGTAAGATTTCACTGGAAATATTCTTGATATTGATAAGAGGAGATCCAAAGTGATGTGGCGCTCGCCATGTCGTTCGAGGATACGGTGCGGAAAATACAAAGCGAGGAACAGGCTTTGAGAGAAGATGAGAAATTTGGCGAACTTCTGTAGGCATAAAGTCAGGCCCCAGGGTATCACTGAAAATGTCAAGACGATGCCTATGAAGAGATACGACTGGATCTCACGTTTATATGAGATATATATACTGGCGGAGAGCCCGAACTTGAACGTTCAAAACGAGTTCAAGAAATGTGGCATTGCCTACTAGGGTCCGGGATTGCCGGCCGACCTCTGATGAGGATTAGGATGCGGAGAATTAACACAACAAATAGGTAGTCGACACGGTCTGCCCAAATCATTTGCAGGCTTTGTTGGAGAAGCATGGACGAGGAGAAAGCAGAACTTCATGTAGGTATCCAATGTTATTAGCAGGGGAAATTAGCAGCAACCTGGATTCCAGTAAGCAGATAAGCTATAAGGACATGAATACAACGATGATAACCTCACCTCAACAAAAAGAATCTTTTTTTGCGCCAACGTTGGTAAAACTCCCTTCGCGTCGTCTTCAAGGGAGCCCGGATACTCCCTCGCATGCCTCCACCGCGCCCTTGCGCCGTCATATTTATCCAACCTGAGATGTACCTTCCTCAATGATTGTAATCTCCCCAGCACTGCGTCCAGCGCAACCCATTCATCGATGTACATCGTGAAATCACTTGCATAAAAGATCTCGAACGTGACCTCCTCCACTGTATGCCACTGCACGAGCTCCCGAAATATCGCAGACATCCATCGTAGCCATTCGCTTGGCCTCGTATGCTGGTCCAAACGCATCCACCACAGCTTAATGCGTATCGAACGAAGCTGAGATACATCAATTAGGTTTGACAGAGGTTCTGGGGAGGCTATCAAACAAAGAACTCGGTCTAGAGACGAAACTCAACTGACCTCCGAGGCAGACATTCAGAACCAGTTGCTTCAATAGACTTCCATTCAATCGCCTTAAAAACTCCTTGGTGATGCCCACGCGCTCCCCAGGATGTCCCGTTCCAGCCGTGAGCACTGCTAGTCGGTGGAGACTGCTCAGGTTGACTGAGGACTGCAGCAATCTCAGCAGCGGAAAGTGCGAATGTTCGTACAAACTGATCGCGAGTGATTTCAGTTTCAGTCCGCTCGTATTCTTGGCTCTTATTTGAGAGTCAGAGAAGCTACCACACGACACACCGGACAAGGTCAGCTGTTTGAGATGTCCGCTACCTCCCAAAAGGGCCAAGAAATCCGTACAGTGAAGGAACTGTCCTTCACGGAGCTCGAGATTAGTTATTCGTGGGGAGCGAAGGGTGGCGGCGAGGGTATCCCGCAGGTATAGTGAAAGCTCATCCCAGCGATACTCACAAAGATCGACTGATATACTTTCGAGTCTGGTCAGTTTTTCGAGAATGCGCGCGAGAAGTTGCACGTCGAGCAGCGGCGAAATCTCGACAGCTTGAACAAATGTGGCGATACGAGGCTGTGCGCATATGAGCGCGTAGAATTGTTCAATAGTGCGCTGACTTCGTCTCTGGATGAAGTAGTTTGTTCGTTTATTATTGAAGCTGACCCGAGAGAAGATATGACGTTGCGAAGAATATGTCCATGAATGGTTAACGAGAGAACAGGCACGCAAGGTAGCCCTGTCGTCTTGATTTTCATCCACGATGGCGTCAATCAGCTCATGTGGGAGACCGCTGAGCCCGGCATCCTGCTTTTTCATGGATAAAGCTTAAAATGGAAAAAAAGATGATTAATATCGCTTTGATGAAAGACAAGGCGACCAACATTGGAATCAACTCGATAGCAGCGGCTTGGCACGATCTTGAACGATGGAAGTCGATAAGAGCCGTGCTGGCGGTAAGCAAGCAGAAGGATCCGAGCATTTTGCTATCATCCTCCTTATGTAGTCGCTCTGTTCTCATGTCGCACTTCTCCGCCTTCTGCCGAGGATCGGTCCAGGTCATTGCATATACCTTCCAAGACATGCCAAGTCTCGGTCCGGGGGGTTCTCTCTTTATAAGCCATCACGATGTTACCAGAGGAGATAGTCAAGACCTAGAGATTTCCCACCAACAAAGACGTTCGAGTCTCTGCAAAGGTCTTTCTGCAGAGGTTCGTCAATATGGTGGGCAAAGCAGAGACATAATATGTTACGTTACCTACATACCCCAGCATGTCATGCGCCAGCGGTTGCTACTGGTATGAGTATTATTTTCCCGTCCGCTTCTCTCTTGGAGCAGCTGACGCCCATCCCGCTGCGGCCCAGAATTGTAGAAGCCTTCTTTTTCTTTCATTTCGCATGCTGTTAGACCAACATCCCGGTCGGCAAACAACTCTAGGAGCCTGCCGCGCAATGGACATATGGATCGCTTTGAGGTCATTTAAAACAGGGCTACATTTGAAGAAAATTAAGCTTACTTGGCCAAACTAGCTACGAAAGACAATCCATCGGTACTGGACGTATGGCCAAATTATTGCCTGTGACAAAAGGTCATCATACGAATATCCACGAACAAGTCTAAAACGCGACCATTGAGATTCACGCACTTCATAAGGATTTCAAGTTCATGCCTCAACGTTAGCTGATAACAATCACCACCAATCTGCATGGCGTCGCCAGGTTCTCGTGATTTGTCTTGATGGTACCTCTGACATTCGATAACGCATTGCTCTGGGAAGTTTTCATTTGTCCAGCATCCTTGTAGACCGGTAGAACAGGCAAAGAAGTCCTGCCCGACGTGTTCCATGCCATGGACCGTGTTTCATGTTTCAGATACCTTTCCCTTGTCGGCGTTAAAGCGCTAGTAAGTCCTCTATCCTCCGCCACTTCGAACACGAATATACCAGGCATATAAGAGGGGGAATGTGAGATTATTGCTGGCAAAAATAAGAGTATAGGAGGCGCCTTGGTAGTGACCAATAGGAACCACGTGGTCGGACGTGTTTATCACCGGGGCCCTGAGTATCACCACTTTCTTCAAGGTTGCTGTCTTCTGCTTTGATTTGTTGCATTATCTTTTTTCAAGCAATTGGGCAATTCTTCTACTCAAACAGCGACTGAGTTCTCAATATATCAGGACCAAATGTGTACACCGCCGAGCCTTCCCCCTAATCCAGTGCTCTGATTCAAGTCAAGTTTTCCGGTTTCGTAGCACCTCCATTTGCTATTTACTCATTCTCTACTGTGTGTACTATTCTTACCTTATGCATACACCACAAACTTAATGATTTTATTGCGCAATGATACAGGCCCGGAAAAGGAGTTCCTTGAATGAGGGGCTAGAGAACTATATACGGTCCGTCCAATCGATTGGTCTTCTATGATGTCGGTGTCCAGAGTGTGATTTTGCGAAGGAGATAAGATGCATCTATTATCACAAAGCCATAAAGGAAATTAAGAATAAGGCGAGGAGGTTTGACCATGTTTTAGACATTTCTGGCCACGCAAGATTACTGGTACAATGCACAAGCATGAGCTCTGCTTTCGTCCCGGAAAGGAGAAAACGCATACCTTGAACCTGAGCTATTACTGCTACTATCACTACTAGGTTTCCCTGTAATTGATACGCTGAAAACTGCAACGAGACCATCCACAGCGTTCACCGCGCCATTATTAGACACAGACTGGTTATGATTGATGCCGATGCTTGTGTTCTGTAGCAGCCCCGTAGCATACATGATGTCGGTCTTGTATGTATATCCCTGAGAGGACGATGTCCCAGAAAATGTCGAAGAACCGGTCAGCGCGAGTGTTGACACATTCGAGCCGGTGATGTTGCCGACAACGTAGTCACGGCCAAGATTGTATCCATTTTCAACGATGTCGTGATTGTCACTTGAGGAGGTTTCATAAGATATAGCCAAGAAAGCCGCACCGCTACATTCAAGTTAAAATGCAACGACTAAAGCTGGACCGACGCGTAAGCATTCACCTGTTGGCCTCACTACCATTCTGAACCCAGTATCTAAAGTGGTCACCTCCCTTTACCGACTCTGTGCAGGAACCTAACGCAGGATCACCATAATTATATCGCATTACAGCGGTCTCATTGCCTTTGATAAATATGAATCCCGACATTGTAAATGGGGATCAGCGGAAAACACGCACGGAAACCGTTGCCGTCCCCTAAATTAACTTGTTGGGAGTTACCCGTATGTTGACCTAAGCATTCCCCCGAAAACGATAAAGACCTGTCTTGCAGATAAAAAGGGGTGAGACGCGTAAGGATGCGAGACTAACAGAAAATAATTGATAAGCCCTCCGTTCGTGCTTTGCTGTGCGAGAACAGCTTGGTCGGAATTTCCCGATATAATAGCGTTCACCGGCTCCTGTTGGCCGTCTGGGTAAGTCTGCCCTACGACCTTTTCCATACGATTGTGAGCCATTGCAGACTTCTAGGACTTATCCCCATACCGTCAGCATAGATCCCCCATTATCGGCCGGACTGTAATAGCCTTCAGAGGGCAGGCTACGCTTGGAGATCTCTTTCGCTAGGATAAACAACGGAAAATACAGAGAAAGGAGTAGAATTGTCGCCTTTGTCATGGAGGTAGAAGACAGCAGTGACAGTTGACGCTTCACACGTGAAGAGTGGAACCTCAGATCTCCCAGGGATAGCATTGGTAGACCGATCTCCATACATTTTCATTTCAGCGGCAAGCCCTTATATAGATGGGATACAAGGCGAGGCTGTGTCCGTGACTGTCCACAAGAATATTAACGCTGAGTAGCGAGCAAGACACCTTCAATGCAGCCATGTATATTGCGGATGGCCATTCTTGTCTGAATGTTGTTGGAGAGTGTTGGAGCAAAGCGACGGAGGGAAGACGATCATCATCCGGCGTCGTCCAACTTCTCGCACGTGCCATCTTCGATGCGCGGTCCGGGTTACTCTGCCTCTACATGGGTTGGCTAGCTTCTAACTAATAAGCAGCATGCACAACGACTACCTTGCGTAAATTGACGTACTGAAGGGGGGAAAGACGACCTCTAACAACGTGATTACTGTTGAACCAATCCTCGAGCTCGAGCCGTATTGCTGCTGTTTCAGCTGTAGCCGAAAACATAACGGGAGATGTAGCAAGGTAGATAAAACAAAATGGTACAAAACAAAGCAATGTAAAAGAATTAACTAAAGCATTATTAGTCTAACGGAATCCGTGGCTCTGCGATACAGGTCAAATGGTCAGACTATGGCTGCAGCAAACTCAGGAAAGTTTCAGCATCAGGTCTGCTCTTCACCACCACCTGGAACAAGGACCGACTTCTCAGTACTGGAAACTGATCCTCTATCCCCTGCTGAAGCATATCCAAGGACTTGGCCTGTATCGGCGTGCAAAACACCTGAAAAACTAATCTCCGAAGCCGAGATCTCGTGGCCGAAAGGGTAGCATCCCACGTTGACCAGACGCCATAGTCCATATGGCCAAAGAGACTAGGGCTCGACACAACAGTACGAACGATGATCTCTTCCACTTCTTTGGCGCGGGCATCAAAAACTTTACCCCACGACTTGATCGTCGAGGAATGGCGTTCGTTATATATAGGGTGCGAGAACGTGATGGTAACTTTCCGGAGGTACGAAATGTCGAGATCATCCAGAAGTACTGGGCGCAAGGCTGCATATAGATATGTTAAACATTGATGGGCACAGAGTCAGAAGGAACATACATTGATGCATCAGGTGAACCTCCTCCAGCGTGCAGGACGCCGTTTTCAGAATCGTGCTGACAAAACGAATGTCCGAGTTATCTTGGACGCTGATGGCAAATATACGGAGACGATTAAAGGAGAGACCGCTTAGTCTGGGGTTTAACATGAGGTCGCTCAGCCCGGAGCTAAACGCCGAGGAGGAAATGGAGAAGCTTTCGAGATAGGATGATCGTGCCGGCAAGTCATATTCGGCATCAATAGAGGCCAGACGTGGCACGGAGAGCAGTTCGAGACACCGAATGCGAGGATGGAGTTGTATGAAGGTGAGCGTTTCGGAGACGGAGGCGTAACAGATGCTGTCGTGGAAATCGACGGACAGGGAGCGTAGAGAGGGAAATGATGTCGCGCCTCGGTTGACTAGTTCGGTGACCCAGAAGACCCAGGAGACGTCTTTCATCACCAGCCACTCGACACTGGTGAGCGAGGAGATGATGAAGGTGATGATCTCGTCAGGGGGCACGTAGCGATTATCCAATGTGAGGTGTTTAATCACCCGAGGGATGTGCGGGGAGGAACGACACATGGCGACAAACTTGTCGCAGCGAAAGTTGTGGCCAAATGACATCTTTCTGAAGATGTGTATACGTGTACGGGTGTAGAATGCATGAGAGGTGAGAGAGCATGCTTTGAGTGCAGCTGGGTCGTCCCATAAATGGTCGATTACGGCGTCAGTCAGCTCTTGCGGAAACGAGCCGTAATGAAAGCCACTCAAGGACATCTGAAAGGTCGCAGGAAACTATCAGCTAACAAGAAGGATGAACGAGCATTAGACGCTACCGACTGGGGATGTAGACAGCTAGGTCTGTCAAAGAGGGGGTGGCGACTAGTATGTGGACGTCAGGAAACGAGGAAGGCCCGGCAGTTAACAGCAGACACAACGTATGATGATGACGATCTTTTTTTGATGAGGCCGCATGATATACATGGAAAACAATTCCCAGCCCCAAAAGTTGTGGCTTTGATGGGGCTAGATTTTCATTTGTTAAGACACCGGAACCGTATTGAACCTTAACGAGTTGAGTTCCGTCGATCCAAGCAATCATAGGAAATAAGTTGTGGTCAGTCAAAGTAATACAGCTGGTGACCACTGTGTGGGTCCTACACGTCGGCACTCTTGAGTCCAGGACACTGTACGCCTGGTAGGCTCAGAACGGCCGGACGGACGTAACCCCCGTTGGGCAAAACACATCGCAACAAGCGACCCTTGAAACTGCCGGTAAAGACAAGCCTCATATGGGGATAGTAAATAGACTTACCAACGTGCGGCGTGATGTTGAGCTGAATTTGCATAGGCTGGGTATTTGGATGAATGCCGGAATACCAGCATCTTGTCTGGCGGACGCTCATCGTTTCAACCTGAAAAGTATGAATTGAGCCACATCACGGTTAAGAAAAAGTCTCAGAAGATGCGGCATTAGTATCAACAACTGCAGTCCGAGGATGACAAAAGTAGAGTGAAGTTATGAACGACCTTGACATGACGACCTTGCACTAGAAGCACGGACCCTCTAGAAGCGGCAGAAGAGTGCTCAGTATAGTATAGTTCAGGGCTATGGAGTCGAAGTGTGAAAATTGGGCGTTAAGCTTGCGATAAGAAACACTTTCGGTAACAAAGCGTCAACACAGGCGTTCTACTCTGACTCCGGTTGCACATTGAGCGGCTGGCAACCTCATTGATTCAGGACTGTGAATGTAAAGAATACGAGTCAAACAAGACCAACGGACGGAATACTGAAAATCTACTCAAAGACATGTTGGGATGTTGGGTAGGCCAGCCGGGTTTCTGTTGGTAGGTTCTGATGCGAGAAGGTCTGCAGGATATTCGTGGGTGAAGCTGTAAATGGCCAGACTCTATGATACACGAAGCGAAGCCAGCAACGGTCGTCGGTTGCCCACTGGTCCGGGAAAATATAGCTCGCCGTGGGGGCCTAGTCTCCGATGGGTCATATATACTGTACATATCGATATTGCACCGTAGGTCAGCTGTACATGTGGTGGAACCGATACCAACTACTTCAGTATTGCGTCCGATGGCTCTGCCGCCAACACTGTAGTAATAGAATATATGAGCTGGATGTTCTCAGCATAACAGCCATACAACGCACCTTCATTGCCGAAGTCCTTCTGCCCGAGCCCTTTTTTCTAGCCCTTCGCCTAGGTAGATCTCGTTCTTCTCCTGGAGGTCAATGGGAAATTGTTAATGCTTGCCCTGCATGGTTCATCGATAGAGCTAGTAGCCGGATAGTGAGAGAAGAGATCCCGCTGAGGTCGATGATGGCGGTCGGAGACAACGAAGGCATACAGTCTCGTGATCGTCTAGCCCACTCTTACTCTTGAACCACGACATACGGAGCTATCTCGACTTATCAGAATCCTGGCCGACTCAATGCTATATGCGAGGTATTCTCTCTTACCAAGACACGAAAATTTTATCATTGGAATGTAGTAGAAGGCAAAACAACGAAGGACGGTCTGGCTCATGTGCGACGATTTGCTTCATATCTTGTGTCTGCTCACGCTGAAAATATGATAGTTCCAGCTCAACCATGGGTCTGCCAAATTCCACATATGCATACAAGCAATTTCTTGCGTTACCCGATCTTCGTGTCCTCGGAGATATCATCGGTACCAACGGCAACAGCATCCAGGGACGGCTCGAAGCCTTGTCGCACCTGTAGTCGCAATTACGGGTCCTCGTATGCTTTGGTGCCGTCGGACGTTCCCAAGTACCATCAATGACGACCCGGACTAAACCTGAACAACGGACATGTGGAAACAGCGGTACCGGAGATATCAATACGAATCGAGAGCATAACAACGGAAGCTGCATATAGTTCAGCCCAAGGTGCGTTGCTCTTGTTTATAACAATTTTTTTTCCAAAACAGTGGATATTATACGTTTTCAGTTAGTCTCCCCGAGGCAGACTCTCACATCAAGACAGTCGAGATTTATTTTTCAGTTATGCTATGTCGATGCCGGGATTTTCACCGAGGATAGTTGGTTTCGAGCTGGGGACAATTCATCAATTCATTACTATTCTACTACTGCATTAGCGGATCAAGGAATGGAGCGAGGTCCCTGCCGAAGTGGTATTCCCAAGCAGCACAGTGTGGTGTCGTTGACTTCCTCATCCGTTCCGAAATTGACCCTTCGCCCCATAAGCTGCTATTATCAGCTATCATCTCTATGACTACACTAGATAACTTGCTCGGAAATAGGAACTAACTATAATAAATAAAAGGCCTTATTTGTTTGCACCTTGCAGCCTCATTGAGTAAAGCTTGTCATGTTTTAGAGGCGACATCGACATCCCCAAATGTGGCTTTCTGAGTATTCAGTAAATAGCAAGAAATCAAAATATCAACATAATCGACTAGTAAGAGACAAACCCGTCAAGGTGAAGAAACATCTAGTGATGGCCAGAGAAAGCAACCTTAGACTTCAGAATCGTAAGGATCATTTGAATCCCCGACTACAGCACTCCCGCACATGGGAATATAGAGCTTTAATCCTTCCCCAGCCATTTGTGTAAACAATTCGACACCATCAGAAGACGTCTCAGTGAAGAACGCGCAAAATATTTTGCGTAGTCGTGCGGCACGCTCCTGGTCGACATACCATCTTGACCGCACCATCGCTATGAATGCATGGGTCATAGGTAGGTCAAAGCCTATATCCAGATGCAGATGCACCAGATGAGGCAGCAGCGCGTGGGAGATGGGCTTATCCGCCTCTGGATACGCGAGCGATTTGCTGAAGGCTTCAAATGCGTTCAGTGTGAGATGCCCAAAATCGAGACGCAAGACCTCAACCGTGGGCGTATCCTTTAGCAGATTGATGAGAGGCTGGTCCATATCAATGCCGTTCAAATGCAGATTCTGTAAAGTGCACTGCGAGCGTACAATGAACTCGTGGATAATCGGGGTAGGCGATGGAGTGCTGCCTACGGCGATCAGGGTGAATAATACCTTGAGCGCAGAGAAGGTGAAACATGGCAATGCGTAGACTTGAGGTGCACTCAGTTCGCGCAACGACGTATGAACGATGGGGTCAAATAGGCTGAGATTGTACATATGATCTTTGAGAAATAGCCGCTGCAAGTTGTGGGCCTTGCGTAAAATACTGATGTCATTTTGAGGGGATCCGCACATGAGATCAATTTTGATCAGTTGGGACCAAGGGAGATTCAGGGAGGACGGGGATCGAAAGCCGAGCACATAGATATCGTGCAGACGGGGAGCTGTAGCAAGTATGTCCAGGATGCTCTCATCGAGTTCAAACACGGTGACAACGTGGCTATCGAAGGACCGGGAAAGGCGGAATCGCTCCAGCAAAGGGAGAGTGTGTCTCTGTGGCTTGGGCAGACGACGAGTGAAGTCCGTTGTGGAAAGATAGATTTCGATGGTGCGCCAGTGATCGCAATGGTCCAAGAGCATAGCCCATAGATGCGCATTCGGATCACCACTTTCGTTGTACTGGATCCGGAGAGGGTAGGATTGGGATCGAAGAAGAGATACTTCCAGCTGACGAGCGCGACCTGAAAAGTTGAAAGTCCGTGGTTCTTGGATTAGAACCCAAGACCACAATTCAGGATATGATAGTGCGATGTCTCTCCATCTTTGACAGACTTAAGAAAGAATCCAGGGGGTGTCATAGCAGCGAACTCGCTCGTTCGCGATGCGGACCCAAGAAAAGATATAAGTCGATATCTCCGGCATCACCCCCAAGATGGGCGGGTCACCTCGCGCCGACAGCATGTAAGAGTCGCTGGAAGGGAAATTTGCTGATTCCATGATTCTCTGAAATCGAGAACAGTCATAAACTATCTGTTTCTTCAACAAGAACGCAGCCGCTTACCGACAATAGTAGTTGACACAACAGCGAAGAGAAAGACAACGCGATTCCTTGCGAGCTACGTGTCGGCCGCCCACAGCGAATCTGTGTGAATCCAACTCAGTGAAGGTTGAAGAGAAGTTGACTCCTCAGTGCCGTGTACCGGCACGGCGTTTAGTGCACGTGGCCACTCAGTTTATTTTGCGTTCAACTCCGTTACAGTAAATAGTTACTACATGACAAGTAATGCCCGTTTCTGCAGTGTTACTACTTCTTATGTACTGGCAGCCGTTAATTATGCCCGTGAACCTCACAACATGGGCTTCAATACCATTTCTAGCGAGTTCTCAGCCTCCGCTGACATCTTCCATAGGAACAACCTACACACGCATCACCTTTGCCAGGACGCGCGTCGCCTTGAGGTTGGTTCGATTGTAGTGCCTTATTGTGTATGACGCGTCTCCTTCCGTGGCTTGGCATTCTCCGACTTGTCGTGTGTTTTGTTTTTCGTTCTCTTTCCTACTCCCCTTTGCTCTAATTATTCCTACGAGTTTCACTGTCGATCCGGGAACTGACAAATCTCAAATTCCCAGTCTTCCCTGATCTTCTCAGCTATCAAGTTAAAACGTTAATCTCGTATTGTAGTTAGAGGCTACGAGGACGAAGTGATCATGTTAAAGAGTGGTCTTCACCCCTCAGTCAAGCATCCGTGAGTGTAATCCTTGGGACCGGCACTGCATATCATCTTAGAGAATCATTCAAGCAGATCGGGCGAGAATCTCGTCGCTCTGCCATTTTACCATTAAAATCAGCGCGTTTTCTCGCCTTCTCCAGGGATCAACACCTTTGTATGTACTCTAGATATCTTGAAATGCATATATCTTCAATTTATGACCAAATACAGAGGCCCTTGGGACCCACAAAAACTTTCGGACCCTACCAGTATACCCCCCGCTCTGGGTACCAGGCTTTATACACAGGTACGAGTTCCGCGAGTATCTATAAAGCGGCTTGCCAGGCTAGTGATGTCGCCCTCTGATTCTGGAGTCATGGATAGAGTAATTTTCCCATCTGTTGCAGAGTTGCATAATGATATTCCTTTTTCTAGCAGGGCTTTCAAGACTGGAACGACCCAACTTACCCAGGCGGGCCAGGCGCTCCCAACAGTGGCTCCATAAAGTAAGTGCTGCAGGAGCGACGGAAAATAGGGAACATATACTTACAGCAATAACAAATTGGCGATCTCCGTTGGATCACCGAGCCCCTTCAAGAGCGACAAGAAGCGCAACAACCCGCCCGAAAAACCGCTACAATACATCCTTGACGCTAAGTCGTTCTCAGATGTTGTTCGTGCCATAATGGACGCATCAAGGCGTGATACTAGCACATTGCAAAGCTTGATATGTATTACTGACATTAAAAATATTGAATTTTCCAGGGCTTCGATAGGACTCGCCCAATTATTTTGGAGGCCACAGTGCATTTTGACATAAGTTGCCGCGAGCTTATACTTTGGTCCAATCCGCTGATCCATGTGGCCCACGCAGCATGGTTAACTGGAATTATTTATACCATTCAAGCCATTAGTCCCATACCAGTGCCTCTTACAGGTAGTGTGGTCACTCGAAAAATATTCATATTTGCATCTATCATTGATCGTCTGGCCATCCTTAGCGTCAAGCGTCCATGACTCACTTTGATTTGACGTTTTCACTAATCACTCGACACCGAAGCCTGGTTACACGGTCATTTCTTGGCGTGAATGTGCTTGATGTCGACAAAAGTTTCACGGTAAAACGGCTAACAATAGGTTTACCAAGAAACTCGTTTACCAAGAAATTCTGGATTCCGAAAGGTTGTTGCGTTAGTCATGCTATCTCCTGATTCATCAGGTCTTCCGCAGGTCTGCACGGCTGAACTCCCTTTGAAGTTCGACGCGACGCGTGTATAAAATGCATACTACGCCTCGAAGGCCCTCATCAGTTATAACTAACAAACCAGCTCTCGCATTATACCAATGTCGAACCTCAAAGCTCTTTTCCAGCCCCTCAAAGTTGGCCTAACCACCCTCCGGAATAGGATCTTCATGTCCGCCATGGCGCGCAACCGTTCCGTCCCAACGAACGTCCCCAACAGTATCAACGCCGAGTACTACCGACAACGTGCCGCGAGAGGTGCTGGTTTGATTATCACCGAAGCCGTTCTCATTGCTCAGCAAGGGTACGCGTATCACTCGCAACGTTCTTGGTGCTAGTCCTTATAACCTTTCAGCACCGAATGGCAGGATGCCCCTGGCATCTGGTCACAGGAGCAAGTCAACGGATGGAAAAAGGTTACTGACGCTGTTCACGAAGAGGGAGGCGCGATCTTCGCTCAGGTACTTCTTAGTTCCCTCTCGTTTCGTCTACCTTCTGACATGATCTACTTTTAGTTATGGCATCGTGAGTTCTCGACCTTTCGTCTCATATTATATATATACTAACATGTCATTAGTTGGACGCGTAAGCCACCCCGATGCACCTGAGCAAATCGCCTCAGGACTCCCCGTCTATGCACCGTCAGCGATCTCTGCCCGAGGAGGAAAATTCCGTTTCCTCCTTGGTCAGCCAGGCTACGTCACACCTACTGCAATTGACGACCCTCAAATTCTACTTCCCCAGTGGAAACAAGCTGCCATTAACGCGAAACAGGCCGGGTTCGATGGTGTAGAGATCCATGGCGCGAACGGCTACTTGATCCACCAGTTCCTCGATAGCACCGCGAATCACCGAACAAACCAATGGGGCGGGAGCGTGGAGAATAGAGCTCGGTTCCCTCTTGAAGTTGTCAAAATCGCAGTGGACGTCTGGGGTGCTAATAGGGTCGGTATCAAGTTGAACCCTCCCGGAGGGTATAATGATGTCGGGTATGTCTTCATTCCAAATGATGCGGCTTGTACTTTGTGCTGATGAGTTGGAACAGAATGCCGCTTCAAGAGACGTTGGACACATTCGGGTACCTCATCTCAGAGATTGACAAGCTCGGGGATCGCCTACGTCACGCTCGTGCGATATGCAGAGAATCTTGATCCAGTTATTGACGGGGCTCGGCGCGCAACAAAGCATGATGTTATCGGAACGTATGCGCCCTTGTTGAAGAATCCGGCTACGAAAGGTATTCGCGAATGCGTCGTTCACAGGCGAAGAGGCGGCACGATATGTTGAGGACGAGAAAGTGGATGGAGTGTTCTTTGGCATTCCTTGGGTGGCGAACCCAGATTTAGGGAAGAGGTTTGAGAAGGGCGTCGCGCTAGAAGGGAATATTGATTTCATGACACTCTATGGGCACGGGGGAACGGAGGCGGACGAGAGGAAAGGATATGTTGACTATCCTGTGGCAGCACTTTAGATGTCTTTACTTTTAGATGACTGCACTATTGTGCTCTGTCCTTACCATGATTTTAGTGAACTTGAGGAGAAAATGGGTGTTCTAGGTCGCAAATGTAGACGAAAGAGTCATCATGTTGATTCCAATGAAAGGCTCTGATGCCCTGCCTTCGACGTTTCCCCTTTCGAGCTACACGACAACCGTAAAACGGCACAATGACGAATGGGGTAGCTAGTGCAAATTGGCGAGACTCAAACATACGCCATAGCACCACTCTGTAGCTTAGCTTGGACTTCAAATGTCCAGTCTCCTATCTAGCCTTCTCAATATCCGGAGTAGAGGAGTAGCATATCTCATCTAGCATCTGCACGGCCGATCAATTATCACCTACAAATGAATAACAACAAGACGTACCAAATGGCCTACATCCCGGATTTTTGTTACAGACGCAAGCCTACTGCCATTGTCCAGTAAGGAGTCTTTCCTTGTCCCTGTGAACTGAAAGGAAGGTAGAAACAGACGTACGACATGTCGTTCTAGATCAAACACAACCTTGAGCATTTGTTGTGGTCATGTTAAGGAGGGCGGACGTAGGACTGAGAAAACTGGAAAATTGTATTGATTGACCATCTCCGCTGATATAGCTCAGGTAAATGAAAGTAAACTACTCCTACCGACCTCAATGGTTCGTTGTGTAAAGCCATCTTCCTTGACAAGGGCAAAGGACTCATGCTATAGGCGAAAATGGTACAGCCTCTTGGAAAGAAAGAGAGCTACCATGTAAGGCATTGCAAGGAGAACGCTTTTCAAGGTCAATGACGAGTTTGAGCTGAAGGGGAGGGTCGGGGATAAAGAAATAGCGAGATATGGAGTATTCGTGGTGGAGGTTCAAGTTGTTCGTCGGAAATGCCGGCGAATCCGGGCCGCCAACCGATATTTCCAATCTAGTAACAGATCACGTTACATGACGCGAAGAGTGAAAATCCATTTCCGGTTTGCCATGTTCTCTTTTGTCCTCCTCAATGCGCCTCAGAACCTTGGTTCTTCAGCACGACAACTTGCATACAGACCAAAGGCAACCAATAGCTGTAACCGTCCAAAGGACAGGAAAACCAAGAAAGCGGTTGACAGGGTTCATGAAAAGTACGTCTAGATCGTCACCGATCCTTTCTCTCGTAGATAACATTGCTCCAGGGAAAAGTACGTACGGGATTTTTAATTCTAGAGCGCTTCTGAGTACATGACGGGTACCTTCCTCGTTGGGATGCAGAAATGAAGGCGCAGCGAAAGTGGAATATGACCATGAAGGGCTCGTGCATGCCTTCTGTGTTTCAACTTCCCCTCATGCAAATGCTTTTGCTACGCTTGCAAACGAGGGCATTGGGGAACCTGGAGAATTTGTATGTACCATTATTCCTATGAGTCTTTCTTGTCTTTGGCCGAGCTCATATCAGGCTGTATAGATTTACGATGGAATACCAAAAGAATAACCGCATCTGAACTACGACAAACCTGAACCCCCGATTAGGGTGTTAACTTCTGACTTTCTCCTACCACAGACCTTTGCCGGACTGACGGTCGACGACAAAGCAAGCCAAGACTGATAGATATCCACTTATCAGCTACTTGACGTCTGCCACGGACCGCCGAATCTCACAAACATGACGTCCCGCGACGACGTCAGCGTCCGTGCTCTCGGGCTGTCAGGGGCAGGAATGCAGGAATGCATTAGGGTAAACTCATTGTGAGGTCTGAATAGGCCGATCTGTAGGGCACACTCTATGTCCGTTGTCCCAAGCTTCAGCCCTTGGCACAGATTCGCTAATCTAGTCAGAGACATTTCCTTGGCGCTATCTTTCAACTTTCATGTTCTCAGCTGTAACGTCCTTTCCTTCGCCCGAGGCCTGCTCCTCAACAGGTGCAGTCAAATGAACCATGAATCCTACATCGACCCATGCTCGAGGACTTGGCAAAAATCGGACTCTATACCATCACCATTGTACGGAGAAAGATGGACAGCCGTTCGCGCTGCGCCCCGCCCACTCGCACATTCCACCGAATATTTTGCGGCGATGACGAAGATAACACTGACAGTAACACGCTGTTATGTTCGTGAACGACTTAAAATTTGAATATATCTGTCATTCTATTGGCTACAAACGCGTCAAACATACCTTGGTCTTCCACGGCGTCCTTTCAATCGCGTCTGATGGAGAATTCTCGCGTTCACTCTTACCCTCCGTTGAGGGCTTCACAACCGAAGCTACGGACGCGTGCTGTTCAATCTTCTTACGAAAATTTTGACCGTCGGTCTATAAAATGCGTCCAGGCTAGCTGCAAATGTCCATTGCATTTCCCCCCCTCCATCTGCGAACATGAAAATCGCACCTGCCGCTGTTCTCTTGGCTTCTGCTCTCCTCGCCACTGCTCATCCTGGTCCTCACGCGCCTATCAAGCGCTCGGAAGCAGAGTTAGCACGTCGCGACCTTACCTCGTCCAAGTGCGCTCGCCATGTCGGCGAAATGCAGCATAACCGCATAGCAAAGCGCGCAGAGGCCTTGACCAAGCGTAGCAGCCGGTTCTCCTCGGTTACTATCACCACCGAGTCACCTTTCTACCCTAGGATTCAAAACGAGACATGCGTTCTCACTCCTGAGACTACCACTGGTCCGTATATCTGGTCCAAGTCCCAGACTCTGCGCCAGGATATGACCGAGGACCAACCGGGAATTCCGCTGATCCTAGTAGGCACTGCTTCCTTTCGGGAGCGACGTTTCACTCATTCTGCATTGCTGTAGGACATTGGTGTCATTGACGTCAACACCTGTGAACCTATGCGTAATGTGCTCGTTGACCTTTGGCACTGTAACGCAACGGGGTCGTATTCTTCCTTCACCGGACGTGATCCGAATACTCCCTTTGAGCAGCTCCTCGAAGAGCTGGGTATTGACCTCAGCGCCGGTGGGACCCTCGATCTTCATACGGATGACACGACATTCCTCCGTGGCATGTGGCCCACCGACGCCAATGGGATGATGCAAATGAAGACCATTGTGCCGGGATACTACGTAGAGCGCGCAATACACATTCACGTCCAGGTATATATCATTCTTTCAGCGCATGAGCCTGGCTCACGGGGCGTGTTTAGGTCCACCAGAATTGGGTACTGCAATCGAATGGAACAGTCAAGACCGGCAGCACCGCAGAAACGGGCCAAATCTTCCTCGCTGAAGATCTCTCCAAGTATCTGATGTCGTATCAGCCGTACTTTGGACATACAGAGATCGAGAGGACCACCAATGGTGTGGATTCTATTTATTTGGAAGCGTCAACCAACGGATGGTACCCCGAGTTGGCAGTAATTCCCATTGACGGGGAGGAATACTCGAATGGTATCATCGGGTACATTACCATTGGAGTTGACTCGAGCCGTACCACTGCTTCTTCGTTCAATTAGTTCATCCGTGTTACAATATTTCGCGCTATAAAATCTGTCCAGCATAAGTCAAGCAGATGAATAAATTACTTTGTTCTACTTACTGAGCTCATGGTGTATGATATCAACCAGGAGCACCTGTAGACTGATGGCCGTTTGTCTGACCCCCTAACTGTTCAAATTGCAGGCAAGAAAGGGCGATTTGACTTGCGACCTCAAGTGGTGAGAGACGGTCCGTCGCGAGTCTAGATCGTTTTCCGGTCCGATCGCCCGGTTCTCGCGTCATCGATCAACAAACTTTTTTCCCGTCACGTCGGCAGACCATTGAAGCATTCTCTCTTTAACCTATCATTTTCAATAATTGAAGTCAAGCTATAGATGTCAGGCATCTGCCTTGTTTCGCGGCGCCTAATATTACCCAGGTGGCATTTCAGCTCCTGCAATATCGCGCGTTCACACGATTTTCCCATCTTATGGAGTCCTACCTCCGCAGCCCCCGACAATGCTCTCGCTCTACATGTCGGTCCGCTCGATTTTGGAATGTCCGTCATAGAGAATCTGCCTCGTTTTCGCCATCTCCAACACATTCAATTCGAAAAATATACAATGGCACAATTTGATGACCGACGGATAACAGACGCGTTATCTCGATGTCCAGTTAAAACTGCATCATTTACTTCATCGACATTTCGTAATCGACATCATCTTTATACTTTTCTACGCCATTTCCCGATGCTGGAGGAGCTGTCCTGCGCTGATCTGCATTTCAAGGCAAAGACTCGGCCACGTGAAGCTCGGGAAATAGTTCAACGGATTGGACCATCGCTTCGGAAGGTCACGATTGATAATGATGACGACCTGTGGCATGCAGCGTTAGACGGGTCAAGTTTTGGTCCTATCGATAAGCTGCAAAAAGTTACTATCATGGATGTGAAACTTGACGACCTTGCCAAGGTTGATCAATTCCTTCGGAGAACAAAAAACAGCCTGGAAGAGTTTTCTATGAGGCATTTGCATATCTTGGGTCGTACGTCACATCCATGTCTATTTGCTGTACCCTGTCTGAATGTGCCCAGATGCGCGCGGCACGCATATGCGTTGGAAAGCCTTACGTGAACATTTCGTGCTCTCACATCTAAGGAGGCTCTGTGTCGACATTCACGGCAAGGAAAAAAACACAGGACTTCCAGCAACCGAGATCGTGTTGAAATGGTGGCTGTCCATGCTGCAGGATGCGGCTAAAAAGGATGAAGCTCTCCGTCTCGAGAACCTCACGATCACTGTGGGGGTTGCCCGTTCGGTAAACTATATCCAGCGCGCCGGAGGATCCTTATGGCAGGAACTTGATCGTTGCCTCACACAAAATCAATTTTCTTCGTTCAAATCCCTCCGCGTCGTTATCAAAGTGTTTTCGCCATTACTGCCGCAAAGAGGTGAATCCCGGAGGCAGATGATATTGGATAATTGTCCTCGATTACAGGAGAAGGGGATGATTGATGTCGTGGTTCAATCTGTGGAGTTACCACAAGAGTCCGTCGAATAGGGAGGGTTTTTTGTACTATGACATGAATTTTTATCCGTCTTAAACCTAGCATTCTGGACATAGCTCTGGAGGGTGTCACAATACACTTGTTGACCGTCCTAGGAATTGGGTGTACCCCTCAAAACAATGGTGCGTTGCGTATGTGATTGATTTCTGGTTTTCTTATAATTTATCGTCGGGTATGGCTTAGTGAGAAGGATATTCATGGCTCCTGCCGGCTATCTGTTTGCCGAGAGCTCAGTAACTCCAAAAGAAGCGCCATTGATGTGCGGTCAACTCTTCTTTGAACTTTTTTCTTCTCTCTATGCTGGATGACTGAAGCATAGAAGTCTCGTTACCAGAATGACGAGTCGGCTCAAGGTCCGCAATTTATCTTTTCCTCTCTCGGCCGCTCATCTAAAAGTACGAGCCAGAAAGAAGCTACCAACGGTTCCCTTTCGGCTCTCACTACGCTGTGCGAAAATGCTACCAAAGATTCGACCACATTTCCCGTCATAATAAATGCCATCCGCCAGCACCTTCTTGCCACGCCCGTTCCCAGGCTGACTCTGAATTCATCTCTCACAAAACGTGATGATTCTAGTCTGCATACTATCCGTTCATGCTTCCTCTGCCTAAAAACCGCGCTATCTGACGATGCACTCAAAAGTGCATGTAACATTGCGCTTGTTTCCAGATTATGGCCAGATATGTGTCGCTGGATTACGTCCTTCCTTGATACTCACGTCGTGGACGTTTCGACTTCTTCCCTGGAAACACTTCTTCAAAATCAAAATTTTTTCGACATGATCGATGCTATATTGTCTTTATTGTTATCGCTCTCGAACGCGTCCCCGGTCCTAACTTGTATCCTCGAGACTGAGGACTTCATACGTTCCTTTACCCATTCCACCGTATGCCTCATGGTGGTGACCCAATACTCCTTGCAACCAATCACGACGGCACTCCTGGTGCGCTTTTGGAAACCAACCAGTGGCAAGACCCTTCCAGCCATGGCCGTTGTTCTACACGAGATGCCCCCACAAAGAATCATCGCCTCGCTTCAAGGAGTCGTGCATAAATACAGGAACTGTCCTTCACGCCACCATCATTACGCAACTTTGCCCATACCATCCATTTCCTCTGGTTTGTCACCGCAAAGTCAGAGAGATTCAGTCTGCGGTATCTCGCTCAACGCTCGATTCCGTGGATCTGTCATCTCTTATCTCGTATCATCGCGAAAGTACGCCAATTACCTCCCCCGGAGATCCATCAAGATCTCGAAGCGATATTCTTTACCTCTATCATATACCTTGTCGAGATAGGCTTCACCCAAGGCACTAAATGGCTTTTGCAAGGCTTACAATATCACATATTAGAACTCACCCTCAAATCGATCCCCTTTGCATCCGAGTCCGGTCCTCTGGCAAATCCCAGCCGCTCTCCATCACTCCTTGCCCTTCTCAACCGACTCTGTGAAACGACTTACACTTTCCTAATGCAGCGCTGCGTCATTTCGGAAGCTGGAAGGGCGATGGGAAGGATAACAAAAGCGGGCTTGGAAGCAAACGTTTCACTCGCGGATGATTCTTTTCGTCGGACCTGGACCTTGCTGACAGATCAAATTGCTCTACGATCCAAGTATCGGTCAGATTTTATCGCAGCTGGATGCGACAACGATTCTTGTTCTAATCCCATGGTATGAGTCTGGCGTACCTCGTTTGCGCATTTCATTACTTATCCCAGTAATTGTCAGTGCCCACAGCGTCTTACCAACAGGACGAAACCACTTCAAATGTGTTCGGGTTGCGAGAATTATTTCTACTGTTCCAGGGACTGCCAAAAATCAATGTGGCCGAACCACAAACCTATCTGTAAAATTTTACAAGAGGAAACGAAAAGTTAGTAACTTTTCTTTGGTATCCTATGCGTATCCAACTATCCTCTCTTAGAAGGGTTTCTTTTGCACTTCACCGAGCGAGATATGCACTTTATGGGGGAGATGGCTTCCCATGATATACATAACAAGACCACACAGCTCAGAGAAGACAAGAAAAGGTTCCTTCGTGCACACCCTGGAGCTGCAGCTTACCCTCTTGTCCTTGCGGTGGACTACTCCTCTGTGCCTATGACGGTTACGATTCGCTCGTCGCTGGATTTCAAAGATCATCCAGAACACGGACAGAGGTGGCCGGACTTGATACGTAGGGTAAAACAAGACCCTAGAAATGAAATGGTGTACATCGAAACACCCCTTAAGACGGACCCCAAGAATTGGCTGTACACCACGACATTCCAACTGCCTATTCTAGGCATTTAGCTTGAATATCATGACGTGGTGTATTTGATATCGACGCAAAGATTTACCGTTCTGTTTGTATCACAATCGCGTGTATGTACCCCGCGTATTTGACCCAGAATCGCTAGCCAGGATAATTAGCAGCACACTGAATTAAATTGAAACGTGAGTTACTTGAAAACAACAAATAACAGTAGTCTTACCTCAACGGAAAGAATTCTCCTCTTCGCCACCATTGGGAAAATGCTCCTCACATCATCTCCAGCGCAGCTGGGATGCTCCTTCAGATGTTTCCATCGTGCCTTCGCATTATCGTAGGCATCCAATCCTAAATCCACCCTTCTCAACGACCCAATCTGTCCCAGCGTTGCATCCAAAGCAGCCCAATCATTACCATACGACGTAAAGGTGCTCGTGTAGAATATCTCGAGCGTCACCTTCTCCAATCGATGCCACTTAGTGAGCTCCTTGAACAAGCTCGTCAACCACCGTAGCCATACCACAGGCTTCGTGTGTTGTTGGTAGCAGATCCACCACAGCTTGACATGTATCGAACGAAGACGAGATATATCAATTAGGTTCGATAATGGCTCTACAAACCCATGATTAGGCCTCAATCTATGAAACTGGCTATGCACTCACCTCCGAGACAGGCATTCAAAACAAGATGCTCTAAAGCGCTACCATTTAGCTGCCGTAGGATATCCCTCGTGACCTTCGTGCGCTTTACAAGGTCTCCAGAACCGTCTGTGAGTACCGATAACTGCTGGAGACTGCTGATATTGATCGAAGATTGTAATAGCTGTACCAGTGAAGAATGCGGCTCACACAAGCTGAGCGCTAAGGAGTGCAGCTTTAACTTTAGCCCGATCGGAAGTCGGGTCAACCCTTCCAAATTCCCACAAGATACCAAGTCTTCGCAGGATATCGCGGAAAGCGATAGATGCTTCAGATACTGACATGTATCCAGAAGCGCCAGGAAGTCTGCATAATGAAGAAACAGTCCATCCCGAATCTCGAACCGCGTCAGACGCAGAGATCGGAAGGCTGTGATCAGGGTATCACGCATGGACAGGGAGAGCTCGTCCCAGGAATAACCACAGAGATGAAGGGATATACTCTCAAGGTTGATGAGTTTCTGAAACATAGTCCCGAGGAGGTGAGCGTCGAGAAGGGGAGAGATTTCAATGCTTTTCACAAGCGTCGCAAGGCAAGGGTGTATGGATATGAAGGAATTAAACCGTTCTATATCGCGTCGCCTGCGGCCATGTAAAGAGCAGTAGTGATAGGGTCCGCGATTGAAGCTGATGTGAGAGAATATCCGCCGCTGAGAGGGATACGTCCAGGAACGGCTGACGAGGGAGCAGGTTCGTAAGGTTTCTTTATCGGTATGATTCTCGTCTATAACGGCATCAATGAGCTCTTGTGGGAGAACAGTAACTTTGGCGTCCATGGCCACAGGTACAAGGCGAGAGTTAATCAGGTGTTTTGGATGAAGCAACCAACCGACCTATGACTGGTCTGATGTCTGGATTTCTTGTGGTTCTCGGAAGTTACTTGGGACACGATCTATACCGTGAGAGATGGGGGGATGATCTGAACATCGCAAGCCCTTGCTATCGTCATCCTTTTGTAGCTCGCAGGCAAAGGCCTTTTTTTGGCGCTGATCGAGTTACCTCGTCCATGATAACCAAAAGATTCGTTGACCCAGGTGCTTCGAAGCTTATCGTCTCGATTGCTCGATTTCGACCTGCGCGGCAAATGATCGTAGTTCAATGCTTCGAGTGTGCTTGCTATGTATCGGATTTTTGAAGGGAAAGCTAATGTGTGAAGAGTGTAGTCAGTGCTCATGTGAAACGGACTCCGTTCCGTTTCCTTCTCACGGATGTCAATCGCAAAAACTCCTCCCCTTCCACCATCACCATCTCCCTTTGTTGAAGTTGTATCGGCGCCTACGTAACTATTAGTATGCAGCAACCCGGATCTTTTGATACATGTGAAAAGGTGTTTCCTGGCATGAAGTCCGTTGAACTATTCCTGTTGTGCTCGAGCAATGCTCTACACCATCATTCTGAACGAGGCACGCTAGCACATGCAACGTCGAAGGGTGCGGCGTAGTTGGAGACACCTAAGTAGCAGGGTGTGGTAAAGATTGCTGATTCCGCCGCGTTTCAGTGATGACACAGCATGTCGTGCCCACACAGTAGCCCAAGAGATGGCGCAACAAAGAAGTCAAGAAGCGTCCAGTGATGAGATGGCAGGCGGCATGTACGAATTAATCGAGTCCACTCTGTGAATGCGGGCTAATTTAAGAGCTGTGCAGATCCGCTTCAGAGTGCGGACAAGTCGGGACGACGGCGTTTGCAGGTGCTGACTTGAACTAGGAGGTGCTTCAGATTTCTCATCCCTGGTGGGAAATGCATTTTGGAAAGAAGAGCTGGAGATGGAAGGCAAACAAACGCGTGTATGCTATAGAACTCCTAGTGAGTGCTGCAAAGCGGATATTGTCGAAACATACTAATGTAAATCCAAACGAGAACCTTCCGAGACGAGAAAGGGCGTGCACTAAAACGGCTAGGCGAATACCCGTGACAACATTATCGCGAAAGAAGTTCATGAGGGAAACACGACTGCATAATCTTCCAGGATGAATGACAAGGCAATCAAGCATCGCCAAGGATCATAATAATGTCGTGTCGCATCTGCTTGCTGTCCTGTCGCTTACAATGACGTTGATGAGCAGTGACACATTTGCGAAGACGCCGTGAGGTTGTTAGACATTTCTTCTAGGGACGTTTATGCACCGAAATCGCATCAAACGGACTGTGGAACATTACTAGTGTGATAAGATCCGATTATATTAGTTAGGAAAACTAGCGGCAATCTAGAATTGAATAAATGAGCAAGCTCCTCGTGACAAGAGTATAAGCAACAACGGCCCCACCTCTACAGAAAGAACTCCGTGTTTGGCTAGTGTCGGCAGAATTACCTTCACACCGTCTCCGACAGTGCTTGAATACTCCTTCGAACGTTTCCATCGTGCTCGTGCGCAATCATAATTGTCCACCTTCACGTTGACCTTTCTCAATGACCGTATTCCCCCCAGTGCTGCATCGAGAGCAGCCCATTCATCAGTATACACGGTAATATTGCTCGCATAGAAGATCTCGAATGTGACCTCCTCTAACACCCCGTGTTTAGCAAGCTCCCTGAACGACATAGTCAACCAACGTAACCAATTTTCGGGCCTTGGATGCTGGTCTGGGCGAATCCACCACAGTTTCATGTGTATCGAACAAAGTTGCGAAATATCAATCAAGTTGGATAATGGCTCTACAGGTGTCATCAGACAGAATTACAACTTAATACAGGACTCATGCTTACCTCCAAGACAAACATTCAACACGAGGTGTTTCAAAGGTCCACCATTCAACTGCTTGAGTATTTCTTTCATGATATGCGCGCGCTTCTTAAGATCTGCAGATCCAGCGGTGAGCGCTGATAGCCGTCGGAGACGACTAACATTGATCGAAGATAACAACTGCGCCAGCGGAAAATAGGAATGTTCATACAAGCTGAGTGCTAGCGAATCCAGCTGCAGTTTCAGTCTGCTTGAAAACGCAGCCGTGGGTGCTATTTCCAGGTCATCCCATGACACATTGGAGAGGGATAAATGCTTAAGATGACTACCGCAAGCGCCCAAAAGGGCTAAGAAGTCTGCACAGTGAGGAAACGATCCTTCTCTCAGCTCGAGAGAGGCTATTCGTGGAGAGCGAAGGGTGGCGAGGATGGTGCCCTGCATATATGGCGAAATCTCGTCCCAGTGATATCCGCAGAGATCAAGTGACACGTTCTCGAGCTTGATCAGTTTTTCAAGGATGAGCGCGAGGAGCTGCGCGTCGAGATGTGGCGAGACCTCAATAGCTCTCACGAGCGTAGCAACATGAGGATAGGCACATATAAGCGTGTGGAATTGCTCCATGTCGCGCTGGCTATGTCCTTGCGCGTAGTAGTAGCGTCGTTTGTTATGACTGAATCGTATCTGAGAATATATGTGGCGCTGCGAGGTATATGTCCAAGAACGGCTAACGAGGGAACACGCGCGTAAGGCGGCCTTATCGTTTTGGTTCTCGTCGATAATGATGTCGACGAGCTCTTGTGGAAGTGTACAAATCCCGGAGCAGCGCTTTTCCATCTTTGAAGGCTGGGAGAAAGTTATCGAGTAAGATGATGGAAATCTGCGGTAAAAGAAAGGACGGACATAGCAACTAGTCTGGCGTTCTTCTTTTTCGGTGGCCGTCCGACTCAAAGACAGCCCACTGCACGATTCTGCACAACGGAACGCGATAAGAGAGGGAGGCGTGGGCGATGGAAAGAAGGATTCGAACTTTTTGCTATCACCCTCCTTTTGTAGTTTCTGTTCTGGTTTCTCTCTTCTGGCCGAGGTTCGGTCTAGGCCGCTACATCCCTAGCAAGGCGTGCCAAGTCTCGATGCATGCTGAGTGTTCTCTTCGTACGCCCCATCATGCTGTTCATTATAAGAGGAACAGCAGAGTCGAGGACTAAATCAACGGTCGCCCAAGACGGCAGAGCTTTTGCTTGTCTGTCTATAGTTAACTGTCAGTGAAACAGGTGGAGAAAAAGACAAAGTGTGACGTTACTTACAGGCCAATTATTACTTGGTCGTTTTTCCGGACTTGACGCAGACTCGACCTAGTCTTGGCGCAGCTGATGCCCTTCGAACCGATCCAAATATCTGCTCCATCTGGCTTCTTGAATTCTTCGCTTACAGTTCTGGATCATATGTTGAAAGAAGAAAACTTCCAAAGTTCCTGAGCAGCTGCGAGATAGGCTTCGAGGTCTTTTAACACAAGGCTAGATCCGGATAAAAATCGGCTTACAGTGAGCAACGAGGCAGGATGGACAGTTCTCCGTCTGTAAGTACCGGACGTGTAATGAATTTAGTAAATGCCTGTGATATCGACGGTTATCAGAGAGGTGAACAGACAAAGTCGTTGCGTGACACTGTCGTACCTCACACCGCGTCCAAATGCCTCCCAACTCCCCGATATCCCCTGAGTTTGCGCGTTCGAATATTTGTCACTGTACCACATTGAAGCTACGAGTCCTACTTCTGCCCCTCTGAAATTGTCTAATACCGGCTGATGATCCTGGTTCTGGCTTTTTTGGATGAGATGAGTAAGCCAATAACTGCGGTTACTTGTTGCGTCCCATGATAATGATTCGAACGAGAAACAATATAGAGAACGTAATGCCTAGACGAGAGAAGGAATGAGTGAGTGAGGATTGGGCAAGACGATTCTTGGTTAGTCGTTGCAAACTTTGTACTAGTTTCTGTCATCTATTTCTTGAAGTCGCATAGCAGAGAACGAATCCACAATTTTCCGTTCAAACGCTCAAGCACTCAAGCAAGTACTCAACGCCGAGTTGTGACAAACAAGAAATAGATGCATATAGTCTGGGCGAGGTGGTGGCTGGTGGTCGTCGTTTATATTGAGAAATCGGCTGACGGGCCGCATACCGGTGGCGTCGGCATATGCCGGTTTTCGCGAAGGTTTGAATCAGTTCGAGTAACCAATAATTGGATTCCTGCACGTATAAAGAGGTAGAGAAGTTGCGATTTTGCGCTACCGAACAAATTCCCCCCACTACGTCTTTCGATCGCCTCACAGAATATACGTCGCTTCCGAATCCTGTTTCTTTCTATTCAAGTTCGAGCTGCTCTTTCAGTCCTGGTTGACTCTTCTCGCTGATTAGAACCACGAAGGTACGTGTGCACTTCGCGCCGCTCTCATATCACTAATCCCCGCATTTACTAGCACCGAAATGGCTCAAGTCACTGCATCCTACCCGTTCAACGACCCGGATCATACCTCTGACCTCACTCTACTGTCGTCAGACAATGTCCTTTTCCACATCCACATATCTCTCCTTGCATTTGCTTCTGAACCCTTCTTTCGTACTGCGTTGACGATTTCGCAACCGCAAGGACAGCCTGTCCCAATGGTCGAAGACAGCGAGACCCTTGATACGATGCTCCGCTTCTGCTATCCCGGTGCAGACCCGTCTTTCAAGAGTCTTGCAGAGCTCCATCGCATCGCTGACCTCATGGTGGGAAAATTTGCCATGGAGGAGGTATCAATGAGGGCCCGGGCCCAAATTCGTAAATTCGTAAATGCAGAGCCTTTGCTTGTGTTCGTCGTTGCATATACCCTCAATTGGATTGATGAGGCTATGGAGGCTGCAGACATCGTGCTCAACGGTCCTCTGTTTAAGTATGCCAGTCCCGAGGATATTCCGGAGCTAGATATCCTTCCTTCTCCACGAATTCTGTATCGTCTCTTCAGATACTATGCCACTCGTCGCGATGCGGTATACAATTCTAATGGTTACCATTTTGACATATTTGACTACATCGAAAAAGCGCCATGTAAAACCCATGACATCTTACCTTCTCACCCGGAAGATACCTCGATGCTGACGAAAAGCTGGTTCATAGATTACTGTACCAAGCTCAGGGAGGAGCTGTACTATCGCCATCCCTCGTTGGAAACTCTTTGTACGTGCGACAGTTATGCTCATGCAAGTGCTCTACAAACCGCAAAGACCTGCCCTGATTGCGCGAAGGGTCACTTGCACATTGTTTTTGATTATTATATTCCTACAACGGTTCATGCGCAAATTGAGAATGCACTGTCAATGGTGAGTCTTTTCTCGACAGAAATCTGATCAATTCTTAAGCGTATCAATGTGAACAGAAATTTCAACTATGAGAAATGAACGACTGCAATTGAATATGATTTGTGATAGTTCGCCAAAGCCTATGTACAATGAAGACATTTACTCTGATGCAATAAATTTTTTTTTCCCTTTGATATCTTTTTCATTTCAGCTCAGGCTCGAAGGACATCCATCTGCAGAGCAACGCATTGAAAAGACTCCCGTATTCGACTAAGTTCCGGCAATCGAACATAGACCAACTCGCCTTTCAGACTTCGTGCCTCCTTGACGAGCTTGTCCCAGGAGCTTGCAGACACTTCGAGGTCCTTGAAGTCCAACGACGACTTCACTGTGATCGTCATGGGGGCAGTCGCGTAGTCCAGGACAATGACGGGAGGATAATCCTGCCTTACATGCTGGGCTTGCTCCTTGATCGAATGCGCGTTGTCGTATATATCGCAAAGTTTCATCCCCTCCAGAAAATGCTCGTCTCTGCTGGTGATATGCATCATGTATCCATCTGCACGAAATTATGACCAATCTCAGCACCAGACATGCAAGAAGATACCTACTGGTGCGCATATCTCGGAGTTTTTTACAAAATTTTTTGTGTTCAGGCCACATTGCCTTTTGACATTCGCGGCTGCAGTAAGAGTAGTAGAGACATCCAGAACACAGCTGCAAGGGCTTTTCTCTATTTGTGAAACGACGAGGGCACTTTGAAATCAACTGTGAACAAGCACGGAAGTTAAAACAAGAGCTACACATACGTTCTGTCTAGCACAAGAGTCGTTATCGCAACCTTGGCCGATAAAGGTAGCCCTAAATAACATTCGCGCAACGACTTGCTCCTTGAGTCTCGTCCAGGCTTGGCGGAAGGAATCATCAGCGTGCGAGAGATTTTCTTCAAGACTTGCACTCGCAATTTTATCCATCCCTTTTTTGCAAGCAACGATGATAGAACGTTGTACGAGGAAAGTGTAGACAACGTCGCAAAGTTCAGTGAGCAATGCGATAAGGGTCGTATTTCCGTAAGAATCCAAGGACAAAGCAAACGGAAGAGATTTGAGAATTAGCTCTAGTAGATGTCGCTCTATCGCTTGCAATAACCATCGGTAACCTTTCGTGAAGCATACTTTGAGAAGATAAGCGCAGCAGATATAGATATTCCCCTCCAGTCCCTTCATGACTTCGAGAGATGGACGTGGTCTATCGCGTCGCAATTCCGCCGTGATTCGCGACATTAGGCGGCATATCCAAAAGACGGAGTGATGGATGAGAAAATGCCGAGCGAAGCACTCTGAATGTATAGTGGTGAAGTACATGATATTCAGGCATTGTGTAAGCGCGTAGCTCGACGGATCTAATGTCTGGGTGCGAGATACGATGCCCTCGAACAGGTGGATGATCCTTTCAGAGGGCATCTTCTGCATGAGATAAACCATAGCAGGAATCGGATCATCACCGACGGGCTTGCAGAAGGAGGACATAAGATTGAATGATCTGGCCTGAAAGGAGAGGTCTTCGCTGACCGCTATGAGGCATATCACGGTATTCGTGAGGGAGAGAATGAATTCAGGTGTTTCGATCATCAATGACCACCACTGTGATTTGCGAGACAGGACAAGTAATAAGGATAAGATCGCGTCCACCATGGTAAACCAAGTTTCGATTTCATAAAGCGATGGTAGTAAGGACGGCGAAACATCGACAACGTGGATATCAAGGAATACAGTGATGTAGCGGCATAGATCTGGCCATAGTCGGGAAACAAGTGCAATGCTACATGCATCCTCTGGCTCGAGATGGGATATGGCACTTTTCAGGCTGACAAGACATGTATGAATGGTGGTCATGTTGTCATCCTGCCATTCTTGGAATAAGGGATCGGCGGGGGTCGTCGGGATGGGAGTAGTGAGAAGATGCTGACGAATCGATTTCACTATGACGGGAAACAGCGTTACATTCTTCGTGGTGTCTTGAGACAGCGCCAAAAGAGCTGGAAGAGATCCGTTTATAGCTTCTTTCTAGTAAGATGGTTAGGTAAGAGTCGCAAGACGATAAGTTCAGTTGCATACCTTATATCTCTCCATCTCTATTGGAGCACGGTCTTCGCGGGACACAGGCACTGCTCAAAAGGATGAATCGAGGGATAAGGACAAGTAAAAGGCGTGTTTGCCCCTGTATACCTGCCAGGTCATTGAGGAACCGCTTGCTTCTTTCGGATTCGCAGGCTGCTCCAGCGACGATTATAGACATAATACATCCGCCCTGAGTGATTTCCCAGGGAAAATGCCTATTGACCTTCGAAGGGACAGCGTAAATCAGTGATCTGCAATGGACGCATCTTGCAGGCACTTCACACGCTACCTACTGCCTCAATTGCAGCCAGAATACCTCACCGCGTCATCTCCGCACGCATCGAGGGCTTCAAAACGCGCCCCTGGATAAGGCACAAAAATGCGCTCTTGGAGAGCTACATCGTTATACAAGAACAAAAGAGAAGTCCGGTTCTTGAAGCCTGAAGACTTGATCCTGCCAGTAGGATGCTGAAACGGAAGTTATTATGGAACGCGAAACGTCATGCCAAGGGATCCCCTCTCAGATGTACTTCCTAGAGAGTACTGTGAACAGTAAGGAGTCATTATTGGATTTGTCGTACATGCTCCGATAGAGAGAAGTGGAGAGGGTTTCCTGAGGCTCTAAACAACGATGCCAAAACTCTTGCCCAGGAAAAAGGAGAGGATGGGCAAGCTCATTACGTTCAGCACCGTGACTTCCAAGGGCGTGTTTCTAGCCAGTACGATTATATAGAGTGGTGAAAACCTTCCTGTATGAGGTACATATAAGGACGCGAGAGAACAGAATACGTTGGAAGAACTCCTTGTTAATCTAGTAAGTTGTTAATCCTGATGTTATTGAGAAATGAGGACGTGAGAGTGGGTTTCCAGGTGATTTCGGCAGCCCTATAGTGACTTTGTAGTGCCTGCTGGCGGCGGTTGGTGCCAGAGGTCATCGGAAGCTTCTCGAGCTTTTCGTCGTCGTAAACAGCAGTCCGACCATCATTCTGTTCTGGAGGAATGGAGGAAGGAATTTCAGAACGCCACGCGAGTCAAGGAAGGCGAGACCACGTGCGGTGGACCCGAGATCCACGTGCTCGATCGCGCCACGGTCTCGACCTGGATTTTTCTTTCATCTTCAACCTTGACTGGGTACCTTCTGCCCCCCCCCTTTCTCTCTAGGTAACCAGGGTATAGTGATACTGATAGAACAATTGCTGATGCTTATATGTATCAGGGCCCCGTATAACCTCCCAAGGTTCTCATTTTTGTCATTTCCCCTTTTTAAGTATGTGCTGCCTTGTTCGAAGGTGTATGACTCAACCTCTGTCTAGCAATGAGTGTATACAAAACTACAACCCAGACTACTTCATATCCCTTTTGATGGCGCAGACTCTACCTCAGATCTAAGCTTGGTTTCGTCGGACGGGATGAAGTTCTTTATTCATGAAGCTATCCTCTCCTATGTTTCGCAGTTTTTCAAAGACATGTTCACACTGCCCCAAGCTACTCCCGGAGAGTCCTCCATTTCGATGGCTGAGGATAGCAAAACCGTCGACAAAATCCTCCGTTCTGTTATCCCGTCAATGACTCTACCTTCGACAGTTTGACAGAACTTTCTCAGGTCGTTATGGTTATGATAAAAAAATTCCTCATGGATGATGTTGCTAAGAAGGCTCGGGATCAACTCCTCTCGCACACGGAATCAGAGCCGTTGCGCGTCTTCGCTATCGTCTACGCCATCCAATGGAGCCGAGAGGCCAATGATGCGGCAAATGCGGCCCTGGCGGTCGGCAGCACCATATTCTATGTATACAACATACCGGAACTTGATTTTGTTCCTGGAACAGTTCTCTACGACCTCTTCGAAGTTCAGGACAGACGTCACCAGTCTCTACAGGATTCTGCAAATCCAGAGACTTATTCGCACGCCTTCAGGACTATTTTTCTGGTCGTTGCAACATACACGATGTCCCTTCTCGTCGATTATCCGGTCTGTTGAACAAGAAGTGGTTCATTGACTACTGCGCCACTCTTGAACTGGCATTTCGACCGTGTGCGTCTTACGATACCTTGGACTTAGATCAGCCTAGAGCTCGAACACGCGCTCTTTGAACCGTCCTTGAGTGTCGCTATTGTTCTGAAGGATATGTCTCAAAGGTAATCTTTGACGTATTTATACCCGAAGGAAGGAAGGAAGTAGATTTTATTGTCATTGATCGACTGAAGAGCAATCTAAATGATTTGGTGAGGTTTCTTACCTGCGCAGAAACAAGAATGCTCACAGATCCAATCCCAGACATTCCAGCTGTAGGTGATTACCACTTTCCGATGTAAAGACTTGGCTATGCTTGACGGTGTATTTTGGCTGCTCGATTCATAGATGTCTCTTTCTGAAATCCTCACGAAGGAAGAAAGGAGCACCGACTTTTTGACTGACTGGCTTTTGGTTTTGGTTAGAGTGGTCTACTGTCTTTTGTGTTGCTTATCGCCTGCAAGTAATGCATACAAAGAATTTTAAGTGCTCAACTTTGTGTTCGACATCTCCTCGATCATTCAGTGTATTCCACTCCACCCAGATGTTATAAATCCAGGTGTCGAAAACAATCTTCCAGACAATAAAAATCGAATCAAATGCAAACATTGTGGCTCGGAGTGACGTAAGAGGTTCACCGATACCCAGGGACGCGTCACCCGCGTTCTGTGGCACCGTGGCTTCTTCCTTTTCCTCCATCATCACCTACTTAAGTGATCACGGAAGCAAATCACTTCAACTGTGCTGGCTAGGATACAGTATTACTGATAAGCGCCCTTCATTCTTATCAGTTTCGTCTGTTTCAAGGTGTACTTACAACAGATACTTTCAAAAGTGTTCAGTGCGTCTCTCAACTCTATCAGTTTCAACCTCAGAGCATTCTCTCATGTGTTTCGCAAGGAATGGACTATGATGACCAACCCCCGCCTCGGGAGTCCATAGCGTCCTATCCATTCGACAGCTCTGATGTCACCTCTGACATTGTGCTGCTGTCGTCCGATAAAATCCACTTTTACTGCCACAAAGTCATCCTCTCCCTCTCCTCCCCCTACTTTAAAGAAAAGTTCACTATACCCTCAGGGTACGTCGATGCGGCCCCCATCCTATTCATGAGCGAAGACAGCAAAGTCCTCGACAAAATCCTTCGCTTCTGCTATCCCGCCGTCGATCCCAAGTTCGAGAGTCTCTCCGAGTTTTATCAGGTCGTCACAGTTATGGTCAACAAGTTCTCCATGCGTAATGTTGCTAGACGGGCTCGGGGCGAATTGCGCAAGTATGCGAGATCTGAGCCCCTTCGGGTCTTCGCTATTGCATATGCCATGCAGTGGAACGAAGAAGCGGCGGAGGCTGCTGCATGCGTGATCAACCGGCCTTTGTTAGCTCTCGACGATCAGGATATCCCTGAGCTCGATATTCTCCCATCACCTCGCGTCCTCTACCGTTTGTTCAAAACATATCGCACGCGGTTTGATGCCGTTCTTCAGGCAGCAAACAGGTGCGATGATGATGCCATACTCGGTGTGCTCAACGGAATTGCGTGTCCTGAGCACGACTCGTTTCCCGACCCTGAGGGCACGCCTACGAAGACGTGGTTCGTGAGGTATTGTACGTCAGTTCGGGAAACGTTGAGCCACGAGCCTTCGTTAGAGACGCTTTTCACCTGTGACGAATGGGCCCGACCGCTTGCCGAGCGTACAGCTTCTTCGTGCGGGCATTGCTCACAGCTCGACCTAGAAAGCTTGTTTCGCAATTGTATTCCCTATGTTTACTTGAGCAATATCAAAAAGGCTCTGAAGATGGTAGGCATCCGGGTGTTTGTTCCTGTCTCCTCACTGACTTCACTTTTTACAGAGATTCGAGCTGTAGCTTCTTCTGGGATTTACCGCTGGATTGATACCCTTTTCAATATGATTCAAATGACCGTGTTTCTTCCTTCTTGAGTAGGTTGGGAAACCCCTGAGCAACGCCAAGACCTTTGCTGCTCACTCTCATCCCGCTCTTCTCAGAGACTATCGCGAACTCTTTAGGTATGGAAAGGCAGCCTGCAGGACCGGTAATCACGCTAGGATTTACACGTACTATAGCAGCGTACATGAGCCTATTTTACCTCAGAGATGGTATGATATTTTCTGATTTTTTTTTTCGGGTTGTTATTAACATTCTTCAGAGATGAACGACAACTACGCTGCGGTCGTCCCTCATTCTTCTGATGATAAGTACCCCTTGTTTCGTCAGACAGAGTCGTCTTCCACACTGCCGACTTACGACCGGTCTGACCGTACAAAACAGAAGAAACTTCAAGGGTAATTTCTATTTTTTGCTTTGAACGACCAGAGCCTAGCGTAGCCTTGCTAGATAGCATGACTTTGGAATAACTTATAGAATGTAACTATGAACGCTGACCGCCCTTTCATGATTGCCGGTTTTCAGCTAGAACGCTGTCTCTGAGGCATATTTAGGCGTCCTGGCTGTTTGCAGAAATTTGCCGAGGCCGTAAGCTGACGGATTCTTGATTGGTGTCGTTATTTATAAATACAAAACACAGTACGTATGCCTTACATATCCTCTCATTCGGTGGATGGCGATGGTCAGAAGAAAGAAAGACAAGATGAGTCAGCATATACGGCCTAGATCTGTACCACCATGACCGGATACCTTTGCTGTTTTGTACATCTCTCCTAGTCCCCATTTTACTGCCATGCGCATTGATGAACTCCCCCCAGAAACTATAGAGGAGATCTTGCTTCATGCGGATCCCACTACCATCGCCTCGCTATCCCAGTGCTCTCGCTTTTTCAACACCCTGATCAATCATGGCCCGGACCAGCACTTATGGCGGTGGCTCTACCTCATTCAGCCTCTCGATGACCCTAGGGAATGTGTATCCCTCAACGGTGACCCACAGAAGGATATTGACTGGAAGAGGGAACTCCAGAGATTCATTCGCGCCCGGACAGTGGTTACTGACGTTAGCGTATGTCGGCCGGCTGAGCGATGTGCCATTCTGCGGACTATGATACATCTGGTAGAGTACATACCGCCGCGGAAGTGGTCCTTTGCAGAGGGCGGTACATCAAAGAACCTGATTTGGATTCGGGATGTCCTCAGCGGTGGAACGTTTATCGACCCAGACACTATCACCTGGGTGTCCACTGATGCTGAAGAGATTCAATTACGCGACAAGTTGCATACGTACCTGGGGCTTACTTCTGCGGATCGTACACCGCGCGCGCTGGTCGAGTCAAGGGCGTATGTGTACAGTTTTAGGAACTACTCGTGGGAGACAGATTTTGGGCCGTTCTTTGAGGATGGAAAGGTGAATTGGGAGCATCTTAGAATGGTACGACATGTACTGGCGATGCATGTACACGACGAAGAGACTACGCCTTTCCAAATGAGTTTGGAGTTTACCCAGATACGGATGGCGAGCTTGGCGGATACTAGAGACTGGGCGGGCATCGAGGGGATTTGGTGGTGTGGGTTTTGCTTTTGCGACCATTCAGATCTTACATGTATGTTTTTTCGGTTACTCTCACTCATCATGTTGGCTCAACATGTCCAATAGTATATAATTTGACGACAGTGAGTCACTTACCAGGTTGATTTACTCTATATTGACTTCCATTCAGACGGTGGATGGCTCTTTGGATGCTAGCCTCTTTGAAGATCCTGGCTTCACTGATGTCTTTCGTTCCGTGGAAGTAACCATCCGTATCTTGGAAGTCTCGCCGGATCCCAAGCACCCCAACTATCCACGTATATATTTTGGAGGTTCCATGGGACAGCATTCCATGTCCACGATGAGTGGATATGTGTATATGACGGACGACAACCAAGTCCGATGGCGTTTCGTGAGTCTCTTTCTTCGTTGTCTTGTTTGCGAATTTACGTGCTAGCTTAGCGGTCTGGAGAACAAGTAAACCCTATATGGAGTTCGGAAGGAATACAGGTGGGGGGGTTGCGGTCTCTGTATGGTGTTCTTGGAACCTGGACAACGACGTTTCATAATCCGAATGATCCAGTTGGTATGTTCTGTTTAATTTCTTGTGGAACAGTTCTGATGGTGAAGCAGGACCTTTTTGGCTTCGAAAGGCGATAGATCTGCCTCAGGAAGACTGAGTTGACCCTATACATACTCTTGTTGACCGTAAGGTACACGAGTGTCTCTAGTAATCTCAAAGCAGTTTATCGTTGTTAGTCTCATCGGTGGGATTCACATCTAGCTGAATAGCAGGTATTGGTTACGCAGCTGTAAATATGGGAGCAGGATCATCTCGTCCTACACAACTGATTAAAAATCTACCATCATTACCTCGAGGACGGGATGACTACAACTCTCTGGAATTCAAGTTCTTTGATTCAAAGTTCTGGATGTTTGTGGACCTGACAACGGATATCTATTTCTGTCAAGCCGTAGCAATGTTACCTCAACGTCTACGTATTCGCCGGGCCGTACATACCTTCAATGACCGTGAGAAAATCTTGACTGCCCTTTGCATCGTGTATTCACGGCGATAACAAGCTTGTCTTTGCACCACCACACCAAAGGCGATATCGACTCTGATACCCTGACAGCATGTCAGATCAGCCATCTCCGCCAGCAAAGCCCAAACCAGGCTCTTTACGCGACAGGATTGCGGCTTTCGAGAAGCCCTCAAATGTCTCGACACCAGGGCCTGCACCTGTTCCTCGACCGAGGCCTGGCGCAGTGTCGTGGAAACCCAGAGTACCATCTCCACCGTCGGTGCACCCTGGTGGTGACTCTTCAACTTTGGAGCGTAGGACAGGAGGGATGTCCGCCTCAGATGCGAAGGAAAGCATCGGTAAAGGTGGAAGTTTGAAGGAACGTATGGCGGCGCTCCAAGGACGAGGTGCATTTGGTGCGCCCCCGCCACCAGTTGCTCCCAAACCTGTTATCGAACGTCCCAAATGGAAGCCTCCCCCTCCTGTCGCGTCTCCTCCACCAGATGACCATCCAGAGAAGGACGACGTCACACGCAAGTCACCCGAGATTCCATCGAAATCCCCTGATTCTATTCCGGCCCAGCCGTCTCCTCCTATCGAAGGTGAGCCCGACGCGCCCGCTGTAGCCGTAGCTGTGCCAGAGCCCGAGGGACAAGCTGCAGATGAGGCTGACCCTGAGGATGAAGAGCGGCAACGACGAGCCACCATTGCAGCTAGGATGGCTCGATTGGGTGGCGCCCGCGTCGGAATGGGCCCGCCGGTATTTGGGAAGGTACCCGTCAAACCAAAGCCCAAAGCGGAACCTGTGGAAGAAGAGACGAAACCTGTTGAAGGCGTATCGCCGCCGCCGCCTTCTGGCGATGACGGTATGTGCAATATGTGGTTTCTTTGACAATTTTTGACGTCGAATATCAAGAAGCGCTCAAGTCGGCGCCGACTTCTCCACCTCTCGGAGAAGGAGCGGGATCGAAGGCTCTGGATGTCGGTATGTGCACGTGTATCTAAATCATTTATTGTCTCTTACGAATTGGTTAGGGCAATCTGACGAGGGTAGAAGCTCTGAATCTCTCCCTACACCTCCTGATGCCGATGTATCATTCCCTCCCGTTGCTCGTACTCCCGCTTCAATGCCAGTTCCTGCTGGTCCCAGAAGGGTTGCCCCTCCTCGTCGAAGACCCGCAAAATCACCAGCTCCACCGCCTGTCGAAGACAGGCAGAAAGATAGAGAGAGCCTCGCCAGCTTGGATATTACGTCACATCCTATCAGCGACTCAGAGAGTGTGCCTAAGGAGGTGTCACTGAGTGCTGTTGCTGAGCCGGAATTGTTCACTAAAGCTGCACGCTCGCGTACCGCGGATGAAGGGCTCATTTCTCCTCATGTTGATGAAGCTGATGTTGCGGACATCAGGGTATCTCCAGAGTCACCCTCGTATCAAGGCCGCATCGATCTACCGGAAGCGCCTACTGAATCTGGCCAGGGTCTCGAAAATATCCCTGATGTCCCTGTAGAGGAGCATATCTCTTCTGCCCCGGAGCCATCGGTCCCATCTGTCAAAGAGGAAGAGGAGGAGGATGAAGAGGCCAGACACAATCGTATCGCCGAAAGGATTGCCAAGATGGGTGGAGTCGATCCCTTTGCTCCTTCCCCACTCCAGAGGAGGTCGAGTACTACTTCGAGTGTTTCCGATGTTGTTGCGCCGCAATCGCCCACAATCCAGAGGCGCACGAGTGTTGGATCTGTTTCAAAGTCTCCGGACAGGAAGTTGAGTATTAGAAAGCCATCTATTGATGAGGTCCCGGTCGAAGAACAGTCTAGTTCCACCCCACCTCCACCGCGTCGTCGCAGTTCCCAGTTCAGCGAGAGGTCTCCAGTCTCGAGCATTGTTTCACCTCCTATTAGAACTCGCAGTGTCGATTCCGCAACATCAGGAGAGCAATTACATTCTGGTTTGAAGCGACGATCTCAGGATGGTAAATATTAAAGTTTTCCTCTCTCGTTTATCGATCGTAAAATGTGTAACAAATATTGATTTGATTCTTTTTGCTGTCTCGTAGACGCTATCATGGATGAACCAGAACCTAAATACCCTATCGGGATCACGGAAGAGCCGGAGTCGTTTGAAGAAGAGATTAGCGCGAGGGGTGCGGCTGCTGTCGAAGTGGAGAATCAAGCCGAGACGGATTTGGATACGGAACCAGTTGATGAAGATCAGGGAATATCAACCTATGATGGGAAAGCTTCGCCCGTTACTGAGGATCAGGATGAGATTAATGACGATAATGCCCGTCTGCCGCAGCAGTCCGCCTCCGGGCCTCCACCGCCATTACCTCCAAGTAGCACACGGCCGCCTATCCCGGCACCTGAGTCTGTTGCTGCTCTGCCACCACATTACCCACGAAGGCTTTCCATACAGCGCGTAGACGACAATGACGTCGTTGTTGTTTCGCCGAAACGCACATCGATTTCGCCGCCACTAGCATCCACCACAGAGGTTGAAGATGGTGCTATTTCTGTCGCGCCACCGCAGCGTGCCGTCCCTCCTCCGCCGCTTGTCGAGCATGATTCACCGATATCGCCAACATCGCCTTTGCAAATACCTCCCCCGCGATCTTTTTCTATCCTGCAGTCGCAAGCTGCGGAAGAGGATGATGAAACGACGCCTCTTCCTCATCCAGGTCCTTTCCATCGTTCCGTTCCTCCGCCGCCGCAACGGTCACCATCTCAATCAAGCGACCAATCTGAGGTAGAGACACCTTCAGCGTCTGCACACCCACATCCCCAACGTTCTATTCCTCCTGTTCCTGTACAAGAGGTGGAATCCGATCAAGAAGCAATACCGTTACCTCCGCCGCCTCCAAGGCGCCTGTCTCCTGCTTTAGAGGAGCAGCCCTTGATCATTCCTCCTCCGGTGAGACGGGAGTCGATTAAAATTCCTCCTGGTCTTGAAGTAAATCGGCGACCCCATAGCCCACCTATGCTGACTCCCACTGTTTCTGTCAGTGACCACTCTTCAGAACAAGAGATTTTGGACGAAGAAGAGGGTGGTAGGTCCAATGATTTTAATACCGATCTATCGAGCACTAATGAATTTGCGAATACATAGATCCAATTGATCCGATATTCCATAGCCCAAGCAGGCGCGCGTCGTACAACAATATTCAAGAGCAGACCGCGTCACATATACGAGAGCCTGCATCGCCGTCCGCTTCGGTAAGCTCCCATATACGAGAACCTGCGGCCACGGCGAAGATTCCGGTGCCGGCTGCAGCACCATCACCATCACCAGCACCCGCTGTTACAGAACCCGCACCGGCTGAAGAGCCTATTGAAGCGGAACCAGAACAAGAAAGACGACGGACAATTGCGGAACGGATGGCGAAACTGGGCGGGATCAAATTCGGTGCTGCGTCCATTCCAACCTCACGGCCTCCGAGGTCCCTCGAAGTTCAAGAGCATGGTGCTGAAGGAAGCTCGCAGGGAGAAGAAGAGCCACAATCCGCGGAAGAACTCGATGAAGAGGAGGAGGAACGAGCACGCAAGGAACGGATCGCTGCCAAATTAGCAAGTATGGGTGGAATGCGGATTGGAATGATGCCTTTAGGCGCTAGTGGCAAAGCACCAGTGCCGTCAGGTTCATCTCAAATACCTCCACATCCTCCAGTTCGAGCCCCTCCCATGCCTCGTGCACCACCACCGACCGAGACACAAGAGACTGATTCTGAGCAAGAGAGTCAGGCAACGTCAGACGATGTGGTCAAAGTGGAAGCAGAAGAAGAGAGCGATGCAGAAGAGGTTCAATACGAGGAAGCTGATGAAGTACCTGAGGAAATACCTCCTCCGCCTATTCCTACTCGCGAAGGCAGACGGATGTCTGTACAGCGTCAAATGTCGACAGACGTTCCGCCGGCTTCACCGCGAGTTGCAACACAATCACCGTCTCGCCCTCCTCCTCCTCCTGGTCGCCCCCCTGTGCCCATAGGGATTCCCCCACGACGAACTAGCGTCCAAACTGTGACATCCATTAAATCATCCCATGGTGATTCTAGTGTGGATCCGCATCTGACACACAAACCCCAGTATGACTTCGTCATGGTTGAAGAACCTGAGGCGCAAGATATTCCTCCAAAGCTTGTTACTCGACCTCCTCCTCCAACCGGAGCGCCTCCGCCGCCGCCGCCTTTCTCCGACAGCCTTCCTGCCCGAATGGAGCTGTCCGACAGCGTCTCGTCACAGTGGGAGCTCCCATCGATTCCGAGCTCTTCGCTCGAGTTTGGTTCCGGTGGAACCATGTCAGTGTCATGGACCGATAATGTAACAGAGACCACAACAGCTGTCCCTGCTCCTGCTCCTGCTCCTCCTGAGATCATTAAGCCCACAAAGAGCCAAGAGGATGCAGTTCTGACCTCAGAGGAGTTGATGGCTATCTGGGGTCGTATTGGCGTCCAAGTGTGTGAAGTGGCCACGTCGTTACATGATAAATCGAAGAGGGCGTTGATTGGCGATGGGACATATCATGGATTCATCGAAGCCGTTCTGCACGAGGTACCAGGTGCAGCACCGCCCGCCCCTCCATCGTATGGATATATCATATATATGCAATCGGGTTCTTCGGTGCAAAAGAGGGCAGGAGAGATCATGCCTGGGGATGTTGTGTGGCTTTCTGACGCCAAGTTGAAAGGACATAAAGGTATTCAGACATACAGCCAGCATGTGGGTGTGAAGGAGCCGCTTGTTGGTATCATCAGCGAGTTCGAAGCGAAGAAGTTCAAGCTCAGAGTGTTCCAGGCAAACCAGCATGTCGGGCAACAGGTAACTCTTGCAAATCCACAGTTGGTTATCACTTGTTAATGGTCGTTCTAGACAGTGGAGTCAGTAAGCTACCGCTTGGAAGACTTGAAGAGCGGTGTTGTGAAGGTAAGTATGATAGAGTCAAGGTTACGTTTTCTGCTAATTCGTTCGGTTAGGTATTCCGGATTTTGGAGGCATAACCAACGAAAACAAAGTTGTATTGTCAATGTGGTTACATCACATGCATATTATAGCATTCATCATTTCTCAAAAAAGTTCGAGTCATATCCCTATCAGTTACGCAGATGTACAACGGGAAGGAGCTAAACATGGATACTATGGACGTCATTAGTTTAGGACAAAGAGGAGGACATCATATACTCACTTAGGCGGTAACAATACTCAGCTTGGATTCTATAATCATAACGCATTCAGCATCTACCGAGTGAGAGTGTGCCCACCAGCGCCATCGTCTTTGAGATTACGTCCAGAATAGTTCTCGACAAGCTTCTGGTATTCGGCTAAAGATGCAGAAATCAGTGCTGTTTGTTATCAAGCAAGAATCAAGCGCACTCTTTACAGAAATATTGCCCGACTTCTGTTTCTTGGCAGGTGGGTCGGCAGGGGTCGAGTCGGCAGCTGGGTGAGGTCGCTTCCCTCGATTCCTCTGGTATATGATGAACAGCTGTTTTACTGCTGATGAGAGCTAACTTACGAAACGGTTATCAAAGTTTCTCTTTCTAGGGACCACGTTCACGATAAGCACAGGATGATGGACAGAATAGTATGCACTGACCTTTCGAGGTCTTCCTCACGCTTCCGCTTTTCGTCGATTTCCTGTGAAGAGATTGCCTTATCTTCAGAGCTGAACGAAAAAAGCAATGGTGAGTGATAAGAATGATACGTATCATACCTTCATGCTGCGTCGAATGCGGTCTAGGAAAGAACCATCGTTAGAAAATACATTGACAGGTTTGACTCCTGGCTTAGGTTTGGGTGGTGGGGGTATAGGATAGGCGTAACCCACGTAACCGTTGATGTTGGGATAGTATGCTTGAGACATGCGGTGGTTATTAGACAAGGAGGACGGTGTGGCTGTGCCCTGCGTTTCCGAATTTTCGAGAAGTGATCTGATACATATATCGATTGCCACAAGGGAATTTACGTTTAAGTACTTTCTGGGCATCTGGTTTCTGTTCAAGTATTCGGGCGAGACTCACAGCACCCGCAGGGTAGGTAACGGGTCGTAGATTGGGAATTCGGGTGTGACACCCTTTTTTCAGTAACTTCGAACCTATGGAATAGCAGTACTGTCTTTGCTATTGTTCAAGTAGATTTTGGATGAATGGATGAATGTTCGCAAAAATAACAAAACGTGGTTCAGCCCAGGATCGAACTGAGGACCTTGTGTGTGTGAGACACAAATCATAACCACTAGACCACTGAACCGACGATAAATGTATTTCTTCGTATATGTCAAATTGAAGTAGGAATGAAGTCGACGAGAATTACGACGTCGTAGTACTTACAGAATAGTAACTAACTACCTTAAGTCCACGTACTTAGGATGATGAAGAGTTGATTGGCTTGGCTTAGTCTAGCTTAAGTCCGGATTACAACCACTAAAGGCACTCGGGTTACCAGGTCCTTTACGTATTAAGCGGACAGCCTTGATTGCCAAGGTAGACTCTGAGTATCCGGACCAGTGTCAGCATCGCATAAAGAGTAAGAGGTGGAAACGCTCCTGCACAAAAAGGTGCATAGCGTCTATTTATTGATTGAAGTCAATGCCCGTTTGTTGCCTAGTTCCTCCGCGTGATGGTACAGCCTATCCCTATCGTGGTAACACTGGCATTCAGATAGGTAGCCACAACTGTTGCTAAAAGGCTTGTGTGATTTCTTGGAGATCTTGACTAGTCTTGATCAATCTCACCGCAGAGAACCGTGGGAACGACACGAAATTCGAAGCATCGTGGGAACAACACGCCTTTTAGACCTCCTCCTTCCGTTGCCCGCCACGGATTCGAATCCAGGCCCCTAGAAATTATCTTGCGGCACCTCCAAAATGTCTCGCCGCAGGCTGGTGGGCCAGCCATTATTATATGTTGTATCTATCTTCGCCAGTCTAGGGCGTATTTCTTGTGGGTCACCTTGCTCTGTAAGGCGGAAATTGCCAGCTTATCACGTCTTCCCCAGTTCGGGTATGATCAAGGGTAAGAAGCCGCAGAACCTTGCGCGGTCGAATGCAGCAGCTTATGATCTCGTCAGCGTCATGTCGGGCATCATAACAGGTCCCCACTTCATCCGATTTTTCGGTAGACCTGGGCCGATACAGGTAGGGAGTATGGTCGCTGTACTAGAAGTGGGTGCATTCGGTATGTGTTCTCCGTGTGTCATTGTGGAAGCCTGTTCTGACACGTGGCTGCTTGTAGTGACATCTCTGGCTGCTGGACGCGTAGGCGACATTATTGGCCGAAAAGGAACGTTATTCATTGGAGCTGTGGTGTTCACCTTGGGCGGGACGGTACAGACATTTACTACCGGATTCGCCGTAATGGTGGTGGGACGGATCGTCAGCGGATTTGGCGTCGGTCTTCTATCGTGCGTTGTCATCTTGGGGTTGGTCGTGTGCCCATCGCTGACGTATTGGCAGCACCATCGTGCCTATTTATCAGAGTGAAATATCACCGCCAAATCATGTATGACGTCCATTCCGTTCGTATCAACTCTTGACTAACATTCTTATAGAGAGGAGCTCTGGCTTGTGTAGAGTTCACTGGCAACATCTTCGGTTATGCGTTTTCTGTCTGGACCGACTATTTCTGTTCGTTCATAGACTCAGACATGGCATGGCGGATACCTTTACTTGTTCAGTGCATCATCGGTGCCATTCTTGCCGCCGGATCACTAGTGCTTCCGGAAAGTCCTCGGTGGCTCATAGACACAGATAAAGATGACGAGGGACTCCGGGTACTCGCCGACTTGCATGGCGGTGACCTGGACAACGTTGTTGCCCGGGCGGAGTATCGAGAAATCAAGGACAAAGTTATTATGGAGGTGCGTACTAGTAAGCGTGATAACGTCTATCTTATTTCCGTAATCACAGAGAGAATCCGGTGAGGCCAGGACGTATGCCGTGATGTGGAAGAAGTATAAACGGCGCGTGCTGCTGGCCATGTCGTCGCAAGCCTTTGCTCAACTCAATGGCATCAATGGTATGTCCCGCATGATTCAACTTTCCTCGATTGATACTCACGATGGTTGTAGTTATTTCTTATTATGCCCGTGAGTGACCCTCCTATGCAGCCCGAATGTTTACCCATCCATCTTACTCGCAGCTAAAGTATTTGAAGGCAAGTATTTTATCAGAGATGTCGTCATAGACCACATTCTCACAGCAACCGCTGCACAGAGGCTGGTTGGTTAGGCCGGCAAGCTATACTCATGACAGGAATTAATTCCTTAATATATCTCCTTAGTACCTTGCCGCCGTAAGCACCCTCCATCATCTTCAGCTACTTTTCCTCACTCGCCGCCATAGGTGGTACCTAGTTGACCGATGGGGGCGTCGACCTATCTTGCTCTCCGGTGCTGTTGTGGTGAGCTGTTTTCAAAATGTCATCTATGACTCATCGTTAAGTTTATAGATGAGTCTGGCGCTTTGTGCCACGGGGTATTGGATATATCTCGACTTACCAGAAACGCCTAATGCTGTAGTAGCGTGTGTCATCATCTTTAATGCTGCTTTTGGATTCAGGTTGGTCATTGCTCTTCGTCGTCTTTCCCTCCACTGACCTGACTTCGCAGTTGGGGTCCACTGCCGTGGCTCTACCCTCCCGAGGTAATGTTACCCTCGGTTACTATAGTTCGACTATTAAATTTTGTAGATTATGCCCCTCACTGTACGTGCAAAAGGCGTGTCACTGTCGACAGCGACTAATTGGGCGTTCAACACCCTCGTCGGTGAAATAACGCCTTACTTGCAAGAGGTCATAGAATGGCGCCTCTATTTTCATGCATGGGTTTTTCTGTGCATGTAGTTTCGTCTTGGGTAAGTTGTTTCTTCTGGCCCTGCTTTGACTCATGCTGACGACTTTTCGAAGTTTATTTCCGTGGGTCGTTCCTTTTATCCCCTCCTGCTTCAGAGTTAACCTTCCCCCCTCAGTATATCCTGAAACCAAGGGTGTTCCTCTTGAAGAGATGGATGCCGTATTTGGTGAAGACGAAAATTCCGGTTACAAGACCGTTCCACTGTCCTCCGCTGAAGAGCATGCATCGTTCTTACCTGGACCGTCGTATCCACCAAAGGCAAAGCATGCGAAGGGGACGTCGAGTGGAAGTTCGAGTGGATGGGTATCGAGGATGTTTAATAGGAATGGAAGCAGGAAGAATGTGGGGCCCAGCGAAGAAGAAGAGGCGTTGAGGCCAGAGGAGGAGGAAGCCGATTTTGAGATGCTGGAGAGAGACGGGACGGGACGGTAGCATTGGCAATGGATGTTTTGTATATATATCAAGCATATACCACTGTAATAGTACTCTCACAATAATTCTCTAGACATACACTGTCTGTTCAATGGCCAAACTAGCAGCACGAAAGAACCTGCCCTCAATTGCCTTACCAGTGTCTCACCGGTGTCTCAGATAACTTTGTCCTTTATTTCTTTGCAGAGTACCTCTATCATCTCAAAGCTTCACGAAATCAGAGAACCAAATATCGGCATTCGCTAGGTATGATTGTCAGCATTGATAGGAGTTCTTTTCACCTGCTTAGCCTTTGAACGTTGACTCTGTTGCTCACACCAAATATCTGCTTCGTGTATAGATTCCGAAACATCCCTCATCTCACCCCCACTGAGATGAATACTTCGTATATTTTTGACAGCTCTGACACCACAGCCGATGTTGTCCTAGTATCCTGCGACAACGTTCGCTTTCACACACACAAACTCATTCTTTCACTTGCCTCGTCTACTTTCCGAGACATGTTCGCGATAGCTCAACCGCCGGCCGATGGATCCATTCCTGCAATCCCGATGGCCGAAGATGGTCAGACCGTCGAGAAAATTCTTCGCTTTTGCTATCCCACTAAAGATCCGTCGTTCAAGGACGTACCTGAACTGTACCATGTGTTGGTAACCATGACCAGGAAGTACGGTATGGAGGACGTAGCTCTCAGAATTCGAACCGAGCTGCGTAGGTTCTGCGATTCAGGGAAGGATCCCTTACGGGTGTTTGCGATTGCCTATGCTATGGGATGGAAGCAGGAGGCCGCTGCCGCTGCTCAGACGGCAATTCAAAGACCTCTTCTGACACCAGAAGATGATGATATCTTGGAGCTAGACATCCTCGGGTCACCACGTATTATATATCGACTCTTGAATTTCCACAAACAACGTACGGGCGACGCCTACAAGTTAGCTTACATCGATGGGGATGAAGTTGACTTCGTATTCAAGAGTAACCCCTTTTGCGAACATCATGATATTTGTGAACATGATGGGGTTGGTCATTTTTATTACAACGCCGTTCCGCAGAAATCATGGCTCTTCTACTACATGTCATCGGTTCAAGAAGCACTTCTTCTCAAACCGACTACCGCGAGTCTCTATGGCCGTCACGAATGGGCGATGCAGCATGCTCGTAATATTGCAGCAGAGTGCTCCGAGTGTGCGAAATGCGATCTTCCCGCCCTCTTTGACCGGTATCTGCCACAAACCTATGTGAAGCGTATCGAAGAGGCTTTAAACAAGGTGAGCGTCTATATCGTGGCTTTGAGATGTCTTAATGAGCTGCATTTCGATAGAAATTCTGTCTGTAGCGCGTGTCAAGGTAGAAAGATGAAGGAAATCGACCAGTGCACGCGGACGGAGGTTGGTACTTATACTTGAACAAAATACTTATCTGTATAACTGTACTCCTAAACATTGTCGATAGAAGACGGTTATTTGTTTGTAAGTTAGTGTGTCCAAGGAAGTCGGGATGCAGTCGCGGTGGAACCTGCCCTCAAGTGCACGTGGGCATCTGTTGCCACTCCCTGCTTTTAATTTATCTACCCAGGTACGAGTTCCGCGAGTATCTATAAAGCAGAGTGCCAAGCTAGCGACTTGCTCATTTTATAGGCCTACTCAGGTTTTTAGGTCATTATCGCAAGTTTTGGCAAGTCATAGTCCGTTTATATCTTCATCAATAACATCTATCTCATCAGTCCGAGTCTTTCATAAAGGTTTGTTGACTACCAGTGCGCGCCAATTGGTACCAACTGTTTGCATTGTCTACAGCTTCGCAACTCCAGCCAATCTTCTGGAAATGGATGCTCCATATTCATTCGATGGTTCAGATACCACAGCCGATGTCATTCTAATATCGTCCGATGACGTCCGCTTCCACGCCCACAAACTCATCCTCTCACTTGCGTCACCTTTCTTCAAAGACATGTTCGCGTTAGCCCAGGCGCCTACAAATGGGACCATTCCTACAGTTCCAATGGCTGAAGACGGCGAAATTATAGATCAAATTCTTCGCTTCTGCTACCCCACCAAAGATCCATCGTTCGGTGACATATCTGCCTTATACCGTGTCATGGTGGTCATGGCGAGAAAGTACATCATGGAGGACGTTGTTATCAGGGCGCGAAGTGAGCTGCGTAAGTTCTCCAACGATGAGCCCTTGCGCGTCTTTGCGATTGCATATGCCATGGGGTGGAAAGACGAAGCTAAGGCAGCTGCAAACAGAGTGCTTAAAAGACCTTTATTAACAAACGATGATGACGATATCCCGGAACTCGACCTCTTACAGTCTCCTCGTATCATCTACCGACTATTGAAGTTCCACGAAAAGCGCCTGGACGAAGCTCACAGGTCCGCCACTTTCGTTCTGGATTATTTTACAGAACCACTTGGGAGCAGTCATTGCTCTGCTCATAGTATCTTTCAATGCGACGATGGCGTCCCGGCCACTATTGTTCCACAGAGATCGTGGCTGCTTTGCTATGTGACAGCAGTTCAAGAAATAATCCGTAGACGTCCGAACTCAAAGAGTCTACGAATCCAGGAAAAACATCACAGATGGCAAGCTCAAGAGATTGCAGAGTCATGTCCTGAGTGCGTGCCCTGTGATCTTCCAGCCATCTTTGACGAGTTTATCCCGGATATTTATTTGGTCCGTATTGAAGAAATATTGAATCGGGTGGGTGGCTATACCAATCGGCTATTTATCCTTCTGATACGCCATGTACTTTCTTCAGAAGTTTGACCTGTAGGAAACTCAAGGTACCTTCGAAAGGACGAGAGAGGACAGAATTAGCACCCTCTCGACTACTTAGGCCCTAGAGCAAACTGTACTTATATTGATTTATCTCCATCTCCATCTTCAATTGCCCTTCAAGGCGAAAACCATGTCACTCACTGATAAGCTATCGGCACCTTGACGAGCGAACAACTGTCTTCTTTCTTCTACAGATGGATCTTGGCCAGACTCGTGCAGATTTCAAATCTGGGTCGGTTTTCCGGCAGAACTACTGGCAACCGCATTCCTTGATCTCTTTCCTCGTCACTCGTGAGATTCTTCTGTTGATGGAATGAAGATGTGAAGATGATTTTGGACGGGTATTCAGTTGAGTAATTGTTGGATGCCGTTATTTCTGTTTCTAGCGTCTATAGTCTGTTACACGAAAGGCAAAGGACGACACTTTGGGAAGCAGAGGCTCTTCATCCGCTAGAAATGATATTCGAAGACTCAACCAGCACGTGTAAACAGCACGAAAATCTAGATATTAATTAATGCACCCCTAAGTCTAGAAGGGAAAACGAAGATATTATGGGATGCAGACCGCTCTACTAGATGATAGTGATATATAGCTGACGCGGAAAAATGCCCGCAAGGCACAATCTGTTGGAATGAGTGGATGTAGACCTTTCCCAGCCATGAGATATATATTATAAAGTCGGAGCCTGAGTCTCAGCCCTAAATCAACGTCCAACCGACTTTGACAATCGTGGAACTACGGGCATGACATAGCAGAACTCATTTGGTGCACCGTTGCGTTACCCTTATCAAGGCCAGGGGCTAAAATTTCAATGATTAATAGACAGGACGGAAATGGTTAAAGCCCAAGTTATCTATAAAAATTCATGACGGATAGAAGGAACTGAGACGAATTCATTGGCGTGATGGGGTTTAATGAATTGTAGGCTTCTTGATCGAAGGCCGTGAAACCAGGGTAGCTCCGTGCTCGTCGTACGTCTTCCTCACTGAACTTCACCGATTTCGACGAGCAGGTTTGAGATCCCCGGGTGTCAGTCATTTTAGGTGAAGCAGATGACTCCTCGGAATTCGAGCAATAACGCACGAGGTAGGCTCCTACCTCAAAGGTAATGTGCGGTTCAATTGCAAAAGGAGCCATTTACCCGGGAGAATGCATCAAGACTCGAAGAGTGGCAAGGAGGGGCTAGGACTGATGAGGCAAATCGCCGGGGCGTGGATTGGTGTGATAGTGGTATCAGTATTAATACCGTCCGTGATATGTATGTACGTGTTGATTCAGTACGTTAGCTATCCCGTTACTGGAACCCTCGACATACGTTTGATTCGAATGTATACAAGCCCCGCGGTCTTTTCCAGTAACTGGACCGCCGTCGTAATTATTGTTGCCGCCAATCCCATCGAGAGAGGATCCACTTCACATCGACACAGGTGGCTTTGTTAAGAAGGTCAAAACTTGCGCGACAATAGCATAAGAAGTCCAGATTCCCAAGAAAAAAGCTGGTATACAGGTCGAATCATATAGTTATTTCGACAGGCGAAAGACAAGGAAGTTGCTACATCAATTGAGCGATAATACCGGAGCACAGTAATAGATATGATGCACTGAGATGGATGCACAGCAGTCATGTGGATACCCCAGGCAAGAATATAGAGAACTCGAAGGCGAGATGGAAGTGATCATCGTCTGCCACGTGCTGTCTTTGTCAGTTTCAACAGGAACAGAGTCTGGAACTCGTGTTACTACTCTCCAGAACGCCGATCAACACAGATAGGACCATTCAGTGCCGATGCCCATTCTATACTATTACGACCGCTCCTCATGGGGGTCGTTACACCGGAGGCCCTAGATTTCACTTCAGAGGTTTACGTGTTTAATTGACGAATGTTCATAACTTATGATGAATATCCGTCAAGAGTGTTGTCTCCAACTTGGCTCACCTCTACGGTACATCAAGATCATCCCAAAATTCTTATTCAACACAGTGGCGATGGGACGTCTCCACATGTCAGGAAACCACACAGCACATATTCCTGACCTGGTCGCGTAAGAGGTTCGGTTCGCTTTACATACTTATACGCAAAAGCGGCCGGACGCTCAAAACTACAAATAGCTAGGAGAAGGAATGACGGACACAGTACAAGTCCGTTCCGAGAAGGTGACCACGGTTCTGCGTGTGAACGGACCCTCCGGAGTGCTGTGTTTTCGTCTCAGGCTTTGCATTACGGAACAGAGCGTTCAACACACCCTGTGTTGTAGCCAGTGCATGGCTACGAGCATCTACTTATTGCCATCTGTCTATTTGAAGTTGATCATTATGCTCTTAAAATTCAGAAAATACTGTGATTCATTTACTATACTACAATGGCTCACTTCTGTCCTGACGACTACTCCGACAGCCCTTCCAAGGACACTATCCTTCTAATTCGTCGCCCTTCAGAGCATGAATATCTTCTGTGCTATGTCAAGGACAGGCGCAGTACTCGTATTCTATCCATATTTTCACATTGGTTTTTCGTGTTCAAGTTTTTGCATAGTTATTCTATTGCTTTGTCCCATCCGCATACTATAGATGTATACATCTATGCTACTGGCGGGCCCCCTGCTGTATGTAGAGTCATTCATGGTCGCACCAAGCCCCCTGACGCCTGCAGCTTTGTCTTCACACATACGTACAATTGGCATTTATTAGGTATCATGGGTAAGTCTACTTCTTCAAGGATTTCACGGTGAGTCTGAACTCATGACCACATATCATAGAGCCCATAAAATACGTGCAACGTCAGGACATCGAGATATAAAAACAGACAGAAAGGAGAAAAGCGAATACTACACGACAGATCAGATAAAGACACAGACACAGACAGGAGTTGAAACAACGAAAGTTTACGTGCAATTCTCAAAGCCCAAATAAATGAAACGATCGATCGATGGACGAGCACTCGAAGAAAGAAGTCGCACGTAGAAGTACCGCAGTGGTGAGTATCAGCGTCCGCGCAATAAAAACAGTAAAACAAAGGAATCTGCAATAATATAAGCTAGGGCGTATGAAAACCAAAGAAGAGAGGCACTCGCGCATGCTATGTACAAGAAATGCAAAAGCGCCGAAGTCGAATCACCTTCCAGCGGGAGGCCAGATATCTGCAACCGTTCGCCTCCTCTCTTTCCTTGAACCGGGGAGAATAGAAGAAGCTGCACTCCGATCAGCAGCGTGCGCTGCTTCTGTCCCATCAAGCGACATCCTCGCCGACCGGTTCACCGTCCGCCTCCAATCCCTCCCCGTCTCGGAACCCGACATTGGCGAATGGACACTAGCAGCGATCTCGGCCTCATCTGTGTTCACAGAACCTGAAGAAGACGACTTCCGTTGTTTCTCATCCTGCTGCTGAAGTCCGTTGAGCGTTGAAATCGATATAGTCGATGGGCGAGAGAACGTCACCGAGGTTCGATTCGACTTGTTCGAATCGGTCCGCTGTAACGGGCTCGCGCTTGGGAAACTCACTCGATCAGGAGAATTGGAAACCGTATGTGTAGTCAGAGCTGTAGTTGTATTTGGGCTCCGAACGGAGAAGATAGAGTTGAGGTTCTTGCGGCGAGAAAGAGTTTGATTTTGCTGGTCTCGGTTATGATCTTGAGGTCGTTTTTCTGAAGGAGGCGTAGGAGTAACGGATAGTCGAGCTCGAAGAGATTCAGAGGGTAATGTCGGCAGTGGTCTTGGAATGTCAAGGGGAGGGAGAGTTTGAGTGCGATCAGGTACGCGATTGTTACGAGAAGCAGGTGTAGGCGATGGGTCAAAAGCACGGACAGTTTCTTGAGAATCGAGCGTAGCGACACCATTTGCGCCGACACGTATAGAGGGCTGCACTCGTCGTATGGAACCGGAACTTACCCCATTGGTAGTAGCACTTCGATGGGGTTCTCGAGGAGACGGGGTTTCGAACACAGATCGGGTATAATCCTCGTTCTTTAATGTGTTGAGAGCTGACGGAGGTCGAACAGCAAGAACACTTTCTGCCCTTGCATTCAGCCGTCGCGAGGCCTCTTCTCGCTCCCTATCTCGGATGTCCCAGCTACGTCGAGACTCAGCGCTACGCCTTCCACTACCGTTCACAGGGGTTTCTGGTGTAAGATGAAGCCGTGATAGACGTCCCGTCAGACCTTCCTCATCCAAACTGATGCTCCGATTATGGGTATCTCCAGCACCACTTAGATCTCTAACAGCTTTGCCGACACCAAGCAGGAACCCTGTCACCGCTCTAACAAGCTCGTCGCTTGCTCTCATTCCCTCTCTATACTCTCCACCAACTTTCCTCCATATCTCCACCAAGTCTGCATCCATGTCACGATCACCAACCTCCGCATTGATCTGCTCCTCCAACGCCCGTCCATTCCCACCCTTCATTAGTCCTTGCAACCTTTCAGCAGCCGTCACTATACTTTGCGCGTTCCTCAGCAAATCGTTGGCCGCATTCAACTGCACCCGATTGATTTGCGATTCGAACATCGACAAGCTATTGTGCATCAGCTCCGTATGATGACCGGACTGCTGTATTCCTGAAACTCGTGGACTCGAGTACCGGTCCTGTCCACTGTACGCGCTGAGTGACGACTGTGACCTCTCCACATCTCTCCGAGATACTGAGGTATCTCTGTCCCGCAAAGGATACGCACTTCGATGACTCCTCAACTGACGCGAAGCTGATGAAGGGGAGTCACCGCCATCCTCGAAATCTCGGCCGTATTCCGCCATCGACGTTGCTGCTCTTGGTCCAACGATAGTACGAGCACGAGTCTTGACATCGCCGACCCGCTTCTCCTCACCATCCTTCAAAGCTATGCCAGCTGCACGCAACCCTTCGCCAGCTAAACTTCTACCCCGAGCACCCACTGTCAATGCACTCTCCGCACTCCCACCTCGTAACGTTTGCCGCCGCCCTATGGCAGGTTCATCGTTATCATCGCTAGGAGACGTCACCGACAGATCCTCGCTCATCCAACGCGTCTGGTGCCGTCGATTCAGATCTCGCACAGTTGACGATCTAGCAGGCGTTTTTGGGAGAGACGTGAATTGTAAGGTAGAAGTTCGGGTAAGAGTACCGTTAACACCGTTCCTGCTGAGATGTCGAGCCACCGCCACCAGGTGAATCACGAAATTCCGGTGGAAGAGGCTGCCTCTTCTTCCCCAGACCCACTGTAGGGACTCCGTCTGGACGACGCAACCGCTGCCAGCGCGCTTTGCGTCACGCCACGGTCTGGGGATCTCGGACGGTAAGAGGCTGTTGCTTCTGTGAGAGCAACTGAAGCGCGCTTCCGGATATGGGAAGGGGAATTTGATGATTGCGAGGAATTGGACTTGGCTGCAAGAAGGCCCTGTCCGGGAGATGAGGGGGCGGATATGAGGCGCTGTCGGATACGTGGCGTAGACGGGCGAGGATCGGGAGAGCCTGTTCGGGAGGACGAATGTGAGGAGGAAGAGTGGGAATTTGTGGAGAATACGGGAGGATGGAGAGTCTCACGCTCTGTTTCAGAACCTGACTGGTGATCTGGCGTGACTTGGTGGGAATGGCGTGACGAGCGTGTTCTCGAGGAGGAAGAGGAAGACTGGGATGATGTTGAGGCAAGTGGTGGAGCATGGTGTTTGGGCGTAGTGGGATGACGTGGCTTGGGCGAAGGTGTACTTAGCCGAGAGTAAGAAGAAAGTTTATCGAGGGCCTACAATGATAAAATCAGACGAAGAAAAGACCGAGCCATCCGAAAAACGTACCATCCTGTTCCTCTGCGTGAGACTCTTGACGCGTTCAAGCGCCTGTACATTCTCACTGGAAGAGATGGAAGACTGTCGTCTGCTAAGACGCGCTGTATTATCCTCGTCGTCGTTGTTGTCATGGTCGTTGTCATAATCGTCATCGTCATCTGGATCGACCAGACGACTCGTGGACCCATTCTGCTTTTCTTCAAAAGCATGATGGAATGTCTTTACATTCGACTCAGTGAGCATTTCACTGGGATGGGGCCGATTTCTTCGAGCGATGCTGGCAGGATCGCCTGTGCTTCCAGCTGCCAGTAGAATTCGTTGCCGGTGGAGAAGGAAGACCGGAACCTTTTGAACTAGAGCTCGCAACTGGACTTGGTGGTTCCGGTAAATCAGGCAAGTTCGGGGGAGAAGATATGTATAGAGGATCTTTCCCCAAGTATACAGCAGACAGCGGACGTTTTCCAGTGGATTTGATAGGTCGGGGGGACATTTAGAACTTTTCCGGCAACTGAAGACCGATAGAAAACAAAAGAGCGAAATGTTGAAGCCCCAAGGCCTAACAAAAAGGCATGAAGAGAAGAAAAAAAAGACCACTGCGCCCGTCGTGGACGTTGGAGGGAAGGGAGCAACGTTGTCTGCATCTGTTTGTCAGCACGCCCTTCACGTGGGGCCGTCACTTCACGCCAAACGTCTAGCGTCAATTCGAATATGCCCACTGTCTTCCCGTTTTCTTGCTTGCGCTTGGTGATTTTCTTCGTAGTGCTACGGCTGGAACTTTCTTTCGTAAGAGATGTATGATAAACAATACTTCCCATCGCTATGACCTTGTAATGGAAACAATAACAAACTACCGACAAGAATAACTTCAGTCTCGGTTCTGCGCACTTCATCGTGACCGTTTCACTTCGTAATTCTACCTTGTTAATCTTGCCTCGTTTAGGTTTGTTCTCTTCATACTCCCGCGGCACCGGTTACCAAAATCGAAGCACCGACATCAGCTCAAGCCACAAGGCGAGAATTCTCTGCATACTGTGCCTGGTCTCTTGTGTCTGACATTTGTGAACAGGAAATGCCAATGATCTGAACCACATCCGGGTCAAAAAAATTTAAAATCCAAGAGGCTTGTCTTCTTCCTTAGAAGGAAGAAAAAACCAAATATTTATCCTACAAATCGAGGGTCATATGGTCGCAGCAGTCGGCCACGACAGCCCGTCTGCGGTGGTTTCCAACGCGCCTACCGAGGCAGCAACCGGTAACAAACATCTCCTGACCCTATTGGCAACTTCCGCCCTTCAGGATAGAATCCCAGTGTTGCCGTCATGATTGGCGCACGAACGGACTACGGAGATGTCATTCACTCGGATTTTCCCGCCCCAAACACATTGTGTTCCGTCAAGATGTTCATAGGTGACTATACTATATTCCACGTGTTGGAATCCTCGTAACATCCGCAGTGTAGGGCCCGAGGATACATCCAGGGTGCTGCCATGATCGAAGACCTATGTTCTTTCGGATTTACAGGCGTCGAACGAAACGCTAATAAAAAGCTACGCAGCTGCCGGTTCGCATATCATTGATCGAAAATCAGATTCAATCAGGTCCCGCTGGATCTCGTGAGATGGGATCTTTAATGCGCTCAATCCCCTCGCTCAAGTGAACCAACGCAGCGACTCGATTCATTTCTCGCATCCGGAAAACACAGTGCGGATGTCCGTCCCGAATGCGGACCGGCCCCGGAACAGGTTTGAAGCTGGTTGCTTGGCTTCCGTGTTTTAACCGAAAACCCATTGGTAGCTCTCTGCCCCTTGTGCTGTGGTGCGATTATTTAATTTTCTTCGCCTGTCAAACATCTTACATCCGTGAAAGTACGCCGTTGAAGGAAATTCTTTGTCGTGACTGCTCGCTAACCGACGTCGCGTTGTCGCACTGTTAGTCATAACATTGGACAACTGCTTTTCGGCGTGGCGTTGTAAACTTCCCATTTGATGATCCTTCCTTTAGGCGGGCCGTCCTGGACAGAGGGTGCTCTGAATTTCTGGAGAGTATTGGCATTGTGACTCCATCATCTGACTTTGTTCAGGTGTCGATGCAGTATGTGGTTTACTGGCGGACCGCGTACGGACGCTTTTGGAGTCAGATATAAGGTGACATTGAGTGATTCGCGAAGAACACTTCGTACAATTGTACAATGGTGAGCACACTCCATCAACTCCTGTGTTGAGACTGATCATAAGGGCTTAGACGATTCTGCTTCCTTTACTGTCAACGGTCTGTTTTGGAGTCCTTTCGACTTTCGGAGCGCGTAAGTGTACATATCAATAGAGAAGTTACGTGATCCCTTAGTCATAATTTCTCTGCAAGTCGTCGCGCCGGTGTATAACAGAATTCCAACGGGAGCGATCAAACCAGCTGGATGGGCCTTGGATCAAGGTAATGTCCAGGCGGAGGGTCTCGCCGGACATCTGATGGACTTCGACAGCTAGTGAGCCTGCACCAGGATCCTTTCTTGTCAGGCTCCGTCTGATGGATTATTTCTAGCGTCAACGGTTCAATTTGGGTAGAGGGAGGCTCCATTGAGTACAGTGCGATGCACGAATCAGCCCCGTATTGGTTGTAAGTCTAGCCATTTCTTTATTTTATTCCAATGGCGCCACTATATCCCTCTCAATTGACAATTTTGAAACGAAAGCAACGGCATGGTGGCGCTGGCTTTTCAACTTGAAGATAAACGCCTCTTGGGTCAAGTCCGTGCATTCTTGGATTGGACTCTAGACCATCAAGGCGATGATGGTTGGATTGGTCCCGAAGCCCTCGACGGGTCATCGGATGATGTTCCCCGTCTGACATGGCCCCGTTATCTTGTTTTAATGGGACTCGTTGTGAGTACCATTCGCAGTCATTCAAGCACAGTTCTTTATGATGCTGGAAAAGCAATATGCCGAAGCGGACCCTTCCCAAACCGAACGGATCGTAGACGCCATGCACAAATTTATCACACTTGTTCATAGTACCTGGGCGTCCGGCTCGGAAGGCGATCCTGAAGACGGCTTCCAGTTTGAGTATCAATATGTGAGATGGGAAGAAGTGAGTGACTTCTTGCCCTTATTAAATTAAAACTAAACTTTTCTTTTTCCTAGTTGGTCTACTCCTTACAATGGTTATATGATAACTATCCCAACGGTCTGAGTTCCCCACACATATTAATGAATTCATCTTGCCACGTTATTCATATTGATTCTGTGATGCAGGTCGGGAAGATATCTTAATCGAGACGATGCAACTCGTCAGAGACTCGGGATTTTCCTGGAAAGACGACTGGTATACGGAGGCCAGTTTCGCAAAGGAAGCAGTGACATCCTTCTTTTCATACACGTAAGCAAACCAAGCCCTTTTAAATGGGTAGAGTAACCCAGTCTCACGGAGAACTCATCAAAAAAACTCACCCTGCAGGCATGGTGTGAACAACGCAGAAGGTAGGAATTGCCAAATGGTAATACCGACTGTATGGCTCACTTACGAAATTCTATGTTAGCCCTCAAGTCTGAGGCGTTGGCGTATCGGTTTACGGGTGATCCGACAGACGTTCAGAGCACTTTTGACCGGCTCGATATGATTTATCAGTACCACGGGCGCGCCTCTGGTTCGTCTGAGTATTCGCCCCCATCGTAATCCTGTTTTCAAGCCGGTTCCGATTCTTTTATGTACAGGTACCTTTTCAGCCGACGAGCATCTCGCTGGTCTGGGTCCTTCTCGTGGGTAGGTCAATGCCGTAAATTGTGTACCAGGGATTCTCAGTTGTCATTGACGTCCTGGCAGAACTGAGCTGTGCACCGTAGTGTGAGTCGTTGCACAGTCACTTACTTGTTCGAGCTGAGACTTTTCCAAGGGAACAAATCTTCTCGCTTGCGACGATCTACCAAATATTTGGCAACAATTCTTTGGCCGACCGCGCGGAGAGAATAGGTAGGCATATGATCTGGGGCCTTTTGGCAACTGTAGACTGACCTCACTTGGACAGCTTATAATGCATTACCCGCCGGAATAATGCATGATTGGTGGTGTAGGTATCCCCCTTCTACATAAAATTTCTCGGCGTTTAACATTATCCGTCTGTTATCATCAGCACACCAGTATGACCAAGAAGGTCATAGACACTTCGCCAATTTGTTCCTTTTTTGTTTTATTTTAACATTCTTGTTCAGTCAATCAAATTTGGGCCCAGGAAATGGACCCATCGCCATGGGGTAATAATGGTCCTAGGTCAAACATCTTCGGGTTCGAGCCGTGAGTTCCATTTTTTATTCGTGTCACGAAATAGAGGGCCTTCTACAACGTGTAGGAATTACCCATGTTGTACCGCCAATCATCCGCAAGGGTACCCAAAATTCTGGGCTCATGCTTTCATGACCGATCCAGCGGATGACGGACTGCTTCATGTTTTTCTGGGACCGTATACGTATTCCGGAATCATTGGCGCGTCCAACCAAGTTGATGGTCTGTCATTCCTTTTTTAACGGCCGCCTACCCCAACTCTCTCACCATCCTTCCTTTAGTTGTGGTTGATACCATTTATCCGTTCAATAACACACTCAAGTACCAAATCGCGGCGAGCGAATCACTGGTTTTCAAGATCCGTATACCAGATTGGGCCACGAAAGAAAGTGTGATATCGGTGAACGGGGAGGAGGCGACGACCCTGACGCCTGACGATGCGAATTTCCAGGTCGTTGAGGTGAATGTTTGATTGGGAGCGACTAGATAACTCGGCTGACATGGTCTAGCTTTCGGAAGGGTCATCGACGATAGTGCTTTCCCTTCACGCTGTCCTTGATATCGAAAAACGGTTCAATGATGCCGTCGCCATCAACTACGGGGCGCTTAACTATGCAATAGAACTATCTTACAACGATACGGTTACTGAGGGATTACGGTACGGTTCTGTGACTTTCAGAAATGCTTCAAGATTTTTCTCACCTTCACTGATAGGAGCGAACAAGCCTTGAACGATGTGAAAACGCTTTATCCCGATGCACCTGCTGAGTATCTCACACCGGCATGTACCATCATTTTCATTCGGCCGCCTAGCTTACGGAAAATGTAGTACGATAATCACACCAAGGACCACACGCTGCTGCCTACCACAGAATGGCGTCTCGCTATTGATCCTTCTACTATTGAGATCGTCGATCGTTCTTCCGAGGTGTCTAACTTACCGTTCTACGTCTGGGCTCCCGGTTCTCAGCCTATCACCATGATTGGTTCGTAGTCCATCCACTTGCCTTCTTTCATGCTAACTAAGTGCTTCTCATCCAGCGACTGCATGCCAGATCGACTGGGAAATTTCTAGTGGAACAGCCGCCTCCCCCCCTCAAAGTCCAAACGCTTGTACCAGCGATACCTTCGAAGTCAAGCTTGTCCCATTTGGGGCTGCGAAGCTCCGCCTGGGGGAGATTCCGACGATGATCATAGCCTGAATGACACCTATATACATAATCTGTACATGTAATATCCAAACTGCCTTAGCACAAATTCGATATCTTCGGGCGATGAGCCAGTCTTGAGCAACCCATTTCAAGCGCAATATTCGTCACGTGCACGAGACACCCTTCTTCCCGACCACAATGGACGTCGAACGGGGCGTGAAGGAGTACGATCCAATGTCCAGCGAGGCGCTGCCGTCCCCACATTCTCGAGATGAGTGGCCCAAGAGCCCGATATACCAGCCGACATCCTCATTCTACACCCAGCCCCACTTCACTCTGCTTCATCTTGCTATCGCTTTCCTTGCTGGATCCTTAGGCTGTTTCTTCGCTCAATACGCTATATGTGGGACAACCTGTTTCTCTGATGATTTGGCCAGTAGTACGATGGGCGGTTATGACGATGCTATCGCCCTAGCGCCTCCTTACGTTCGGCTCGACGGAACGGGACATTTTCCCACCAGCTACGCCGACGAATGCTTTCCCCTCTCTCTTCCCTACGGACGTTGGGTATGCTGGGGGAACACCCACAGGAGTCGAGCCTGCGTTGATAGCAACGGCCCCATCATACCCTATTCACAGCGGGGCCGCGGTTCTCGTCGCGCCTCAGGTGATGACGCACCAAGAGAAGACGAAGTCATTTGATCTATTCAAGAAGTGGGGCAACCTTTCGCCGTGGTACAGCGTAGATAGGAAGACATTTGGGCTGGATTCGAGTCCCGAGACGCCAGAGACATGTAGGATTACGGGCCTGCATTTCTTGCATAGACATGGAGCCAGGTATCCGACCGCTTGGGGTGAGTGACGACCTTATCCTCGCGGTGGATAGATCTAATCATTTCCTTTTGCAGCGTCATATGGTGGCCCGGCGAATTTCTCGGGAAGGCTGCACGATGCTGCTGCAGGGCTGAGTGCGTCCGGGGATTTGGAATTTTTGAACGAATGGTGGGTGGTTTTCGGTTGCGATAGCGATCCTGAACGAATCCGTTTATAGGACGTACAAGCTCGGTGAAGAAGTCCTTACGCCCTTTGGGAGACAACAGCTTTGTTAGTCGACCTGTATTTTGTACTTGCATATCCTCTCACCTCGCCTTCCAGATGACTTGGGTATTTCTATGAGACTCAAATATGGATATCTTCTCAAGAACTTTACGGAGTCCAACACCATTCCTGTCTTCCGGACCGAATCCCAGTAAGTATGCTCCTCAGGAGATGGTTCAGGCGCTTTATTTGTGTACAGAGATCGTATGCTCAACTCCGCTATGAACTTCGCAATTGGCTTCTTTGGATACCCATTCGAAGGTCAGTATCAGCAAAGTATCACCATCGAAGCAACTGGAGTAAGTCATCGTTGCCATCGATCCCCTGTTATCTAACCGTCTCGTAGTTCAACAATACTTTGGCCCCGTATGACACGTATGTCATCTATACGTCCGCAACGTCTTGTCCTGACAGCCTTGCAGATGTCCGAACGCCAAGATCAGTTCCAGAAGCGATCGCGGCAAGTGGTACGTGGAACGATGGGCTGGCATCTACTTGAAGAATGCCCAGGAGCGTCTCCAACGTCAACTCAACGGGTATAATTTGACCATTGAAGACACGTATGTTCTTCAGCAGATGTGTGCATACGAGGTGCGCATCTGATCCCGTTACAAGGATCCGCGTACTGAAAATACCTCTAGACGGTGGCGCTGGGGTATTCGCAATTCTGCACGCTCTTTACGGAAGAAGAATGGGAAGGCTTCGATTATGCGTGGGGTTCCTGTCTTTGGTCTTCTCTGTTGTCACACTGACGTCGTCTTTCTCGGCAGTCTGGATCTGAGTTTCTGGTACAACTCCGCATTCGGATCTCCCGTTGCTCGTGTTCAGGGCACCGGGTATGTTCAAGAGCTCGTGGCCCGGCTCACGCAGGAACGTATCAAGGAACATAGGCTCTCGACGAACGCCACGCTGGACGACAACCCTACGACTTTCCCCTTTGGGGACAGTTTGTATGTGGATGCTACCCACGAAGTGGTGGTTTTGAACAGTAAGTTCCGTGCATCACTATTCTTGGAATGTAGAGCTAATTCACGGGACCTCTCGCGTTTATTTGACCAGTCATCACCGCATTGAACTTGACAACTTTAGCAGCCACTGGACCGCTCCCGTACGACCACATACCCGAAAACCGGTCATTCAAGGTATCCGAGCTGGCTCCGTTTGCTACAAACGTGCAATTCCAATGTATGTATACTTCTTCTTTCATATCATCAACGGTCTTAACGTAACATAGTATTGGAATGTACGTCGGTTCCGGGACAGCAAATCCGTATCGTTATCAACGATGGAGTCGTACCGCTCACTGGGATCAAGGGGTGTCCTGACCAGAAGGATGGTATGTGCCCGGTGGAGACGTTTGTGGCGTCGCAGAAGGAGTTGATTGATAAGGCTGACTGGGTATATGATTGTTATGAGGAGTGGGATATACCGTCGGGACCGGCGTGGGAGACGGTCACAGGTGATTCGCCCAAATTCTGAGTAGGAGGAGGGTATATTGATAATACTATACATGTACATCGATGGGCCAGTTGTAGATAATATACTCCTTGTACTGACGAGGAGTAGTAGGTCCATATGTACGCATCAATAGCACAGCCACAGCGGAAGACCCCAAACAACAACCGACAATCGACGTGTCGCTTTACCAAATCCACCAACAGGACCGCCTTGTACACCTTATCCATCGATGTTTACTGAAGAGCTGAAAGCCTTTCGAAGGCTTGGATTTCGCCATGTATGGTCAACGCTTCACTGCCTGTTCTTATCTCACCTATTATTGCATTAGGTCCTCCTGCAATGCCTCAATTTCGCGACTGTCATTGCCTCGGGGCTCATGATATGGAAGGGTTTGGGACTAGTAACAAACTCAGAATCACCTATTGTCGTAGTGTTAAGGTTTGTAGTCGTTCGCCTGGCCAGTGTAGCGACGTGTAAACTGATGGGTAACAGCGGTTCGATGGAACCAGCCTTCTACCGCGGCGACCTACTTTTCCTTACCAACCCTGCGCACGAGAGATACCATACGGGAGATATCACTGTTTACAAGATTCCTGGAGCCGATATTCCGATCGTTCACCGGGTACTGGAGACGCATGATTTTCCGCTGACGGATAACTCTACGTACGTTCTATTCCTTAGGGTGTACCAAGACTGATTTGGGGTATGTCTAGTTTGGCGAAACAGTATTTGCTTACCAAGGGAGATAATAATTATGTGGACGATATCGATTTGTATCAAGGGTTAGAGTGGTTGGAGAGGAAGCATATTGTGGGAAAGGTTAGAGGGTATGTTTTGATCTTTTTTCGTCTGTTTTTCCGGTGTTCTTTCGTGTTGACTAAGTACGGTCAGGTTCCTACCGTATATTGGATACGTCACGATAGCAATGGTTCGTTGCCCTCGCTTTTACGTTCTCGGGGCTCGCATTGATTGTCCTTTCCAGAATGATTTTCCTCAGCTCAAATATGCCCTCCTAGGAGGACTTGGGCTGTTGGCGCTAATACAGCGAGAATAGGCTAATTGTAAGTATGACCACTCCCTACCGTCCAACGCATAAATACTGAGCGATCTTTTGCAGGTAGCGTAGACATCATTTGTCGTGTAATCATACAAAACCTTACGCCAAGAATTCGGCTATTATACCTTCTGATTTGCGTGGCGTGACATCATAAGTTGCAGCCAGCCAACACGAGGAAGCGATGAGGTCCAGTAAATAGACGGAACAAACATAAATACCCTGATTTCTTTTCCCCATGTACAAAAGAGCCACGTCCTTGACATTCACCATTCTAACGGCGCTGTGCGTCTATTTTCGTGCGTACACCTCCATCTCCAAGCCCGACTTCCGAGTTCCTTAGACGCACAGAATCTCCTTTACTCAATGTACTCAAGGCGTTCATGGAACATCCGATGGACTACACTTGTACGCATTCTGGGATGATTTCTCTCCCAATTCTTCATTTATTTCGCAGATGAACAACTAGTCCGCCTCTTCGAGAGACCCGCGGATTTTCCGTACCAGGTCGCCGTGTCCCTTGATCAGCAAAGTACGGCAGAGGTTTTCCCCATATACAATACTTATTTTTCCTCATGGTTCACGAACCAGTGAAACGGCTTCGTTGGCTCTCCTTAATAACTTTCTACACCATATTCATAGGTCCCGACACCGTCTTAACGGGATATATTCTCCTCCGGGAAATCTTCTTTACCATCATGCACCATTTTTTATATCTGTTTCATAGTTGCCTTCGGTGTAAGCGATCCTCTCTCCCCTCCTCCATTATTTACTTACTAAAAATGTGTTTATCGGCTGTCGTAGCCCCGTCGCTAATCAGATACTACGAAGAGCGCACGTCTGCCTCTCTTCCGGGGAAAGAATTCTTTATTTTTGTCAGAAATTCCAACGACATGTATAACACATGGACAAAACAATCCAGAATTTTGACAGTTTTGCGATGTGTGTCGGTCGCGGGCTGTGCCTACATGGTGGTCGTCCTTTGGTTCGGGTTACAGTAGGTATTAGGATTGATGTCCGAGGAAGCGTTCGGTTCTGGTCATTATCGAAGACTAGTTTCTTCTAATGTGTACTCTAGTATGTGTAAAGACAGTTCTATAGTACTGATGTACACCTCTCTATATGAGTCCATGTTAAGATGCCAAATGTATCCATTATGAAGTCCAAGAATAAACGAGAGTCCAAATAACACAAGGGTACAAATCTACATAACACTAAGAAGGAAAAAAATGTTCGGGTACTTATGACCCCGTACAAGTTGCAGTAGGGAGTGTGGCGTTGACCGCGTTCCATGGGCTGCAAGCACAGCGTTAGCCAATGGAAGGAGGGATAAATATAATAATGATAACGACGACTCACTCGGGATAAGAGCATCCTGCGACAGTTCTACAAAGAAAGGTCAACCGGCGTTCAGTATGAAGATATCCGAGAAATGAAAAAAGGGACAGAAATACTGACACATAAGCCAACTGCGTATCAGCGGAGTTATTCCAGCCGCTACCTACCGTCGCTTTAGGCGCGGCAGTAAACGTAGGTGCGAACAGGGTCTTTATCGTTCCCGTCGCGGTATAAGTCGGGAGGAGGGACATCTGAGACGGTGAGAAGGACGGAGACAGCGAAGGCGGGGGGAAAGCATGTGACGATGTCTGTGCAGCTTCAACGGTACCTGCAGCCGGACTAGAAAGAACGACAAATCAGCTTTATGGGAACAAAATGACGCAAAGGGAATTCTGAAGACCCACTCCACCGGTTGCTGTTGCGGGATAGCTCCCATCGAATATCTGAGATGAACTGAGAACACTTGCACAGTGGCCGATGGCTTCCCGTGGATCTATAATTAGCACAAGGGAAAAGAAAACTGAGCTCTCGACGCGGGCCTTATAGACACGCTACTTTACCTTGCGGAAGCCATCCTTGCTTCACGCCCAGTTGATAATGCCATAGGGGGCTGGAAGACGTTCCTAGCTGGGTAGAATTCCCGATCTTCCACGTCCAGAAGAAGAAATTCTGGAGCGCGTCCATGGATGCTAAGGCGACGTTCTTGAGACCTGCAATAGTGCTGGCGTTGTACGACTGTCGCGGGTATGGTTTAGCTTCTGCTGTGTTAGGAAGTACGAAGGGTGGAGAGATCACGTACAGTCCAGTCATCCCAAACGGTACAGTCCGGATAGCCAGGCGTAGAACCAATTCCGTTCAGCCTGAGAGAATATACGAAATGAGAATCCGATCATGAATCAATTACGGAGGTGGAGTGTGAGATATCGATAAGGAATGAGGGTACCCACCATAAGCCACAGTCGTTCACTGCAGTAGACCACTCGCCGCCCAAAGTGACACCGAAAGCTTTCGAAGACTGGTTTGTAGCAATTGCCCAGGCACTAGGGACGGGCATTAATTTTAGGTGACCATCACAAGATCATTGCCGGATGGACCAGAACACTTACCAGGGTTTGACTGCCAACTGATCAACGCTAACGGCAAGACGTGACATGTTGACATGTCATCTACTCATGAGGAAGTGAAATGAACTCACGAACTGGTGTGATCGCCAGTGAACGCCAAGTACTACATGAGAGCGAGAGAAGATGTCAGGCGGGTCAGAACGAAGGACGAAGGGGACGGGATGAGACGTACAGGGTGTTGATCTAGTGCGATACGGTCGGCACCAGATAGGAATCTGTAATAGTACCACAGGAGAAGGAAATGAACAAAGCACCGACACCGGAATCATTAAACGCACCCTTCCCAGATGGCGACCTATAGATGAAAACGTCACGCGCGCAACACCGTAATGAGTAAGATACGACTTACCCCCTGGAATCCTTCATGGATTGCGATATAGGGTCCAGCTCCGGAACCAATGCCACTGACGAATTAAGTTAAACGATACTGCAAGATGAAGACATAGGGAATGGAATCCCGCACGTTGAGGTTCTGATGGCTTGGTATGCCGCGTAATAGAAACTCTGCACGGAAGTTTGTCCGATAGTTGCCCACAGGATTTCGTTGACGATGCCCACACTATGAGTGTGTGAGTGAGACGAGAACCTTGAAAAGAAGCCCGCGGGAATACACATACATTCCTACAACGTCACGGTACTGATCTTGGCTGACGAACTCTGTAAGGATTCGGAGATATGTGAGCGTGCGTTCCGCGTTGGCTATTCCCATAGTGCCATGCTGTTTGAAAGGTCAGACTCTTACGGGGACGAATAGAACCTTCTCAACGAACCATACTAAAAGACAGGCCAGAAATGAATTAGTTGTGGAACAGCGGTAGAAGAAAGATAGATCTTACAAGTTGACGGTTCCGCCTGGTTGATGGAGATGAATTGATTAGTTCCAAATTTAATAATACGTAGAATAAAACGAATATTCACTTTTTCCAGAATGGTTCTGTGAAAAAAGGTACGAGAGTCAGTCACGCAAGAACAGCAGGACACGTTTGATCGACACAGACCCAACCGTTTTGACTTCCAGGGAGTGCGTGTAAGTCAAGGAAGATGCGGATGCCATACTTCCTACCCCATTCGATACTAAGGACTAGGTCAGAAGGTGCGGCTGGATTCTGCTGGCGATCATCAACTTACGCCTTGAGGAAGTATGTCCATGAGGTACCGACAAGAAACGGCTCATCGCCAATGGTCTCAATTGCCTAGCAGTAAGGATAAGCTACCATGAGAAAAGCACGCTGCCAATAAGCAGACTAACCCAAAACCCGAGAGGGATCCGAACCCAGTTCAAACCGGCACCTGAAAAGCATGAAGAAGCGGTCCGGTTTTAGCAAGTGTCGAACGTACCCGCGATGTCTGCAAAGTCCTGTTCGGTCTGAAGGGACAAACAGGGTCAGCATCACGAGGAAACCGGAAGCGGGTTATCATCTCACAATGAACGTCTTGTAATGCTCCTCCATTTCTGATGCCAGGTTTTTGTCCATGGCCAGGGCCAGGGTCCACTCATCAACGACAACAATGTCACTCTTATTCACGTATTTTTCGTAAAGAGCGGGGCAAATGAAAGGCTCTGTCACTTGAAAGACGTCAGCGAAATCAAATTAGGGACGACAGGCGAATTTCGATTGCGAACCTAGCCATCCACTAAAAAAAAACAAATTATATTAACAACTCTTTTGAAACGGGCTGGAGTTAAACAAGCTCTCACCCTAGGTTGACGCCACGGGCCACGTCCTGGCCCCAGACCCACTCTTCCGAGCCGATACGCTTACTCCAACTTTGCGCCTTGCCACCAGAAGCAAAAGGGCTCGTGGGATCTTCAGCCCAATCACCGCCAAACGTGTTCGTGTACGTGAACGTCGTGCCATCGCTCATAGTTATCAAACTTCCCGTAGTCCCCGACGTTGCGGTATTTGAGCTTCCTTCCCCCTGCCCCTCCTCCTCCAGAAGATCCGCTCGAACTGTCGTCACTCTTCTTCTTTGTGAGAATCGCCACAGGAACTGCAATGGCAATAGCAACCACTGCGAGGACACAGAATGAAATGATGAGGATCTTTTTTCTTCGGGACGTCGCTAGTGGATTAACATGCGTGATATGGGCCGAGACGACCGACTTTCGGTGTTGTTTATTCTTGAGGTTCCGGCGCTCTGTCAGAAGCTGTCGCTGTTGGGCTGCGCTCATCGCAGAGGCGACGGGCGCCTCCTTGGTAGTATACTAAGGAACATCACAGGAGAAGGGGGGGAGTCTTGGTAAGAAAAAAATAGGGCACATAAAAGATAAGCGAAAACGCGTACCAGGTCGATGAGCTCATCCTGTGAATTACGTATCCAAGCGTCGGGTGTACGCGTCGGTGTTGGTGTATCAAAGGGAGACTCTTCAAGAGGCTCGTCGTGGGTGGACACGTTGTGGTAGTGCGCCATGGTGGTTGGTCGGGAACAGGCAAGCGCTCCAGCCACGTTCAAAGGACCGCCCGTTGATAAAAATTAGTGTGCCTAGGCGAAACGTGGTCGAAAAGGGTTATCTTCGCCGTTCATCATGATCTCTTGCGGCCTTGGAACGCCGATCGTTTCCCATAGCCTCCTTTCAACATTCCCTTGGCCGCGAAAGTAAAGTATTCCGAGTTTCAGAGTCTAGAGATACTGTCAGTGTCAAACTCTTGATAACGATTTTTTGCATGGACAATAATGGCCCGGTGCACAGGTCTTCGATTGCATTCTGCCAAGCTTCCTTTTTTCCTTCCGTCCTCTTCTCCTTCTCCTGCCAGGTCCTTCTTCTTCGTTAGGGGCAAACGGGCGCAGTCAATGGAAGGATCATTTAAACTAGTTGGATTCGAGCCCAACGAGTCAAGAGTCCGGTGGGCCAACCATGGAAAAGCGGTTATGCCCGAATTCGGTCTCTTTATCCCGATGTTTTGGCCCGACGCTCCTAGCAAATGTACGTCGTTAGGGCACCAACCCAACCCTTTGGCAATTGGGATCTGCAACTGACTCCGCTTTCGAGGACGTACCAGACTCTCGGTTCAAACATACCGTGACCCTTCCCTTGCGGAGGAACATTACGATATCTCTTCTTCTTGATGCGCCACACTTTGCCAACGTATACCCAAATGCATACAGTGAACACGCCTTGCCGGCGCCACCATATTTCCGGGTGGAATTTTTCTAATCAGTAGTAACCTTCGCGGGAAAATCAAGAATTCCTATAGTTTTATTGCATTCGAAGCGTTTCATGACCATCAGTAAGCCCGACGCCTCCATCACACCACAGACGTGGTTGCCAGCCCTCCTATCTCTTCTTTATGAATGGGTGCGAAACCCTGTAAGTTTGAGGCCGGTATGGGAGTCGCGGTAAATGTCATTGTACGTGATGAACTCGTCTTGAAAGCAAAGCAAACCGGCAACTCAAATGAACAAACTCATAACAAATGAATTACATTACAACTCAACGGGTCTCTATGCATTCTCCCGTTCCATTCTCCGCCTTTTTCTATCTTGTTCTTCCAGTATCAACCTCTCGGCTGCTGTCATGGGTGCACTCCGCTTCTGCGCCCCGGAGCTTGAACTTGAAGCTGCCGCTGCCGTCTTGAACACGTTCGGTCGCTTCAGCGGGTTTGCCTTGAGCGGGTTAACGGCAGCCTTGATCTTTATGGCAGAGGATGACGATGTTGACTCGGCAGCCGGCTTGGAAAACGATATCGTCAATTTCTCCGCCCCTTCGTCTCTCTTCAACACACTTCTCCTCCTCCTTCTCCTCCCTCTCCTCACTCTTCCCTTCCCCTGCCTGCACGCTCAATCTGCTCTGCAATAAGCATCCTCTCCCTCTGCTCGTCCGAAACCGTCGCTCTCTCTTCTTCATCGAAGCTTCCTAGAAAAACAAAAATCAATCAACATACTTGAATAATTATAAACTCGCAATTCACAACTTACCGCTTTCGCAAGCGCCTTCGGACTATTATCTATCCAAGCAATAAACCACCCTTTCTCAGTTTCATCCACCCTCGCCACCCCCGTCCTCCCAAGGTGCTTCACAAACTCCGTCAACGTAACCCAGCGCGTAGAGTTCATATGCAAATGATGTTTATCCGAGATATACTCTTGGTACACCTGGTTCGCCCTTACACGTTTCGTACCGAACCTACCCGATCCAATCAGTCAGCCACCCCTCACACACAGAAACGGGAGAACGCACCTCCTCGAAAGAAGCGCAACAAACTCACTCTGAAACTCACTCGAGAAATTCGAGATATGCTTCCCCGCATGCTCACCAACGACAAGCATCTGCCGGAGGTGGCTCTCTGAGGCGGCGTGGCACTTGAAACCATTCTCGTCGCGGCATTGTTTCTCGCATACTTGGCAGTACCACCGGAGTCTTTGAAGTCCCTTGGACTTCATCTTGTTTGCGAGGTATTTTGGGAGTTCCCACTGAGATCCGGTTGGTTAATGGTGGTATTCTAAACATTGTTTTGATAGGGCTTACCTTCAGCGCGAGGCATGATTGTAGAAAGTAAAAGTAGTAGCAGTAAGGAAATGTAATGATGATGATCGTCAACAGCAAAGGAGCCCTACGCTGACAAATCACTCTACCCACCGAAAGGCTGTGTCGCATATTTACCAAACTCCCCCAAAAGACACAAAGAAACCTTGTCCCAACCTTCGCTCAAAAACCGTCCCCCCACGAGTTCTGGTGGCCATAAAAGGCCGAAGAGCACTGATGGCGTCAACCAGCTCTAAATCTAGATGTGGCTCCTCCAAAGATCAATTATTACCATACGATTCAGATATTAAATTACAAGCATAGTTGTATACAGTATCCGAGTCCGCGAGATCGAATCATCATTTGGTTCACTGTGCCTTTTTCCCTTCCCCTCCCCCTGGCCCTGGCCTGCTGCTTCTTCTTCTTCTCTTTACGAATATACCTCCTAGCGCTCGGGATGCCGAACTACACCGTTATCAATATAATACATTCAAAAGGACGTAATCCTTCTTAGACTCTCACCTGGACAACCGGATACAGCACCAACAGCACGGCGCCGGTACCCAAGCCCCATTTCACTCCTCTCGGGAAAGGCTCCGTGAAGACGCCCACGCTCCATTTCCTGATGACTAGGATCTCAGTGAGGATCGTCGCTAGGAGGAGCCAGACGTGTTGGCCCATCCTCACAGCTTTTCTATACAAACGAACCGATATCAGAAACATAAACAGCTCGAAGACCTAAACATACCTCGGATCATTAATATACTGATACAGCTCCCTCACAGCAGGAAGCGCACACAAAAACACGAAAGCCAACCTCATAATGACGATAGGATGATCAGGCTCCATCCACAGCAGAGTCTAAACACAGGACCCATCAAAAAATCCAGCCACCACCCTCATCAACCGCGCGAACCTCACCTTGAGATAAAACGGGTTTAGCTCCGCCGCGAGGAAAACAGCCAAGAGGAGCACCACAACGAAATAATGCATAAACGAGGATGCCGTTCCCCATTTGAACGCCGTAAAGTCGTGGGGCGAGAACTGGCTCAGGACGCGTCGAGCCTTGGAGCGGAGGCCCCGGTGTTGGCGTAGGCCGCGCCATTCGTAAGGCTAAGTAAAACAGGTTCGGATATGAAGAGAGCGGATCGGGTTGGGAGAGAGAAAGTGATACCTTGACTTCTAAATATTGACATACTTTCATACCTAGAAAGGTAGGGAGGTGATCAGCCAAGGAAGGTTAAAAAAACTCCCAGAATGCAGGTGGTGAACCCGGTCTTACCGAGATAGGTGCCAATCCAATTGCAGATTAGTACGTCGAGGACCCACTTGGGAAAAGGAAAGGATAAGGGATAAGCTAAGCATTCTTCCTTCCTTATCTTTGACAACGTACATGGTCCCACCAACACTAATGGACGATTCAGCACCAGCCAACACGCGAAAGGAAAAAGCAAAGGCACACACACCTCCGCGAAATTAGCAAGTTGGTGCTGCAAGCTATACTCTGCCAGCTCAAACGCGATACTCAAGATCTACATCCATACTCAGCACTCAGGGGTAACGCCCACGGATCAGATCGACCAAATGACGCACCCAACAGAACCAATAATCCCTCAGAATCATCGCTTTGCCGAACCACCCCAGCGTATGGGCTACAGCAAAACACGTCAAGTGCGTTCTAATCCACCAATCCATATCAGAATCTCATCATCATAATCTCATCAATGACGACTCTTACCCAGATACTCGCCCAACTAAGCGCGCAATCCTCCGCGTAGCTCTTCTCCGGGAGCTGGGACCCCCAGAGCCGGATCGAGGATCCGCATCATGCCCCGGGCAGAGTCCAAGTCCTGGAAGAGGAGGAAGACGAGTGCTAAGTTCGTATAGGAGGTTCACCCCGAGGACGGCCCGCCAGAAGGCGGGGTGGGGGCGGATGAAGGGGCCGTCGCGGAATTGGATCATGGAGAACATGAGGAAGGAGAGGATGGAGGCATATACCCCGCTGCAAAGAAAGATGGGTGAGGAATGGGGTAGGGGGATGGGGAAGGAGGCTTACACGCGCCGCTTGTCCCGCCCCTCTTCGAGGACATCCTGCGTGGTCGCTACGTACGCGAGCAACGCGAGGCCTACGGCGAGAGCCGAGAGTGTTATGGGTTTGTAGAAGAACCTAAGTTCCAAATTTCATGAGTTAGTTAGTTTCCCTTCGTTCCGACTCGGAAGCGGCGTGCGTGCTTACTCGACGGTAGTATCGTGCCGTTCTTGGAAGGGCGTGATCCGCGTGTAAGGCTCTGTGCGATCCGCCTGTACGGTTCGGAGGTCGGTGGTCGGTAATTATTCTAAGGGCTTGGAAGGGGAGGGGAGGGGACGTACGTCGTACCCTATAGGAACATCATTAACCTCGCTAATGGTCTCAGCAGCAAGGCACGACGACTCACATCTAACCGGAACCCCATTAAGCCCTGGAATCGGCTCAGGCTCAACATTACTATCCGAATCATCAACTGGGGATGACAGCTCCATGTCACTACTGTTGGAAAAAAAAAAAGAAATGGATGTCGGAAGAAAGTAAAACAAAGTGCTTCGATGACGATGGGAACACGTGGGTAGGTGGGTGGTTGTCACGAGCGCAGATCCATAAAAAAACGAGGTTCCTTTTCTTTTTTCTTTTTCTTTTATTTCGAAAAGGGGAATTATTCCAAAGATATAGGATGGCCCTCGAAGCGGGATGTATATGGTCTCCCTTGTTGTTGTTGACGCCACCATCCATCCATCTATCCATCTCGTGTACCTTTCTTCCTCTTTTCCCAAATCCCCAATCCACACTTCGAAGTCAAGAAGGGGAGGGAGAGCGAGACAACCCGTCCGCCGCGGATATTTACGCACCCACTCTCCATTACGTGTTAAAACGTCAAGCCAAAGAATCCTCAAAGAAAAAAAAAAAATTACAACCACATTGTTTGGTTCCCTCTATTTGGCTCTCCCTCGGGAAATTTTACGCGCCATATCGGCAATTCAACTCCCAACGGGGATATAACTACCCTACGTTCCAAAACAACCCTCGATCAAACATAGAATGCCGGGCCCCCGACCGAACCTGGCCCCCCCCCCTCCGGGAATGGGATATATTTGATTTTCAGGGCCAAACTTCCCACTTCCCACATCTCTGGAATGCACCTTCCCGGTTCGTCGACTCGGGTGGTTGGTTTGGTTCATTTGCTGCCCCCCCCCACCCCTCGTTCGCATCTCGAACCTTGGATCTTTACTTAATGGCGCCGGGAGGGGAACCCTCTTAAAGACAATTCCTCGAGGAGTGTTCCTTTCTGCCCTTTTACTTTTTGGTTACTGCTCTCGTTTGGATTATGGATCCTTTTCAACCGTTGCAGCTCAAGGGGGAAGTGATGGATCTCGAGTTTACTATCGACACTGACCATCGGTACGGGGTCCCCTTTGGTCGTCGCTGCTGTTGTTGTCTTCCCGCCACTCACTCAACCTCCCCTCGTATACAGAAAGAGAAGACGGAACCGGACGACGCAGAGTTGTCTCAACTGCCACACGTCAAAACGAAAGGTGCGTCCTGTCCCGTCGTGAACAGACAGCCAGACAGATTGTTGACTTTTTTTCCAGTGTGATCGGAAAAGACCGTGTCAGAGATGTATACAGCTGGGCTTGGTACGGGCTTATCTGTCGCGTCTCTTCGTTGCTTACACACGTCTAGACGGGATTATGTGTATACGAGATTGATGACCCCGCATTGAGGTGAGCTAGGCGCCCGCTCGCCCGTCCCGCCACTCAGACTAATGACCGGACTCTGCAGAGACGATCCCTCGGTTGACGAAACGACACGCCTCCGAAACAGAATCGCAGAACTCGAAAGCCTCGTTCGAGAACTCCGAGGTACCCCCGTCCCTCTTCACCATCTACCCACTCTTACTAACCCCCTCCCTTCCTCCAGGCAAACCCCACCCCCGCTGGGCCGACAGCTCCTTCCGAGACGGCGACCCCAACGAAAAATGGCACTCGCGCGCAACCAAATGCGCCCCCCTATCCGCCAAACGCCGCGCCCCCTCCCCATCCATCAAAACCGAGGCTCCACCAGACGCCGGGACGGGCACCACCAACTCAACGGGAGCGGGGGGACTCTACTAGGTTCACGCCTTCCCCGCCTGCGCCCCCGCCCGCGTCGATGCGGTACCACCAGAATCTGGAGTACAACGGTACCGGTGGGGCCGGGTCGTATCATTCCTCGCCGGGGTCGGGGTCGGGGTATAGCGGGAATGGAATGGGAATGGGTACTCGGATGCGAGTGGGGGAGGGGAGTACGCTAGGGGAGGAGGAGGCGGGTACTGGGGCAGCGGAGGAAGCAGAGCACTCGTATTGCTCGTGTCGTACGAGTCCCGGGAGCGAGCCACGCGTACATGGGGCTCTCGCACCAGTTGCAGAGCACACTGAGTGCGCTACGGCAGTACTAGCTCGCATCCTGCTAATACCCCCTGCTTGCTTTATCGGCGTATTACCGAGTTGCATAACCTCATGCAGTAAGGGTTTTCTTCTTACTTCCTTTGTTTTTTGTTTTGTTGATTGGTTGGATAGGTTCAGGTCAAACGAAGCGGATGCTGGGACGTACGATAGCAATACCCCGACGGATAGCGAGATCCTGACGCCTCTCTCGGCGTCGAGCAGTACCCACGGCGGACCGCCGTTCCACAACAGCTCACCCCCCGGAGGAGTGTCACCACACGAGTGGAACACCATGTCCACGCCAAACTACAACCCGTATTTCCCCATGCAGTCAAACGAACACGGGGGTATGTATAACCATATCATCACCTGAACATTCTAGCCAGCTAGCAGCAGTAGTAGTAGTATATCTTGGACTCTATTTCTCTTTGCTTTTTTGCTTTTGTGCTATTGTTTTGTATTCACGGACGACTCGCGAGTATATCCCCTCAATGTTCTTTTACGCATGCGATTTTATTATATATTGGATACAGGATTATAGAAATGTCATGGGTTAGCTAACTAACTAACGTACATCCAATTGGAAGCGGTACAGGCGCTGAGATTCTGGGCCAGACCTGGTGACGCTACCACTGTCATGATGGTCCAGCTTCCATACGTCCCGTTCCACGAAGAGCACCTCACCGTCCCTACCAACCAACAAAACCGTAGACAGCCGAGTACCGTACATCTTTCCCTCTATCGAGATAGGCACGACATGAATAGCCTTTTTGAGTTCGGAACGATGCACGACGCGTTCAAGCGGATGCTCGCTTGAAGGAAGGAGTGAGATCAACACCAGAGATTAGAACCACACGCACTCGAGTAACCCAAACAATCCCTCCACAAGATCACCCTCCTCCTTAACATTGACAATCCTCGCAAACTCCCGCTTACCCTCACTAACCTTAACCCAGTCTTCAGTTCCATCAACAGCATTCGAGAACCCACCCGTCCCCTCCCCCTCCCTAACCTCAATCCCCCTCCCCCCACCCCCATTCGACACAAACTCCCCCTCGAACCCTAGTCTCCCCCCCCTCCCCCCTCCTCGGAACAAGCCTCAACAAATTGAACCCCGCAAACGGTGTATCCCTCGGGGGGTACTCAGCATCCCCCAAGAGATGCGCAGACACCAGTGACCCGCGGGACACCCCATACGGGCGGGGAGGCGGGGGCTCGGTGATGTTGGTCAGCAACGCGACTCTCCCGGCCCGGGAGATCCCAAACCAGGTCCCGCCCCCCAGGACGTCGATCCCCGAGAGGATGTCATCTCCAGGACGCCCGAAAGAGTGGAAATGAGCATCCAGAGTAGGTCTATCGAGGAACTCGTCGCGATTGGTGCATAGGATCCTTCATGGGTGGGTTGGTGCGATCAGCATGTCTATGTCTAGGCCCGAAGGGAAGAGAACTCACAGAGCGTAATCCGGATGTTCGAGAGTCCAGAAAGCGATACACATCTTATGTATCACGGCAGATAAACTTCAGCTTAACATGTCATAAATCATCTCCGTACTCGGTCTCGATCGGAATTCCCACGGTTTCTCCTTCCCCTTCCCTTTCCATGACACCAACTCTCGTCCTCGACAACGGCGCATCCACCATCAAAGCCGGGATCTCCACCACCGACTCTCCCGCACCCGCGCTGCTCATCCCCAACGCCATCGCGCGCTCAAAATCACGATCCACAACCTACTTTGGACACGAGCTCCTCCGGTGTACGGACCATGCTTCCCTCACGTACCGCCTCCCTTTTGACAAGGTAAGGCTGGTTCTCAGGTTTATATCCTAAATCATAAAAGGGCTTTGTCGTAGACTGGGATGCGCAAAAAGCTATCTGGGACGGGGTGTTTTCAGAAGAGGTCTTTGGGGTACGTCGGAAGCGTCAGTATGACCTAACTGCTTAACTGACCTACTCCAGTAGATCGACACGACACAAACCTCACTCCTCCTAACAGAACCATACCACAACCTGCCCAACATCCAAGAAGTATACGACCAGTTCGTATTCGAAGAATACGAGTTTGAATCATACTACCGCTGCACACGTACGTCCCCCCTCCTCCCTCCCTTTCCACCCTCTCACACCCACCCACCCGCCAGCGGCCTCCCTAATCTCCCACAGCCCCCACTTCCCGCCCTCCCAATGCAGCCTAATAATCGACTCCGGCTTCTCCTACACCCACACCATCCCCCTCCTCTCCGGCACCCCCCACCTCCCCGCCCTCAAACGCCTCTCCATCGGCGGCAAACTCCTCACCAACCACCTCAAAGAGCTCATCTCCTTCCGCCAATGGAACATGATGGACGAAACCTACATCACCAACCACGTCAAGGAGTCGTGCTGTTTTGTCTCTCTCGATTTCGCGCGGGACTTGGAGGAGGCGCGGAGGGACCCCGGGTGCGAATGCGAAGGGAGTACGTGTTGGGGGAGCAGAGGTTGAGGAGGCCCGGGGATACGGCGTCCGGGACAGGTGCTGGTGATGAATAATGAGAGGTTTAGTGTTCCGGAGGTTATCTTTCGGCCTGATGACATCGGTTCGTACCCCCCTTTTTACTTTTTCACCTCAGCTCACCCTACGCAGGCCTCAACCAACTCGGATTGGCAGGGACCATCGCCTCGTCCATCTCTCTCCTCCCAGAAGACCTCCAACCCATGTTCTGGGCCAACATCGCTCTTATAGGCGGGAACACAAAGTTTCCTGGGTTTCGTCAGAGATTGTTAGTCTCCCCTCCTTTCCCCTTCCCTTCCCTCACTCATAATCCACTGCGCAGGCTCGCAGACCTCCGGCCCCTCGCTCCGGTAGAGTGGGACGTCGAAGTGTACGAATGTGCAGAGTGCGTCTTCCCTTCCCCCTCCTTTTCTATTACTTACAGTGTTGGCAGCCCAATAACGGCCCCGTACGACGCTGCGATGCGGTTCGTCGCCACTCCCGCGTATAGAGAGTGCGTGGTGACCAGGGCGGAGTACCTAGAGAGTGGGAGTAACGCTACGAGGAGAAAGTGGGGTGGACGGGGACGGGGCGAGAAGGATAAGGAGAAAGGAGGGGAGAAGGAAAAAGAAAAAGCCCCGCTTGGGAGGACGAGGAGCCGGGCGAGCACCGCGAGGAAGAAGTGAAATAAACTACTTGTTCTTGTAAGAGGGGGGGGTTCACAATAAACGAGTTTGTCCTTCAAGCCAACTGGTTCGTTTCGAATCCCCACCTCGCCTCGTGTGAAAAGTTTATGCTGGGAGTAGTAGTAAGTACCTCGAGGACGGAATGCGTGTTCTCCTTCCCTTGAAGCGCGTTTTGTTGTACTGCACGGGAACAGAGTTTTCCTTCTAATTCTCTCTCTGAGAAGTCACCTTTGTACTCTTGGTGAAATGAATTATAATTAAAAGCGTACCTGGGCATTATCGATCATCATTATCATCGTGTTCGTTCTTTGTTTTCTACAGAACAGAACAGAACAGAACAGACGCGTCCCGTTGTTCTCGATTCTGAACAAGTTCTCACAGAAAACAGAAAACGAACATCGTTCCTTGATAGATTATATCTACATTCGAGGGGAAGTGCTTGGCGAAACTCACTTGCCCCTCCAACCTCGCTGCTTCCCTCAGGTACATGCTAACTTACCACTTCTTGCTTTATCATCTCATTAATAGATTCTGGGGTAACAAGTCTCTTCCCTTTCTCGCTGCCTTTGCACGAATCATTGTAACCTCGTGAGGAGCCAAGAATCCCAAGTGGATCGATGCTTGTTTTTCTCTCGAGAATCGAGATGGGTTATTGATACCGGCGATTTCTCCCCTCCGACGGTCTGGCTCGCAAGCACCACCCCACCCCACCCCTGCTCACCTCTCTCATTGATCTGCACGGGATCGTCAATTGCCACAGGTTGCGTCCCTTCCCTTCCCTCCTTCCTCTTCTGCTTCTGCTTCCCCACCCATAACCAATAACAAAAGAGAAAAAAAGTCTATTGGACCCAAAACCCCACCCCCCCTTCATGTGATTTAGGTACAACCAATTGCAAGTTAATACAAAGAGAAAAATTAACTAAGGTAAAAGATCCAAAAAAAGAACTCATGGATTCAATTCGGCATCTCATTTCGATACCGCAGAGTCCGCCACTTTCATCACCTCCATCAGCACCGTCTGTTGTTCCACCGTCAGAGACGTCGTAGCGGCTTGATACACAGGGCTGCTTTTCATTTGGAAGGCTAACGGAAGCGACATCATCAATGAATGAGATGGATGAGATATGATGCAAAAACCTCACCCGTCAGAGCTTGTTGGAACGACACATACGGGTTGACGTTATCCAACGGACTATAATACCCCAGCTCTTCTTCAATATCATCATCGTCAGATTCGTATTCGTCATCGTCCCCCCCTGCAGCAAGTTTGTCAGATTTGTCCCTCAGCCGGGCGCCCTGAAAGAAAAAAAAAAAGAAACACGAGGTCAATTCATATTACACCACCTCCCGTGGGGGACCTGAATTTATCACCTCTTTAGCGAGCATCTCCAGATATGCTGAATCTTCATCCCAGACGTCCTCTAATGGAAAAAACAACCATCAGTTGAGCGCGAAGGGAGGTGAGGTCCCATGATCCTCACCGTCATCCCCGTTCAGGTTCAGGAACTTCTCGTCATCAACATCATCCTCATCATCGTCTTCTTGAAGCGCATCTTCCAGAGCCTTGCGCGCTAGAAGAATACAATGATTAGCTCATCATTTCATTTGACAGTTGGATAGAAGTGGTGGAACCTTCGACAGCCTTGGGAAACTCTTTGAACAGCTTTAGGATCCCACCGAGAATACCTGGCCAGCCCTGCTTGACGCTATCAGGGATACCGCTGGGGTCCATTTCGATTAGCGCGGACAAGGCGAGGATGCTCAGCCGTTTGTCATGCACTCGCGGGAGCTGATTCTCAGAGTTGATAGCGGCGAACCATTTGTCTAGGAAGACCCGCGTCAGACCAGGTCGGGAGGTCTCCATGAGGTGAAGCGTGGCGGTGGGATTGTATAGGATGGCGTTGATAAGAACTTCGAGGTTTGCTAGGCGAAGGGCAGGCGTCTCCGCCTTGTCCAGGTGATCCAAGGCGGTGACGATGAACGGTTGCAGAGCCTATAAATGAAAAGTGTCAACCCTTGCGAGTCATTCCCCGTACATGGCGCAACATACATCGTCAACGCTTCCACGAAGGTTCAACAATACAGACTCGGCTAGCTTACACCCGTTGACCCGGTCGTTTTCACCCAGATGTTCGTTAGTAATCGAGGTCGTGTAGATATCCACGAGCATCCGCTTGTAGTCGGCCTGATTTCTAATTACATCGCTGCCAAATGAGACAAAATTATCCAGGGAAGGCAACATTTCTTGGCACAAATCTGATGTGAGTAAAAACTCACATTTTGGAAACAAGGACGGAACAGCGACCCACCTTCCAAGTAATCGACCGCATCTGATTTGAAGAGTTTGTATGTTAATTCAAACACCGGCCACATACTCAGAGAAATGGCCCGGAGCTTAAAGGTCAAGCTGTCGACCAGTTCGTACATGCTGTCGAAGAGATCTGCGAATGGTGACTCAAAAATGAGCGCATGATGACTTGCAGCAAATGGCCAAGGCTTACCAAGGAACCTGTTCTCAAGTGTGAACGTGACAATGGGAATCACGATCTCTTGAACTTGTGCCAGAATTTCCGGGGCACTTTCGATGGAATTAATGACCTGAGCATGAATACCGTTGAGTAGACGGAATCCCCATGGACATACAAGCCCATACCGTCCAGATTGTCTTTGCGATGCCCATAGCGTAATAAGTTTTGTCATCTTCCCCTGTTGAGATCAGGGCTTCGAGATCCATCCCGTCCGCTTCCGAGTCCTGGGCGATGGTCTCTCTTGCCAAACGCAGGTAAGAATCGCACTGCAAAAAAAATTAATTTCAAAAGAATCCAGCTCGATTGCACGCCGACCCTTACCAAACGTGCAGTTAACTGAGCCGCGACGGGAAGTAGCTCCGTTTGGTACTGATCAACCATTACCTCCATACTATGGTTCAAGATATCCAGGTCACTCTCATCCGACAGCTTGAGTAGGCCTAGTGCATGCATCACGATCAGACACGCACAGATACTTATCATCATACATGTAAGAAGAACACCCACTTTGGATGACTTTGCTCACTTGAGGCGCTACGGCAGCTTTCACTAGACAGATATACCATATTAAGACCACAGTGAAGGCGATTGAATTGGAAAAATCCCACCAGAGTCATACGCTACGACCATCTCCGTAAGGGCGAGACACGCTTGAACCCTGACCGGGAATTCCGGGTCATCCATCGCAGCGACGACAGCAGTAAAATTGGTATGAAGATGCTATGAAAGAGCGGTGCGCCATTAATCATGGATTGGAGCGGTTGCCAGGAACACAAACTCACCTCTTCACTAGTCCATTGTAGGCGGTTCTTCACGACAGTGCCTATAACCTCGCATGCCTATGAATAAATCAGATCAACTTGTGACTCGAATTGATAGCGGACGGCGCATACAATGGCACGCAAATAAGGCTCTTGACTGCTCAACTGGGGTGTCACGTATTGCATTATGAAGGTCTCCATATTGTCCTTAACCGTGGGGTGTTTCATCATCCAAGGCCCGAGCGCCGCGGCCATGTTCAGCGCGCCAAAACGTTGCGTCGCAGATGCATTGCTAGTGAGGTAAACATCAGTGCACCGTTGTGGATCTAGAAGACCGACGTACGATTGCAGTACGGAATTAATGAATGACAAAATGGGTAGGAACGTAGTCTTGGTTCTGTTGGTGGCGAGGCCAAACAAGAAAGTGGTCGCCGCGGAAACTGGAGTAGCAAAGCTCTCGTATTCATCTGTCAACATTCGATCAAAGGCTGTTTGACCCATCGAAGCTTATTGAAACGAACCAACTGAGATCCTGACATAGTCAACCGGGTCGTTCTCCCATAAATTCTGTTTTGTGGCATTGAAGGACAGCTGAGGGAATACGAAAGAGGAAACAAGGGTCTCAAAGTGTGGCTTGAGCAGGGTCCATGTAGATTTGGGCTTGACACTAGAAGGGTGTCAGATATGAATACAAAAAAGTCTAAGAGAATGAGACGTACCATTCGCTGAAGAATGTAAATATTTGATACTGACACTTTTGTGACAGCCACGCCTGTCCAGATACAAACAGGTCTACCTGACGGAAGTAAACGTTCAATATCTCCGGGGCAAAGGTAGTCACGAAATGCTGTGCAAACCCGGAGTAGCTTTGCATCGTGCTCGGAAGCTGAGAAGGATTGCCATAACTGAATTGGAGGGACAGGGATATGAATGTTCTGCTGAATAGAAGAAGCGAGAGGCATACCGATGGAATAGGCGTCCAAGGATAGCATATGCCCATTTCTTGGTTTTCCACCATTCGGAACGCTCCCGTTCCTCCTCATCTTCAGGGACAACAGCGTTCGGTATTTGAAGATTGACGATAGAAAAGAATAGTTGGCCCCAAGGAACGATGCTCTCCGCACTCTGCTGATGTGCGCTTAGAGACATGACAATACTTGTTTTATAAGTCTTCAAAATGAGATGGAGCATAGCGGGGATCTCTTGTGATGTCGTTGGGGGTGTTTGCATCATGTGTGTCGCGATGCTAACAAGAGTAGGGAAGATCTCTGGGACGACCTTTGGTAGCACTTCATTATTCTGTATGAACCTGGTTGATCATGGGGTCAGCGGAACTGCTTATATGCTGTTGTTTGATTGCGCACCTGAAGGCCCTCACTGTTTCGAGTGCCGCCACACATCCAGCATGAACTTCCCTGATTTCTGAGCTGGCCAGCAACCGCTTGATTTCGTCCAGGAGTCCAGGCCATTTATGGGGGAAATCGCGGGAGATAACATGCTTGAGTGCGTTGGCGAGCTGGAGGCCGATACTTCGAGAAGGTGCTGCAGCGATAAGATGAAGTAGATTTGCGCGCAATGCTTCGCGATCCGACTGTGAAATGCCGCCTTTTATCTCGGTTGAGTAGTGAGTGAAAACGCGGTTTTTGACCCACACAGCACAGGCCTGGCGGGTGGCACTAGAAGAAAGGGTCGCCGTAAACCAAAAAAGAGAAGAAGAACGCGTAGGAACACGTACAGGTCGATACTGTCGGCGGCGATAATCTGGAGAAGGGCAGTGATCATGCCATCCTGGTTGCCCACCTGGATATAGCGTGATTAATGAAGATCCTTGGCCTACAGGAGGTGCAGGATAATGAAAGCTAACCTTGCGAATCTCAAGCTCAGCGGACTTTCGTACATTAGGGTCTGGATTGAAGGTCGTGGCGAATAGGTTGGATAACATTTGTAGATCCATCTACAGGGTAATGTCAGTCGTAGGCATAGACGGGCATGATGAAATGTAGAAGCTAAGAAATGCATCGTACCGTGAGCAAAACAGGAATTGGATGAGAGTTCGAAAGAAAGTACACAAAGGCCAAATTGAAAGGTTTCAATTGAGACCCCACTGAAATTTTCTGACTATGATGGCACGTGGTGTTCAGAAGCGCGACGTGACCAGCAGGCAAGACAGACGCGCTTGGCTGCTCTCCTCCACAAGTCTTTTCATTTTGTTAAAAAATAGAGAACTGCTGTCAAACAACTTGAGAACACACTTCTCTCGGTGGCGATATGAGATACGCGAAGCTGAAAATGAAATCAACGATTGAATTGGTATGCATGACAAACTTCATTTTATCAAAATGATCCCTCATTCTAGAACCGTGCTGCGCAAACATTCCGAAGGGAAGCAACCCCCGACTGTCATCGCTGCTAAGGAGTCGGAGGAGCAGGAAGGTGTCGCTGATCTTCAGGGAAGCCGCCTCACTGGGTCTACAAATAGAAAATGGTCGGGATCCCTCGTTCTTGCGATCTACGGGCAGCTGTAATGTCAGGAGCCAGGCCTCGAGGCAAGAAGAGACATATTTAGATCCACCCTCAAAACTTTGTGCTGGCGCTAGAATCATTGGAACCACCAATAAACTGCCGCGGAGACGATAAACACGGGTGCTAGTCGACCCTCGCGTTATTGAGAATATATACATCATCACAATCATATCGTCCTACTTCGTGTTGGAGCGGCGCCACATATATAGTGACCGTCCGAACAATTCTACTAGGCTCACGGTCATTTCCAGCTGACGCCAGAAGTCCGAGAAGGTATCCTGTCACATTCAGATACGAACCCAACCGAACATCAACCTGCATCTGCCGACAGATCCTTGCCAAGAGGGGAGCCCGGGGAGCCGTGAACAGAAGATGATCATTTCCGGTCCCAATAAGCTGGACATCTACCATACGCAAAGATTTTAAATCCGGCCTCTCTTGATTGGTAGGTAATATCATGAACGGCCTCGAACAGACTGGCCTTGCCGAAAGACGACAGAAGAACCGTTTCGTGTACAGCTTAGCCTCCTCGTCAATCGGTTCACCCAGAATCAGTACACTGCTTAAGCGCGACCGTCGCGCAAATCTTCCCGGTTTCGGAGAAGCCCGCCAGCCAGGGAGTTCATACCCGTTCCCGTTTTGCGCGTTTTCTCGACTTCCAACTCATGGAATGTACATACCGCTAAGAGCAAGTGTGTAAGCAGGAACAAAGGATCCTTTATTCAGTTGTTCAGCAACTTGGTTCGATCCGAAGGTTAGAGCCCGTCCTTCTATTCCGGGAATTTGGAATACATATAGCTTCTAAAATAAATATGAGCAACTACGAGGAACACAGCCATATCCTTTGGTTTGACTCGAATCACGGACATCTTCCTTTCTTTCCAGCTACCATCGTTCTACGTTTTCTCAGTCTCGCTTGACAAAACTCACGCGTTTACTGGTGTTCAGATTTGATGCGCCACCTGGCTCCGAGTATGATACACGGTGTTCGCTCTGGAGTCTTGACCCCAGTGAGAGGTCGAGACCGTACAAACATTCTCGCATCGTCGACAACATGAAACGATAGCATGTCTCGACTTCGAAGTTCATACCCTCTGATCGGGCAAAAAAACAACAGTAAGGTGTGGAAGTGCGAATGTGTGTAAGTATAACTCGGAAAGGTGTAGGATGTGATAGGTAATCCAGCTATGCGAAGAGATAATGCTACATGTTCCTGAATAACAACGCAGGGGGGTAGGTAATATGCTAATGACTGTGGGTTGATGTAGATGCTGAGTGAGGTATTGTAACAGATGTAAGTAGTCGGCGAAATGACCGTGGATGAATGTACGAAACTAAGGTGAGCTAAAACTTTGTCAGTCCACGTCGGCACTTGCCTACAAACGAACCGAAGACTAACCATATTACATATAACAGGGGGCAAACCGTCGGTGCGTCTCCAACGCCAAGGTCCACTTGTCATCTCCGTCATGCGTTAAACCGCCGAAAAAGGTCCGCTCGCCTAGGAGGTCAACTCGACGCCTGCCTTGTCTCTCGTTGACGTAAGTGATTCCGGGGCTTTTCGCGCAGCGGAACTTGAAGGCCGTAACGCACCAGTCTGTCTTCAGGTACTGCTGGTACCGGAGCTCTTCGTCGGGCGTCAACGTCGTGTTGAAGCAGCTATAAACAGCTTCGAATACATCAATGCACCGAATACCCTCCTTTCGCCTGACCTTCACTACCCACGGTATGAGTGGATGGTCGACCTTGACCCGAATGTTCATCTTGCGCAATGTGCAATGGGGTGATGCTGTCAGCGTACGTTCCTCGTCCTTCATTTCCACGTAGTAGTCTCCATTGAAGCGTTTAAGCTGAGACCGGTTTCGTACAGGATCGAATATGATGTTGAACATGACAACCCAGAATTTGGACATCTTATCGGAGAGGCTAAACCTAACCAGAGGCCATTGCAACTTGATGTGTCCTCGTTTTACTGGTACTACTCGATGTTCAGTGGAAGGCCATTTCTACGAGGTTAGCTCTGTGGGACGCACGGATCTCGGTCTTCAGCGGCTTCTTCAGAGCTTCAGTATCCGTTAGGTTTCCGGAACGATGTTTGTCGGCTTTCTTCGGCTTGGAGCCCATTGATGTCTGCGGTCTCGGCGGCGCCTCGTCATGCCGTGACTTTCGATAGGAACCCGATGGCGCCTCAAGCGCATCTGCCGGTTTAGATGGAACTGGACCAGCATGTCAATGCTATGTTCACCCGTGGAAGCGAATTTTTTACATACAAGCATATTTATTTAATGAGGTGGGTGGGTAATTTACATTGTTATCGTTATTGGTTACGGCTAAAGGCACATGAGCAAAATACAGATGATAGGGATCTAGATGACTTACGCCATCCCGATGGACCTTGATGTGACGAATTGGATTGAGTATAAGCTAAAACTGGTGGCCTAGCACCTACTGCTAAACATCCGGATTCTCAGCGTCATTGTCACTCTCCAGGTCTAATGAACACTTACCTGCGGCTTCAATATCATCCACCGGACTCGTTCTTGAGGCCTTGCGAGGACGGGGCATTGCTATCATGGACATCAACACGGCTCCGGTGCTGATAACAAAGGATCCACGTACCGATCTCTCGCTGGCGAACTGGCTCTGGCTCGGGCTTCCTAGGCTTCAAAATTAACTTCAGCCCTACAAATAAGGGTAAGCCAGACCGGGACAATATCCGAATGTGTACATACCGCCTGTGATCGACGTTTTGCGTGTCCGTGATGAAGACGACGGCGTAGCCGAATCCTTTCGAGACCTATCGTTTGGTGCAGGGGTCATGGATCGAGAAGACATCGAGAAAGCCGCCATGAAATGGTTGGAGTGTCTAGATACCGGCCTCGTCATAACCGGTGAAGAACTATCGGGGAGTTCGATACTGGAAATCATAGGCGTCCGGGGTATAGCACTCGACAGCGATTTGAACATAACGGACAGAAACGAAAACGTGATGTCGACGGCAGGTTAGAAAATACGGAAGAAATGCGAGTATCGAGAGGAGGCGGTCGTGAGCGTGAAGGGCGTTAACTCGTTCAAGGCAAACTAGAGAGCAGGGCCAGCTGCGAAAACCGTGAGCCGTTTGTCAAATATATGAGATATGGCTTGCCTGGACATATACAACTGTTTCACGTAGTATCGTCGTGAAGTCGTTCTCGAGACCCCACAGTCGCACTTGGCGCAGCCTTTATGTGACGAAGGGAGGACGGAGGAGCCTGTCGAACACGAGGTGATACATAAGGCTTTTAAGTCAAGGGTCCAATCCGCTTCTCGACTTTTTCACGTGATGCAGCATTTACTTTCCTGGGTAGGCCGGTTAGGTTTTCGACACTGGTGTGGCGAGGTGTAATTTCCTAGCGTGCCATAGATTTATCCGCTGTCAATAAATCGAACACTGTTCTGTGTTTTCAAAGGACACAGCCACACCGCCGTTCTTTCTTCCCTCAGTGCCTGCACTGCGGTTAAGAACTTGTCTGTCAAGATCCGAACGAAATCCTCATGTTGGAGTAGTTGACGTCGACGTGTGATGTCCGCGAGGAGATTCCTCGGAGAGCCTCATTATAATTGTGGCAAATACTCATGTTTGATGATCGTGCCAAAAAATGCTGAAAGCGTATAACTTGGTACGTGGAAACATTCCAAAGTGCGAGAACATCGTATCACCTCGACATCAAGGCGCTAGCAGCTGAGGAGCATTTATCAGGAAGGCCGATCCCCAGATAGTGGATACGAAATCTGCCTGAACGTAAAGGAATAGATATACGACATACAGGCCCGCTAGTGTTTCCTGTGTCCATCGGAAGGATCAGACTCAGAGATTTGTCGTGAAGTTTGAAGTAACGTCGCATAGAAATAACGAAAACGGAGGATAAACGGGATGCCGTACAATAACGGTGGCCGAGCTATCATACAAAGTATGTAGCAGGCGTCCCGCTTGTTCTTAAGAAGAATGACATACCCCGTCTGGCCCTGTTTATGCAATGTGTGTGGGAGTACGCACCCTTTGACGGCCTAGGTATACACATCTATGCATCATAGGACAGTTGCACGGGTAACATATCGCCAAACACTCGATCTGGAGAGCGTGATGGTGGTTGAATGATACTCAGGTTGAGAAACTCACGTAAAGGTGACGCCTCCTGGTGTTAAAGATGGTCTAGGACGATGCCAAGGTATTGAGTGAAAGTTAGCAAGTAACGCCTCGAGGCTTGTAATACACCTGTTTAACTTCCTCTGATCCTGGTGATGTGACAAGAAGAGATGAGGTCCACGACCCCCTTAGACAGTCAGCATGGTCCTGTGACTCTTTATCTTTCTACGTGCATCCAATCACTTGGACCAGTAATGGGCCTTCGCGAAGTTCGCGTCGGATGCAATGCTTTTCAACACCACCAACGGAAACCAAGCCCGACCCGATCTCCAGTGGATATGGCTCGGCACCGTCTCTGAGACAGCTTTCATTCAGGTCAACCATTCAGCAAGAATGTATGCCAAAATCTGGTCCGGCCAGCTTTTGAGACGAGCCAGATAGGAACCGATTTCACTGTTTTAGGTCTAACTCGGCGGTATCTGTGTGAACCTAAGATTCCTAGTCGAATTCCATATCGCGCATTTCGAGCCAGATCTTAGGCCAAACGAACGGGTTTCCGCTACTCTTCCGTAGGACGACCGATGCTGAATAGTCAGATATGCGATGATTACGGTCATACTACCCGTGGAGAAGCGCTAAACGTAAGAGCTGCATCAAGGCGCTGCCACATATCAGAAGAGAGAACCCGGAAGTATTCACCTGTAGGTGGGAGCCTTAGTTTGGCGAGAAGGAAAGTATTAGACACGAAAGGTATCCATGCGCCCGATCGCTGAACAGACAACAGGGATGGATATTTCAGCACACAGTGCGCATGTTGTGTATCTACCTGGACGGTCCTCGTTCGCGATCCATCTCGCCACAGAAATATCACTCTTGTGAGTCCGAGGGAAAGATCTTATGATGCGTGGCAGATGTGAGTAAGAAGAATACCCGTTTCACAAGAAGCACAAACTCAGATACCGAAATCGTAGAGTTCCTTGCTAATGCTTACTCCTTCCCCACACTTCTACGCCACCATCAACCCAACACGACTAAAGCGCCCAAGTCCTTCGCGTGACGGCTCCTCCGGCCATCTCCTAATTATATCGTCTGGACCCCCTGCTCCTTGAATAAGTAAAGGTGGACCTCGCGTTCAACGATCGACGAGACGACTGTCGAGAATCGGCGACTACACCCTCCGAGCGCCAGGAATGGGCTTCCCGGAGCCCAAGAATACCCCAAATACATTTACAATATGATGTTATGCGTCTGACGAAGTCCTTTGATGACTTCATTTACGAACAACGGTGGCGAGGTCGAAGGCCATTGACAGAGTGGTCCTGCGCCAAAAATAATCGTGACGATAAGTATAACGAGAATCAGAAGTTAACGGTCTCTGTAAATGTACATGTAAGATCGTGGCCACTGGTCAAAAACGAAACCTTAACCGGAATCTAGAGAAGCAGTCTTGAACGTCTCTCATCGATCAGAAGATCGTACAATATATACAGACTGAGAGAAAACGGATAGGATATAGATAAATCAGAACCAACAAGGAGAGAGGGCACCGAGATAAAGGAAACTACTCCTTCTTCTTCTTATCCTTCTTTTTCTCCTTCTCCTTTTTCTCCTTTTTGTCTTTCTTCTCCTTCTTAGGGACATCCGCATCCTAGGAACGATTATCAGTCAACAATACAAACGTAGGAAGTCAAACGTACCACTTCAACACCCTCTTTCTTGGCCTTCTCTTTCTCAGCCTTCTTCAGCGCCTTCTTTTCCTCCTTTGACAATTTCACCTTCTTTTTCGGTGAAGGTTCCTCGTCTTCGTCAACATCCATAGCATCACTCTTTCGCTTTTTCTTCTTCTCCTTCTTTGGTGACGGCTCGAGAGTCGTCAAGGCAGGCCCATCCATCTCAACATCTTCCTCCTCCTCTTCTGCAAGCGCATCCAAAACCTTCCGGATCGCATCAGCGTTCTTCGACGGAGGGGTTCCGTGTTCAAAGAACTCAAGACGCTCTTCGACTTGTCCTCGAAGCGCCTCTCCGAATTTTGCGGTAGGGTTGTCTACCCAAACGGGTTAGTATACTCGTGAAGGAGTGAATAACAACATACCGGAGTAGCAATCTATCCGCGACGCAATTGAACATTTGTTCGCCAGGAATCGCGAAATACGACCCTTATGCTTGGGTCCAGCACGACCAATGAACGTCGAGTGATAGATGAGCCCGTACTGATCAACGTAGTTAGTCCAGAAGCCAAGGAAATTATGATTAGCATACCTTGGGCGTGTTTCCCTTCGTTTTCAGAGCTCTGAATAACGCTTTCTCGGCACCCAAAATCTGCACGGTGCTGGCAGGGTATTTACTGAGATTCGTCAGACTTCCAGCATGGCTGATAAGCCGTGCGCCGATTCGATCGCCTAGCAGAGCCGTAAGACTTGGCGCGACGAGGTTCATCTTGTCGGATAAATATGTGATTAATGACTTCCGGTATTCGCTTAGCGAGACGACACGTATGGCAAATGTGGAGATGTTGAGCATGTCAATTTCGGAGAGGGAGGAACCCATGGAACCGCGGGCGGCATCTAGGATATTTTGGGCGACGGTAGAATTGTCTTCGAGGATAGCCTCTATCTCGGGGAGCTTCTCTTCGGTAAGTGTCTCCTTGTCGCCGATAAACTGGGCAAGACGGGCATACTGATGGTTGTCGGGAACGAGTTTGACGAGTTCTGGGAAATGATAACCATACCATTCCCGAATGCGCATGGAGAAGAGGTTAACGTCCTTGTCGAGTTGATCAAGGAGGGCAATGGCTTGAATGATCATGTTGTCGTGTCGGTTCACGTTGAACTTTAGCTTGGCGCGAGAGTAGGAGTGGCCCAAACCGAGCTGGGACTTGGTAAAATCATCGTTCTGCAATCCTTTGAGCAACTTGGTTGCGTGTAGACGAAGACCTCGAATAAGCTCCATAGCCATGTCTCCCGACTCGCATTGCACCTTAGTCTCAGTGCGTATCGAGTTTCCCAAATTTGGATCCGTTACGGCCAGCACAATGGATGATTTTTTGGTAGGCTTGGAAAGGTTGAGCTCGACAAGGGATTTCAGGTAATCGTTGACGATTGCTGCAGAATGTTAGATAAAAATATAAACACTGAAATTATAGCGCACATTCAGAGATGTCATTCGCATTCTCCAGCGCGTGAGCTGCACTTTTAAAAGGCGAGAAGCTCATAAGCGACACCATTTTTGAGAATTTCGAAAAATCGATTATTGAATCCTGGAAGGCTTTGGACTTGGCCTCAATTTCCCCTGTGAGTTTGACCTCAAATATAGCATAGCCGGACGCGGTCTCGAGAAGAGCATGGGTAGGCATGATGGCCGAGGACGTCACGCTCGACGTTGAGGAAAAAGTATACCAGCTGAAAAAGTTTCAAAGTCCGACAGGGTTAATTCATTGGGTTAGGGCTAGCTGACCCGGCTTCTCCGGCCCGAGTCCCGTGCGGCTTTGAAAGTCTTCGACCATGATGCATGATGCATGATGTCTTTGTATCCTTGACGGGCCTGAAATTTCTTGACAAGTTGTTTAGGAGTTTTGGATATGTCTTTTCCTCTCAAGGAATCTCAGCGCCGCCTCAGATACTTCACTTTGTCCAGAATGAATGAAAAAGGTAAAGGTTAGCTTTGGCGGACCCGGCAACGTCATCGCCTTTGTCTCTTTGTTCAACTGGGGCCCCTTCAGGCTGTATAAGGCTGAAGTCAAACCATGCTTCTCCTTCAACACTCTCCCCTCCATATTTGACGGAAAGTGAGTATTACTTTCCTCGATCTTGAGTACGAAACTAATTGGTTTCCAAAGGCCGTTCCAGAAATCTGCTGTCCAGCCGAAACGTTCGTCATTCTCATCACCTCTCGCACTCTTTGGTCTTCCTTCCGCAGCTCCACTCATTTCGCTGCCATGTATCAACGTGCACTTCCTTCCCCTACCGAAGAGGAAGCTATGTCCTTGCTACATTCTTCACTCACCACCAGTTTGGACCAAGGTCAGGAAGTGGCCATCCCAACTCCTGAAAGCTATCACTCGGTCTCGATTCTTCTTCCTCCCAAGAAACGCTCTCTTTCTAAAATGCCCAGTCATATATTCAAGCTGAAGTCTGGGTCGAGCTCCAAGCAGACCTCGTCTAAAGAGAATCCTTTCAAACAAGGGAATGGCATGTTACCCGAACGTGTCAGCGTGAAGAACGACGAATCCACATTTGCAGCTCCTTCCGAGAGCACCGATGAATGGCCCTCATCTGGTTTGCAGCTGTCCCCTGTGTCCCTGGGATATCTGGAACTCAGCGGTGACCAGAGGCGTCCGTCATTGAGCCCACTCTCGGAGGGATTTGACGACACCAGGGTGGTCCCATTGGCTCCTCTCACTCGTGTCGAACCTCTTCCCTCTGCGTTCTCTTCGGACGCTGCCCCCGAGTTTACCAATCCGTTCGCGACTCCTCACTTTCCTCCAAGTGGCTTTGGTAACCCTGTGTTGGCAGCTGGTTCGGCTACGCACAACAATGATCTGTTTCCCCCTAGTCCTACAACTCCATTGTCTGCTATCACGAACGTAGGGGTGGATCTTCCGACCTTCGGCCCGACCCGGGTCAAGGTAAAGGGTAAGGCACTGATTATCCTTGGCGAAGAGGCGGCGAAATATCCCGGGAACGACATGTAGGAAAGCGGACTCGTGATTTCTTGCCGCACGCATTATCAATTCTTAGTCGAAGTGAGCATATGCAAGACTGGTAGGAAAAGAGGAAAGTAAATCTATAGATATATACTTGTTCAATGTTGGTAGTCACTTCGTTTACCAGGAAGTTACCGTCGTTCAATTGCATGCAAGCATAAAACATAATCATTCGAATGACAGGTTCACGGGGCAGAGGACATCACCATTCTTAGAACTTTCCAACAGTCTACGAATATTCTTGATCTAGGATTTCAATCGCAATTTGCCTGTCAGTTATAGATCTGAGATTTGAGCTGGGGGTGTTTGGGGCAAGAGAGACTCGGATCCTGTTGTGTTGTCCGAGACGACACCTCTTCACGAGGCAAACGCATGGTGCCAGCCATTGACGGTTACCATGAACAACACTCATGGAATTTTATTGGACGCACCAACCTTGTCTTCGAAATGATCTTCTCAATTGCAAAGATATTCAAAGGCCCCAAGATACGGAGAATACCGAGATCTGGTAGCCACAACACAGAAAACCTGCGGCGGAGCGAACTAGAAACCTTGCTGGCTCCGAGCCGTCCTATGGTCCGGTTGCGACTGTGCCATTCACCTGGGAAACAATATGTGATTTCGGACATATAGGAGGGTCGGAGAAAAGACTGGTACGTCATATCAATGCGCACTGTAGGTGCTTTTCCGTCAATCAAGACACGGTAATGAAATGGCAAAGCATGCCTGGCATGGGAACGATTACATGTCCTATTTTCGGGACGGTTGTAACATATGGGCTTGCAATCACTCGTCCTATCTCAAACTTGGCAGGTAATGTAAGAAAACTTTGACTGTACAATTTACCGTTCATTTGATAGCGCATACAAGTTATTACTGGCGACCCAATCCACTGAATAAATCATCCTGTCTCATCATAGATGCTTGGCTTGCACTTGAGAGGACAGAGTTTGGACAGATAACGAAACTTGTGCTTGAAGCTTGTTGTATTTTGGATTAGTACAATGCTATTGAGACCTCTAGTCTCTGGGTTACAAACTCGTGAGGAGTTTGCCCATTGACTTCTTATATTTATACTAAACTACACCTATTCTAGTAATTTCTATACAATAATTTCTTACCAATTTCCTAGTCAGCATGCCGGAATGCCGGATTGCCAGAATCATCTCGCAGTTTCCGACAAAGCTCGACCTTGACCGGTGACCGTTGCCGGCAACTTTTGATGCTTGTGACGTCAACACCGTAACACCACTTGAGGGCAAGTCTTGACGTGGGACCTATGACACCATCACCCCCATTTCTCTAGTACAGCTTGTGCTTAATGCCCACATTGAACCAAACAGAGGTCATAACTCTGCTGCTCTAGGCACGACTCAGTCATGATGTATCAATGCATCACTAAGCTGGTACTGTTGTTTTTATTGCTACGCCACCAACACGTTGTAACTGCTGGCATGGATAATTTAGTTGCGGAATCACAGTCGCACCATAGAATCTCATGGAATGCGTTTCACCGCAGACTCGGTCATTCATTAAGGATATCGACTGCTCCCGTCGCGGATCTTGGACCCCAGGCATCTGACGAGAATTTGAATGAGACCGACCCGCACACTTTGTATTCAAAGAGACTTTTCATTCTCAAAGATGCGTACGAAAGGCGGTGGTGGGATTTTTGCATATCTAACACAGCGCACTACGACTAACAGTCTTGCCTGCAGTATGTGCTAGTAGGAGGGTGCCTTGTATGCAGGCCGCCCTAGAGCGTCGTTTACGGTGTTGTCCACCGGCTCAAACTCGTCTCTATCCCTTGTGATTATTTTCCACCTACTGAATAAGCATCCTCCATCATGCGGAGTGTGTGACCCAGAGTAACAACACAACGTTCCTTGCAGCGGTTGCAGGTCCCGGGTTATTCCAAGCCTTTAAACAGCTATCCTTGACCATCAACCTGCGCAAAATGCCATGGGTCTTGGTTTCAGCTCCCAGAAGTCACAGATCTACTTTCCTGCGACTCCTGCGACGGTGAAAGTACGGCAAGTTCGAGGCTCTAAAGAGACGACGCATTGTTCGTTGCGGAAAGTCATAGAACGCAGGTGCCCCGCCCTATTTGAGGATTTTTCGCCTGCGTGGTGGTTGTTCAAGTGCGTGATTGCGAGACTTATATGAATCTTCTCTGATGTTTGCTTTCTTTAGTGGACATTTGCAAACATTATACTGTGTTGCGGGAGAATTTTCTCACATCGACAAGATAAAATATGATAGGTGTGCATGGTCGTTTTCCTTACTTAACCTGCCAAGCATATTGAACTTATGGATGATTCCAGAACCTATCTTCATTTGCTAGATGGCGGAACATTGTCCGAACAACTTGTTGCATCTGTGGAATGAAACTAACGTTCTTATCAGATGTCTCGATTTCACGTCAACTCATGAAGATTTAGCGGATGATTCGCCTATCCTTGTTACTGTCACTGTCTTGGATGGAGGAAAGTGAACCGGCTCGCTTCATATTTCGAAAACCTAATCTGCTTTTTTTGCTGCAGGTGGCTACGAGGCCTATATCCGAGCGATTCTAGCACCGGCTTGCTCTTCTGTAGAGAAAGGTGGTCTTGGGTACCGAGGAGCGGTCGTCAATATCCGTGGCTGTAAAGCGATCTCCCTTTCATTTCGAAATATCCTTCCGCTCACCCGACTATTAGGTGCTGGCGTACCAATTCATGGAGGTCCGACCGATGACTTGCGGCAGGCGCTTCTTTACATATCAAATCGCTATCCTTCTGCGCCCTTAATTGGACTCGGGTTCTCGCTCGGCGCAAACATCGTCTTACGGTATCTTGCCGAAGAGAAGGAGCTGAGTCGATTATCGACTGCTTGCATTCTGAGTTGTGTAAGTGCCTATTTTGTCGTCCCGTCGTATCTGACCACATGCTACGCGACAGCCTTGGCATCTGAAGATTCACAGTAAAATGTATGCAGGTTACGTCTTTTCTGGAGTTCAGGTTCATTGACCAACCATCCACCAGAACAGTGGCTAACCTTCTTGGTCCTTATGGCTACGTTAGCGCGAGAGGGATACACGATAGTCTCGTACGATTTCTTACGATTCACTTCGTGCCGACGTTCACGCAAGCACCCTTCCACGAAGCATTAATGACTGCTACGGTATCCCGAGAATCGACGACACTCACGCAATTCCACTATCATGCTACCCGCACCTCAAACAGTAATGTCCCGCAGGCCTATGACTTTGCCACCGTGAAAGATGACGCGACATGGGCGTCTAGCCTGGTTGATATCCGGGTCCCACTACTGACGCTGAATGCGAAGGATGATCCGGTTGCTTACACCACTCCACACGGTGTCGCGAACGAGAATGTCTGTATGGTTGTCACACCAGGAGGCGGACACCTTGGATGGTTCGAGTCTCGGAACACTCGGTGGGTTACGAGACCGGTCTTGCAGTGGTGCAGAATGATAGTAGAAGACTTCGTGTTGGAACGGAAGCATGGAAGAGAGACATTTATAGCAGAGGGTGGTTTCTTGAAAGAGGTGGGTCAAGACCATATCGGATGTATGGAGATTGAGGGGGGCTTGGAAGGGATGATAGTGGGGATGAACCCGGAGGAATTTTCTTTTGAATGATTCAGTCCAATTAGATCGTGCGCGCATAGCTTACAGTAAGATAGTAGGTTCCAGTAATTCGTTTAAGGACTGTATGGCGTGTATCAACCTCCAGCTTCGAGCATGGCGCCTGGCACCGGAAGGTATACCGCCTGAATGACCTTCTGCGAAGTACCGACTTAGCCAGCGGTTGGAGTCAATAAACTACCGCCTGTAGGGTTTCCGTTTATAGGGATTAGAATTTGGACATTACATTGGGGTAGCGATGAAAAGAAAGGCAATACATTTGGTGAACGCTTTCCTGGATTGAATGGTTCGAGCGCGCCTGGTGTAAGAGCCAAGTTGGACGCTTCGATCAGTGTTCAAGATGAGATAGATGGCGCGTGATAGGGCCAGCCGGTTGAGTCGGCGGCAGAGGCGCCCGAGAGATATGAGATCTTGTTCTTGGAGACTTTCCACTATGATGAGGAGAATCTCGTCGGGAAGGTCCATCATAGTAGTAGGTTGTTCGATTGGAGCAACAGACACTGAGATCGTTAGTTGTTGGAGACGAGGAAGACAAAGGACACGAACTGGTGAAAGAAATGGTTGCAAGGGTTACGAGGATGAAGGCAGATGGTGGTTGGAAAGAGAATCGTGTTCTGGGCCCATCAGCAGCAACAACAGTCATTTGATATTTGTCAGATATATTCTCACCCTACGGTAACGATAAGAAAGAACTGTTTGTTGGTCGTTTTGTACCCATTTATTAAACGCGAAAGCAAATATCCCGGTTCTGACAACACTGCGTGGTGGACGAATTTTCAATAGGGCTTAAGGCAGAATACAACAGATAATACAAATAAGCAAATAAAATAACGTACTAAATCGTGTCACGTCATGAATTACACCCCCACGCTCCTGGAGAGGATGCGTGAAGGTAAGTCGTAAATCCCATCAGACAAAACCAAAGCCTCCACGCTCAACTAACTCTTCCTACTCTTCTCCCTCACATCCCGCCAAAAGTCGGCCCACTCGTTCCCGTGGGTTTCGTCTCCATCCATGATCGGGGGAAGCCCCTCCCTTCCTCGTGGTCCAAACGCATCCTTTTGTGCCAAGGCAATTCGGTCAAGAGCCTTTATCAATGAAGGAGTGGCAGGCACAGCGCCTGTCGGAGGTGATGGCGAATCAACAGCTGTACCATGACTCGAGAATAGCGTATTCGACGACCGATATCGTTTTATGAATCCAGGACTCCACTCTTCATCGGTCTTCCGCTGACTGACACTCGTAAGATCCTCTTCATGGTCAGAGTAGTCTGGCACTTCCCCCTCCCCAAGCCCGCTAACCACATTCTTCCGCTTGACCTGTCCAAGCTTCTGAATTTCCTTGTCGTAGTCAGTATCATCTGGTGGTTTGACCTTGGCGTCTCGCTCGCTGTCACTAACTAGTGTTGGCGTCGTGGATGTCATGGAATGTCTTTGCTTCAACCAGGGTCGTCCACCTGTGAGCGGACTTGCTTTGAGGTCATCCTCTTCTGAATCCGAGGACTCGAGTTGACCTAGGGGTCGGAATTTGACAGCTTCCCGATTGCGCTTACACAGAGCATGGAAACGAGCCTGGTTGTCTTTCTTTGAGCGCGCCTTCTTCAAATATCCTGGACTTTGATGGAAATCGAATGAGGAATGACCAGGCGGGCTCGGGCCACTCTTGTCTAGCTTCAGAGGCGAACCAACTTTGTCTTCGTCAGGAAAGACAAGATCCTTGGAAATGGTAGGCTTTTCCGTTGAACCAAAGATACGGTCCCATACGGATGTGAAGGGCTGATAGGTTCCTGCACGGTCAGCATGATTGGGAAGGTTTGCCGCATAGTCAGCGAGATAGCTGTCCCATTTCTTTACACTATGTTAAGTCTTATATTATCTGGTGAACCGCACAACACATACCTGATCTGGGCATTCGCCAAATGTCCTCTTCAGGAACCAGTCCGACGCCATCCCTGCGCAGAGGAACAGACAGAACCCAGCGCTGAGACCTTTCTCCTTGCTTGTTTCCCATTCAATACTTGCAGTAAGCCATAGGCGCTCCCACACATTGGTCCATGCGGGAACATGTGCCAAAGCCGCTATGGCTACGATGACGCCAAAAGAACCCATGGACGCTGTGGCGAAGCGAAGAGACGCATGCTGGAACCTGGCAAGTGGGAGCAGAGTGAAGAGGGCCACTATGGGGGCGCATATGGACAAAAAGACGATCCGTGTCAGTAGAGAGGGATGGACGATGACCGAAAGAGCAAGAGCGAAAAGGGCGCTAGTACCTGACATTAGGCAATCATACCGGAAGAGACTGAATGATTGGCTTACCCTCCGGAAATACCGCCGAGCGCCAATGCACAATATTTCCACCTCCCGGCAAGAAATGTAGTCAGGAGGGAAGGTAGAAACCAGACGGCGACAAAGGACTTGGATGACAGTGCGCTTGAGGATGTAGTGGATGGGATTAGCAGTGCCAAGAACGTCGAGCAATGTACTAAATAGCAACATCAGCACAGGTAGACTAACTTGATAAAATGGAATGACGCACGTCCAAAGACATATCCAATGGCCAAGCCTCCGATGCCGCCTTCCAGAATCCATTTCAATTTCTTTGGTGAATCAAATGCACCTGGCATAGCATCATATCGAGGCGCAAATTGTCGTGTACGGTCAAGGGTAAAAAATGCACCAGAGAAGGTGAGCAAAATAGAGAGTAAAAGTAGAGGTAAAGCATAAGCCAGTAGATATGATGTCGATGGGAGAAGGGTCGTAAGACTGTATTCGTCGGTAGTCGTCATTATCGTCGTTAGTGGTCGTCAGTAATATCGTTATGGTCAATGGTATTATAGTGTATCTCCTGAGGCGTCTTGAGTTGTCGTTAAAGACGCACTACCTCGGATGCGGAGTCCTGAAGAGGGATGGAGAGCCTGTGTACAGGTGTTTACTTGCGGCATCTTCCGCCGCCCCGCGAATAGCTTCCAAATCGGGATGTCACCGGCAATCATTCAACTTTTGTGTTCAACTCAACTCCACGGGGCAGATCTACATAACCCCCGGGCCTACGGATAATTTTCCAACCAGGAAGTGGTTTTGTCCAGGTTTGGGTTCGACCTTTCTAGAGGATGGGCTATCTACCGGGATTTGGACTCGATTCTCTTCTCGTTGTAGTCACCAATCCACCGATATGTGGCGAAAATGCCTGTTCATGGACGCGATTTTCATGAAGAACTGCAGTAGTATCCTCTCTGCACCCGATTCCTCCTTGAATTTCGGCCTCATGGTCTTTGATTCACCTGATGATCCTATCTACTATTAGAACCTCCTGACGAAGGGCGGTGATAATAAGGAAAGGATGATATTCTCGCACTTCTCTTGGCTACCTGTTTCGCGGGCAGTGATAGTCTACATCCGGGAAGTTACGTTGTCTCATCGTCTAATCTTCAGACCCTTAATGTGAAGAGTTCCTTATCTTTTTAGAGCTAACTCATACTCAGTTAATCGTTGAAGATCACAACAAAGGCCCCAATGGTTACCTCGGAGTCCGTCTTTCTACTGCATACCTCGTTGAATGCCCTACGAAACGCTTTAGCACCAGCGGAACACGGTCTTGTATCTCCGGTCCGAATCTGTTCAAACTGGCTCTATGCCCTCGTGTATGTTCGGTATAACCCTAGGCGCCAGGAACAGTTTCCAAGGCGCCCCATGATGGCATCTGAGTTCCCACCCTTGGATGATATAAGACTCTCATCGATCCCTGCGCTCCACCCCACCAATCATCAAGATGTCTCTGTTCCCTTCCATCCCACAAAACCAACGTTACCTCCCTGATACAGGATTGAATCTTAAAGGGTTCGATGGTCCTGATTATTTCACGTCAAACATGCTGCATGCGCGGCGTCACTCAAGAGAAGCGGGGAGGCAGGAGGGGGAGTCTGCCTTGTGGTCCTCACACTCCTCAACGCCGAAAGTAGCTGAAACGGTAAAATCAGGTGTGTTTCTAACTTATTGAATAGAACTGTAGTGTACTAATTAGCGTGCTTGTAACTAGATTCCATACTACCGAGGGACGCCACTCTTGTAGAGAGTCGCCGTTTCCACGACTGCAAGATCAGCATGGATATGGACGGTCGCGAACCTTCATATTGTGCACAAAGCAACAGACCTCAACCGGAAGTTTTGCCATCGACTTGTACGTCTTCCAAACGACTCCATATCCTTATCTTGCTGACGTCATGGCTATTTCTCATAGCAACACGTCCTCGGGCGCTGGCGCCCTTATCTTCGCCGCCGAAGCAACCCCAACTCAAGATCGGTAGGCATGATTGTTTCACGTATAGGGATGTTGACTTGAGCAGGCCGTCGCTTTCAACAGGACACCCATCTCCGCCTCTAATGTCCCTTCGGCTTGGGCCAGTTGGGTTCTAGTAGGGCCTCTACTCAACTCACTTCTTCTCCCTTTCTCGCTTCCTCATGCATTATCATTGTACCCCTACTTGCATTTCACTGGATGATACCCCACATACTTTGCATCATACCCCATTCACGATGTTACGATTTTTAAAACGGCATTTTCTCTATTACATCTGTATCACTGAATACTGTATCCTTCCGAATCCGAATCTATACACGAGGAAGTGATGTCCTCTGCTGGTATCACCACTTCATCCTCGTGCCGGCCCGGGGGCCACCTAGATCCGAAAGGGAGTACAGAACCAAAACAACGAGATGTCACCGTCCGTACTGAGGAGCAATGTTAGACAACGTATGTATACCATCAAGTAAACATCGCTGCTATCCTATCATGCCATATGCATATGATATTTCAGCTAATGAGCTACACTTAAGGCCTATACAGCGCCCAACAAACTGGGAAACTATAATATTGTGATGAAGCATTTCTATTCCCTTCAAAATACGTCCGCCGATATTCAGGCTACTTTACATCATATATTTACACTTATATCATTAAACAAACTCAGGCGCCCTCAGTCCCCGTTGTTGGCCAACAAGTTGGCAGTACCCGAAGCTGATACGCAAACATTGATGAGACGATAATCCGAAGACTGCAAAAGAAGGCCGCTTACGAATGCTGGTCAGGACACCAGAGACACCAAGGGATTTGATGAGGGTGCTCATCGCGGCCGGGGTCGTATTTCCGCTTTGAGAGATAAGATAGGCAACAATACCGGAGACATGAGGAGTAGCCTGAGTCACAAAAAAGCCTCAGCACTCGCACGTAAGCACAGTTCGAGGATTAATCCACATACCATGCTGGTACCACTGATGTTGTTAGTGGCCGTCGTGCTGCCGATCCAGGCGCTAGTGATGAACGCGCCAGGTGCAAAGATGTCAACAACCGAACTATCAGAAAATGTTGCTTTGGTAAATTGATAATACAAGGGGAAAAAAAAACGCGAACCCGTAGTTGGACCAGGAAGCTTTCGCATCAGCAATGGTCGTGGCGCCAACAGTGATGACTTCTGCAACACGGGCTGGGCTGGTGCCAGATGCATCAGTACCGTCTGTTGATAAATGAGCACTGATGAACAATGGTGGAATAGATGGATGAGACTTGCCGTTTCCGGCAGCGACCACGACGTGAATGCCAGCATTGATGAGCTGTGTTATTCCAGTCAGTAACGGCATATGCAGCGAATGTGATTACTGACAGAGAGAACCCCGCTGTCGAACGTATCAGAGGCCGCACCGCCGAGAGACATTGAAACGATGGAGGGTTTGCCAGAGGATTCTATCCAGTGATAACTCAGCAGATGATATGGGAAGAGAAGATATGAGAATCACTGACCTACAGCATTGATAACCCAGTCAAATCCCGAAAGGATGTCGGAGATATAACCAGAGCCTGAATCGCTGAGAACTTTGACGGCAATCAAGCTAACATCCTGGAAAATTTGTTAGTACAAGCTGATAAAGTGTAATCTTATGGGAGTACATACTTTGGCTACACCGAATTGGGCACCACCAATAGTTCCTCTGAATGAACAATTAGTTGCATTTAGCGAATAAAAATCAAGGAGAGTACGCACGATACATGGGTACCGTGACCATTACCATCGGCAGAGCTGCGATCATAAGATTCAGACGCCATGCAGCGAGCACAGGCTACACTCACTTGTAGCCACCGAATGTCGCTCCCCAAGTCGCGCGGCCGCCAAAGGTGGTCTAACAAAAGACGATATTCGTCAGCCTGGGAAACTAAATGGAAGGTCATGCGTCATACGTGTGCCGTGTAGATACCTAAAATCAGAATCAGAAAGATGATTTTGAAAACCAATAGATCAGAACCTGACCTGTATCGACGACATAGACATCTACACCAGTTCCGGTGGCGTCGTATGTATAGGTATAGGTCAAAGCCCTAAAGATGTTAACAGTCAGACTGTGATCAGCGAAATTGATAGTCGAAAAAGACATCGTACGATGTATCAGAAGCGCTGAGGGCACTTGATTGAGAAATCCGGTTGAGGCCCCAAGGGGCGTCTGTTCTAATGGAAGGCGATGTATCAGTGAGTCATAGAGTTTCTAACACGGTACCAGAACGTACTGGATGGTGGTAATGGAGACAATGCCATCTTCAGCGACAGTGGCTGGTGAGGCGGGATTTAGTGTGCCTTTCTGGTGATAGGATTCCTCTACCTACCGACATCTGTAACAGGGAGATCAGTATTCTGGCTGGCGGAGATGCCTAAAACAGGATAACTGACCAGGGTGAGCGCGGATTTCGTTCAGGGTCTCGTCATCGAGTATCCCTAAAATCAAAAGTTACCATCAAATCGGATATCAGGAATGAAAAGAAGCTTTACCGGCGAATCCTGTAGAGGTGCGGTTGTATAACGCAGTGACGGACGAGCCGAGGCCCTCAACAAGCGAGTCCCTCGACGTCTTGTCCTTCATAGTCACGATGTAACCACTCTGTTTGACTTTTCCCGCAAACCTTTCAACATCGCGGAGCGCAATATGGGGAGCGCCCAGCACGGGAGTAAGTGCAGCTGCAAAAGAAACAGCAGTGGTGAAGAAAGACAGCATGATGAAGAAAGTACGTCGAAGAGTGTTCGTGAACTGAGAGCACTCGGTGGGAGAGCCCGTCTGTCTTCAGCAACACTGCTGACCTGGCTTTTAAGCATTCTTCAAGATAACGATAGATTGAAAGCGATATGAGGATCAATCCTTGACCGAGTTCTGCAACACGTATAGCTACGTTCATCCCGGGACTTCCAAACATCGGCTTCGCGCTGCATGTGCTGCCTTCCTTTCAGAGATAAGGAACGAGTAATGGATGGTTCGAGATGCCTGTGGCGGTATACGTCAACGGGAAATTTTCATACTGATTCTGGAAGTCGCGACGGTTCCTGCCCACTGGGCTGACGTTGTATGAGAATATTATACTGGTCTGGTCAGAGAATGCTGCAGTTGAGATAACTTCAAGTTTGATACCATCCTGTCTCTTCTAAAGATAGAAGAGAAGAATTTCTAGATGTGATATCTGCGACCCGAAATTTCTCCAGAATTAGGTTATGCCAGAGTTGGTCAATGCTGGTGTCAAGCTGGTGTTGGGTTGAGCTATTTTTAGCTTTCCACGTGCAAATCTGTCCCGGGAAATGCCGCACTCCTGCTGACGTTAACCACTACCGACCTCCAGACGGACATCTCTTTGTTGCAAGGCAATGGATTCGAGGAGATAAAACTGGATTCGACTGGCGGGCATTTACTGCCGCCCCTTTCATTTCTATACAGATGGAAGGATTTCTGATGTGATGAAACGAATTCACGCGATGTTCTTGAATGCCCTCAGTCAGATCGTGTGTCAATCGCGCAATGGGTGTCAATTACAGTGAGTCGAGACAATCTTCATCTGTGCTTCTATCTTATCAAACAAAGGGCACTTTCGCCGTAGGCTGGTGCAACTTGAATCATCATGCGGCTTCTACATTGTTCCTGTTTGCAAGTTGGACCTGGCCGTTATCTAGTCCTCGTCACTGACCAGGAAGCACATGTACCTTGACCATGGGACTCTTGGCGTTTAGCTCTCTCAATCACTGTGGGAGACGCCATGATATCGATCTAACGAAGTTCTGGTTTCAATAGGTAGATTCAGATAACCAGCTTCATTTTTCTCACAGAATGATGCCGACAGCTAGACAGCGTCAAACTTTGGGGATCAAGTGTTTGCTACTATTCTCATGCTTCATGTCTTTCGCCTTCCATCTTGACGGACTTGAGGGGACGGGTGCGATTGGGCAAACTTGCGGGAGCTTCCTTTGTCAGCATGCCATCGTCGAACGGTCAAAGGCAACCTCTGTCATAGATCGGAAGGCTTATACTCAACGGAGGTCGTGGTATGACATATTGCGCATATTTCGGGTGTTTCACTGAGTTCCTGTTGTATCAATAGCATCGAAGGATGTCGGTCCAAGTCCTCTCACTATTATCTTTCTGCGGCAAAGACCTCTCCCAAGAGGGCCAATACGTCGCTTGCGCGTGTTGACTTAACCCTCAGCTATTCACAATAAACACGCTTTCGGACCGACTTTGTGCCCTATCTGTCCATTTCCGACCTCGGTTCCTGACAAAAGGCGCCCACCGCAGTCCCTTTCTCTTTTCATTACCACCACCATCACCACCCCCACCACGTTATGCCATTTTACGCGCAAACAGACCTTGACCTGGAACTCTTCGGTCTCGAAGTGTTTGCCGCCACTCAATCCTGGGCCCTGGATAAATCACAGTCCGCTTTGTGGCGCACACGATCGTCAGAGAACCAGACACTTACGAGCCTCGAGATTTGTGGTAAGATTTCTTTCGAGTCTCATCAGCTGGGAGGTGTTGTTCATGCCGGCAACACCCCGGCGCTGTAGATTCCATGCCCCTTGAAATCATCACCCTCGGACAAACACGCCGTTGCGTCGACAACCAGATGGAAATATTCAACGAAGAAGAAGCAAGAGTTACCACTTCTTATGGATGGAGAGTACCATCCAACTACTCCCTGTATAGCGGTGGAAGTTCCAGCTCACCGGTAACTGGTACGTCCAACTTCGCCGATATAGATGGCCCTGATAACTGTCAATCATACATCAGAACCTCGTGCACTGGCGCCCCGCGCTCGACTGTCGCCCAAACAAGCTAGCTTCGTGCTCGGTAGGTATTATTCCCCATACTTATCGCGAGATTACTGCTTACAGTGAGCGGAACTTGAAGCAGGTCCACCTACCTCACCCAAGAGTACAAGGTTCAGACTTGGCACTGCTGGATACTAGAGACTATGTTCATTCAACGGCATCGCTACCCTCCTCATCTCACATTCGGGAACGTATCTATACACCGAAACATGTTACTTCACGCATCCATTTGTACCAGTCATGAACGTTGGACAATGCATACATCTTGTTCATTCAATAACACCCCGGGGTTCATATGACCATCTGACTGAGTCTATCCTTCTCACCCATCTGTCTTCGAGAACCAAATCTAAACTTGAAGGTGAAGATTGAAGCTTTAACTTTAGCTTCGGAGGCCAATCTATCGCGCCACGTGGATAAACGTGTGGCGAAGATTTTCCGCATAGCATTCCTGACCTCTTTAAGTATTACCAGCATCATCGAAGAAATTTTTCGCCCAGTCCGATAAATTGCCCCGTTGATGATATAATTATCAAGGACAAGTACCGTTTTGAGCCACCATAGGCCACCATGGATCTCGTGGCCACCGTGCAATCTTTATTGTCTCTTACGTTTGGCCACAATCCGCTGGTTTCATACTTTTCTGCCACGTACTTTTCATATTTAGTCTCAGCTTTCATCATGCCACCACGCTTCTAATTCTCCGCTTCGGGTGCTTTAATATCCCTGCCACGACCTCTGCCTCACGGACCGTTGGGGACGAGGATCCTTTACTACTATGGACGCGATTCGAATTCGCTTTACGAAGTGTGGCGATGTCTTTCAAAGATTCAACTTTAGCGATGATACAGAAGAAGAAGTTGTATTCAACTCTTTGCCACACAGTACGATACAAGTGGATGTTGGTGTGACCGAACTGGCTTCGAGCAGTAATCTGGACCGAGGCTCTGCATGGTACCTGGGTGCAAGGACTAGAACGTCAAACGATGAACCTGGGGTTCAGCTAGCGATCAAACTTGCTACTCACATTGAGGTGCAACCGCGGACGGAGCAGTATGAAGTAGCTCAATCGCTCAAGGAAGAGGCACTCTTCTACTCGCGCTACCTCAAAAAGCTTCAAGGTCGCGTCGTGCCCGTCCATTTCGGATTCTGGATCGGCCGGACATCGTGGGCTGTGCGATTTTGGAATGGGGTGGCCATCCGTGGCCATGCAGGGTGGAGATCAATACGCATGAAAATCGGTACGCCACGGTTTTTTTTTTTTCACCGCAAGGCATTCAGGCAGACTTTTGTACGTGTACATAGGATGAAATTTGGCGCGGCCATTCAAGCATTGCACGATGCAGATGTGGAACATCGTCAGCTGGATGACCGTCATCACTTGCTTTACAACGAGGGTTCTGGGGACGTTCGGATCGTGGATTTCACGCAGGCTACAGGACGTCATGTATGTCAGCGCCAGCTGCCTCTAATTCGCTATGCAGCCTGTCCATCAGAGAAGATCATGCGGTGCGACGAGCTGATCCAAGCTGGGAAGCTTCTGGGACTCTTTGGCTCTGCGCCTGGTAGGTCGTTTTCTTGCTTACAGTGTCCTTTCTGAATTGGAATATCTGCAGAGGATCAAGATACGGACATGAAGAGGGCATGCATGTTTTACAAGCGCCAGAGGGCTCTGGGACTTTCGCATTCTCTGGCCCTCGAGGCCCAGTTGCAATTCCTTTTGCGGTATCGGGATAATCACTGGCATAGAACCGGACAGCTTGAGAGTTTGAAACTGACTGGGAGACCTCGCAGCTGCACCCGCCATAGTCCTGTTACTCCGGAGGTAATAGATACGATCCTCAAGGAGACTGGTGTGTCTAGACGGGGATCAAATTCTATTCGGATCCGGAGTAATACGTTTTCTCCGTAGTTTGACCACTATTGGCACCATCGTCTGCTCTATACACGTACTTCATTGCGTGCTTATATCTGGTGTACGCCTCGCACTTTTTTTACACTCAACGGTAGCGGAAACATTACAGTGTCACTAACATCCTTTCTAATCCCATAGAGTTGTTTTTTTTTCGAAGCACTATTTAGTAGGGTTGCTAAAGGGCACATGATCAGTCGCCACATTGGTTCAAAGCTGAATTAGAAGGGAGCTCAAACACCGTGACAATGCACTTGCAGAGCACGACCAGCTAAACGCAGATGTTCTTCGGTGATGGTTCAGTTACGTAACTGTCCATCATCATTGCAATCAACCACGACCATGGACAGTGCTGAATTTCATGCTGCAGTGTACGATGCTGTGAGGCACATCCCAGTGGCTCGTGTTACTTCTTATGGTACGTCATCAGCCCTTTGCAATCCTCTCCTCAAGGCTACGACCGTTGTATCGATGATACAGGCCACATCGCCAAACTCATCGGTATGCCTACATACTCGCGACACGTCGGTCAAGGTACTACTTTCGGCTATTGTCATTGATTTATCTCGCTCAATTGCGCGCTTAATAGCACTCAAGTTCACGGCGCCTGACGCGGATCCGCCTGTGCCGTGGTATCGCGTCATTTCATCGACAGGCGCGATATTGTCTCGCGGGCCCGGAACAGATGGAGCGCAACGGCAAAGAGAGGCCTTGGAGGCGGAAGGCGTAGAGGTCTCTGATCCTGGATTGAAGGTCGATCTGAGAACATGGGGATGGTTCCCCGATAACCTAGAAGGGGAGGCTTGATGTATGATCACGATGATGCCAAGTTTTCTACATCGTATGCTTTGAATACGGAATTATAATAGAACTCAAGATCAGCAAACTCCTGCAAGATATGTTATCGATGCACCTTGGAACTTGGTTGTCGCATCACTGCTATCAGGACGTCTGCATTGGTTAAATTTCGTCAGGAGCTAACATAGGCACTTATTCTTGGTCATAATCGGTCCACGATATATATGATTTTGCGCCAAGAAACAGATGAGAAGTACTCTAAGATATCTAGTGAAACACTGTCTAAATAGAGGCACTCTACAATTATTGATAGTACATATTTCCACAACAAGATAAAGCGACGGCAATAAAAATAGTAGAATGTTTTAGGCAGAGATAGTGAACTTTAGCTTGTCGCCTTCGACCTCGCACTTGACAGAGTTCATATTTTCGACAATAAAATGAGCGCCGCAGTCCTCGATCTTCGACCTTTCGTGCGAAGTACAAACTGCGATCACAGTCGCGCCGCTAGAAACACCCGCTCGGATGCCGGAAGGGGAGTCTTCAAACACGACACACTTCGAAGCGTCGTATCCGAGACACTTGGCGGCAAGAAGGAACGGATCAGGCGCAGGCTTGCCAGCCTTAAGACGCTTGTCGTCGGCAGTAATGGTGACCGGCGGAGGGGTAATCCCGACGCGAGTCATGCATCCGTGAGCTGCCATAGAATAATAGATCAGAGACCGTTGCGATTCAAAAGACAAACAAGCTTACCATAAGTCTTGGCTCCGGAAGTCGCGACAGCGTATTTGCCAGCAGGAATGGAGTCCATTAATCTCTTCACTCCTGGCAAAATGCGGACGGAGCGATCAACGCTCGCTGCTTCGATCTGCCAAGCCTCAAGCTCATCCCGACGCGTCTTTTTGTCGATACCCTCCTCTTCAACAATCTCGTTGTGGTTTGCCTCCATGACAGAGTCCTCGAAGGTAGGTTGGTACGCCTGAGTCTCTGGGACGGCGCTCATACGAAGGAGGTTCTGGAGACGACTGGCGAAAGAGGGACGGCGGGATTGGGAGGAAATGATCGAGGAAGCGCGAGAGCTCGGCGCCGAGCTCGCGGGGGTCAGATCGGGAGTACCAAAACCCGAACTTGCGGGAGAACGGAGGGGGGAGTCCATGGGAGAATTAGAAAAGGAGTTACTACGAGAACCAGGTCCGTGAGTATTGTAGGCGTCGGCGAAGAAGAGAATCGACTCTTCAAACTTGGTAACCTCGTCGTCCATTTCGTGTTCTTTGATATGAGGCTTGAACGCCGCGAGGTTGTCCACAGCGCGTTTGCCGTGGGTAGCGGCGATGACATAGGCGGGGTCCTCCCCAATGTCCTTTGCGACTTTGCCCCAGGCGGCCTCTACAGCTTGGATAGAATCCGTCAAGGTTCCATCCTATCAACACACTGGCAGAGTTAGACTGGGAAGACGGCGATAACGAGATACACACCATGTCAAAGAGCACCGCGTCGGCGTAAAAAAATTGAGTCGAGGACATGGTTTCGTGAAAGAGGTTATTTAACAGGAAATGTAGTTGGAAAGATTCGGCTTCGACTGCGAATTGGGGAAATTGGTCGCAACATGTCACTTTATATACAGAAGGATGCTAGGGGAATATGACGTCAAAGACGGCTGAAAAAAATTTGATCACTCAGCTGTCTTGAAGTCGTCATCTGGGCCAGCATCTCCAGGCGAAGCGGGTTGCCATAACGGGAGACACTGCTGGATGGCTGAGGGACAGCCACCAAATAAGTAACGCTGATTTCAACGTTGGCGATGTGTATTTCCATTATGCCTGTAAACGCCCTTCCGAAGGCTCCACAACTTGATCAACGATCAAAGAAAAAAAATCGGAATATAAGGACAACACTACACTTCATGCTCTCTCTACAATGAATGGAAAACTTGATTGGAAAATTTGAAGAATGGTGGATGTCAACTTACCCAGTAGCTCTATCGACACACGAGTGCGGTGCAAACGTAGAAGGCGGTGATGATCTCCTTTTTGGGTGATATGATGAAATCGGTTGCTGACCATAAAAGGATCGTTACCACGTTTTCCTGGATACACGTCACAACACCCGCACAGCGAGGCACGCCCGATCGTGTCTGCATTATGCAACGTGCACACTTTGCCTTCCAGCCCTCTTCCCTCCTTTCGCGCTGGCTCCTTTGGTTGCGTCGTTCTTCCTTTTTTTGCGCGGAGATATATTTTAGATCGCATTGTTAACACTGTGGAGTTCTCTATTGACTATCCATACCAAGGGGACTCATAGTTCAATCAATGGCCCTCCGTTTCAATCGCGAACGTCGGGTCCGAGTCTGGTTTTTATTCTGCTCCCCTACATATTGGCTCTTCCGCGTGTAGCTGGAGGTCAGGTCACAATATACTAGGAGCCTTATCTTTAGGCTGGCGCTCTGCCGCACTGGCCTTTGTTCCCTCTGGCACTAGAAGGCCTTCCTTCAACGCTCATGTGTTCATGTATCAGAAAGTCTACCTGCATCGACCTGCGTGTGGCGGAGCCTAGATCAAGGTACCAATAACAAAGGGCAGACGTATTTCATTGAGATGGAAATCATGTTGCGCCGCCCCCACTTCAGATGGTTTCATCTCCAACTTGGGGCTTGATTACCGCTCGGCGTCTTGCATCATGGGATCAAATGGGCCTCCGTCCCCGCATCTGTGACTTGCGAAGACTTTCCACTCGGAGAGCCCCCAAGGCCTACCTGCTTCTCGTACACATGCACGCGCAACAAACGTACCTGACGTCACGTAACCAACCATTGTCAAGCCTTTGCTTCACCCGTCTCCAGACTGCCGTCGTTATAAGTCGTTATATTGCGAAGAAACGTCTATGCTCGTTCTTCCGCCGGCGTTTAGCGGCGTTTTCATATGTCTAGGGAGAGTTTTCAGGGCGAAACAAAAGGTACTGAAAGGAATACCTCGAACGATCAATGTTCGAAGTTCTTCCTTTGGCTTTTGTAGGTGGCGAACTTGACCCGAAGAGCGACTCGGAGTCCTTTGTATCTTGGATGCACCTACACGGCAAGGTCATCTGGTTAGAAAGATCCCGGAGTTCTGCTCGAGTGCAGAGAGTAATGCACGTATGTCTGAACCGAATCATACCGTTACCTGTCGGTTTTCCACCACTCTAGGGCTATTCCCAAGATGCATTCAAAACGCTATCAACTCCGGAGTGGAATGAAGGCCTCAAGGCCTCGCAGCCTGAGCTTTTTTCGTTGTTCGCAAACTTGCTTCCATCCAAGAGCGATACAGACTTAGCCTGGGTCCGCCGTCTTTGTATTTCCGAGTTACTCCATGGCGACAGTGTGTGAATTCTCATGTTCGTTTGCTTTGGCATCAAGGAAATCCTTTTTAAGAACGAGTGACCTATTCTGCGCTGAGCGCTGATTGGGCGTGCTGGTTAAGTATCATGAATTGGTAGCGGTGTAAGGACTGGCTCTGGTGTCAATCGCAGAACAGCTTAAATTAATCCTACACTGAAGGGCACAAAGCCATGCTTCGGGTCTGCTACTGCTCTACGAGAAAACACTTTGTACATCTGCATATTCTTAGCTAATAGACCAGGGTGTAATATTAACGGAAGCATTAATGGGGTAGTGGTAACCTGGGTCGTTGCCACATTGCGCAACCATCGACCCGCCGGGGGTTCGATTCCCCCTTAATGCATAATGTAGTTTTATAGTCAGACAGTAGAATTTTTGTTCCTCCTGGCTAGTTAGTGGTGACTACTAGTTACTAAGACTCGAGTTCTAACTTGTCGCTGAGCACCTGTATTTGCTTAATGTTGCCGAATACAATGCAATCAACCAGTTGAAGGTCGTGAGTGAAGCCAGCATCTCATTATCATATCATTGCAAGGAAGGTATGTTCTGAACCACAAAGCTTCGCCCCTGCATCATTCGAGTCTACGCTTTATTTGCAACCTCAAGGATCATCCCGTTCAGCTTCGATAAAAATTTCCGGTCCTTGACTGGCCCGGTACCGGTGCTGACAATTCGCGTTATCCCTTAGGTATGTCGGCGTCCATCTGTCTTACGTCGACGATCGTGATCACGTCGTATTGCATGTCGAATGTCCATTCCGTGAGGTCAGGGAGGATAAATTTGCGACAGCGCGAGATTTTGGTGATTTCAATGTCGTTGTCCATTCCAAATTCCAGACTTGAGACTACAGACAGAATCAACCGCTTAAATAATCCGTGAATGCGTATAGGTACAATTGCCTATGATAATCCATGATGATTTCGAAGCTATTAAAGAAATCAAACCAGTGTTAGTTTGCTCGGAAATGTATGGGAGGCATGAGGGACTCGCCTTCGTCGCCGCATTATTACAGCTGTGTAGGTTATCTACACCTATGTTTTGCGAACCACAGGTCGGAGCGGCACGATTAGTTATTAGTAGTATGATGATTGCACATGAATTTGAGTATTGTTGGAACTGGAAAGCGATGTTCGTTGCAGGCGGCAACATAGTGAGAACGAGTACGAAGGCGGGGACACTAGGACGGCATGGGGGATAAACGAAAGGAATGACGAAGGCATATCCAATACCGACAGCGGGGAAGGGAACCAGACACGACCCTGGACAAGTCACATCTGCGATCGAGGTCTCAGCACAAGTGCTACCTCGGTTACAGCGTACAAGTAGCGGACTCACCCAGATATCGAACCTTTTCTTCCTTCGGGAAGAACTGATATCTGGTGGGCCGGGATCCACGGCCCGCATAACACACGTCGAGGGGCTCGAGGTCGTGAGCATAACGAAGGATATCACCTTGAGATTATCGTCAAAGTCTATGGTGCACTCGAAGTCCTCCCTCCATCCCTTCCGACTGGACCTCCACGTCCAATGCACGCTCCCGAGGAGAATAACGCGCTTAGCATGCGCCGAGATCCTCATGGAGTGCTTTTCCATCGCAGAGCGCTCGTAATGGGTCGCCAGCAGGTCAAAGTACGATCGAACGGCATTCAGCCCCGTGAATCGATAGGCATCGGGGGTTTTACAATCTGCGAACGAATGCTGTATAGTGACCGTATGGTGCTGGGAAAAATGTGCCAAGAGGCGTATAGATGGGGAGTTATTGGCGATGTCGGAGAAAAGATTGTCTGCGACTGCTGTGAGGTCTGATACAGAAAGTGACATTGTGGGAGGGAAGAACTCGAACGTTTAGCCAAGGCAAGTAGGATCCTATATAAATCATTGGACCTCGGGCAGACGGGCAGATATTTTTGGCATGGCCGCAGAAGGGTTCCAGGTTCGCAAGGACTTGGCGCCGGCTGGTCGCAGTCGAGTGAGTAAAAAACATAATACGGGCATGTTTACGGACTTACTTCACTCGCATCATTGGTACTTTAGTACGCCGTCCAAGGTGTAAGAAGTTGATATGATATTAGATGCCCACGTCAGTTGGAAATCCGGCACGTTCATGCGGTCCTACCACCGATAGCAACCGACAGCTTCGGATTAGCAGTCGGCTATCCGCGAACCCTAGCAAGTCTTTGCTATTAAGCAAAACTGCTCGAGAAGATATAGGTAAGAATTAGCACCTGATAGCATTTTGAGTACTGGGAGTCCGAGATATTTTCGACTTCCGATGCACTCTGCAGAGATTTTTGACAGTAATTGTGTCACGGATTTTCAGGGTGTAGCACGGAAACAGCAAGCTCATTCCGGGGTGCAGAACACTAGGCCGTGATTTGAAAATCCACATGGCATTTAACGAGATCAGTGTACACCAGTGGGGTCAATGACTCAGTTCTAGGTGCCAGTTAAATTTTTTGACTCGGACGTCAGCAAGACAGCTTGCAATGAACTCGGGCATCGGTCATAGGCCACTATGCTTGTAAGTATTAGTATGTGCCCGGCCCAACATTATCGAGGGATCAATTCAGCGCCTCCGAGACCGATAGATAACTTTCCGATCCAAATACAGCACCAGGGTCAGGTTCCGCGACAGTTCCTTGTGGCGTGTTCCTTGTGGATCTCTTCTAAAAGGAACGTTGCCCAGCCGTCGCCGTTCAATGCGCTTCCGGATGAAAGATACATGAGTAAAAAACGCGATCCTAAGCGACAACAAATGGAAAGACATGGGTCCATATTTGCTTCAGCTGCTATTTCAATTTTGTTATACCCTTGGCGCGATAATCCGGAGATCTCAGCGAACCAAGTGAGCGTCGACACAAACGTATTGTGCATCTCCGAATTGTGTTTCGCGGCACCAAAAGGTACCAATTTCACTATGCACAATGGTTGGGGCTGTGGCGGCGGTTCCGCGGGGCCTTTAAGAAGACCACCCCCATTCGATCGGATAGGTTGTTGCTTGCCAATAAGTAATTTCGGTGGTTTTTGCATCGACAGAGTAACAGCTCCGAGCCTCAGATGCTATGTACTACAAGATTATCCACGTCGTTCGGTATCCCAAAACCACGAAAAAATCACGCAGGCCGAGCATTAACCTGTCTTTAGCATGAACCTATGGATTTGGGCGCCGCTCCTTCACTTGCTGAGTTTTAGTAAAGTCAAAATCAAGGATCGAGGGACAGGGGTGATACCTTAGGGTGGCGCGTCAGAGTGTAGCAGCATCTCGACGCTTTCGAATGCGGCTTCGATATGATGATTTGACACGCTAGCATCAGAGAAACAGTGCCTGCGGGATCAGAACACACCACGTTCTGGGTGTAAGTATCAAGGGGTCTGAGTCAGAGCCACGGATCCATTCGCACGAGTTTCGAGTTGAAGTCTCAAGATAAGGGTAAATCTCCGTTGTTCCTTCCGGGCGAAGCCTAGAGACTGAGAATTAGATGGACCAGGAGCCTGTATATTCGAAAGATCAGGTACAAGTGGCGCTTGTCTATCATCAATCGGAATCGTATGCAATGCCTGAACCTATGCAGGTATTCGGATCATAAGGTCAGTGATTCGGAAGCCGTAAGCCTGCGTTTTGAATTGTTACCGAAGGGACGAACTGTATCGACGGAAACTGCCAGGAATACCGTTATGTGGCGTAGAAGCTGGTATGAGAAGCCATCCCTTGTCTTACACACTATTGACCTTCCCTTGGTACGGATGGGGCAAGGTCCGAAAAGGAACGAATGACTGAGTCGATGGTGAAGACATTGACCGAAAATTATGAGACCTGCATGATTCCGACCTCCTACTGTGTGGCAGATGCCTATGAAAATCTAGACGCGGCCAGCTCTTAGTAACGAAAATTAAAACGCGCTGGTCAAATCCAAAAAGCTGCTCGAGCTCGGTTCATCCCAAGTAGGTAAAACTCACCGCGCTTAAATTTAAATCAGTTGGAGACGAAGATGGATAATTAGTACGCCACGACTTGAACTCAACTCGAAACCCGACCTTGGTGATCGTATGCGGTGGTCTGGATTGACATGAATGCATGTATTTTACCGGCGCAGTCCTCAAGGGAAGATTCGAACCAACAATCTGGTACATCCCCCAGCAGAGAAGGTACATGCTTTTGCACAGCCCATCCGCCGGACCGCTGAAGTTCAGAACCCAAAGTATACCAAATTCCTTAGGGCTCTCGGGTGAGTATTTCTTCCCAAAAGTTGATGGTTAGCGGCGCGAAGACCACCCGTGAGGAACGTATTTGGACGAACATGATTGGGCAATCGCGTATAAGATATTCACAGAACGGTGCAAGACACCGTCCTGACCTGCATGAAAAAATGTCAGTTCGATTACGACATCAGGGTACATAAACTTACCCGCGAGAGCGATCGAGACCTAAAAATGCTCATTTGCAGCATAGAACTATGTTTTTATTTAATCTAAACAAACAATTCGCTCAATTGGAGCCCTGAGCATGCACCCGATGTACGCCTAGAGGATTTGAATTGAAGTAAAGCGATGCTGAAAAAAAGTTGTCAGGAGTCAAACTGAAAACGATGAGATGAACGTACTTCAAATGTGCTTTGAACATCTGACAGACCGGCTGAACGCCAAATCCTCGGATTTTAGTGCTCACTGGGAGTTCTGCAATGCAACTGTCAAATAACGATGCTATCTTCGGCATCATTGACTCCGTTGCTGAGTTAGTACGGGGTCAATCGATGACGAGAAATGAACAGGCAGCAAATACATCGACCCTTTGGGGACAACAACGGCGAATTCTTCAATATTTGCTATCTGAAAGTCCAAAGCCTTCGACCAGTCTGCATCGTCTCGAATTGATACCTCCTACCTTTTAGTGAAAATAGAGTGATGCAAAGACCAATGAAGCGAGCGCAAACTTTATAATATAGCCACCGCAAAATCGTCAAACCATCTTTCATCTATCCTTGGATCGATCATCAAGCCACCAATCGAGTGAAGTTGACCCCTCAGTCCCGGATTCCCTAATATTGCACAGAGCTGAGGCCGTGCATCGCATCGATAATACGTCCCTTTGAATTCGGTGTGTCGCTAAAAAGGCGCGTCAAGAAGACTTGAAATGTCGTAGAAACGTGGTACGCGTACCAAAGACCTAGACACGCGAAACATCGGGGTTACATGGACATCTTGAAATTCGCAGCGCAGTCTATTACAGGTTCAGCGCAACCAGATTGGCGGATTATGGTCGAACTTAAAACAAATGACTTTCTTCAATCACGACGATGTTCTTCGATTCGGCAACAACGCTCGACTTGTCGATCCTCACTAGATGTTACCCAGTGTTTTTCAAGCTGCAGCCAAACGGAATTACTACGTACCATCTCTGCCTGTGATACAGGTATATTCTTTTCCTATTGAACATGCATCGCGACGTATCAGCAAGGGGATAAGCGCCAGGATGTTAAGAATCTCTTACTAACTGCGGAGAGCTCGCGTATATCCATGGGCATGTTATTCACTGGCTTGGCGTAAAGCCAACTTTAATGTTTCTGGTTCGACAATACCGGTGGGAAATCGTTACCCCAGCGCTAGTACATATGACCAAAGGAGAAAACGAGGATCGGCCACGCAGGAGTACCGTAGCCGAAGGAAATGCCTAGAAAAGACCGAGCGGTCTTGAAAAAAAGCGTTTAGTGAAAAGCGTTATCTTGCTTCAGGAAGCTTGTTGCGCGCGTTTCGTATTTGATGTTATCGGCGACGATCAGATCGGACGGGTATGAGCCTTGTTCATGAATGGCGATACAGGAAACCCACGTGCTATGGTGTCCCGAAAGCCTCAGCACTAATAAAGCGTCAACGGTCGCTATACGCTTCAAACCTACTGTGTAGGATTCAGAGGCGGCACAGATTATGATGTACAAGAGGACGCCACTGATATTCCATAGATCTCAGAGATATCGCTCGTCTGCAGTAGTCAACGTTCAACATGCGGGCCTTAGAGCAAATCATAGGCGACAATGCTTCAGCTCTCCAATTCAAGCTATAAGGTTGGAGATGTTACGACTCACCGCTTGGGCACCAATAGTTGATTGTATAGTAAATACTCATTAGTGTTAGAGCAAAATCCCCTCTAAAACTCCTCGGAGCTTCAAACTTCACCGGTCACCGCTTCAGTCAGACAGTCGATGATCGGTTGGTGAACTTGGTCGGAACAGCCTTTACCGCTTCATGGCAGTAACACGAAGACAACAAAAGGGAAACTAAGGCCTTAAGGCATTAGAGGGGTATCGGTTAACGTCTCTTTACCTCAAGAATCGAGAATTGAGATGACAGGTAAACGATAACCGAAAATTTCAACTTGACGTCAGACCGTCGGTTCGGAACAATCGGACCGATCCCAAGAAAAAAAAAAGCATCTCGACTTGGGTCGGCGGCATGCGCAGCTAAGCACGAACTCCGTCTTTAAATTGAAAATACGCCCAAGTCTCATCGGCGCACTAACAGGTGTGATTCTGCTCGTTTAGACGACGGCTGCTATTTAATTAATGAACGAGGATGAGCACCTCCTAATCCCGCTTCATTTTCTGGCAGTCCGAAGGTAAGGCGGCCAGAGATATCCTCATTTGGAGCATTCAATTATGGTGGGGCTTCGTGGCAGCCACGCGGACGCTCAAGAAAGATCTATGGGGATCATTAAAAACTGACATTTCAAGGAATGGACGTACATTGCTTTACTCCGTCCGAGTTCGAGGCAACAGTGGGCCTCACGACGAGAAAAAAAAATCAGACTAGGCTTAACTCGAATCCATGCTTCATCAATATAGCTGAAGCTGAAAGGGGACAGGGAAGGAAAATAACCCAGGGGTCCCGCGTGGAGAATATTCGCCGGCCGTTTGCATGTGCTGCAAGCTCTCGCCTGGTGCCAGTAGGGATTTCGTATGGCAGTACGCTGTGAAACGGAACAGGTCGAGGAAACCCGAAAAGTAATGCCAAGTATGAAGAGTAAAAGTCAATCCAGTCTCCGACTCGGACTTTGTTTTCCCCCTTCGCGCCATTGATGAGAGACGAAATTGATATAACACGTATGGGTGCCAACGGCGACACGTATACCTCTGGATGGTACATGCCTTCGCGATCATAAGACACAGAGAAGCGGAAATATCCTTGGGCCTAGAGCACTAGAGAGGTGAAAGGTAGGATAAAAGATACGAGATTGTGAAGTGCAGCCGGCAGTCCTTAGTAGCAAACCCGACCCTGCGAAGACCTGCAGGACATTGAAAGAGCGAAAAACCGGGTAGATCATGAAACACAAGCAAAGGATATTGGTAACCAAGCAGAGACATCATATGTTCACGATAAGATGGTAAAGATGTATATAAAAGGGAGTGAGTGGAGTGGGATTAGCTGCGTGTTGCCTAAAAAGGACCATCAAAGTTCCTTGTTGGGATCCAGCCATCAGATTGCTGTTTCTCAAGGACGACATTGCACCCCGGAGGCTATTACGACTTGAATCTCATGGTACCCGCTCTTTTCTTCGTGCTTCTGCTACTCCAGGACCCGGGGCCGTTTATCAGATTTCTGGTCCAAGGTCCACGTTTTTCATCGTGCTTGTACACCCTTCACACTCGTTTTATCGTCGCTCGTTTTTCTCGTCTTCTCTTAGCGTCTCTTAGCGTCCCTCGACTCTTGTAATATGCATACCGCAGCAAGACCTACCCATATACGAAAAATCCGTCGTGCCATTCCCACTTATTCGGTCGAAGAACGCGCGCCAGCTTTGATTAATCTTCCTATATCTCTCCCTGACATACCCATTGTGAGCCCTATCGTAACACTGCTCGTTGCTGGAATCAACCAGCAGGAAGGGGCCTCTACAGTGACTATAACCACGACCGTATCTACTGCCTTGGCCGCTAGTCCGACCGAAAGCAGCGTCACCGCTTCAAGCTCTGGAAATTCGAATGGTTCTGGAGGTACGGGCTCTAGTTCTGGCAGCCCTAATACATCAGACTCTAGCTCGGGGAGCGTCATCTTGGGCAGTACCGGCAGTGGGAGTTCTGAGAGCTCCGGAGGTGGGAGCGAGGTTAATTTGGGAAGCTCTGGTGGGAGCTTCGCAAGCACTGGGAGTGCAATTGCTGGAAGTGGGAGTGAAAGTGGGACAAATCTCGGCGCAACAGTATCCGGAAGTCTAACTAGCACGACTTCCGTCGTTTCTTTTACCAACAATGATTCTCCGGTAAACACGTTCATCCTTTCCTCCAGTGCTATACGGTCGTCCGGAACCGGTAGTATTGAGGATACCGACTTGCCTTCTTCCACCCGTTCATCTGGGACTGTCACTCCGACCGAGACAACCGCCAGCACAAGGTCGAGTTCGAACAGCGGTCCTTCTGTTACCGACACGGCGACGAACATCCAGGAGCTTTCAGCCAGCTCCGTTGAATCGCAGCCTACTCCTAACTTGAACATACTTTCCAGCAACCCGACTGCGGGAAGTGCAGCCTCTGGTGTCTCTACTGATGCCGTCAATGGAGATGGCACAGAAGGAAGCGGAGGAGGTTCTTCCGGTGGCGGTGGGACGGGCGGGGGTGGTGGTCTTCCTACTGGCGCCACTGTAGCCATTTCTTTAATCGTTCCTGCCATATTCGCCGCCTCTCTCTTGCTCTTCATCCGACAGCGCTTCCGAGCGAAACGGAACAAGCGCAACAAGTGGTGGTTTTCCAATATGAAGTTTCGGGAGGACGACACAGGGGCTTCTGGCAGTGGTACAGAGAACACTGCTGGGGCACGCTCAATTAGGAGCAGCTTTGGTACATCGTACGAGTATAACGCAAGGTCTACACCATCCTTTGATGTGTCGGTGCCTGCTCTCCCGCCCATGGCAGAAGTTCGCCGCACCCACAGTCCTGAACTATCGATGCACAATGTGCCAGCTGGTCATCAATCTCCTCCTCTTCTAGTCAACGTCGATAACCTCCCACAACCTGGCACGCGTGGTGTCTCGCTATACAGCACCCGCAGCACATCTAGCGAGCTCTACCGTCAGTACCTTATCTTGGGTACTAACGACAGAGAACCAGCGACCCCCATGTCCACTCGTCCGTCTGTATTCGTGTTTCCTAGTCCGCCTAAAGACACCAGCAGCGAAACGACACCAAAGAGGGATAGTGGTGTTCTGGGCACTAGCTCTGAAGCAAACCCCTTCATCGGTCCCAGTGTTTCCCCTGATCATCCACCGGCGCCCGTTCCATTCTCAGATGTTGAAGTTATCCGTCGACCGTTCGATCCTACTCTTCATGATGAGCTCTCCGTATCTGAAGGAGATCGCGTTCATGTAGTGAAGGTCTTTGATGACGGGTGGGCCTTGGTGCAGAAGATTCCGGCCGATTCCCTGTCTGGCAAAGGAAAGCAGGTGCTTCCGCAGGCTGGATTGGTCCCCATTGATTGTTTCAGAGAGTCATGGCAGCCCCTTCCTTCATTTTTGGCGGACAAGGGAGTAGGCGGCTATTCGGAGACTGGTGTTGCTCTTTGATCACGACTATTTAGTATGAGTTTCTTTGTGTTGTGTCCAGATGCGCGCTAACGCCAAAAATGCAGATTGTTATATAATTCAAGTGTTCCTGCCTATATACAAGGCTCGTTGATCATTTCTGTTGTTGATTATACCATTCGTTGAATATCCTTCCTGTTTAATTGCGTATCCTTCCTTTTGGTGTGTTTGATATCATTCGCTCGCGTTTATGTTGTACTGCCTAGGTTCTGAGGTTGAACCTCTGACTTTGTTTTGGAAAGTTCGTATGTACCGCGGCTATTTCGTTATTGTTTTAGGTATGCAAACTCAAAGCTATATCCCATAATTCTGACGATCAATCCTGTTCAGTCACAAAATATCACCAAGAACGGGTTATTATGGCTATCAGCGTTCGCAACGGGTATCCATTACCTATCTCATTCGACAGTTCTGCTGACAGATTTTCCTCCGACAAAATCCACCTCTTCCAGCAGAGATATCCTTTCCTTGTCCTCTCCCTCCTCCCACTGCTTTAAGGGAAAGTTTATTGCTATACCCCTCGCGGTGCGTTAATGTGGCTCGCATTCTTTTCACGAACGAAGACAGCATCTGAATCCCCGAAAAAAACTTTCAATTATGCTACCACACTGTCGACTCCAAATTCGAGGGCTTGTCCCTGCGATATCCGGTCGTCACAGCTATGAAAGATGTGCCAAGCACTTGAACCTTGCCAAGATCTCCGCGAATTAGAATCCTACACCTGCGTCGTTCAACGAGCTACAGACTCATATTTCACGCACTTAGATTTCGAGCTTGCACGTCCTGTATGCCTAAGATGTATAAGGGTAAACCGCCTAACGGAAGATAATACAAAATTTATTTGTCTGCGGATGCTCGGACGTGAATTATAACACCGAGTAAGCGTGTGAATCGCGATGATATGGGAACGAGGGGGTACATAAGTTGTGGAGCAGTGAAAGAGTCCGTTATATGATACAAAAAAAACGCCGTGATGAGCCTTTGGAGCTACATTGATATTGCATCGGTGCTTCGACTTGGTGTTTAGCAACAGCACGGTATAGGAATGATGTAGCACATTCCGCCACCCTAATCACAAGAAAGACGTTAGTCCACTATCCTCCAACGAAACCAATTCTGCTTACCGGGCATGGAATACATCCACCTCTGAGCCTCATGGGCTCCTGCTCTTTCTTTTTCTCCACGACCATCCCTTTGACTGGAGCGGGCTGATCCGATACGACAGCAGCCTTCAATGATGTGTGGGTGTGGGCGCGTGGAGGGTATGTTATTGGCGACATGATGAGGATGTGGTAGAACTGAGTGTGAGTGAGTGCTGAAGATCGGGCTTATAAGTGGATGGAGACGATGACATCATCAAGACAAGATTAGCAATGACCTACCACAGCCTCAACTTTTTACGTCTTTTGCGCAGCACCACTTTATGTCTTCTCTAAACAGTTCTTCTGGTAAAGTCTAGATCTTGCTGCGTCATCCGCAACAACTCGACGACTCGACGACTTTCTCGCTATGTACCATAAGAAGAGAAAAGCGCAGTAGTGAGTGTTAGGAAATTGCGATAGAGTGCCGTTCGCGCTCGTCTGTCGACATGTCGACCAGCGATAATTCTACTATGATTACATGTGAGAGCACAACACCGGGAGTATGCAGTAAAGCAGAAAATGAAAGAGCCTCAATGAATCATCGACACAATTATATAAACTGCCACCACCCCGGCCAGTGCCCTAATGACCAGGAGAACTGGATTTCTGACAGTATCAACTTGATACGTCGCCCCGGCTGATTGCAAATACGCAAACGTGGATCCGGCGGAGGTGTCTTCATCGTAGCAAAAACTATGGAATAGCGCAGCGGGGGAGCCTGGAGTTAATACCAGTCAGCACCGCCGTTACGCCTGAACATTGACATGCGCTTACTACAGGTGACCCCCGATACATCAAACCCAAGGGCCGTGAGTACGAGAACAACTGCCTCTTGGATGAGAATAAGGGGGGCCAAGACGAGAATGAGAGGGATCAGGACGATCCAAGGTCCGATGAAAATCGCAACTGAGATGAAGAGCGCAAGACGCGGGTAAGCTTGGACTAAAGTCACAAGGTCGAGTGAGTAGAAACACTTAAAGTTGAATCGCCGGACGCACTGATTGCTTCCAGAGGGTAGAAAACTGTAGAGAAACCGGCCATTAAGTAAGACGGAAACAAAGCATTTGGGTCAAGCATACCTTTATTAACGAGGAAAATCCTCTGGCGATGCTGTGTCAATACAGATATCATAACGAAGCAAATTACTCACTAGCGTTGATTAAACCTCTTGAGAACCAATGGAAGGCTTTTTCAACAATGCCTTACGTATGAGAATAGAAGAAAACTGAGTTGTCAGCGCCTGGCGTACCATAAACATAGTCTTTGAAGAAAGTGACGAAGAAGCCGTCTAGACAATGTTTAACTAGAACGAAAAAACGAGTGGGAAAGAAACCTTACTAATAACTTTCATGGCTATTTCGATCCATTTCAAGATAAGTTGTTCCCAAGTCTTTTTGGAGTCAAAATTTTGTTGGGAGACCGCGCGCGCAATGAGATACATGATGTATACGGGGGAAAAGGCGGAGGGTCGTCCCTTAGACAAACCCTCAGAAATGAGAGGTGTCACCTGCTTGGACAATTCTAGCATAGTAGCACAACCGTGGGATGCCACTCAGCAGCTTACGGAAGGTGGGAAATCCCGCGTGTTCCATGTCCACACTGTTCTCTAGGTTGCTATCCAGCATTTTGTTGTTGCTTGAGTATGTCTTTCTTTTCTGGCACCAATAGCTTCATTCAGTGATCAAAGTTTAGAAAAGCCAACTACGAGTACACGGGAGAGGCCACAAAAGAATGCGTACGGAAGCGACTGGCACGTGGAGAGCTAAAAGGGAACGAGTATGCATCGACTCCGAGATATCCAAGACCGAAAAGAGAACGGATATCAAATCATTGACAGAATCATATACACCGCCACCAGCCCAGCGAGTACCCTGATGATCACAAGCACTACGTTGCTAACAGTGAACCCGTTATATGACATGCCAGTCGACTGTAAACAAGCAAAGACCGAGGCGGCAGGGGTGTGTCCGCCGTAGCAGAAGCTTTGATACAACGCAGCAGGTGAGCCTAAGAAAACTCGGTCAAGACCGATGACGTATGTGTATCTTTAGCGCGCGCTTACCACCCACGATTCCAGATACACCAAAACCAATGACGGTAAGCACGATGAAAAATACGCCTTGGATGATGAACAGAGGGAATCAGGAGGATCCAGGGGCCAAAAAATATAATGCTTGAGATGATAAGCGTCAGGTGTGGGTTCGCTTGGACTAACGAAAGAGATTAGAAGATTGATTCGAGGTGAACTGGTGGGGGGCTGCACGGACAGATTGCATCGAGGGGATAAAACACTGCCGTGAGGTGAGTTAGAACGTCGATGTTCAGGTCAATACGTACCTTGATCTCTAAAGAAAGTAACAAGAAAATCCTCTGACGGGACCAATTATTAGGAATACTATCAGGATGATAAGGAAGGAGCTGACTAGTTGCGACCAGAGCTGTCTGGATCCATCGCAGGACATTTTCCAGGGTTCTATTGAAGTCGAATTCACTGGAAGAGTCCGAGCGGCTGAGAATGTACATGCTCTACGCTTGAGAGGCGTGGCAAGAGCATGTTGCCGCCATTCTGCCGGAAGGAAACATCAATATCACGTGATCGAGGGAAGATTAAAATCCTATATGGAAATAACCGCCTAGCACTCTTGCCTCCAAAGGGTGAAGTCCTTCCCACTATGTCTATTCCGTAGTTGCTTGAATTATTGGAATGCTGTTTCTAGACTTTTCAACCTGCCCATGTCTTGCATAGCCACTCCGCTGAACGCGTGAATGTTTCAGAAACTAGGGGCTCTCGGAATTCAAGGGAACTTTCAGATTGTTGTGTAATGACCGAGCAGCTCGCAAACGGAAGAGTATTCGCAATCGCAATCCGCTAGATGGGACAGCGCTCGGTACGCAAAGGCTTTTCGACGAGACCTTGGCTAATCTAGAGTTAGGCGGATACACGGCCCATGGATGAATAGGGTCCGCTGAATTGAACTACCGATGGCTAACCTTGGATCCGGAGGTCAAATGGTGGTTCCAGAGGTTTCTGCTAGGTTCCAGAAGAAAGTTGAGTGCGGCGAAGAATAGGATGATGAGGGTGAGGTGTTGGTAGGGAGTGAAGATGCATAAGTGGGTGTTGACGTTGAACGTTGATGTATGGAGTCACATTGAATGGCGGGTGGTACAAGACGTAGAAATTTGATGAAATTATTCGAGGTGTGACATCATAATTCACACGGTGGACCTATATACTTATACCCCCACCTTATGTCGTCTTCTTCCACTGAGAATCCCTACACCAGCATACCGCTACAAGAGCCTATCCTCAAACTATATCCCTTATAATCCGCTATAAATTGACGCGTTTGTAGTTCAAGTAGGCACGTCCTCATTTCGCGAAAGGTAGGTAGTGAATACCTCTAGACGAATTTCTGACAGTCTCATTTATTTAGATTCCACTATGGTTGAACCTGTTACAGACGACCTTATGGAAAACATCACATCCAAAACCCCTTGATAACTCGAGTATTGCCGGAGGCGCGTCCTCAAGTAAGTAATATCACGTGTGGCGGCAGACCGTGATGGCAAACAAGGGCAGACTACCTCCCTGAAAAAAAAATCCATCGCGTCGTGGGTGTACTCTAGCGAGGCACCGTGCGGTTGGGACCGTTATTTCCCTCTTTTATTTTATTTTAGTTTGATTATGCGGATCTCACTCTCTTACGCCTAGATCAGCCCTTGGATTCAACGCGTGTCGCCAGAGGTACCTTTGGTACGTTTTCTCCTTTCACTCTATTTTCTAGAATATTACTCACATAGGTTTAATTTTTGTAGATTTTTATGACAGTCGACTCAGACCTCACTCACAGCATCCTCAAGACTCGCCTTCCGACTCTCGGAGTATAGGTGGTGGACCGGATTATATGTATGGTGGCGACAATCGTGGAGGGAGTATTGAGGGCGGCTCCATGTCGGAACAAGGACGACACGGAAATCTACGGAGGTCATCCGTTACTCAGCCCGGGTCATCGCGTCGGCAACAAGCTGTTCAGCCGACACCCTACGGGGCGCTCCCGGAAGGCATCCATGGCATCAATACCTCCTCTACTAGCTTCCAAGGCTCTTCCCATTATCCCACCCCGACAGGACCATTCACCGGGTATGTTGGCCAGTACGCGATGTCACCGTCTGGCGCAATGGCGATAGCGCATACGCCGCCGCCTTTCTACCAACATGTATATCAACATCCCGGGGAAAGTAGCATGCTGCACCATGCTGGTTTTCAGTCTATGATCCCGCACCAGACCCGAGTTTATCCCTATCCTTCGCCCGACGCTACCTCGTCGTACCCAACATCTACCTTTCCACCCCCACAGGGTACTGCATCGCCTTCTCCTTCTCAGCCTTCAAGCGGACAGCCAGCTCACTCATCTACTTATTCTGGAACAGGTCCTTTCCATTCGTTACGATACTCCCCGATGTCTACGCCTCAATATTCGTACCCACCCCCCCAGTCGTTCCCGACCTCTCCAATTTATACTTCCCAGTATCCCCCCGGTGTCTACCCTCAACCGTTTGCGTCCCCTACGACGGAGTCAGATAGTCAGGGCACATGGTGGTATCTACCCCACGTTCCAGCGCGGCAGTACGAGGGCTCACCAGCGCCCTATGGTCACTATTCTGTTGGCTATGCTACTCCACCTCCGCATGATTCTGAACCTTATGGCCAATCCTCAGGCGCTTCCTCATCGAACCAATATCCCATGTCGCCCGTAGTGGCCGGCAGGTTTCCCATAGATCCAGTCTCGCCAATACCACCCGCCACTCCTCTGTCTCCAAAACAGGAAAGCGCATCTTCCCACAGCGCTCCTCCAGAGAAACCCCTTGTTCGACGATCATACCATCCCAATCCCCCCTCACATCGCTCAGAATGGGTCATGTGGGTGGGTAATGTCCCATCCGATGCCACTCACGACGAGCTATGGCGATTTTTCAACCAACCCCTCCCCTCAAAACCTCTTGATGACCCGGGTCCTTCTGGCGTAATGTCTATATTTCTCATTTCGCGCTCAAGCTGTGCGTTTATCAACTTCGAGAGCGAGGCCTATCTTCACAAGGCCATAGCGAGGTTTCACGGACAACCCTTGCGATTTAAACACCCCCGATGTCCTAGGCTTGTATGTAGGGCTAGACGCAAGGACGACGATCTCAAAGCCGGCGTTGGCGGGCAACGTGGGATGGGAATGCATACGAAATGGATAAAAGAGCAAATGGGTAAAGCGGAGTCGACCGAGTTGTCGGAGCCCTCTGATCCTGATGAGGTACCTACAACACCATCCAGCTCGTCTGACCGTCATTCATTTGTTCCCTCGACGTCGTTCTCAAGCGACGACGATGCGAGACCGACTCTGCGTACAAAGAATTCGAGCAGCTCTGGTTCTTTTGCATCGACGAACTCTAGTGTACTCGCAAGATACTTTCCGAAGCGCTATTTCATTCTCAAGTCTTTGACACCGGTAGGCATTACTGTATACTTTTTCTGCGGTCCCGTGTTTGATTGTTGGGCTACTGAGTAGGAAGACGTTGACATTAGCGTTCAAAAGGGACTATGGGCCACCCAGAAGCACAATGAAGGTATCCTGGACCAGGCATTTCGGACGAGCGAAGAGGTTTACCTTATCTTTGGCGTGAACAAAAGTGGTGAGTGGTATGGATACGCCAGGTACGTGTTTTCAAATGATGGCTTATCTATTCTGAGCCTTTTCATTGGATAGGATGACTGGACGTGTTGGCCGTGGGGAACAAACAGTACCATGGGCCTCGCGAGCCGATTCTACCACTTCATCACGTTCATCACTTTCGCCAGTGACGGGACGTGGTCCTGTTCAGGCAGAGACAATACCAGAGGAACCGTCGTCGACATCCGCTTCCACGTTCGTCTGCGGATGAGGAGGTGATGATCTTCTCTGCTCACCGGTTAGTCGAAAATTCCCCGCAGCCGGTGTTATCATCAGATCAAGTTCGTCCGACCCTTGGCCACACAGAGACTGCCGTACAGTCTGCACCCGCCGAGCTAGGCCCACAACGCCGCTCAATGACAATGCGGACGCCCATCGCGAAGCACAGTCTTGATACTCGGACATTCAAGCCCGAGCGACCGAGCTTGTCCAAGACGCAGCCAAGCAGCTTCCATTTGGATGAAGGAGCTCCATATAGGGCGATGAAGCGGAGAAGTGGGACTGATGAAGCGGATGAGCAACTCGGACCGGTCATGGAGGAGGAAGGGGTGCATGAGGATGAGCAAGAGGTTCCAGCGACGCCAGAAGAGGAGACGGGCAAGGTCGAGGAAAAGATACCACGAGAGGAAGGCTGGGGCGAGCCCTTCAAGGTCGAGTGGATAAGAACCGATCGGCTACCGTTCTACCGCACACGACACCTGCGCAACCCATGGAACAAGGACCGCGAGGTGAAGATCTCACGGGACGGGACGGAGCTTGAACCGTCAGTTGGACAACAACTGATTGACGAATGGCAGAAACCCCCGGAATCTCGTCCGCCAGGCAAAGGTGCGACTGGCAGACGCGGTTCGTCGAAAGCTCCACCTGCATCAGGATCAGGATCATGATATACGAAAATATCGTTATAACCTACGAAAAACAATACGATTACGCATAATTAAACACGCATTTGCATCGCATTCAAACCAATCACAGTCCTGTATGTCCTTTTTTCATCTTCTGATTTGTGACGATTGATTGACGATTTTTCCAGTATGTAATATTTCATCATCAAGTTTCAGAAAGGACCTTGTCATTCACGATACAGGCGTTCGTCAACACTCTTTTAACAAACTATTCACGCGCTTTTTTTTTTTTACTCTTTTGGGATTTATTCGTTTTGGGTGTGATATATGTTCGTCCTCCCTCCCTTTGCTGCTGCAAAGTTCAAGCTGTCGTTGCGCTGTTCATCTATAGTCGTTGCATTTTGTTCCTGGCTTTGTTTCTGTGTCGCTCCCCAATTCTGGTCCCAAGTTTTGTAGCTATAGGTAGAATTTTCTCCACATCTCACGCACTTCCACTGTAACACATCGTACGAATGGCATTATACACGATCGCGCCTTTTGTGCGCTGGGTTTTTCATTGTTCTGATCAGTAGAGCATGGGTGGACTTCCAGGTATTCCGTTTCACGCGTCGGCGTTTGTCTGTACTTCGGTTTTCCGCATGCTATTAATGAGGTGTAGGAGTCGCGAGTAACGATGGGCTTTGGTTTGCCTTCTACGGACCGTGTTAGGTGCCTGGCAACTGAAGATGAAAAAATTCGTGAGCTCTGTTGGCGCGATCTGACCGTCGGCGTATGAACTTGAAGCGCCGATTTGTAATGCAGAAAAGCACGTGGGTCCTTCGGATTTCGGTTGATTAATCCGACTCTCTGATTTCATTCCACCTCCATGCCTCAAAGCTATATCGACAGATACCTTGATACGTTGACCTGTGGCACCTCCTTATATGCAGCAAAGAGAGATGCATGATTGATTTGGATCTCTTCGGCGTAGAGGATAAGAGGAACGGAGCCATACGCAAACGTACTGAAGACGACCGCAAAACTCCATCGCATACCGGTCCTGCTTACGAGTGCTAGGAGTACTGGCTGCAGTGTGTGCTGTCAACGGACTTAGAGGAAGTTGGTAGGGTTTAAAGTGGTCAATTCGCGCCTCTATTCTCAACTCCTTGGTTAGGCAAGGCGCCAAGGAACTTGATTGAGCATACCTGTTCCATGGTCGGGCGATTCCAAAGAGCGGAAACAAGGTGCGTTCTTTCCTTCTTTTTTAATTCCTTTTGTTTAAGATTACCCGATTCTCGCAGGCTCCCTATACCTAGGTATCTCTTTCGATCCCGGTTATATGCGTCCGAACGGAAACTTTCTTGCGTAAAAAGCAATTATTTGGCGAGATATATTTGCTTAAGCTGGGTTCGGGTGTGGAGATCATCTTGACCAGCCGGATAACTAAAATCATTGTGTGAGCGGTACCTGCTTTACTTTATATCGCACATGTATCTGATACACTGACTTGCAGACTGCAACAGCATAGGTGTTCGTTCATGATGATGGACCTTCCGACTCCAGCTTCAGAGTAACTCCGCGATGCAATTGCACATTTTTGGTCTCCGGGCTCCAATATAACAACTATATTCACATCAGCCATGTCCTAAGGCCGTTTGTTCTGAACCCATTCAACTGCTCTATTGTTTCTCTCTTCAACTCACGTCCTGCACGTATCCCGAGCTCAGCACTCTCCAGCAACATCGATCCTCCGGCCTGCATTTGCGTACGCCTTGAACCTATCATTCGAGTCAGCGCCTTTTCTGGGACTTTAGCGTCGAAGAGGAATTTTATATTCGTCAATTGCGGGAGGGTAGGCTCCAGATGGAGAGAATCTGAGTTGAGGTTCAACCGACGTAAAAGCTGGCCTGTGACGGTGGGGAACGGTGCATCTTCTGCCTCATGGACCACGAGAGACTGAATTCCAGGCGCCAACTCCAATAACAGCAGGAGATGAATATCTACCATGAAGACATTTTGGATCACGAACGTCTTCAGAGTGTCCGAGGACCTTCTGACGAGCCCGGCCAGAGAATCGATTGCACCTGTTATTTCACATTGTCCGTCCTCGGGATTGTATATCTCCAATCGTGCAAGACACGGCACCTTCAATAGGTTGACGAGATGCGGACCGGTCATATTCGCTCCGAGGGCGAGAGAAAGGGACGTTAGCCTTTCGCAATGCACCGGAGGGGTCGCCCCTGATCTCCACTGCCCGCACCAGGTTTGGTTTGTGATCTCCAATGTAAGATGCTCCAGTTCGGTTAGATGGTTCAAGAATTCCGGAAGGAACCACAAGCGACCGACAAAGTCTTTCAGAACGAGGTGCCGTATATGAACGCTAGTGTCCATTTCGCACTCTAAAAAGTCCTGTAGGAAGGGTGTGGACACCCGTCCGAAGGTGATTCTATGGAGATGCGGTGCCCAACAAAATGCATCTAGCTCTTGGTACCACTCTCCGGTGGTTACTTGTTGTTCAGTAGAGTGGAACTCGATGCTTTCTAGCAACGGGTAACGAGAGCCAACTGTACGAGGATACAACAGCACCGTGCGCTCAGAAGACCCTTTGCGGGGTAGCTGCAGCCTCAGGTGCTTCACACGCTCCCGTACCCTCCTTTGAAACAGATTGCCGAAGAATACATCTGTGTCGCCGGTGTAGTCTATGGTGAGAGGTAGATTCTTCGAGCGATAGACGTACAAAGCAGAGGTCTGGTTAATGCGGATGCGGTCGCGTGGGGTCAGATCATTGGTCGGCACATCGATGAATATACGGATAGACGTCCATAAGGAGGGGCGAGCCAAGATAATGGATCTCCATCGGTGGCAGACAAGACCTAGGCGGAGGATAGTCATGGAGACTGTTGGTGTGGAGAACATCGTCGTCGTCACAACACTCTGCAAAGATGAGTGTCAGGACCTCCATCGGGACGCGGCGGATGGGAGATAGCAGGGTCTCGTGATGGGAGATGAAGTCTTGCAGTCCGACGCGCTCATTCTCGAGTTGCGAGAGAGCCCCTCGGAGGTGGGCGATGCGGGAATCAGACTGGAATAGCTCGGAGCGCACTTCTGTCATCGTCTGGCAGATACTCTCTACTGGAACACGTCCAACAGTGTTTCTTCGGGCGTGGTCCCTAAGCCAGTCGGGTACCATTCGGGTGTGAGGAGTGTAATATGCGTGATCGCATCGTGGGCAGCGGAGAGTCATGGTAGTACCGTTTCCAACGTTAGTCCTCCAGTCTCTGCCTTCTTTGGCTTAATCGCTTACCAGGAGATGGTACTGGTCAGGAATAACTGTTGGCGCAGTAAGATGTCAACAAAGCTCAGACGATTGTCACATGTCACATGTCAAGATCCAAGCATGGACCAGGACCAGTTGAAGTCAATGGGTGGCAATCGGAGCAGTGGCAGGCCCTTGCGGTCCGACTATTGTTTGATAATAAAGGTGTTCTGGTTGCATTCTGTTGCATTGTGAAGGAAGCCTAGTCTCAACTTTTAAGTTTATCGTTTCGAATCTTGCTTCTTGGTGCTTGTAACGTTGTCGCGCACGATCTTACATCAGAAGCTTGTCTGCTGTCCGTCTTCGATCTGATCGACCTGAAGCTGTGAAATCATCCTCAAATTACGTCCGTGGGCTCAAAGCCCACCATTGATGCAACATAATCAGCACCCCATCACTGAGAAATATGGATCCCTAAATACACTCGAGCATTAAAACTCTCTAGACACGCCCCAAAAGCTAACAAGATGCTATTTCAACGTGTCGCTCAAGCCAAATCTCAGGCTTTTTACCAGTACATTTCTCGTTTCCTAATACCTGATCCTTGACCTTTTCGAAGAACTGGCCCCTGGCGCATACACCACTGATTCCTCATCATCGAACTCATCCTCGACCTCCTCCATATTGCTATCACCATCATCGTCTTCCTCTTTCACCACACATCCGCTTTCCAGCATCCCCATTATCTCACTGAAACTCCTCTTATAGTTCCTTCCTGAGTCTCCTCCTCTCTGCCATCATATCTAAAGCCTTCAAATGGCCCTTGACCACGGTAGCTAAGCGCATTGAAGGCTCAGAACGAGGCTCGTAATGTTGGATGGCATCCTCGAGCTGGCATCGATGAGCGATTATGTTGAAGTACTCTGCCATGTCTCTCTGCTGATTGGCAATACGTTGGGACTTGACTTTCTGAGCCTTTGCTGTAGAATACGAACGAGCAGTGAGTAATGGGTACCCCAGTTCCCAACATGTTCTACCTTTGCTTCGTAGTTTATATTCGTTCACAAGAGACGAGTTCCTACTCGCACTCTCTTCTCGTAGAACACGCATTTCATCTGGAAGAAGGCGATGCAAAATAAGTACATAACTGAGTAAAGAATGGCAGACTCAGACGCACTTTCGAGTCTTTCCTGTTCACTATCCTTCTTTGTCAGTTTTTGTTGCGCATCTACGACAATCGAACGTGAATTATAAGCGAAGCCAGATGAGATGATAACTACCTTCAAGTTGCTTCTGAATCGTCTCTATCTGCCCTTTCGATGCTTCCAATTCCGCTCTCAACGCTTTATATAAGACCAGTGATTAACTTTGTTTCCGATCAACGAAAATCATGATACCTTTCTCTATCCCTTCTCTCAGAATTGTTGCTTCACGTGTGCGCGTGTCTGCAGCTTAAGGAATACCATAGTCAACACATACAGCACGTCGTTCCATGATCAAAAATCGCCGTACCCTTACAGTTGGCATCTTTCTTTTCCAGTTCCTCGCGCAAATCTTCAGAAGTTTGTGTGTAAATCAATCCGCGTCGACAGCACTTGATAGACTTACTTTGAATGATCGCCTCCGCCTCCGCCTTCGCTTTCTCCAGACTCTGGTTTGAATCTGGCGAAGTTTAATATGCTGCGACTCAAATGTTAAGAAACATTTGAGATCTTACCTTTAAGACTGGCCTCTGCAGAGCTTGTCTCTATAAACGCCTCGATGAATAACTTAACGTTCCTGTATTATTATTCGACTCACCCTCAAGCTTCGCCTTCAGTACACCATTTTCCTTCATCTGATCATCTAATGTCTGTTTCAGTGCTTGCATCTCAGGGTTCTCGAAGCTTGGATGAGGGTTGCGAACTAATGACGCCCCCGCTGAATGTGTTGGATATTCAAGATAAAACGCGTAAGGGTTGTAATTTGGGGGTAACCGCGCGACTTCGGATGAAGAATCAGGAACTGAATTTGTCGGAGGCGTCTTTCGTTTGAATGAAATAACACCGCGCTTATTGGGCAGCTCCGAGTCCTGTGCCGATGAAGTACTTGGAGTTGAATTTGCATCTGGGAATGAAAGGGGCGGCAATCGAGATAGGATCTCATCAAATGTCGATCGTTCGAGCGAAGGAAACCGTTTGACAAGCCTTTCAAACAGCGCATCATCGTACCTACTGCACAGCCCAGTCGTACTATTTTTGCAGGTTGGAGTGTTGCAATGAACGCGACTTTCTAGGGGTATACAAGTAAGGTTGTTTTCCTTGCATATCTTGCAGGCCTGTATAGGTGTACGTAAGTCAGTAGCGTTCAACATCATGTTGTGGAACCGCACGGTATTTGGGTGAGATTTCGCCCATTTTCGAGCCTCAGCTTGAGAGGGAGGTTTGTTTCTCTCCTCGATAACAATTTTTTCCATGTCGTCCCTGGATTCTGGATTAGATTCCATAGGCAGATGACTTAAGGTTCAGTGAAGGGAGCAAAGAAGGTAGCAAAAAGAGTCCGAGTGCGTCATCTTCTCGCGTAGCCAAAAATGGACATTGGAATCTCCGACTGGGATGTAAGTGCTTATTTGTACATGCTAAGGTCATTCCACGGACATTGCGTCGAACACCGAGAGAATTTGAATTAATTGACTGTGGGCAAGTCTACATCATTAGAGAACTATATAAGCCAGAAAGCTATCACTGTCATTTCATTAACGTTAAACCTCTTGCGCTTTGCACTTGGCTCGTGTAGCTCGGTAAGATATTGTTCCTCTTCATCTGCCCGTTCTCCATCTCCATCTCCAATCTTTACAAGATCTTTGAGCCTGCCAAAGTCAAGTGGAATACTACACAGATTCCTCTCGGTTATATTGGCAAGGGCTTTGACATGTTCTTCAATCATGGTCACCACGTACTTGGATGCGTCCGACCGCGGCTCGTAATCAGCTACGACGTCCAAAAGCTTTCTTGAGTTTGCAGAAATATATAGATAGTCTACAAGATCCCGCTGTTGTTGAGAAGCACAGTTCAGGTCTAGTTTTCTGAGAAGAGCTGATGAGAGAGTGAGCAGAAGATCGACTTCAAGTGACCTCAACGATGGACGAACACTTCACTTGCGCCTCAGATTTTGTCTTTTCTAAGAGGGCGTCATTTACTTGACGGCGAAGATCCTGAGTTTCAGCTACATTTCGAGAGAGCTTTGTTAATCTTGGAAGGCGAAAGAAAGTTGGCTATCTACTACCTTCTCCAATGCGCCGTGTTTCTAGCAGCTGTTGTTTGGCCTCTATAGAGACCAATTTCAATAAAATGTTGCGAAAGAAGCACAAGTCACTTACGATCTAGCTCTGAAGCAGTGGACCTCAGCGCAGACTGCTTATCTGCATCGAAGGCAACTCGAGTCAGACATACATTAAGCATCACCGAGTTTCAAATTTCACCATTCAACTCTGCTTCCTTGGATTTCCTGTATTCTAAAGAAGAGGGTATTTGAGATGTGCAAGATAAGAAAGCAATATTAATTGCTCCTGCTATTGTGTTGCTCTTGCAAGGCCACTGTTCGGGCAAGTGCAGCTACGACGAATGGGGAGTTCAGTCACATAGCGAGTGAGCGATGACGAGTTCGAGGACACCTGTCAAGTCTTGCCGGAGATTTTCATCTGCAGGAGGAGTACTATGATAACTGCTAGGCGTAATTTCTTGTAAGAAATGATACAAATCATAAAGCAGCTCTACTCACTTTTGGCCGCTGCCTCTGCCTTGGTCAATTTTGCTTCAAGTTCGGCGATCTTTTCCTCCCTGGAGGATAATGTTCCTGCACAAATGCGGCGTCAAAGCTAGCCAACCGCTACGGAAATAAAAACGCACCCATCAACTTCGCGACTTCCTGTTCCTTCTCCTGCAATCTATCCTTCAAGTCCTGACATTCCGTCATTTGGGCGTTCGTTTGTAGTGTAAGCGAAATGGCGTAGGCGGTATCGTTCGGTGACATAGAAACAGACTGAAGTCGGATCATCAGCAATTTTGTAGCGGAAATCAAGGTATTTCTCTTACTTGTCTGATTCTCTTCTTTGGAACACTGGGAATGTTCTTTGGATTCACCCGGGACATGCCTTGAAGAGAGTGATCCTCTACTATAGTCGGTGGTGCCAGAGGAGAAACTGATGCGGTGCTAGCTGCTGGCATGCTGGAAATCTCCTGCCAAGATTTGTCCTTCAAGTATTGGGACTGTTCATGGGTCAAGTTTGGCAGCCGGGCGCGAACACGTTCAAAAATTTCATCCTCAACTCGGCTACACGTATTTCTAGACTTCCTGCAGGATGTATTGTTACAGTAAATACGCGTTTCAAAAGGCTCGCATGGTTCTCCGACTTTGTCAAGACAGGCCTTGTATCGCTAATTGCGCCGCAAAAATCAAGACATTCCTTCAAGCAGCGCTGTAGTCCACGCACCAAATTTTTGTTCTTGGAAAGCCAATCGGTGATACGTGCAGGACTAGGCTTTCTAGTCTTTTCTTCATGGATGATGGTTATCAACGTTTGGATTGTGCAGTCCAGTCCTGCGAAAGGACTATCCAGCGGATATAGTCCAGCACTCATGAGAAAAGGTCAAAGTAAACCGTCGCAAATTCAGTTTCTGAAAAAAAACTGATTGACACTGGTGTCGTGACTTAAGATGTCAACCTCCCTTTCTGATTCACACCGCAAACGGAAATTTTTCAGCTATACTGAAATTATCACGTGACTCAAGAAACTTGACCACAAACTAGTCCCGAAATTGGAGAAATGGCGGGCAAGATCAGTTTCAGGACGAGTTTCTGGTCAAGTTTCATAACTTTCCAGTACACCCGAAAAATTTCCATTTGCGGTGTGATTTCTAGTAACAGTGAGATTACATTCCTTGGAAACCTTTCAAAGCGCCCTCGATGTCTCAGCGACTACAGTAGCAGCAACGACTCGCACAATTCGTAGACAGACGTCGAATCGAATGCAATTTTTAGAGGCAATGACTCTTTCCCTCAGGCCGAAAGACGCTGCACTGTGGGGATACTTGAACCGGCCACAAAGCAATGAATAACATACAAATCGGGTGACTGTACATGTTATGAGCTCTTTCTCACCACAGACATCCTGGAAACTTCCCAGTCCAACTTTCCACCATGCTAGCTTCAGCGAAATTCTCGAGGCCTCATATTATGCCCGAGTCTATAACGTCGTGTAGGCAGCCACTTGATTGGAACGGCTGTATTTCTCCCATACTCATCGACGTACATCACCTATACCGCACTAAAATACGATGAGTAACTCCCATGCTGCGAAGATGACTGGGATTTTGCAGGATTTTGCTCATGAATGATGATTGCTGTATTGCCGGCAGGACGGTGCGAATCTCGATATATCGTTCAAGTCACCAAGGTTGTTTTTGTCGTATGTAGCAGAGAGAAGACGGTGTCGGACCATGAAAGTGGAAGACTAGACGACTGGATTGATTGGCCAGCTCGATGAGAAAGGGACTGGCGGCTCGGTGGGAAACGCGCAGACTCGTTGATACCAGCCTGCTTAGCCTGGCAAGCCGCTTTATGAGATCCTCGAATCTCGTATCTGTATATTTCACTTCCTGGTGGTTTCATAGCAACGCCAGGAGCTCGACCACCTACCGGCATGCTTCCAAACTTTATCAATGTCTAAGTGACTGTGGTGGCGACGAGGATGTCATGACTACCCGCATAAGTTCACATCCATCCTGATACCTCAATAACAACACATAACGCCCATGGCATAAGATTTCTCGGGCCAATGATCAACAACAGCACACAAGCACCAGTCTCAAAACTCAGATCGTACACACGAATTGCGTTCCCATCAATATTGCATTATACGCTCGGAACCTGGCTACAAAAATACAAAGACGGTAAACGCAGGGACAATATCTTCTCACTTCTTCCGAGCCGAGAAGTAGGATGACTTCGCCCGGGATGAACAAAAATGGCCTGGGGTATTTGATTTATATATCACTGCTGGTGCGTAACACTACAGGGCGTCCCCCGGTGATACAGCGAACCAGCTTCCTGTGTGCCATGACTATTAAAAGTCGGTCACAGTGGCGAATATGCAATACGGGCCTGCGGATACATTTTTAGTAAACACGATAGACATAATGCAAAGTCTATACTACTCACATACTACCGCCGAACCGCGATTGCCACGATTCGGATTCTTAGACCCTCGCGGGTCAGAGTGAGATGGTATTCGGGAGGCGTCCATCTGCAACAAGTGGGTGATCATCAGTCAGCACGAGCAGGATTGGCGTAAAATACAAACTAACCAAATCGCGATTTTCAATCGAAGCTTTGCTTTCACTTCAAAGGGGCCTGTGCTCGATGATAAGAAAGGAGCTACGACAGCAGAGCAAGACAAACTTACCGTTCGAGGCCAGCATCCAAGTCACAGGATGCACGAACAAGTCGCCACAGTGCTATGTGGACGACCAAGGTCAGTGAGCAGTCGGTGCTCGTGTCGGTGTCGAGGTCGGGTCAGCCGGTATGTCAACAAAGACGGTCAGTCAGTACTCTTTTCTCTGAGTATCGGATACAGCGAACACTGATAAACAAGAGAAAATCAGTAAAGGCGGGAGGGGACAACGACGGTCACCCACCTTGCGCTGGGGTTGCCACTCTGGCTTCCAAAGAGCAGCGCAAGCGATACCGAGGGTTTATATACCCTGACATTTCGTTTCCCACGCACGGACCCTCACGGAACCGATTCCGTTCCGATCCTAATGACTCAGCATGGCACTTTGATTGCCGGTAAAATTGACGAGGTAAAATAAACGCCGAGAGGATATAAACTTTAGAAGCAATCTGAGCCTCATTCACTGCTATTGATATATCCCCAGTAATTGTAGTAGTAATACAAAATCAGCTTGCTAATAGGAAACCGTGGCGACGCGCGTGATAGAAACAGGGAAATAGAGGGACGAACAATCCATCACTTTGGTGGATCAAGGAAACCCCGCAGCAGCTGCCAGCAGGCTGAACAAGCGAAGAAAGGCGTATTAAAGATCTGGGAAAGCAATGGCTAAACACGGCGGGAGTAAAAATGAAGATCGGGATGCACGGCGGGTAGAGAAAATATACAATATTGGCTGAAATAAATCAATGGGAAGATCGACCGCTGCACGTTGACGAGTCTTTTCAAAAGGTGCTCGCCCATCCCTCCAAATCGACTTTGGAAGATCTCGCTTGCTTGATCCACTCATGTGTCTAGAACGGGGAATCAGTACGAACAGAAAAAGAAACACTGAAGAACGGCATCTTACGAGTAGATCTTTCGGTGTCCTCCTCATATCCGGATCCTTCAATAAACAGCTGTCCACGAAGCTTTCGGCTTCTGGGGGGAACCTCCCTTCCGGCGTCAATCGCGGCGCTGGCTCGTTGACGATGTGTTGCAGCAGCTCCAAAATGCTCATCGTCATACCTCCTCCCTGCAGACTAACACCCTTGCTCTTTCTTTTATCCTTCTTTGCCTTGTCTTTACGCGATTTGGGTAGGGACAATGCAGCAATTGATCCCATTGAGCCAGGTCGGGCCGGCGACAGAGTGCTTTCGAAATCGGACAGGTCCGAATCGTCTGATTCTGATTCGGAGAATGGAAAGCGCCCTAAGGCCAACTCGATGAGAGATATACCAAGCGACCACACGTCGGATTTGACTGTATACTGTGCTCCTTGGATACGCTCGGGCTGGAACGCGAATCAGAATAGATTAAGCAAAAGCGCGAAAAGACCCGCACGCTCATATACGTGGATGTGCCGACAAATGTGTCCGCAATCGAATTGATGAGTTCCCCAGAAACACCAAAGTCACATATTTTGATGTCACCTCGAGAGTTGCAAAGGATGTTAGACGGTTTGATATCTGAAGAATCATCAGCGGTTGACTAGGAGGTATATAGAAAGCATACCCCGATGTATGATTCGGTGGACATCGTATAGATACGTAAGACCTTCAAGAACAGCCAGCGCGACCTTGCCCACTATGTCGATATCGATGGCGCCAATCTTCTTGTAAATCCCATCGAGCGAACCCTTGTCCATAAATTCCATACAAATACAAATATTAGGGTCCGCAAGGAAAGCGCCATAGAACGATATGATGAACTTAGAATTGCAGTTGTGCATGATCTGTAGCTCCCGGAGGATCTGTTTTCGTACAGACGGCTTGGCGTCAATCAATACAATCTACAACGTGTGAACAATAAGATGCATATAATATGGAGCACACAGACCTTCTTTGCCATGATAGTGCTGGTAGGGACATGTTCAACCTTCTTCACGCTCCCGCCATTGCCCTGACCAAGCTCTTGGAGATCTTTCAGATCTTCGTTCCGCAAATCAAACTTGATTTCAGCGTTCATATCCAGGTTTGCTAGGGTATTTGAAAGTGTGGCATAGGTTGAGCGTCGTGTCGAAGCCATCGGCGAAGCTGTAGTCGGAGCGGAACTGGAACCGTTGGACACGGTCAAGAGTGTGTTGTCGCCATCTACAGGCGTAGCTGTGGTTGTCGGTATCTTGGGGGCCTTCAGTGTCATTGGCGGTGGTCGCCGTTTGCCCCCGCCAGCGACTGGGGCTTGTCGTGTAGGCACAGGATTGAGAACGGGCTCTGGCTCCGTCGTCGCTGGCGATACTGGGGTGCTCGGCGTCGCCAACTGAAGTGACTTGAAGTTGCGTTTCTTGCGAATGGGGGTCGTCATCGTGGGCAAAGAAGAAAAGAAAAAGAGAGTTTTTCCAGTTGGAAGATGAGGTGATGACGGCAAGAGGAGAGCACAGCGCGTGACAGAATCTGTCACTGAACTTGTCTCTTGACCACCACCTGCAGCGGTACTTCAGTCAAAGCCTACTGATCAGAATGGCGATGATTATCGGCAATGTAGAGCGTTGTTGCTAATTTGATACAGAGTATTTCATTTTTGTTGCCGGCTCAGCGTACTAACGACCTTATCCTTACTCCTGAGGGTCCTTTTCACGTACACCATGACGGCATCATCCTAGGAGGCAATGGTCACTCTTCTGCAGTATTGGCACCCTGGATTCCAGCCGGAAGAGGCCTTCTCGTTCATTCTTAGATTTAGAACGGACGACGGTCGGTCTAATGGATAGGCAATTTCAAGTGCGTACTTTTCTCGTAGCAAGGATGTACTGACGATATGCTAGACAACAGGATAGGTCTTTGCGTTGACTTCTTTCTTTTCATACGATATACCCGTGATAGCCCTTGGAGACCATAACTCACGCTTTGTCGGTGTACTCGATCCCTAAATTGAATTTGACTTGCAAGAACTAGCCCATCGCATCAGCGACTGACTACTCGCGTGGGAGTTGTCAGCTGCGTAACTTCCGTCGGCTTGAAAGTCATCGACTCGTCTACGTTCGGTTGTTCGCCTTGCTTATCCTGATTAGTAGCCTCCGTGCGAGTTTTCGGTCACCAAGTCCTATGGGATTTATGTCCATTTCCACTGCATTACCGGATTTGAAGCTTGAAGCTTGAAGTCGCAAAGCACTGAAACCTCCTGGGTCCTTGGCAACTACTGTCATGGACTCTTCCGATTTGGTATTATTGTCTACGTCCCTTGTTAAAGCCATTACAGCACGCATCAAGAAACGACGATGGTCGTCGAATATCTAAGATGTTGTATGATTGTTGACGACAAATACAGTTCGCCACTATCTTACGGACGCCATGTTTCTACTTTCAATGAGGGCATGCTATGCGAATTTACTCTGGCATCTCAGGCAGTTGCTGATATAGATTACACTTTCACAGTAGCGGTAACATAGCGAGAGGCAGGATTAAAATATCTGTGACCCATGTTAACGCTGTTCCAATTCCAAGTCAACTTCTATAATGGATGACTTTCCATAACGTTTAGAATGGGTTCTAAATTCAGATTTCGTTCTAGAGTGTGACTTGCCGACATGCCGGTGCGATTGGTAAGCTGTTTCAAAATTTTCAGGATCGTTCGACCCACTTCCAAATTACCCATCTGGATGAGGCCTCGGACCCCTCTTCCAGCTTCAAACCGTCATCCAAACCTGTTCCAAATGCCAGCTTCCTCTTTTGGGATGCCGTATTTCAATTTCCTTTCAATTCCGATCAGGCGACGACACGCTCCTTGATTAGCTGGCAATAATTTAACTGAACTTGTACTTTTCCACCCTCCCGACACACCGTTGAACCGTGAAAATGTTGAGGATGCTCACCAATTTGCCCTCAGATCAGTTTCCTGTCAGTTTCCCCGGTTTTGTCCTGTCTGCTGGCCAATAACATTCTATTTATGACACCCTTTGCTCATCCTGTCGCAATTTTGTGGGAGATAATGAAGGGTGGGACTCTGATGTTTGGGAAAAGATGTATCCTACAGAGACTTTGCATTCCGTCATCATGTAATTTCGCTGAGTGGTGATGTGTTCTTGCCAATATAAAGTGTGGGCATTTTGTGTCTTTTTCAGCACATCCTTGAAGCTTACTTGCAGCACTAGCTGATATTTATATTCTATGTCTGATCCTGTCCACCCCCAGGAACTCCAGTTCTTCACCACTGAGGATGGCCGCCATTCCTATCTGTGTCATCTGTGGTCAGAGTCCAAAAGCAGAGCAGATCAAGATCGGGCAAAGAACTGTTTATTTCAGAATCTACAAGGTCAAGGATAACGGGTTATGGTTTGAAAATCTACGATACTTGGATTCTAAATAATTTTAACATACATCTGAAAATCCTTTTGGAACTCCAAATCGTTATGGAAAGTCATCCAATAATACTGTAACGCGTGAATGCCCCCAAAATAATAAAGCATCGTTGAATGACGGCGAGCTGAGTAAACAAAAATTGATGCTATTAGCAGGGCGTCGGCAACTCTTTGGCTTCGCCCACATGTCCTAATAGTAGACTACCTCTTCTTCCTCTCTTGTTTTTCCATGGCATCCAAAGACAGTCCATGCGCGTCTCGTGATTTTCCTGAAATTGCCAGAATCATCCTGGAAGAGAGAGACAAAGGACCGAAAGACTGGGAGCGTAATAAGTGGGCAAAGGCCAACAAGCACTTGGTGCGCACCAATGTCATTTTTAACTGTCGCCGTTTTTCACCGTTTTCATCAAGGTCTGCGCTACATGTAAGGAGAACAATGTGGAATGTATCCCGCTGGATTCAAGGATCTACTGTAATTCTCTGGTTTGCAAGAAGTCTGACAGACTCTGCAGCAAGTTCAACGATGAACTATACGACCGTATCGCTAAAAGGGTGCCAACCCTGGAGAGGACTGCGTTTGACGATGTAATGTCTCCGCAACGAACCACAGAGTATACTGGGCTCTCTTTTAAGATTCCAGCTCGACGCCCATCCAGTACATCTCCTGCAAAACGCACGCAAAATTCGACATCATCGGACGAGGTATAGCAATCCAACCCTTCTTAATCGTTTCAAGGGCTCAACTTCATACTACAGTCTCAGTCTGTTTCCACTAAAACCGGTGACATACATCCCAACAGTGGAATCCAAACGCTCAGTCAAAAATTCGCAGACAAAAGTCGCGAAAATGATGAACTTCAGGTCGAACTCAAGAGTGAGTGTAATTCTGTCCATCGAGCGTTTGTGACTGACATAGTTGCAGAGCTAAAAGCAGGTGAGCATCATTCAGGCTCTTCTCCCGTTCTCCTACCCTTATGACAAAAAAAAGATTCAGAAAAGCAGAAAGTGGAAACAGAAGCAGAAATTCAAAGTGAGTACATGACTTGGTGACCGAGCGTCATAGATGAATATGTCTTACAGAACTGAAGGCGGACTTGGATACGACCAAGGCTGCCCTTATAGGTACGTTACTCATACAACCTTGCGCACATAAATACTCACCAGTACTTTTAGCGGCTAATGAACGAGCGGAACAGGAAGAGAATCTTCGACGGGAGATGATGCAAAGTCGCTTCCTCTTCCTCTCTTTAGATTCATCTTCTCTAATCATAATGCCGAGCAGATATAACGCCACAAGAGCAAATCGATGCGCTGAAGAAGGACCTTGAGGGTAAGAGCGTCAAGCTACTTCTTTAGATTCTCGTTGGCTTTATGCATCCTATAGATTCCCGACGGCAGTTGCTAGTAAAGCAGCAGATCCAGGACCAGCTTAAAAGTATGTCCGCTCGAGGAAATCGCCTTTAGTATAGGAGCTTATCAATACTAGATAAGATCCAGTCTCTTCAAAGAGAGTCGTCGCGCACAACTATCCCCATAGAGAAACACAGATCCAAAGTTAATGGTATCACACTCTCATGCAGTCCCATATAGTACTTACTGAGCCTTGATAGCTCTCCGCCGCCAAATAGAGTCGGAACGCACTGCTCGAATCCGGCTTGACCTTGGTGAACTGTACCATACCAAATCTGAACGGGTGTGCCTCGCCGAAGCTGTGGCTGATTGCGAGCCACAGTCAGAGGATTCAGTTAACCATCTAGTGTCGGTTGTGCGCTCGCACTTGAAAGAGCTAGATGAGATAGTTAAGAGGAAGGTAGCGAGCGTCCCGCTGAGCTATGACAAGTTGATGGAAATCATGAATGGGGGAAGAATGGTTAAGCAGGAGAAGGAGGATAGCAGGGAGATGGATTCTAGTGAAGACCGTGACGAAGAGATCTCGGTGCCGTCTGATTCTCTGCCTCCAAAGAAAAGACGAAAGCTTGCTCGTGATTAGGAGACACCGTCGGATGTCGTTTGTTCTATACCCTTTGCCCGTTGCTATCATAATATTTCGTATTTGTTACTCTGTAAACTGTACTGCTTATACAATGCTTATACACATTGTGTTCCATTCTTCTAAACGACAATGGAAGGAGGGAAATGCCGGAAAGGAGACTTGTGATATGGAGAAGACGGCCTCACGTCGTACTGGTCAGATTACTAGGGCAAAGACGATTCGCGACACGGGATATCAGCGTTCAACAACCAATCACTGCATACCCATCGATGGCAGTGGCGGTGCCAGCCGAGTTCAGTGAACATTTAATTTAAGACGATATTTCGATCTCGAAACGAATCTGGGAGATTTAGAGGAATTCATTAGTCGCATTTCAGTATACTGGATTGAAATCGCAGTACAAGGAGTAGTTACAAGCCGACGTAGACACTGCCGCATATTAGGTGGCCTCCCCTTTAGGACCTAAGAGTGACCCGAGGAATTCAAAATTTGCGGTATCATCGATCGCTGTATAGTACCCATCCGAATAAAAATAGCAACGGCTCCTCCGAGCTCCGTCCTTGACAATCTTGATGGAGCCAGGGGTATGTTGAATCTGTGGAGCGGGTTAGTTCAAAGACTATCGTATACGGCTCTCTCCGTACCATCGATGAAGTACCCATGACGAGAAGCATATCCATGCGGTACGGAAATCGAGCGATCTAACCCATGCCGTTCGGTATTTCTCCAAACTAGACAACCGCAGGCCGGAGAATCCTTCACATTGGCCGTAGCGATTCAAGCGATTCCAGGAGGGGCACCCGTATAGGCATACTCTCGACTGGTATGCTATTGCAGTCCAGAACCGGGGATAGAGGAATAGAGGAGGGGTACGAAACCTATTGACTTCTTTACTAGTACACCTAGCGCGAAAGGGCTATAGGCAGAACTGCGTATTTCAATCAGACGTTCTTCTAGAGTGATTTGAGACAGACGGTCGATATTCTGTGCGATGAAGAAGGGAGGAACATAGGTACAAAGAAGTAGCAAACGCACCCGGATTCTAGGCAAAGAAAGCGAGGTAAGAGCACGATGAGCCGTGGACTCCGACCCCATGCATCTGTTGAGCAAAAAAAAAACGTCAAGTACACAGCAAAATAGAAATTTCCCACTGGCTGTCACGAAATTTCCACACGCTCCCGAGGCATTCAAGGCGGATCCAGCCGCTGCAAACCGACATCAAATTCTAGATTCAAATTTCGAAAATTAAATAACCGTTTATATCATAGTCGAGAGACTCGGCGGAAGGAGAGTGCACCCAAGACAGCTGTATTCTGCCGTGACCGCGATAAGCGAATAAACGTGAGGACATGCGTAGCGTAGAAACGAAGTCGGCCGGAGAATTTTTTTTGCCTACTTGCAAGACAAGCCGGTTCCAGCTGGGATAGCAACACTCTGCGGAAGCGAGACGAACCAGGACCTCGTGAGTATTATGAGACGGTGACATCGCTGTTGGAAGAAGAGTTACTCTGGTGATAGCCTTGATTGCTACCGCGTATGTATTACGGTTCCGCAGCTGGGGCGTGGGTTCTGAGCAGATCTTGAAATCTGAGTTTTTTTTTGGCTCAGAACACTAGAAGCCACGGCATTTCCAACTCAGCGATAGTCCTTTTATCGTAAGCCAGTCTCGGCTCGAATCCCCACATACCTTTCGCGGTTACTGATCAGTACGTTGTCCTGACATCAATCGGGTGGATTTCATCACGTATCTGAGAAGCAATACGAAAAGCAGCGGATCTGGTCCTTTTCTTCGAAGTCCATCCTGGGTCTCACGAGGTACACACATTTTGTGGCATTAGTCGTCGAAGCCAAGCTGACTACGTTACATAAGGAACACGACTTGACCGGACAGCGGTCGTCTGTTGGAGTCATACAAAAGTTTCATACTTGTACTTTTTCCTTGTCTCGACGTCGAGGGTAATGGAGATACCGGTTTATACGACCCAAGAAGGGCCACACCATCGATTCGCGAGGGTGCAGCTAGACCACTAGTCATATCAAATTCTCAACAAAAAGAGGAGCAAGACAACTCACCAAGTAATTAGCGTCCGTAGTCATTGAGCCCAAAAAGAACTCATCAAGCTCGTCCAGGGCTAAACGAAGATTACTCCTCGCTTCGTTGATCGTCTCAGGTTGGATGGGTTCATAGCCATGTGTCGTCCATTTCTGCTGCTTGACGAAAAACTCCCCTCCATCGTCTTGCAGTAGATTGCGCAGTTTCCGACGACATTGGTCCCAAGAAGGATCTATTGGTCGAAGATTTGCTAGTGCTCGTACGTCCCCGCAGACACTCCCGATGGTCGGGTTGGTGGTGGAAAAAGTAAAGAATAGGCTGTTTCACTGTACGCATTCCATCCATTGGTGATTAAAATGCAACACGCCAAGAAGAGATTCTCGGGCTCGTGGAGGTAGTCCAAATGTCGCTGGAGATCAATCGATACATGCGGTGCCACAAGTCCAGCAACGTATCCATTAATAATAGCGACCAACGATGGACGGAGGGAGTGGCTTCCGAAGACGTTCAGACATTGCAACTCGAGGAAAACATCGTACACAGCTTTAACACCATGCCTGAGGCCACGCCCTAAAATATTGCATATAGCGTCGAAGGGCGCATGCATAGCCTGATCAGCATCGTACAGTGCGTCGTATTGATTGATCAGGATTTTGACTAGTGGCCGTAAAGCGGGCCAAAGATGGTGCTTTGGGCAGTATCCGGGTTGATGTGTTGACCAGGCGCTGACCATCCCCAAATACACATCCAGCAAAGACATTTGAGCACCCGTCCATTCAGGTTCAAGCTTGAAAACATGGCTATAACTGACGTGTTCCACGAGATCCACAAGGGCGGCGTTTCTTTGTCAGGAATATTCTTTGATGTGACGTATCTCCAGAGGACGGATTGTGCCTGCGATAGGCATCTTGAGTATAGAGGTCAAAAGAAGACAGTTTGACGCGATGAAGTAGATATCGGATGAAAGCCAGCGCGAACTTGAAGGCAGGAGAAAAAGATGTTTCATCGGCCAATTTATCAAACACAGAAAGCATGTTCAACAAGTTGGCTGTTAACTCGTCAATGAAGTAGGCTTGAGCTGCGATTTCGAAGGAAACACGTGGAAATACGTCTTTATCTTCCCGTGTGTCCATCATCCAACCAACAATGCGACTGCACAGATTCATAGGAAAAGAATCTAGCGAGTCGATGTCGATCGGAGCGAAAGCGCCGTCATCTTTGGCCATTCGCATGAGCTCGAGCCAAATGACTGGAGGTAGCCTCGTTGAACTAGAGCATATTACTTGCTCAAAAAATGCAGTGGAAGTTGGTGAATTGGGCGGTTTACATTTACTCCTCTGGAAAGTATCGTTCGATTGGATGGCGACAGTAACTCCCCAGTCACTGTCAGCACTATCAACGTAAGGCCGGTTTCCGTAACCCAAGTTATAAAATAGGTGTGGTATGAACAACTCGAAGCGAAGGAAGTGCTTGACCTTGGATTCCGTTCCCGGTATTGGCTGCATGGACTTCACGAATGTGTCTTCCTTCGGCAAATGCTTTCTTCACTGTAGCCTTCGGCGACAGTGACAGGCCACCGATAGACTGCACCACAATCCTGTGTACCGTGGGATTTGATGAAGACGAGAAAAGCCAATGTAACGCTTCCACCGACAGAATTCTTGACCATTCTTGTACCACTATTCTTTCCAGATCATCCAACGAGCTCCTACCCTTCGCTTCTGGCTCGTCGAGAGTAATTTTATTAAACTCTCCTTTCACGAAGAGTGGGCGAATATGTTTAGGGAATAGGTCCTTTGTAAGATAGCGATAAGGAAAGTATATGAGATCCGACAGCGGTGTACGGTAGGGTATAGAATTGGTAGGAAGGTGGTTATCAGATACGTTGCGTATGAAGCCACAGTGCCAATGCCGATAACCCAGGAAAGGCCAGATCGGCGTGGCGCAAGGAACACAACCAATTCAATGAAAAAGATCCCGAGGGCGAGATGCATGAGGATGGGGAAAAGTCCGATAATGATGAGGACATGCCACCTCTGGAATCCTCCGTACCGATATTGCCGAACATGGCTTCGCTCTTGAGGCGTTCCAGATGGAAGTGCGAGGTAATGGTGGAGCCACTATTTTACTAGCACAGCGACTAGTGCAGTTGCCAGACTAAGCGAGAGACTCGTGAACCATAAACCGTTCACCCAGACGTCTGTGGTTGCAGGAGTGAATCTAGCATATGGACTGAGTGAAGACACTGGAACGCTGTCGAGAGAGGAACCGTTCGCAATGGCACGTTAAATGAGAACCATTTCGAAGATCAGAGCCGCCGATATTTGAGGATAGTCCGCCTGTAAGCTCTGTGATGTCTGTGATACGAAGGTTGTCACTACCCCTGAGAAAAGGCCTGCCTGCAACGTGTTAAGTGACAGTGAAAAAGAATAAGGGAATAGCGATACTCACAAAAACAAGAAGCACGTCGACACTATCCCTCGATTCCCCTATCATCCTGGAATCGTAATTCGAGCTCTCGTCTAGGTATATTCTCCATACTCTCGCATTCGGGGCCGTTTCCTCGTAGTTGAACGGGTCGTTGGCTATGAATGACCTTCATTAGACAAAATTTATAATAGTGGGGATTCGGGAACAGTAATACTTACCTGTCTTCAAACCAGCATCTGGCCCCGACTTCTTCGCATCTGTAGCACCCTATCTGCCGGCTTCTTCCCGTATTTCCAGCTTCATCGACGGTCTGACCCCAATACTGTCTGAATCGATGTGTCTGCCAGTCTCCGTTGCCTCTAGCTCAGTGTTTTGACGCAATTTCGAAACATCGTTTTGAGTTGATTTTTCTGGACGATCCTGTACATCGGATATGCTGCTAGAAGAGCTTCTGCTGGATACTTCGTTGACCTCGTGCTGGTCAGGCATGACCAGTTGATGGCTGCTTGAGAAACCCTCGTGAGCGACCCTGATACGAGCCCTTTCCTGTTTAGGAGGCCACGAGGCGACCTACTGGTGCACTTGTGGACTGTTCGCCATGGTCTTTGCCACCACTGATTGTGACAATTACCTCGCTGGACCATCTGATGTGAACCGGTTTGTCCCTAGTGTCCTAAAATTTTTTGACGCAGAGCACGGGATATATTCCCAGGTCGGAATACGGCGCGTGGATTCCGGCAGGTCGCCGACGCGCCCATTCCCGAGCTGTGAGTAAGTCACACACGGAGGTGTAGGTGGATATTGTTGTGCTGAAACTTTGCTTAGTGCGCGCTTCTGTCTGCTCCGTTTGGATATGGCCAACTCATTTTCTCGGGCGCGTCCCCAGCCAGTCAGACAGGACATTCGTGAGCGTGGTGACTCGCGGTCAGTGCAGGACCATGGTTGCATTATGTTCCAGGTTTATCCACGAGCTGCTTCCTTGATTAATTTGACCGTTCACCTAAGGACAGTAGGAAACCCTCTGATATAACTGCACTGACTATGGACTCGGAGGTACAAATTTGAATCGACTGATTCTATCTTCCTAGGTAGGCTTGTTTGTTACAGATGTGGATCTATTATTATGACTCGGTCCTCCTTATGAGGTGCTCTTCCCACGTATAATTTGCCATTGTAAGTTGGTAGAGGGTATGTGCCAGCCATTGCCGATCATGCTTCCCTGAGATATCATTAATGTGCCTAGGAGCCTCTTCTTTTCCCTCAAATAAATGTCGGAAGCTGTAAGTCTTTTGTTGGCTAGGCTCCATTAACATTTTCACATTTAATTTTATGACACCCCACCCCACCCGGTGTTTGCGTATTTGTGGGGGGGCGGCGGCGGCACTGTGTGACACAAATTCGAGCAATAGTATATAGGTGAACGGAATCCTCTGTAACAACATCCTCAGACTTACCTCTCGCTTCTCACATAGAAAGGCTGCCAGATCCCTACCTGCATCCTTAACTCGAATGGCCAAGAGGAAACGAGTCCCCGAGAAGGCTAATGGTGCGCTCGTTGCACAGCCTAAAGTGAGGGACCTGAATTTCGTCTGTTTGACTAGCCTAATGTCTATTTTTTTAGCGGCGGAAGACATCAAACCGCAATGGTTCTCGACAAGGAGATAATGGGGGAGACACGGTGAGCGCTTAAAACCTTTGTCACTGGTCAGACCACCTAATAGATTTGGATGTACCAAGGACCCCGACGAGAATCATGCGAGAGACTCATCCGCTAGCACAGACCCATTGAATATTGTGGGGTCTGCGAGGGCAGCATCAGAAAATCGTGCGTCCATTATTGACCGCACGTTGGTATCACTTTGACAGATATGCGCCAGAATCAGACGACGACTCGGAGCTACTGGACAATTGGTCCCTCAATGACGACCTGTACCAGATGCTCCTCAAGGGGACAGCATCGGCATGCCAACAATTGCGGCTTGTCATCGCCGAGCGACAGCAGAAAACGATCTCGCATGCCGAGGCTGCTAAGAGGCTGAAGGAATTGTCGGGAATGTTCACAAAGATGGCTACGATTTCAAAGGTTATGATTAAGTAGGAACCTGTGTGTGTGATGGCATTGTATATTGGTTACATTATGTTAGTGCTCGTTGTAATTGTTGGTATCAGTAGGTATATAGAAAATGTTCGATCTTCATGTGCTATCTCAGTTACTGCTGGTGTTATAGAATGCGCTTACTGCGCATCGCTTCAGCAATCATTCTGTACACCGCAAGTCGCAGTCGAGACGGAAGAACGCGATGCAAACCTGCATGCGTTCCACTTTGAGGCGATGCTCGCCTGCCCAGCAATATTCAAGTTGTGTTTGCTTCCCGGGCCATTCATGATATCATACCAACAAGTAAATTAAAGGAGGGCGGTGAACCCCTTCAGCCACCCACCTTACAGAAGAAAATTTTACGCGTTCAACTTCAAGGGATCGAAGCATCTTCCGCTGTTAAATAAGTCCATACTTCTACGGTGGTACCCACGTCGCCGAAGTGAAAGGAGCTGATGATGATCACAATTGCCGGCCTATTGTGTCTTGTCTCCTGTCAGACCATGGTTCATGCGGATTCATTCCTGCCAAACAGATGATGTTAACCAGTTGATGGTCACATTTTTACGGTGAGGTTCTCGGAATTCAAAAATGAATACGCGTGTCGTTTACTGTCTGGGGCAGTGATTAAAGCAGAGTTTCACGACTGACAGTAGAGATGACACACCCGTAGAAACCACGACTCATGAGTGGGGTACACCCAAAGAAACAGGCAACGTACAAATCCGTGAAAACTCGGTACTGTTAGCTGTTGATTGTTGTTAATAAATCTTACGGATATGACATCAGGAAGCTCTTATAGCTGTGTTGATAAAGAGTCCGGGACGTTTCGGACGTCGCACATAACACGCATCGACCCCGGAAGCCGTGTAAAATAGATGCGAAGAAGCAAGTCAGATAACTTTAGCCCTGCAGTCTTCGATCTGTCGAAGCTGGCAACCAGGGAAAGGTATTGAAAGGCCGAGTATCATTGAAGTATTACAGATATTGGCTGTAAAGCGTCCTTATCGGTGTCTTTAGCCAAGGTCGCGAGTACGTTAGTGCTTTGCTGGCGGAACTTCCGCGATCTCGGAAGGGTATGTCAGAGAGGCCTGAAATTTCAAACGGCGTTATGCTTCTTTCCAGTTTGTACAGATGCCGAAAACCCCAGTGCAGCAGGGGTATCCGAACTATAGAGCGAGATCGTTCACACGCACAATCTTGTCCCTCAATCCTATTTGTCTCTTTTCTTCTGGCTCGGTATGGCCTGGAATAGATTGGTTGACCGCCAACCCTCGAACCAGGTTCCGAAGGTTACCGTTCAGCAACCGAAGGACGTGATTCCTTTATGGTTCCAGAAAAGACATTACAATACTGGTAGATTCTAGGCGTACGCCAATACAGACCGGGGAAACAGAACAGTGTCGAAAAGTGCTGAGCTATGCAACGAACTGAAAAGAAATGCGGGATTGGGCTGAGAAAAGACGACTTTGGGAACTGGCTGATACAGAATAGTGGTCGTTATATCGCAACTCGAAGATTGTGTATATGCCTACACTGATGAAATGGCAAAGGGAAGATGAAATCCTTATTACGGTATTGCTTTGGTGCTGAAGTTAGAAGGTTCCATCATCGTGAATGAACTCCATATCACTGCAGCCTGCGAATGAGGGCATCAGATATATGCACGAAGTGTAGTGAAGTAGGCACCACTTTCCTTCATGTTCCTGCCCCACATCCACACCAACAGGAATCGGGAATCAGGCCTATCTTGTCGGGTAGTTGGTGTTCTCGAATGGATAATTGGAATCGAAAGACTCGGAAGTCTAGGCATAGGGAGCCTGCGAGCGTTGAGAAAAGTGAGCAAAGGAGGGCCAGGGAAAATGATGAAACGTCACGATAGAAGAAAAGGATGAGTCATCCCGCCAACTCTCTCGGAGACTTCGTGGACAGATTCGGCCAATACAGTGCTCTCCTAGTATATAAGACAGATGCAGAACAGAAGTTTTTGGCCGCCGCCATCAATATGTTTTCGTATGGCTCCCGTCCTCCACGCAGAGGTGTGTGTCGATTAGCTCCTTGCTGCGTATAAGGAATGATATCTATCGGTGTATGTCATGGAAAACTCGATTCATAACGTCGTAGTGGAGGGGCGCTGTTCAATTGCTGGGCTGAATCGCGGTCGTTGGTGAGTTACTACCAGTACTGTTACATACTACTGCGACTTCCATGTGGATCATGACATCTCGAACACGTGGTGGTTTGGAAATTTAAATTTATTCTTGATTCTGATCCACTGTTGGCCTCTGTCGACCCTTGATAAACGCGGTGTAGCGGAATCCGGTCTTGCAATCTGGCCTCATTAAATCCCAGATCTGCTGGTTACTACACAGCTGCCTTGCTTGACTCTTCTTCGTTTCCGGAATCGCAACTCATACAGTACTAGGTTCTCCTGGGGCACCCGCATGAACTATTGGCAATGTTACATCTTTGGCCTCTCGGTAGTAGCTATGAACATATCTTAAGTCCCTCGAACAACTCTGGAGTCTGTGGTGTACGGCGGTAATATATAGCAAATCTTAAACATTGAGCGAGTCGGAGGCTATTTTTTCAGGCTTGACTGCTGTACCTTTTCAGGCACCTTCACCGGATGGTTATCATTTACTGTGGCAACAGACGTCTTTATGCCGCGTTCTCTCCTTACAATATGAACAGGGCATTTGCCGCTTTACATACCCGTTCATTAGTCGATAGCAACGTCGAACTGAATACGATTCTAGACTAATGCATGCCCTCGGATTTTTCAAAACTCCATACGGCGATCTGGCGTGGACAAGACTCTAACCTCTCCGGAATCAAGGACACCTGCTTAGATGAAAGAGGAATTAAAAATATTTCTAATCCGATGGGTGAGAGGGTGGCCATTGAATTTTGACCGAGTTTCCAATCTCTATCTTGTGTGGCTCTTCTTTGTGGCATGTATTCTTCTAT